ACTCCCCGAAACATTTCTGAAAATTTCAGCCTACCATCAAAAATTTCGATTTTCAGCCCAATTTCAGCTTCTTCTGGGCTGAAAATGCTGAAATTTTGACTTTCAGAAGCTTCTCTCAACTCCCCGAAACATTTCTGAAAATTTCAGCTACCATCAATTTTTTCGATTTTCAGCCCATTTTCAGCTTCTCCTGGGCTGAAAATGCTGAAATTTTGACTTTCAGAAGCTTCTCTCAACTCACCCTACCAATTCTGAAAATTTCAGCCTAACATCAATTTTTTCGATTTTCAGCCCATTTTCAGCTTTTCCCCAGCTTCACCTTGCTCAAAATGCTGAAACTCCCACTTTCAGAAGCTTCTCTGAAAGTTGTTTGGGTCACCCAACGCGCGCATCAAAAAAGAAGAAATTTTCTATGCAGAAACTAACCTAGGTCAACGTTGCTTATCCTGCCAGATCGGACGACTTAGCGCACACGGAGTATCAATCTACTCAGGTCCCCTAGATCGATTCCTGCCGCCCGTTTTTTCTTTTTTTCTGATACTTCCGGATTTCAGTTTTTTGCCGCGCAACATCGTTTTTACTAAATCGACTATGCTCTTTCAGATGAAATACAATTATTTTTTCGTGTCGCCCCCCCTTTAAGCCGATTTTTGAGAATCTAACAAAACTCAATCCTTACAGGGTGACCAGAAATTATCCGTGCAAACTAAACCGGTCATAAAAACTTCAAAATTGGATAGTTTTCAAAGAAATTTTTTGTTAACAATAATAAATGCATAATAATTCCAAAATTATCACGAATGTTGATTTTAGGACTTTTTCAGGGCTTCCTGGGCCTTTAACCAGATTTCTAAAATAGTGAGAAAGGCCGCGTGGTGTTTTGACTTTGTTTAGTACGTGGAAAACTCCAATTGTATTTTTACAACTATAAAATGAGAAAGATATCTTCTAATGATGTTATTTTTCAAAAATTATCACTCCTAGTAACCTTGCGGACTGAGATTCGATGAGCTTCAGAGGCCCAAATAAATTGAAAAAAAAAGAAAATTTTTTTTTTTCGCGAAAGTAAATTTTTGGTTTTGGTCCAAATGTTAGGTCTTCATCAGCTTTAATGGTCTTATAAATATTTTTAAGTTAGATTAGACTGAGAAAACATGAAAATGTTCAAATATGATCGTTTGTTGTGAGTCGTTGTTGGTTTTGACACTTTTATCAGTAAAAAACAAGGGGCCGAGGGAGTCATGACCGCCCAAACCATCCCCAAAGTCGGAAAATTTAATTACATTTTGGCAAAGGCAGAAGAAGTCGTCTAAGATCCTTTTAGAAACAAGTGAAAAGAGTTTTGAGAATTTACACAGTTGTTGAAGCGAAAAATGGGGCAACATTGTTAACACCACTAGCCGCGGCTCTTTGCCCAATTTCTGACACATCAATATTAGGCGCTCAAGGTCCAAGTAAGATTTCAATTTGATCACGATTTTTTGTGATAATTTTAGAATAGTTATCTATTGATTGGTGCTCAATCAAAAAATTTGTGGAAAATATCATGTTTTTAAATATTTTACGGCCGGTTGAGTTTGCACGGATAATTTCTGGTCACCCTGTATGTTCCAGATGAAATTGTAAACATACATAACCATCTGGTGATCATGACTAATTCTTCAGCATTTTTTGAATTTCGAAAAAACAGAAACAAAAATGAAAAACGAAATCCAAGTCCATAGATATTTACATATAGACTAGAAGAACACACATACTTTCCAAACATTTTCGTTTTTCAGTCGAAAAAAACACACACACACACATACAGACAGAGAAAAAAATAATAATGGAAATGTTTACTTTTCTACTCGTCGTCCATCCCCAAAGTTTTCCACTTTTTGTTGTGTCTCAAAAAAATATCGGGCATGCCAAAAACCGTACTTTTTCTTTCATCTTCTACGTATTGAGACACTTGAAATTAGAAAAAGAAAAAAGAAACGCAGCGTAAATTCAAAATAAAATTGAGAAGAAAAAAAACGACTGTGCAATTTGAGATTTTGTACATATTTGTGCAATTCGATATTATTTCCCGATAAATTTTACGAAGAAAAATTGAAATGAGCACGTCATTTTAATTGAATGTAGAAAAATATTTCAGAGAAAACAAAACAAACAGCTGGCTCAATATTGACCTTTATGAATTTTTTATTGGGGAATGAGAATAAGAAATCGAGAAAAGAAGATAAATTTTCAGATTATACTAAACCTATGAAAAATATTCAAACCGTTTGAGATTTTTTCATAAATCCTTCAATTATTTAAAATTGCTAGTATGGTGTGGTTCTTTCAATTTCTCCTTGAAAAATTTTGAGAAATCGAAAAACGGAATGAATAACTACGTAGTGATTTTAGATGATCAAAAAATAAGTAGCAAAAGACAGTAGGACGATTAGGAGAGAAAATAGAAACAAATAATCGAAAGCGATAGAAAATATTGTTTGCCAAAACCCTTCTTCTCTTAGATATGTTGGTTGGCGGTGCTCAAATCAAATAAGCGAATAATCACCACACACACATCCTTCTTATCAAAATGTATGTAAATACTTTGTTTCTCCAGATAAAATGCTTTGACTTTATGGTTCTTTAGGCACCGAGTTATAAACAACAACAACCGTATGAAAAAACGAACAAAAATAAAACAGAAATTGTTATAGCTTTGCACTTTTCCGGAGAAAAAATGGCACAAGTGGAAAAAAACGAGGAGAAAAACAAAAACAGAAAAAAAAAACTAATTGAGTGAAAGGAGCGTGTGTCCCAGGTTTTTTAGTTTTTCGAGAAGAAATCACGCTTTTTTAGAATATATAAAAGAAATCACGGAAGAAAGGTCAATTTTGACTTGGTTTGGCAGATGAGTAAATATTGAGAATGAAAAAAGAGTTTGTTTGTGTTCGTATTTCAACTTCGGCTTTTTTTCGCGAGATGAAACTTAATTTTTTTTCAGGAAGGGTCAAAACCTAAAACAAAATAATTGCTCGAAGTTAGACAGTGAAGGCAAAAAATCGGATTTCATCAAGAGATATCCCAAAATTGAAAACATGTAAGCTATAATTAAACTCTGAAAATATCATGGCACAACATTATTTTCAAATTCGACAAATTTTGAAATATAATTTATCACATCTCTAAAAATACTATGACTGTTATAATTGATAATGTTGAGCTACTTTATTGAATTATGTAGCTAAAATCTAATATTTTACTCCAACGGATTTGAGAAAGAGTTCAATGATAGTTTTTAGAAAACAGATTTCAAAGTCAACCCATTTTTCAAATAAAAAACTTAACTTCCTGTTTCATGAAAGAAAACTCCAAACTCAAAAGTCAAATCTCAAGAATTACTCACAGAGAAAAAAACATGAAAGACATGTGAAACAACTCGAAAATATAACCGGAAGCACAAAAGTTCAATCATCTTTTTGCAAGAAAAAAAAGAAAAAAACTCCTTCAGATTTCAGATCAGATTGTGAGCATGAGTAAGTGTCAGCTGAGCAAAAAAAACTACTGTGAACGAAAAAAGTTGCGGTTCTTCTCAATTTTGATAGGAAGAAAATAATATCTTATTTTTGCTCTTTTCTTTTTTACACATCGTGTAACATGATATTTTGAAATAAAATAATGATAATTGAGTGTGTGGATGGATAATTCTCGTGTTTTGTTCTTCATGATGTGAATTAATCAAAATGATTTATTATGGGAAAATAGGGAGAATTCAGATTGAAAGGCTAAAAAATTTAGTTGAAAACTAGAAGACCTGACAATTTCACAGTTTTAAATGATCGTACTATATTTTTTATATTTGTAAAAAATTGTGTTGTAATAATTCTGACTCACATTTCAAAAAAAAATATACATAGTCAATTTTTTTTTGTAAATCACACGTTATGAAAAGAAAAAAAACAGATCAGAAAAAAAATGAATCAGAAAAAAGCGCCAAAAATCAACCGGATCTCGGCGCATTTCACATTAATTTTATTTTCATTCATTATTTTTACGAACATCAATTAGTCAGCAGTCGGCAAGAATGTTAATTGAAAAAAAATGGAGAAAAATATAGTTTTGATAAGAAAAAATTATTAATTGAATTGATTCTCAAGGGCTTTCGAGAGATTTATGTATTACTAATTTTTTTTTTGATTCCAAAACGAAGTTATAATTTATGAACTTTTGGTTTTGTATCAAATTATGCGTGAAGGTCGAAAAATAATCTGGCTAGATTAGGAGGAAATTGAAGAAAACTTTGGTTTAAGAATTGGTTTTTGAGAAAGAAATAGTTTTATGTGTATGTAGTTTGAACAGAAGAAGAAAGTGTAATTCTGGATAGAATTGAAAACAAAAATATCAAAAATGTAACCTTTCAACCCGAAGACGAAGACCAATGAAAACAAGTAAAAATTAGAAAGAAAAATCAAAAACCATTCGACCCAACCCATAAATAAATAGAATCAATCAAGATTGATACGAAACAAAAACAACCCAAAAAAAAAAAGATTTTGAAATTAGATTTCTTTCTGAACTAGTTTCAGTTTCAGATTCGTTAAAAAAAACCTGAACCCATTCATCTGTAAAATACCTGAAATTCTAATGTTCTTTTCTCTAACAAAATTTGGTTTCCAAAAAAAAATTGACAATTTGTTATGATATTTTGGAAAAATCCCATATCAATTCAAGTCGCTAATTAATCAAGCAAGGAAAGAAAAATGATTATGAATAACAACACAACAAATCAAACCACCCATGAAAAAAAACAGAAAAATTCTGGTTTTTCAGCCAACCGCTAGCCATCAGATCCAATAAAAATTTATTATCATGATACACATAACAACAATAATAATAATAATGAAAAAATAATAAAAATACGAAATAATTATCATGATAATCATTAGAAGCAAAAATATGTAAATGTAGGACAAACCTAACCCGTTTAAGATTTTTTTTGGTTTTCAAAAAAATTGGAATTTTTATACATTATCACATTGTTCTGGCTCACTATCCACTTGATTATTTGTATTCAGTTCACGTTTTGAGGTTGGTATTAGATAGCCATAATTTTCTGTGGCATTTTCTAATAGTGTTGCCAAATTTGAACAAATATGTTGGAAACTTGGTCGATCATCGGGTGACATTTTCCAACACATTTCCATCACACGATATCTGGAATTTTTTTAAATTTCCTTGAGAAACAAGATATTCACTTTTATGATCGAAAATCACCTGATCTAGAAAAAATACACGTTTTTTCAGACAAGACAAGAAGTTTCTTGATTAGAAAACTTGATTTTCCCAAACTTCCTGTAACTTACATATCATCTGGACAATACATTGGTTGATCTAATCGTTTTCCAGATCGATGAGTTGATAACAAATCTGTTGTTTGAACTTCCGCGTATGGAACTTCACCCAATGAAAATAATTCCCATAACAAAACTCCGTAGGACCATCTGAAAAGTTCGAACAGAATAAAATAAATTGTAGATATTTTATAATAAAAAATTAACTCACACATCACTCTTGAAAGAATATTCATAACTTGATAATGATTCTGGAGCCATCCATTTCAATGGTAATCTACCACCTCTTGCAGTATATAAAAGTGAATCAGTTAACCGGCACAATCCAAAATCTCCAATTTTGCAAGTGTTACTAGAATCAACTAGAACATTTCTTGCAGCAATATCTCGATGAATACATCCGATAGAATTCAGATATTCTAAACCATTACTGATTTGCCATGAAAACATTAACAAGTCTTTGATTTTTAAATTTGCATTATTATGATCTCCTTTTGGTCCCATAATAATTTCATCCCGTCGAGAACGAATCAAATGCAATAAATCACCGTGTTCACAAAGTTCAACTAATAAATATGGAGATTTACGATCAGCAACAAATCCTAGCATTGACACCAAATGTGGATGATAAGCTAGAGATTTCATAAAATTGATTTCTTGCATAAAATCAGATCTTGCAATATCATCAGCAAATGATGGTAACATTTTGACAGCAACTGGGCAATCTCGAAGTTGTTGAGTTCGAACACCAGGATGAATTATTGAGACAGGCGCTTCACCATTGATTTTTCCTTTGAAAACATTACAAAATGCGCCAGAACCCAGTTTTTTGGAAAAATTGATCTCGAGGAGATGACGATCGAGAATCCAAGGATCATGTCTGTAAAAAAATAGGGATGAAAGTTGTCAACTCGGAATTTTTTATAGAAATAGTGGGAGATTTTGAAACTTTAATGATAATTTAAAGAAATGAAAAATTGCTACTGGCTGATGACCATCAAAAATGCATTTTCAGTTTTAAAACTAGTTTTTTTTCAAAACATTCAACTTACATTGAATAAACCGGACTATCCAATTGTGCTTCATAATCATTGCCTTTTTTAGGAAATGGTAACGGAAATACATTTTGATTTGATCTTCTTCTTCTTCGACACCAGAAAAATAAAATAACAATTAAAGCTGTCATCATAATTCCAACAGGAATACCAATTCCAAGCCCCAACGCAACTAAAAATTAATTTTGATTCTTAATTTGAAAATTTCAAGCAAACCTGCATTATTTCCACTTGATGATGTTTTTTCACTTCCACCATAAGGATCATAATATTGTGGAGTTGTTCCCTGAAAAAATTTAAAAATGAAGCTCTGAATTTTGCTTCAGAAATGTTGAATAAAAGTATAAACCTCATAATAATCATCAGCATAGCGTTTAGGATAGCGGCGAGTACTATACATTTTTGTTCCAATAAAATTTCAAATTTCTCAATTCAATAAAAAATTCAACAAAAAGAAGAGTCAGGCAAGAGTATGTATGTATTTACCAAACTTTTGTGTACTTGTTGAATTACAAAAAAAAACCGCAGCCGCTGGGTAAACTTTTGATCTTATCAAAAAATTGACGAACTTTTTGTGTGCTTTACTGTTTTGTTCGTTTTTATTTTTATTTTTTATGGATGTATGGAAGAAAAACAAATTGTTACGTTTTGAAAAATAGTACAGAAACGGTGTTCAGAAACGTGCATTTTGTACTTTTTTGTGTTTATTTCTGTCTGTTTTTTTTCAAAATAATGAGAAATGGTAGATATTTGAATCCGATTAATTGTCCTCATTTGGAAATTGTTTGAAAATAGAGTCTTGTCTGGACGAACCGGAGATCCAAAAATAAAAATTCTCAAAAAAAAAGTTCGGGTGTCAACAAGCAAATGTCAATACCAATACCTGGCCTTTTTGTTTGATGGCCTCGTAATTTTTGTGTGGAAAAATGAAGATTCAATTTATTTAGAAAGTGACTCAATTTGATGACAAGAAGCGTATTGGTTTTTGTATAGTAAAAGTTGAAAAAAAAAGTTATAATAAATTGAATTATCAAAAAAAAATCTATAGAAATGGCTGACTTCCAAAATGTTTCTCAAAAAATACTACCACAAACTGAAACATTTTGATTTCATGAACCTGAATATCAAATTCTATACCTGTATGGCCCCGCAGCTTGATAACTTTCTTTAAACCTATGAAGTTTTGCACTTTACAGTTATTCTTTAGTCACAAAATGTCAGATGAAGATTTTTTAAGTGTTTGCACATCAAAGTTACAACAAACTTCTGTTTTTCCGATCGCATTATTCACTAGCAAGCAAAAAAAAATCAAGCTTCACACTCTCTGGAAAAAAACTTACCAAAAATGGCGGGAAAAAAGGTTGATGGGGTGGTGGGAGTGGAATTGGTGGCGGATGGTGCGGTTCAAATGGATTATGATTGGTATCAAATTTTTCACGACTCTCATCTTCGTGATGTTCTTCGTGGTGTGAATTTCTTCGTCGAGAAGATGATTTTTCGCGAGATTCTTTTCGATCGGATTTTGAACGATCTCGTCTGATTTTTGTTGTCTAAAGGGTAATGTGTTAGAAGATTTTGGGACATGCGGGGGAAAATGTGCAAAATTTGAGTGTTCATTAGAAATTTGAACATACCCTATCCCAAGGTTGTGGTGTTGGCATATCACGTCGCCAATTTTGTGGATCATATTGTGGTTGATTGTTATAATTAGTATTCTGATTTTGATTTTGATTTTGGTTCTGGTTTTGATATTGGCCAGAAGTTTGATATGGGTACCAATTTGTATTTTGAACTGGGCTTTGGACCGTTGGGACAGGATTTTGATTTTGATTCGGAAGTGGGTTTGGATTTATATTTGGATCCAACGTATTCAATGTTGTTTTCACATTATTCAACGCTTGCTGGGATAAATTTGTAATCTGCAAAAAAACATTATTATCAAAAAAAATTGATCATTCTCACCTGATCCAAATATCTAACATCTTGCGGACTTAAATCATCTGTTTGAACAGATTGCTCCATTGTAACTGGCTTCAATGTACTCCAACCTTGAGTTTTTGGCTGAAAAAAGATAATTAGATAAAAAAGCAATTTGGAAAATGGGATGTTAGTGTAGATTTGTCAGAGCTCAAAAATTGTTGTATGATTCATATATTGTTCTTCGTCCGGGAAGAATACAAACAAATTAGCAAAGGATGCTTGTTTTTGAGTGGGTTGTTTAACAGAAAAAAATGAGACTGGAAAACAAGAGAAAAAATGTATTATGAAACTTGATTTTTGTAGATTGTCTATTGGAATGTGAATGTTTTTAATTTTTGGGAATACAGTTTAATTTGACTTTGATTATAATGAATGTTAATTTTTTTCAGAAAAACAAATTCCAAACTTTTTCAGAGAAAACGCATATTATCTACGTCATATATTTGAAAAAATAACAAAACAATTGAAATCCAACTTCCTCTCAAAAATCATATTGAGATCAACCCACTCAAAAAAAATTCCGCTGATTCAATAGATCAATAATCCTATATCATTTCGAGAATGGGGAAAATTTATAGAGAATGTTTTGGTCTTCAAATTATTTTTTTTTAATTTACAAACGTTTCAACGCAATGGTGAGCTTTGGATTTTTTTTGGAAATTAATTTAGAGCTTTCACTAATTTGAAGGTGCTCTGATTAAGTTACAGCAATTGTTTATATGAAATAAAAAACAACAAGTTGTGTTTTTTGAATCTAAAAATCTATACTGTATACTTTTTTGGAGACCACTGTACAGGTATAATAAACGGGTGACTATAACATATTTCTAAACCCCCCCCCCTATTTACTTCCCTTCAACTAACCTTTTCAGTCTGCTCACTGGAATCTGCTGAAACTAATGGAGAACTGCTCACAGAAAAACTGACAAACGTCGCAGCGGCTGACAAAAAACTGGTGGTATATGTTAAACATTGATGTGTCATATCTATGTATCCTGTAGTAACGAAAAAACACATTGACAAAAATAACTATGCGCAAATAAATTTGTTTAAGAAGAAAAAAACGATGGTTTAAAGGAGTGGTCAGATTTTTGAAAGATCAGAAATCGAATATTCTCACATCAACAATAAATTCAAGTTGGAAAAATGATGATTTAGCATGAATAATTGACTTTCTTCTCAAACTATAAAACGATTTTTGTTCATAAAAAAACATATGATAAGAAGTTCAACAACAAACTTTGTAAAAGTGTGTGAATATTCAAATTTTATTTTGCAAACCAAAGAGAAAATCAAAAACAAAATTATCATAATTCAACTATAAATCAATCGATATCTTATGAAATATAATAGTTTGTGACCTAAAAATCGTTCATTTTCGAACAAAATCCAACAAAAAAGTGTTTCGCCTCGTTTAATCCCAATTTGAAAAAAAAAGAACCGCATCATTCGAAAACCAGTAACAACATGAGAATCATGATTATTATCCTATTTTTTACACAAAAAATATTGTTGAACTTCATTATCAAAAATAGATTGAATTGTTCTAAAAAAAGAGTAATGATAATAATAAACAAATAACTTTTGTAAATATGTACAATACATACCAAAAATGATATTTGGAAGGTTTTTACGAAGATTGTTTGGAAAACAGAATGTAGTTTGATTGAAAACTGGTTTGTCAAAAACATTTTATGAGGCGTTGGTACTGTAGTTCAAAAAACTGTAGTTCAAAAAAACACTGTGTTATGAACTAATTTTTACTGTATAAATTCAAAAGCGAAATTTCAGCATCCTGAATTGTTCTGCGCAATAACAATGAGATCAAAAATGGAATTAAAAAGTTCTTTGGAAGCTCACCGGATGTTAGAAACATATCCAAATAAAAAAGATTGGATTTCAAATCCCGCTCGCTACAAAAAACATGTGATCAAGGGATTCGAAATGTTTTCTTTCTTGATGGCGAGTGAGGTAAAAAAAAGAAGAACGACATAGAAAAAACCGAGGAAAAAGAAATGATGTGTAGATTATTTTATTTGCGCACTCTTTTCTTTGCTTTTCGATTTTTCCGCGGTATTGGCCTGATTGTGTTCGTTTTGCCATTCGAAATGTGATATACACATTTATATGGACATTTGATTTTGAGTTTGAATCAGTAAGAAAACAAGATCTGTATGTGATGATTTAATGATCTCCAAAATAATACCAAGCACAAAATTCAATTATATCTGATTATTCCATAAGATCAAGAAAAGATCAACCAAACATCTTCGCAATCAGAACTATAGCTTTTTGGCAAAAGTGAGATATAAAAAATTTGGTAAAAAGTTCAAACAACTTCTATTTTTTTCAAATTTTTATGAATGACAAGTCACAAATCATAAAATTGCCACAAAAATTTCACAAAAATGTTTTATAGAAACTTTCAAAAATTAAGAGTTCGCAGAGAACACAAAAACCAAGCCTTCTAGGTAAACATATGTAGAATTGGAGGCTCGAGATTTTGTGAGGTATTCAAATAAAGAAATTAAATTTTTGAAAGAAGTCTAAAAGTTCAGGACTTAAATATTTTTTCAGAGAAAAAATATGTTTTCATTCAGTTTACTTGAAACCTTTTTCCAGAAAAAAATCGATCATTAAAAAAAATAACAACAGAAAAAAAAAATCATTGTTATCATAAAAAAATAATTAATTTTCTTCAAAAGCTTCAAGTTTGATTTCGAAAAATCATAAACTCAAAATGAAAACTTTAATCAGAACTACAAACAAGATAACTTTGTCTCTCAACCCAATTTGAAACAGTAAAAAGTATATATGTATTTTTATTTTATTTACCGTCCTATTTTTTAATCCCAAAAAAATCGTTTTCAAAATTTTTATTGATGAAGCAAAACCCGCAAAAAATTTACAATTTCCGAAAAAAAGCGCAAAATACAGTTGAAAAACTCAAAAATCATCGGAACAGTGAGAAAAAAGTACAGCAAAAGTCGGCATGTGTAGCAAAAAATGAGAGAAATCAAACAAATCTCAACAGCAAAAAATGAAAAGCAAAGAGAAATAGTTTTTTGTTTAATTGTTATTATGAGGCTCAAACAACTTGCTCATATGGTGGCGGTGGTTGAATATGCTTGTTATCGATTAGAAGTGGTGACCATTCAGCGAAAATTCCGCTGAAATCTTAAAATTAGAGAGATTGAGTTGAAAGGGTTTGAAAACTACAAACACACTTTTCGATTTTATTGGGTTTGGTATATTTTATAAAAATTGCATAGCTAATTTTCTTGAATCATAGCGCCTCAAATTTTATTTTTGGAAAATTATTTTTTATAATCTTGACAGCAAAGGTTACCTTTTTGATCTACCAGAAGATCTAACAGTTTGGCTAATGAATTACACACTATGAAATTTGATAACTAGAGAAAAATTTGAACTTATCGAAAAATATGACATGTCAGCATTTTTCAATAAGTTCTAGTAACTAACTTTTTTCTGAATCAATAATCCTTAATTTCCTCTTTCTCTCTCTCATGTCAGCCTTCTTTCCCCTAAACTATAGTTAAAACTCATATGTTACGTTTCAAAGATAAACAACTCTTTCTTTCTTGTTGACATTGACAACAAACATGAAAAATCGATAGAACCGTACTACAATTTATATTCATGTTCCTTGTTGATAACCAAATGATCAAAGGTTACTTTATTCTGTCTGAGACATTGAAAAACAAAAAAGTGATAACTTACTGTTCGGCATATTGTTCCATTAAACGAGCACGGCGAACGGCGGCCACGTGGAAATAAACAAGAATTGCGAGAACGAAGAAAATGAAGGTGGCGGTGATGTAAGCAAATCCTACAAATTTTTTAGATTTATAATATTTTCAAACATTTTCTTTCAAAAAAAATTTAAAAAATTATTTTCAATGATATTTCTTCAATATCAAAATATCTTCAGTATAGAAATTCGTACCTCTGGTGCTCAAAATCATCTCATTTTCTTTTTCCCGTGTTGCTTGGAAATCGGCAAACGGATCTGCTTGGCATTTAACCAATATTATAATCGCTGAAAGTCCCAAAACACTTCGAATCATCTGAAACTCAAATTATTGAGGAAAAAAAGATTCTGATTTAGAACACGCGTATCATGAAGAAGAAAAACAAAAAATGAAATGAAAACTTCACAACTCAAACGAAAGATTTTCTTCGAGCAAAAATATTTTTCAATGAAAACTATAATATCACATGCACATATTATTTCAGAATTCGACTAGAAAAAACTACAAAATGTTAAATGATAATCAATATGTGCGTGTGTTATCAGGAAAGAGAAGGTGAAATTCATGCTATTATTGTGTCTACTAATCATTTTTTGGAGCAACCTTGTTTTTATCTAACAAATTGGATGTAAGGGCAGAACTTATTATGTATGAACAATCAAATGACCTTAAAGATAGAAGATTTCAAAAAATTCTTCATTCTAAAATCTCATTCTCATCACCAGCTGATCTTCAAAATAAAAATGAAAAACGAGGAATGAAATCGGATTTTGCAAAGAAAGTGCATTTGTATAAGTAAATATATGTTTTTGTGCGCTCATTTACACTAATGGAATATTAGATCTTGACATGAGAAAGTTTTTTTTGAAAGCCTCATTTTCGTGTTTTTATGGAATGAGGTTTTTTGGCCGCCGAGTACGAATGTTTGAAATACGCTAATGATCAAGAAGGGTGGGTGGAACATGAAAAAAATGAAGATTTTTGGTGTGGAACGTGGGAGGTACAGGATAGTTTTGAGTCAAACTTGGAAAAAAATGTTGAATTTAATGAACATAATTTGGATTCCAAAAAAATGCATTGAAACTCTCAAAGACTTCATCGGTGTCAAAATATCAAAGCTGAATTTGAATTTCTCATGAAATTTTTTAAAATTGATACATTAAAAAAAAGAATTTTGTTATTTATTATTTTCCAGAAATGTATGCAATCAATGTACATATATTTTTTTTTCTTCAGATTTATGAACTTGAGGTAACTTTTTTATTTGAATTTCGAGTCCGTTCCTTGCACATCATATATTATGAAAAATTCGGTGCCAAGTACAAATATGCATAAATCATGAAAAAGGTTTCGGATTTCACGTACAATAATCCAAGAAATAAGCACTTATTCAAACTTATTTTCATATTTGCATTTGTTCCTAGACACATTATACACATTTCATGGTATATATTATTCATTGAGAAAACATAATTGTTGGGTTTAATTTTTGATAGACATCTTTAAGATGTTACCGACAAAAATTACCGGGTCCTTTCTTTTTTTTTTCCACATCTATACGAGGAAAATAAGGATAATTTGAAGAATAACTTTCCATGTTTTGAAAAAATTTCATTTCTTCTTCTTCTATATATTTTTATTCAACAGAAAATTCGGAACATTTTATATGGTCTCTTGTGAAGATTATTGGTCATTCTCTTATTATGAAATACATCTATGAATGACCTCATCCTATTTCCTCATAACCTTGACAGCTAAGCACCTTCTTTTTTTCTTATGTTTTTTATCCCGACCTCTTTTTTTGTATTCCTTTTTTCTTCCTTCTCTCGTTCCTCTAATACCATCTTTGTTGTTGTTGTTATTGTAAATTTTTTGATTTTCGGATTTTTTCCACAATTTTTGTATAAACATATAAATACGAAATTACTATTTATACCTCCACTTCAATCTATTATTTGTATATGTTCTTTGTTGTTATTTTTGTTATTAATTATATATATTCTTTTATTGATTGGTTCCGGTTCCAAATGGGTGTTATTTATTTTTGGAAAGAGAGGAACAGAACAGGTGTTCCTTCGTTTTTATTTTGGTTGGTTTTATTACATTTCGCTCATTTTATGCATACGAGAGCTCTTTACGAACTGTTCTCATTTTCCTCAACATATTGTGTTCTCATTTTTTTGTTTTCAAATTTCTTCTCCAATTTTAATATTTTGAAATATACATTATGTTCTTCTCAAAAAATTGAACTATGTGAAAGTTTCTAGACCATGCATTATTCTGAACTGAATGTGAGAATCCTATAATTTTTCTTTCAATCAAATTTCAGACCTTTCTGTTTGTTTGTTTGTTTTTTCGAAACTCCTCATTCAAAATTCAAAGATTTTTCTCACACTAAATGTAAACTTCCTAAGTTCGCACTTACTGAAAAAGTTTGTTTTGCGTTGCGTTCGCCTTCAAGTTCCCAACATTTTCAACAAAAAAAATCTCAAACCAGCCATTTTTCCCAACTTGTTCTCGACCTTTAGCTTTTTTTGACCTCCTCCTCTGCCACCTTTCGAACGAATACAAACACATGTGTGTGTGTGAATAAAAAATAAACAATCTTCTTTTTTTCTACATCCTTTGCCAGATTTTTTTTTGAAAATAGTTTTTTGAGAATCGGGTTTCATATAATTCTTTTTTGATTCAGTTCCTTCTTTGGGAAAAACATGTTTGAATGAATCATCAACACATTTTCCGTTTCGTTTTTGTTGTCATCGTATGACTCATGATTTTAATAACAACTGATTTGTATGTATATAAACAGGAGAGCGTTCCCATTAGATTTAATGAAACTTGTGAGAACACGAAATATTTCACCTAACCATTTCATTTTCCAAAAATCAGAACTTTTTTAAATCTTTATCGCATTTTGTTTACGAAAATCGGTTTCTCATCCAACTTCAAAGAATTTCGCAATCACATGTGTTTTCCTTCTATATATTTTCTTTTTCTTTTCCCGTCCGCTGCACAAACAATATAGTCAGTCAGTCAATCAAAAAACACGAAAATTTTGGTGCGAACTACAAAACTAGTCTCCATTCCACACGGTTTATTTTTGTCTGTTTTTGTCATTTGAAGAACGACTGTGTTCCGTTTTTTTTTGGTTGAGTGGGAGGTTTGAAGAAGCAGAACTTTCGAAAGAATAAAACCTGATTTTAATTGACGAGGTTATTGTGATTTTTCTTTTTTGGATAGAACGTTAATAATTATTGAATCGAAATGGGTCATTTGGAAAATGATACTTCTCTTCTTTTTTTTCAGTCTCGACTTTTTTCTATCTCGTTTTTTTCTATTTTCAGCCACTTTGCCAGCATTTTTTGTGTGATAAAATTTTAATTGGAAAGTTTTTCAGTGAAAAAGCGAACACAAAAACAAAAACAACACAGCAAGAATTCCTTTTCTTCGCGAGAAAAAACATTTAGTCTTTCTTTTTCAGAAGAATATCTAATTCTAAAATAATTGCAAAATTGCCCTTTCACTTTCCTTAATCGTTTGCGTCTTTTGAAAATATGAATTTAGAAAATTGTTTTTTTTTTCCAGAACCGACCCAAAAATTGAACGATGGCCGCTGTCAGTCAATTGCCAAAGATTAGCCAAGAACTGGCTGGAGCTGTTCGAGATGGTTTGGAGTTGAAAAAAGTTGAGACCAATGAGAAGAATGTTCTTCCAACTGCTGAAGGTATTTTTTGAAGTCATATTCGAGATAGGATTAAGATAGGAGAACATAAATTTTCATTCCAATTTTCTTCTGACAAGATGTTGAAGATATTCCACATCATGTCACAGAGCAATCAGTGAGAGTGATCAAGACGCAGAGAAATTCTCCAATTTAAAAAGAGACCGACTGCCACGTAGTTCACGTTTCTATTAAAAATATTTATCATCTTTTTTTTCAATGCAAAAATTAGATTTCCATGTGAAAATGTCTGCGTCTCGCTCACTCTCACCGATTTCCAATTTTCATTGAGCTGACATGTTGTGATTCGATCATTGATCAATTTCGAATCTTATATAAGCTGTTCAATGATAATTTCACTCCACACTTAATCCCAATGTTTTTTTTCCAGATGTCGAAGTTGAGAAACAACTCGTCGAAAGAATCCACGAGATCGAACATTTCGATTCTTCAAAATTGAAATCGACTCCAGTTCAAGAAAAAGTTGTTCTTCCATCCCAAGAAGATATTCAACAAGAAAGAACTCATCTTGAACTCACTGACAAGATCGTCAACTTCACACCAGAAAACTTGAAAAAGACCGAAACTTCGGAGAAGGTGAGCAATTTGTTTTGAATTGAAAATTGTATAAAATCAAATCAAATATGTTTCAGAACGTTCTTCCATCGCCAACTGATATTGCTCGCGAGAAAACTGTTCAAATGGCTGCATCTTTTGACAAGGCTAATTTGCATCACGTTGAAACCATTGTTTCTAACGATGTCAAAGTTTGCGAACAAAAAATCTGAACTGCTGCTGAACTTATTGCTATCCAACTTCTCAATCCAACATGAAACTTTAAAATCATTCAATTTACATGTCAAATTTCCCTTTAACCAAAAAACAAGAAATATTTTCACTTTGTTTTTGCATTCCATATTTATAAAGCTTTGATTATGAAATACACTTTTTTCATTCACATTCAGAAAATTTTTGCCACAGAGATTTATCGACATTTTCAGAGAGTGTATGAGCTATGAGACGCAGAAACCGTCCCTGATAATTTGCAGAATTGAAAATAATATTGTGTGAAAATGAGAGAAAATAAGAAAATGAGCATTTGGGCCCTGTGAGGTGTCAGAGATTGAGAGAAACTCATTAACTATCATTAGATTAGTCACAAGAAAGCGGAGAGGTGAGAATCAGACAACTTGAAATGCAGAAATTGAGTAATATATTGCAGTTTTTCTAGATTGTACGTATAAAGGAAAAGAGATACAGTACAGCACAAAAATAAAGAATTATTAGAAATTTGTAAATGTGTGTTATGAAATCCAATAGATCTTTTTGAAAATAAATCAAATCGAAAACATGTTTTTGTAAAAATCATTCGATTTTTTTCACAAAGTGCCCAAGTTCTCACAATTTGTTCCCAAGTTCTCACAATTTGTTCTTTCATACTATGTTGTTCAGCACCTCAATTATTATTGACTCAAACTTCTCGAAACTTGTTCGCTTAGAAATATTGAAATTTCAGTTTTTTGTCAGTTGCATATGAAAAAAATATTTTCACCTAAAAAACATATCCTATTTTTCCTGATATGAAGTTTCTCTCGCAGTGAATATTCTTATTTTACACGTTATATTCTCCATAAAATATATAAAAATCCTGAAATTTTGAAATCATTGAAGATGAATTCCAGAAATTCTTTAAAAAAACTATATCTTCCTCATTTTACAGAAAACCATTATTTTTCATAAAACCCTTTTCCATTAACAAAAACAAAAAATATGTTTTCTCCCTCTTTCTTTTCGTCTCTCCGCTCGTAAATCGACACACAAGAATTAGCGATGAAAGGGAAGCGCAACGAGACCCATTTCAGACGAGAGAGTATGTCTAGGGAGGAGACGACACATATTTTTGCGTGGCATTTCGATTTCATTTTCCGCTTTGGATTTCGCTCATTTTCATTGCTTCGTTTTTCAGGTAATGAGTCTACCAAATATGCATTTGGTGGTGTTTTTGGCGCTGTTTGGTTTGACAGCCGCGTTTTATTTGCCCGGTTTGGCGCCAGTCAATTTTTGTGAAGTTGAGAAACCAAATTGTCCGGTGAGTCACAGAAAATATATAGAAAAATTGTGAAATTTAGTGGAGTTTCAAAATTTTCTGATTGTGAATTCTTGTCTTTTAGAAAAACAAATTGGATCATATTAAAAACAATAAAACAAAAAAGTATTTCATAACTCTTTTCAAAAAAAAAAACACACAAACATCAAGAGCAATAATTTATGTTTTCAGTCAAATGTCTCATTATTCGTCAATCATCTCGACAGCGATCGTTCAGTTATTCCATATGAATATCACAGTTTTGATTTCTGCACAGCGAACGAAGACGAATCACCAGTCGAAAATCTTGGACAAGTTCTCTTTGGTGAACGAATTCGACCAAGTCCATATTCTATCAAATTTTTGAAAGATGAACAATGTAAATTGGTTTGTGACACAAAATCGTATAAGAAAGGAGATGCTGATTCATTGGCCAAATTGAGACTTCTTCAAAGAGCTATGACTTTGAACTATCAACATCATTGGTGAGATTTTTTATACAATTTTTGACAAAATTTCCCGTATATAAAACTAATTCTTCAGGATCGTTGACAATATGCCAATCACATTCTGCTTCAAAAATCAACAAAATATGGATACTTGCACAACTGGTTTCCCAGTTGGTTGCTTTGTTGATGAACAAGGTTATCAACACGATGCGTGTGTTCTCAATGTAAGTTTTTCTCTTTTTTTCAAATTACTTTCAGTAAATTCTTGAACAAAGTTTTTTTTTCAGCAAAAATACAGCACTCCAAACAACTTCTACATTTTCAATCATGTCGATATTGAAATCTATTATCGTGATATGAGCAATGATGCCAATTTCTTGGAGCACAGAGTAGGTTTTATTATGAATTTTGATATGAATATCAAAAACAGACTAATTTAGAACATTGGGCTGTGTAAACAGAATTGTGAATATGATATATTTTGCACTCTTGTTTGAAATGTTTACTTTGCTGGTGGTTTGGTCTCAACAGTTCAATTGCTTTCCAATCTAATCTATAAATCAAAATTTATTTCAGATCGGTGGTCGAATCATTCGAATTGATGTCAAACCACGGTCAATTAAACACAGTTCCTCATCATCATTAAATTGTGGAGAAACTGCTGAACCACTTGGACTTGATGCCAAATCTGAATCTGGTGACATCACATATTCATACAGTGTTAAATGGATCAAGACAGATATCAAATGGTCATCAAGATGGGATTATATTCTCAAATCAATGCCACACACAAATATTCAATGGTTTTCAATTATGAATTCATTGGTTATTGTATTATTCTTATCTGGAATGGTTGGAATGATTATTATGAGAACTCTTCATCGAGATATTGATCGATATAATCGATTGGATACTGAAGAAGATGCACAAGAAGAATTTGGATGGAAATTGGTGCATGGTGATGTTTTCAGAACACCGAGATATCCAATGCTTCTTTCGGTTTTCATTGGAGCTGGATGTCAAACACTTTTGATGGTTTCAGTTACTCTTGGTTGGTTTTTTATTTTGAATCTGAATTTTTTTCGAAAGGTTTTGCGAAAAACAATTATGGCCAAATAGATTAGCGGCGTCTCATGAAAATATTATCGCCGAAAAATTAAATCGATCTTTTTAAATCGAAACGTCATTGACCAGTACTTTGAGATTTTTATTGAAGATTATGGAACAAACAAAAAATATTCATTTCTGGATTTTTCAAAAGATCAAAATAAATTGAAGAATAACTAATTCAAAAAATAACAGAAATCAAAAGGAACTCTCAAAACCATCAAACATTTTTTTTCAGTATTCGCATGTCTCGGATTCCTCTCACCAGCCAATCGTGGAAGTCTTATCACATTTGCTCTCATGTTCTACGTATTCTTCGGAGTTGTTGCTGGATATATTTCTGCTCGTCTCTACAAAACATTTGAAGGAATTCACTGGAAGACCAATCTTGTTATGACTTCTTTCCTCGTCCCCGGAATCCTCTTCACTGTGTTCTTCTTCACAAATATTCTTCTTTGGACCAAAGGTTCATCAGCCGCGGTTCCATTCGGAACCCTTATGGTTCTCTTGATCCTCTGGATTTTCGTCTCAACACCAATGACCTTTGTCGGAGCATATTTCGGATTCAAAAAACGTGGAATCGAAGCACCAGTCAGAACCAACAAAATTCCAAGACAAGTCCCAGAACAAACTTTCTACACCAAATCGTTGCCAGGAATGTTGATGGGTGGAATTTTGCCATTTGGATGTATTTTTATTCAACTTTTCTTCATTTTGAACAGTATTTGGTGAGTTGAAATAGGGAAAAAAGACAAGTAGGAAAGCTTATTGTTGTATATTTCAGGGCTCATCAAACATATTACATGTTCGGATTCTTGTTCCTCGTCTATCTCATCCTTATCATCACATGTTCTGAAGCGACTATTCTCTTGGCATATTTCCATCTATGTGCTGAAGATTATCATTGGTGGTGGAGATCATTCTTGACATCTGGATTCACAGCAGTTTATTTGTTTATTTATTGCGTTCATTTCTTCAATACTAAATTGACTATCAGTGGAACGGTAAGTTTTTTAAAAATATTTTTATAGAATTGCGCTTACATAACACACTGCACATTTTGTGAAAAATTTCTTTATCAAAAAGTTTTTATTTCCAGATTTCCACAATTTTGTATTTCTCATACACATCAATCTTTGTCTTCATGTTCTTCTTGATGACTGGAACAATCGGATTTTTGGCCACTTATTATTTCGTCAGAAAAATTTACGGATCAGTCAAAGTTGATTAAATTATTGATTTTTCATATGATTGTACTTTTCTATTGCTAGATGTTTACTTATGGGTTGTTTTTATTTAATATAATTTTTTTATTTCTTGACTAAAAAAAGGGACCGCTTTATTTCCATTTTTTAAAATGTATTTTCTGCTGTGAATATTTATTTATAATTTGTAAAAGTTTTCAGATGATTTTGGGATTGACCTATGTGAAGATGTGAATAAAAAAGATTAAACAGAAGACACACGTTTCATTTTTTTTTGAAGAAAATTGCAAGAATTAAATAATTAACAGAATTTGGCGCAAGCTTTCTTTGGTTCCAAATGATTTCTGACGTATTTGATGATATCAGGAAGTTCCTCTTTGATAATTTCTTGACAGAATGACTCTTTTTTCTTGTCCTCTCCGAAAATTCGATAACAAACTTTGTCGAGAACTTCTTCTTCTGCTGGCTAAATAGAAATTCGATTATGATTTGTGGGAAAAAAAATTAAATACGTACGATATGGTTAAGGATGAGGGCTTTGGTGAAACCAACAACATCTTTGCAGAAATCACAACTACATCCGAGTCGAGCTCTGGTCTGGAATTTGAGATTTATGTATAAAGAAAAAATAGATCTACAGATAAAACTCACCAACATACACGCTGGTTTGTTTCCTTTTGCCAAACTATGTTTTGCATATTTATCTTTAGTAATAACTTCGGAAAAAACTGTGACAATCAGAAAAAAGGCGAAGAAAATCACGAGAGAAGATTTCATGTTTTTGGAGATGAGGAAAAATAATAACAAAACGAAAAACAAATTCCGTGAACCGAAACCCGTTCTTGTGTAGAAAATAAAACGAACGGTCTGACCCACATTCAAGTTTTTCCCGCCCGATTTTGTTTCCATCCATTAGAAACAAGTTTTAGGATAAATGTATGAATGTATTGGATTTTGTTCACATGTTCCTTAACTGTAAAAATATCAAAGAAAAAGTGTATTTCAAACGAAACAATTTATTCTAGAAATCAAAAAAAATTACTTTGAATTCAATTTAACAATTTGTCGAATTCTTGCTGGATCCAAATCATTTTGCCATTTTCCATCTTTTTTGAATTCACTTCCAATTATCAAACCATGCGCAGATTTGTATGATTTCAAATTCTTCGCATTCACCCCCGATCCAATCAAAACTGGAAAATCAGAAATTGTTGCGACTTGTTTGAGTTCTTCTGGATTTGCAGCGTGTCCAGTTGCTGATCCTGTTACAATCACACCGTTTGCAAGATTGAATTTAGCATCCTGAGCGATTTCGCAGATTGAGAGATCACTTGTAACACTATGTGAACTGAAAAAATAAAAAATGAAAAAAAAAATATCAGAAAACATCTGCTTTTTTATTTCAGAAGAGCAAATTTCAGAAAATTCGAAATTATAAAGTGCAAATATAAATGTGGTTTCTGTGCAATTTGCATATCTCATATGAAAAAGTTTTCTATGACCAAGATGTTTGTTCTCAATTATCCTTGTTCTTTTAAAAAATTGAATTATGTGTCTACATGTTTCTAATCATTTTCTGAACACCTGGGTAAAATCAAATTATCCCGCGCTTTTGTAACTCCCCAAGTTCTCAAAAATCATTACCTATGCTTTTTCTTGATATCAGTGAATACGGCAACGTTTTCCGCGCCTAGATATTTGCGATATCGTAGCAAATCCGCTGCACATGCATCGATCCAACCTTCGTCAGCAACATGAGAATAAACAAAACCTTCAGCGCGAATAAAATCCATTCCAGTTATACTTGCAACAGCTAGAGCTTCTCGATTTGCCGCAGCTAGAATTTGAACACCGAGTAGAATTTCAGCACCAGCGATTGAACGAACTTCTGAAATATAGGAGAGAGTTTTAACATTTTAAAAATTCATTAGTATTACATATATTTCTAAAAGACCCCATTTAGCAAAATTACCTTGACACGCAAGAGTCATCGCACTAACAATTTCTGGACCAGCTGGTGGTTTTGAATATGGTACATCGTGCATATTTTCTATTATGATACCATCCTGTAATACAAATTTTAACATTTTTGGTACCTCTCTCAAAATAAAAATCACTTACCACTCCAGATTTACTATAAATTTGCGCTTCTTCTTGAACTTTTTTCAAGATTTTTGAAATTGGTAAAACATTTGACGGTGTTCCAGGAAGCGCTGGCACATGAATCATACCAAAAATCAAAGGCTTGGTAGATTTTAGCAATCGGGATACAACTTTTTGAACCATTAGTTAACCGTTGGATAATCGAACAAAAAATGAACGACATGTTCTTTTTTTGTGTTATATTATATAGATAACAGTTTGTTAGTTAGAAACCAAAGATCATAAAGAGACATAGACAATAGAACGAGAGAGTGTGCGAGGAGAAGAGATACAGACAGAATAAAACAGGTGGGACAGTGCACCAATTTGGCGTGCTCTCTTCCCTTTTCTTGTCTCATCTCATATTTCATTATGTTGCGTTTTTTCTCACAATTATCTTATTTGTATCGATCTATTGAAATTTGTATTTTTTCAGATACGGGTATGACGGAAGAGAATTTGGAAGAAGTGCAGCTTGAAAGTGCACCACCTCCTGCTCCAACTCATGACTTTTTTGCCGAAGATGATGAACCGGAGAAATATAAAATCAAAACACTTATCACAACAAAGTTTTTCAAAAATTTTGATGACAGTGAGTTTGAAACAACTAATAAATTTTTACTAGAATTTTTAAAAATTTTCAGTTGATCTTGGAATTGTTCATCTGTCAACTGATAGAATTCCCAGTGTTCTTCAAGTTCGAGACATTGATATTATTTGCTTCGTTTTTGCCATGCTCACATATTGTCTTGATTTGTATACCGATGTATTAACAGCAGCGTTTCATGCAGCACACGACAGGGTGAGTAGAAATAAATTTTAATAAATTATCTGGAAATACTATTGGAGATAAGTGCAAATTTCACAGTATTGAAGATAAACTAATTCATAACTCTGATCCTGTAATTTTTCTCTTCAATTCATTTTTTTCAGTTCAATTCAAGTATTGCAATAATCGGTATAACAATTTTCTCATCTCTTGTTTTAACCGCAACATCGCGACACTGGATGCTTCACACGGATGTCAAATACCATCGAACAGTTCCGAAAAAGCGATTGGTATATCGATTGGATAATGAGAAATACATCACATGGAATCGAATGAAAGTATTTCTGCTTTTCCAGGTAATTTTTCTGATTTATCAAAGTAATTTTGATTATCAAAATTTGTTCTTTAGGCTGGTCCAATTTATTGGTTATATAAGGCGTTTTATTATGCAATGCAGTTCCGAAAATATGAACATAGTGAATTGAAACGAAGATATTATTTCAAAAAGATGGTTGAAGCTGAAAGAGATGCGTCTATTCTTCGAATCATTGAAGCGTTTTTGGAATCTGCACCGCAGTTAGTCGTTCAAGGAGTTATTGCTTACAGTTTCATTTTCCTCGATAAATCACAGACTGGAATTCCAATCTTCTTTTGGTTCCAAGCTTTTTCAATGTTCGTCTCAATCATCTCATTATCCTGGGGAATCGTAGTTCAAAATCGATCATTCCGAATGTTCCGTGATGATAAATTGAACCTCTGGCCACGAGAAATAATCCTGATGTTCCTTTGGAGATTTTTCACAATATTCTCAAGAATCTGGGTACTTGTGATAATAACAGTATCACCACAAGCTATTCAATTCTACTTTTTGCATCTTGGCGCGAGTTATTTGCATGTTGCGCTTTTGCAACCCGTCGAAATGAAAACCAAATTTCACGAATTCGGTGCGGCTATGGTTAATACTGTGATTCATTTCTTCGCACCAATGAATATTGCGGAAGGAGAAACGAGATGGAGATATGCAACGGCGTATGCGATTGAGTTATTTGAAATGATTGTGAGTGAAATATTTTTATTTTTTTATTCTTTCAAGTTTAGTTATAAAAACTAATGACAATATTTTTCAGTACGGATTGAATACAATGTTTGAACCAAAAACTGAGAATGCCTATGCCTTGCCAATTTACATAATGGTCGTCACAAGTCACTTCATAGGTAAGCTATTTCGATCAAGAATACAATTTTTGAACAAAACTCATTTAGGAATCGGATTCATGATCACATACTATAAATGGTTCCATCCAAATATTCGAAATGCTAGAGAGACAAAACGGCAAACTGAAAATAGCGAAGAAGCTGCTGCGGAATCTACAAAACCAGAAGAAATGCAATTGCATCCAGAAGCTATCGAGTTGAAAGAAGTTTCAGTAGCTGTTGAAGCAATGAGAATCGCTGGAGATGTCATTAATGTTATAAATGACAGTTGATTCAAATTACTGTAACTATTCTTGTATTTATTGTTGTACAATTGAATTTTATCTGCATAATCAGATTTTAATGAATGTGTCTATAAAAAATTAAAGATTCATGTTCAAAAAAATTCCTATCCCCAAATACTTCCACGTGAAACACATTCAACTTCTTTGAAAACCATCATATCTGCATTCTTATTCAAAGTATACCATCTTCCAAGACGACAAATTGCTCTTTTTGCTTTCTTTGTTGCAACTCCAAGTGAACCGCGATCAGAAATCAATTCAAAAGTTGCTCCATTTTTGTCGTCGCAGGTGATATCCGCTTGTCTCAAAACTCCTTGAGAATATTGGATTGACGCTGGGTTCGAATTAGCAGGAGTTGAGATGTTTTGACATCCTAATAAAATCGGAATTCAATTTTTAACTATTGATACAAAATTCAACTCACCGGCGGCATTAATGATGGCAACATTTATGGTCAAAATAAGAACAAAAATAAAGAACATTTTCATTCTGATTGATAATGTTTTGATTTTTTTATTGATTTTTGTTGGCAGGAAACTGTTTATTTTTGAAATTTGATACGATGAGTCACGCAAGTTTGATTTGATTTTATTTTATCAAGAAATTATTCTAATCATCGGAAACTACTTTCAAATACTCTTGTCGTCAAAAAATGAACAATTTGACAAAAATCATAAAATTTATTATCACTTTGGAAACTTTTAACATACCAGTAAAGTAATACAACGAAAACAAAATACAGATTTGTACAATACATGCGATTACAAGTTGAGCATAAAAGTGACAGTTTTTGCTTTGCTTGGAAATTCATTTTGATAATTGAGACGCGGAAAATCGCATGTTTCTTCCCGCACATCTTCTTCGGTGAAAATTCTGTAACAACGAGCAACCAATTCATAATCAGCCTGGAAAGGGGGTTTTCAATAGATCATGAATAAAATGAAGAAAAAAAATATTACCCCTCGAGAGCTTGTTTTGGAGCGTTCAATCGATACTTTGAGAACTGCTAAATTCTGCTTGTTTTGAATTGTTCGCTGATTGATTCTTCTCAACAAGGCGCCCATTATACGCATTTGACACTGGAAATATGCCCATACATTTTTAAATATAAGTTAACAGAGTTTGGATCGTTTTAAACTTATGGCCAGCATAAAATATTTCAAACAAAAAACTCACAATTCTTTGCAAAGAAACAACATTAATATGACCTCCAAGAATATTTGCTTTTCTTATTTCATGATCAGCTAAATATTTTGCTCGAATAACTCGAGTTTCATACATACGACTTCTCGGGCAAAAATATGTGTAGAGAAGATCATCTGGACTATCCATTATCTGAAAAAAATGTTAAATTTCAGGTAAAATATTTAAAGAAATTAATAAAAAATAAACAAATATGAGCAGAAAAGGGAGAAAGAGAGAAATGGTGTAAAATAGGGTGTGTTGTTTTGTTGAGAGACGGCAGACATTATCGAGTTGCCTTGTTATTATTAAATCGATTGATCTTGTTAAATGGGAAAAGGGCAACACTTTTTTTTCAAAAAATCATGAGAAAATACTCGAGAATTATATATTATTTGTAAAATCAATAGATAGATTGAATTTTTTCAACGAACATCGAAATTTAGGTTTTTGTTGAATTTTTTCAACGAACAGGAATTCAGGAAGCGATTTATAAATTTGAAAATCATCTGTCCTTTTCTGGGAGTTCGGAAATGTCCATATTTTTCACTCGACTGCATTCGACAATATAATAATAAGAATAAAATGTTATAAATTTGTTCCTTCTCCTTTTATGTTATTTTGTATATATATAAATAACTAGTAAATCTTTTCCCTAAAAATAAACCCATTTTTGAAAACCAAATCGCCATATGCCTTTGTGTCCAAATAAAAAAGTAAACATTTTGTTACATTACCCGATATTTAGTTGCCTCCCTTCAAAGTGTTTTTTCGCCTAACTTGTTAATTTATGTAAGTCATACATATTTAAATACATACTAAACTAGTACATCTTCTTTTTCTTCTTTTTCTTATTTCTAGCACACATTTTCATTTTATGTGTCCATTATTTTTTATTCATTGTTTTTGTGATGAAAGATGACCCTACACTATGTTTTAATGAATTATTGAGGAGTTTTGTGCGAAATATTGGGTGACCGATGAAATTTGAAATTTTTGCGGAATGTTTGATGGCGCTTTTTATTGTTTCGGACATGTTGAAATGCTGGAGAGCTGGAATGATTATGAAAAAAGTACGAATGAAAAAAAATGTAGCAAAATTTTTGGGATATAAGATCTCGAGCGCCAATTCAAGAACTTTCTGAATTGATGAAAAAGTTTCAACACAAATAATTCAATAATAATAATTTTCAAAAAATACAATGTAAGCCAAATTATGTGTACAGAGTTCCAAATTTCAAAAATTGACTAACTTGGTTCAGACAAATCTCAATTTGTCAGATTTTATTACTTTATTAGTTGGCTCCCAAAATCCCTCTGACTTTCTGGATATTTTTTCAGGTTTCTATAAATTTTCCAGTCTATTCCAAAAATATTATCTTGTAAACAAAAATCAAAAAAATATATAGCAGACTTATATACTACATATGTAAAAAATAATATTTTCGTGTTAGTTTTTTATTAAAACTCTTTCGTACCAAATAATAAAAACAAAACCGCAAATCGAATCAATCAAAAAATTGTTTTTTTTATTCCATCTCCCGCCACTTTTTGCTTTTTAATTGATATATCCATTTTATTTGTTTATCCTTTCTCGCAAGAATTGTTGTTTTTTTTTTGCTTTCGCGCCAAAATTTTTTTATTTTTATATCTAATTCGTTCCCTTGAGCAAGATAAATTGTACTAAAAATTAGCATAAGAAGACAAGACAGGGTGAAATTAATTACGAATAATCCATTTTTGTGTGCTAGTGTGTTTTTGACACATTCATTCATCGTTTAGTTTTTCTCACAAGGATTTTGGATTTGTTTTTTTTTGCCTTTTCAAATATTTTTAAGTTCTGCAAAATTTTTATGTAATTGCTTGACAAATATAGTAATAATGTAAACATTATGTGTGTTTTTTTTGTGAAAAAAATAGAAAGAAAATGGAAAGAGTGATTCATAATTTGGAAAAAAAGTACAGTAGGCGTTCAGGCGTATTATATTTATTTTACAATTATATACATATTTTTTGGTCAAGAAATGGATTTTTGTGAACTTTTGATTCTGATTTTGTGAATTGTAGGATAAATCTTAAGCTATGTTATTTTATAGGATAGACCCTTAATTTGGATTTACTAAATGTGCCCGGAACACTATACGATTTGAATTTATTGAACTATTTTTGGTCCCAACTGCCATTTACAATTCATAATTTTCCAATAAATTTCAGATTATGCGTGGGGAAAGTGATGAATACGGTATTTCCTGGCGTCGCGATGAATACGAAAAATCGCAAAACTCAACGCTCCGTCGTTTTTTAGGACCCTCATCTTTTTCATCTTCATCAACCCCTTCAACTTATCATTTTCATGATGGAAATCATTTTGAAAAGAAGAAGAACAAGAAAGATAAAGATGAAGAAAAAATGGAGCAAAAAAAAGAAAAAAGAAGAGCTGGAGGAGGAGAAAAAGAGAAAGAAGAAGCAAAACAACACAACAACCACGCCCACGTTGTCTCATACAACTATTCAGCTTTTCCTTTAGCTTCTGGTACTTCTGGTCGAGGTTATCCGGAAAATCAACGATTTTTGACTGAAATTCGCAATTTTGAAGATTCCAGAAAACGACAGAAGAGAAAAATGGGAAGGTGTGCAGATACGCTGAGGTCGCTCGTGTTTTTCTTCAATTTTTTGTTCTGGGTGAGTTTTTTTTTGGTTTCAAAAACCCTATTCGAGAAGCTTGAAGATTCTAGAATTTTTGGATCATTTAAAAATATTATTATTGAAACCTATGAAATTTTAAAAGATTTTCCTGGAAAAAAACTATTTCGAATTTCGAAAATCTGAATTTTCATTTGAACTTTGTTCCCGTTTCCTTAAAAGTTTTTTTCTAGAAAAAAATTGATATTATTGTTCTATTTCAATTTTTTATGGGAATCAAGTTTTTCACAAAATTTTCAATTCTTATTTTTATTCTAATATGAATTTCCCAAAAAGCTCTTTCATTTTCAAACCTCCCAAAAACTTCCAAAAGCATCCACTTCAAAAAACTCCACTTCACCCATTTTCTATCAAATCTCAATCTCGAAATCTTCTTTTTTGCCCAGGAAACAAGAAATTCGATATTCTTTTTTCAGGAAAAAAAATCTTTTTTTTTTCAAAAAAAAAAAACAATTTGAAACATGTGGTGTACAACTGATTGATTTTTTCTGTGTTTTTTCTCGCAAACTTTTCCGGTTGTTGAAAAAATCGTAAAATAAAAAAGAGGAAATGATCCCGGAAAATGTCTGTTACTCACTCACATCAAGACATTTCCTAATGCAAGCAATTTAACTGGTTTTGAGTCGAACAAGTTGCTTTTGGAAAAGAAATCTCAAGGGCATATGATTTTCAGATAAAGAAAACAGAACAACAAGTAGAAACATAAAAAATTTTCAGATTTCTGGAATCATTATTTTGGGACTTGGAATTTGGATATTTTTGGATCCAGCAGTTTCTGATTATTATGCTGTTCATTCTTCACATCCAGGTATTTTTGTTTTTGAATTTTTTTTTATATTTTCATACATTTTCTCAAATCATTAGAGAGGGATTCTATGGGGAAATGCGATTTCCTTTTTCTTTTGTCGTTATTATTGTTTCGAAAATTCAATTTGGTGTAGTTTAGGATATAGGGTGAAAGGGGGGGGGCATAAGAGGGGTTAGAGATATATCAAAAATTTGAAAAAAAAAAGTTCGGATATATCAAATTGAATTTTCAAAAAAAAAATCACAAAACGAGACTAGAACTAATTTTGTGAAATTTTATTTTATTATGAGTATCTTAAGAACAAAATGATGTTAGATCACTCAATTAATGATTTTCATTCGGTAAACTTTTTTGCTAACACTTTTAATTTGAAAAGGAGAACTAGATCTTTAATTCAAAAAATGCATAGAGAATGAGATTGATGTAATTAGTCTATTTTTTTACAACCAGAACATTTTTCTCTTAAACTTGTCAGCTCGAACGATTTTACGAAAAACATTTTTATTTCCATCTAGAATCATTTTTTCAGGATCATTCCGAACTGTTGGATGGCTTTTGATCGCAGCTGGAGCAATCATGACATTTATCGGATGTTTTGGTTGTTGCGGAGCATACAAATTCAATCAATGTGCTCTTCTCGGTGTAAGATATTTTTTGCCATTCCCACTGATCTTTATCAGTATAGAAAAAGCTCATGAAAAAATGAAGAGAGATTTTTCAAGTGCATGATTTGTGAACAGCTGTTCGCTCTCACATTTTTATAATGAGGCAAATGTTTCGAATAGTAGTATAATCGTAGGTGTCAAAGAAAAAATGAGGGTAATTTCAGTTCTTCTTCATTCTTGTTATTGTATTCTTCTTGGAATTGGCAGCTGCAGTCACCGCTTATAACAAACAGGAAAATATTAGAAGTTATGTTGAATCAAGTATGCAAGATACGATTAGAAATCGATATTCATCAGATGAAAATTATAGACTCGCTTTTGACACTATTCAAACTGAGGTTTGCAAATTTTTCAATAATTTTTACAAATAAAACTTTTCCAGTTCCAATGTTGTGGAGCCCGCGGTTACAACGATTGGCTCCAAGCCAGTTGGGAGGGTAGAAGTACTATTGATTTGGAAGAAAACGAGGAAGATTTGGGAGCAGGCAGGATAGAACATGGAATTGGAGCAACTGGTGGATTTTCGAAAAGTGGATATGGAAAAGTTCCAGCATCGTGCTGTAATGAAGTTGGATTGGCCACATATCCAACTGATTGTGGAATTTCTTTCAATAAAGCACCACTCCATTCATATAAAAACTTTTTGAACACACAGGTTTGTGATTTATCTGGAAAAAATAGGTTCAGAAGAGGGGAGGGGAGGAAATATATTTTGAAAAATTATTTTTTTCTAGAACCAGATGTTTGAGATTTAAAAATGATATTTTCTGGAATTCAGGAAACTTTTTAGAGCGGGGTTATTCAAACAAAATGAATAAATTGAAGAAAAATTGAATATTTTATTCAAATGAAAAAAAATGCAGTTTTCTATAATTCATATATAAAAAAAAGTGTAGCCTGTTTCTGTAAAATTGAAATAAAAACTATTCATGAATATTTTTTAATTATACCATTGCTACAATTTCAGCCGAAAAAATGTATGTTTTTCAATGAAAGTTTCAAGAAATCCCAGATTTGAAATTCTTAAACCTATATACCTATAGAACCCTCTGAACAGTCTCCCATTGGCATTTTTTCCAGGGTTGCGCTAATGCTCTTTTCGAAAAAATCCACAATCATCTTGATATCATCATCACCGTTTGTGTTGCAATTGGAGCACTTCAGGTAACTTAAACTTTTCCTATTTTCAAAAAAAAAACGTTTTTTTTTAGCTTCTTGGAATGATCTTCACAATGGCTCTTTGTTGCTGCGTCAACAATGATAACAAAAAATACAACTCATAAAAATTCTACTTTAACCGTAAGCTTCTGGAATCTCAAGTGCCTTTTGTTTTTTCTTTCCGTTTACTCATCAGTTTTCTGTCGACAACATAAAAACATTGAATTGCTCATATTTGAAGAAATATAAAAAACAACCAGTTTTATTTATGATGATATAAAAAATGTGTAATGCTGGGCAATGGACATAAGTTCCTGTTGGGTACAAAAAAAATCACAAACACTCTGAAGAAAAAAAATGAAAGCAAAAAAGGAATTTTCAAAAAAAAACAATTGGGCGACTCGTTGATGGCTAGAAAAATGACGTGAAAATTGAAAAGATTCAAAATTCGTTGAAATTCGTAGATCAAAAATAAATACAAGGTATGGACTTTCACAACAATAATAACAAATCACAAAAAAATATGCGTATACAATACCCACATCAAAGAAAAATTGAGAAAAATAGGAAAACTGTAGTATTATTTGAGTATTTGAATGGTTGTTCCAGAAATTGAAAATGAAAAATTATAGTCTTACAAACAACATTTTTCAAAATTCATCGGTTTAACTCAAAAACCCGAAAAACTCTACATAAATTACTCGTCAGCATTGGGTCGTTGTCTCATTGGAAGACGTAAGAAACTTCGCAAGTTCCGTTTCCTCCCATTATTTTGCTCGCTTTCAGTCGGAGCCTGAAGAACTCCGAGTTGTTGTGGAGTCAAAAGGCAGAGCGAAGAAGCGACAGCAAGACCAGAAGTACCGCATGGAGTTGTTGCAAGTCCACCAGTTGGAAGTCGGACAGCAAGTGTGAAGACTCCAGCACGATAATTGGCACATGGTTCGATGGAAAGTGGAGTTGGTGCACCAGATGAATTATCATTTGGTGGTGTCAACTCCATTTTAATGGAGGCAAAAGGACGGGAAGCCATCTGGAAATAAAATATTGAATTTGTTTTTTTTTTCAAAATTCTATGTGTTGCAAACATTTTTCCGATTATTTTTCATATTGAATTCTATTCCATATGCCTATTCAGCTGGTGAAAAAAAGTATTGGAAGAAAAAACACAAAACCTTTTCAATAAAGCTACAGTATTCCTTAAAATGAGATTACAGCTGGATTCATTTTTTCTTTTTTGAAAAAATCCATTTAGGCAAATGAACGTTGTTCCGCATTATTAGTCACGAGAGAAGCTAAAAGGGTACAGTAGTCAGCAGAATTTTATGATGGGGAACTGGAAATGGGTTTTTGTGGCTCAGAAATTGAGAGTTGAAAAAATACGAAATGGAATACAGTATTTTTTGAGGAAAATTTTCGAAAATTCAATTTTTGTTTACAGGCTCGTTCGAACCTCATAAGAAATTAAGATTTGAGAGAAACAAATCTTTTGGAAGCTCTAACTTATGAAAAATTTCAGTATCTGTCAAATTTTCCGAGAGCAAATCAAAGTTAAAACCTACATGTTCGATTTCGTCAATTCGGCGTTGATTTCTTCGATAAGCTTCAATTCTCACTTTGATCATCCACAGTAGTCCAGCGACTACCAGCAAAACGATGAAGCAACTGAAAAATTCAGAAAATTATATTCCAAAAATATTTTAACCCACATGAATTTTGGATCTAATTCATATTCTTCATAATAAATATCATCATAATAATCAGCTGTGTGTGCAGCTTTTTCAAATACATTTTTAGGAATTGGTTGAAGCATTTAGGTTAGTTAGTGTAAATGATAAGAAAGGAAATGAAAAGAAAGGATTGTGAGAATGAATGAGTGAAGGACATTTTTTTGGCAAGTATAAGTAACAGGTGCCATAAACGATGGGAACACTATTTTTTTTTGTTGAAAAAAATAATACAAAAACACAATGTTCCCATATGTGAATCAATATCTTTCTCTCTTTTTTCGGAAAGCAGTTTGCTGGTTCACACAATTTAACAAAAAAAACTAATAAAAACCAAATTCTATACATTTTCAGAAACAATTTTGTGTGAGAAAAATCCTAAACTTTTACATTTTAGTTTCGATAAACTTTACAAACCCCGAAAACGAAACTTACGCAGCAAAAATGACGAAAAACAATACCCAATTGATGGGTGGCGATTGGGCAAAACTGACGACGATTTGAACCGGTGTATTGAAATTGTAAACGCGAACCTGAAAATCCATGTTTTTTTCTTGGATAGGCTTGGTCTTGGTTTTAGCTATTTCACGCATCAACGATGCGTAAAGTATTTGATTTGGAACGAATGGAAAATTTAGAAATTGAGGAAATGAGATTCGGTTTTGGTTTTGATGATGATGAGACCCGTGGGTTTTTGAGAACAATAGGCGGAGCTTGTTGTCATGAACAGAATGAAAATAAGGTGGCTATAATTGGATTCGATTTTGTGGTTTTCTGATTCGAGGAAACATCAACTAATTGCCCAGAGACTTTGAAGATCTTACCTCCATGTCCATCAAAAACTTATTAGTATGATTTGCATGATAAGCAAACATTTTATGTTTCTTTGGAAACATCTTATTCTCAAAGAATGACATTTTAGAATATTTTCAGTCAAAAAAAGCTCAACAGAATATATATCTATGTATGAATGAAGAGTTGGATTCGCCGTCGAATTTCTCTATGAAATAAAATTTTATGAGGGGTTTTCAAAATGGGATCTTTATTTTTTGTCTTCCTCTTTTTGAACATGGCTTCGGATTGGATTGGATACGGTACTGAGTAAACTCTTAAGTAATTCAAAGACGAATGCTTGAAATGCTTAAAATTCATTGGCAAAATGATTTAAAGATTCCGGAAATTAACACGGAAGTCGCTCATTTCCTGAACGCTTTTTCAGACAGATAATTAGGTTGGATTAGGTATAAAACACCTCAATCGTTGAATGTGTAAATATCGAGGAATCCCCGAAATTTATAAATAAAAAACAATTATTCGAGACATCTTGAAAATTTATTCAAAAACAATCTATTGTACTTTTTGTTTGTTCAGTACTTTTTATCCCTCCGAGACTTTTTCAACTAATGAGAAAATATTTCTGTTCTCTAAAAATCTATTTTCTGCCTTACATAAATCACAAAGAAAAACTCACAAAGAATGTTGTATTCGCGTCAGGACCAAATGGATAACCTTTATCCGAAGCAACGTAGACACGTCGAAATCCTTTTGAATCACAAGTGGTGTTGAACTGGAAATGAACAAGGATGAGATGGTAAGAGGATAATAAAATAAATAAACAAATAAACAACACAAAATCAGGAATCAAAAATGAAAAAAAAAAGAGAAAGAGAAGATGATCAAATAAACAACTTACCATCATTGGTTGCGTTCGTTCGGGTATTCCATCCATGTAGGAGGAGGTCATATTTAGAGCAACAAGAGCACTTCCAGCTGGTGATTCGCAACTTATTGTAAATGTTACATCAGTATCTTTCTGAAATAAAAAAAATATAATTGACTGAATATTAGCAACAATGAAGAAATCTCAAACCTTATATGGAACACTATACAAATAAATCTCATTAGTATGATTATCCTTTTCATCATTTTTCAACTTGAATGTGAAAATGAAATCAACTGCAAGTTCATAATAACACGGTGTTCCATTGCGAGGATTTCCATTATATTTTGATTCACATTTTTCACAATGATGTCCAGTCACACCTTTTGTTCGACAATAACATAAACCACTGGCTGGATCACACATATCAGCTTGGCCATTACAGTCGCAGGCTGAAAATTTGTGAATTATACCAGCTTTTTCACAAGGAAGAGGGACGAGGTTGGTTTTATCTTCCATATACATATATATGTATTTTGCAATACTTTGTAAAAATGTTTTAAAAAAATATATACTCACGTAAACAAGTTCCACCATTTCTCGAATCTCCATAAAATCCAGGTGCACATTTTTCACAATGTTGTCCAGTTGTATGGTTCTGACAAGTCTCACATTTTTCAACAGTAACTGGTGGGAATGATCCAGTTCCTGTCACACATGTAGAATGCCCGTTACATTGACAAGCTGGACAATCAACGAAATGCCATTTTTCTTCGATTTTTCCTGGTGTCAGTGGTCCACTGGATGTTCCTTCAACACAAGATCCAAGCCCAGTTCCAGAATCGTCAGCTAACCAACCACATTCAGGAGCTCGTTGACATTCAGCACATGTTTTGTGAACTTCGCAAATACTCGATTCTGAAATGGGAACATTATTTTAAACAAAAGTTCAGTGTCTCAAGATGAATAAACTTACCAGCCATACAAATTCTTCCGTGATTTGTTCCGCTACTACTTGTTACCCAGCTATGACATTGTCCATAGGCAAAACTTAAGGTATATGCTTCTAAACTGATGCATCTTCGAGTACTTGGACACCACATACAAGATTCCAGTTCAATACAATCACTACAATTGCTTCGTTGTGAACAGGGAAGTGGACATTCTGTGTGATTTCGGAAAAGTGTTCGGGAAAGTGATGGATAATGTGATGGTCCAAGCATTTTCCCGCGATCCAAAACAGTTTTCGCTTCATATTCATAAACAACTGCAATCAAATCTTCTTTACTAACACACGGTGATGTTTTATCGATTGGATACCAAGTGCAATGCGGTAGAACTCGACAACTTCCACAAGATTTTTGCATATGACAAGGTCTTGGTGCAACAGGTCGATTCTTTTGCGGGCATTTCTCCCAAGCTGTTAACATTCCAGGACCATCAAGACATTCTTGTTCTGATGGTAGGCATTGATCGCCCGAAGAACACCAACCACATCCAGATTTTGAAGCACAAGAGACGCAATCTTTTTGTTCCTCGCAAATTTGAAGAGCTTGTCGGAATGGTGTATTGGTGCATTCGTCGATTTGTTTGACATCTTTATGTTCTTTGACTAAACTTTCAAAACCAATTTTGTATGAGACATTTGGGTTGTATTCTTGGCATTGTTTATTGGTGAATACACATTTTACACCATCGTTTATCAATCGACAATCATCAGGTCGAGATGTTGAATCACATTGAGCTGAATTATGAAATTTGTTTTAATTTTTAAGATGATAAAATGAAAATCTTACCTGGTGACAGTGCCCAAACATCATTTCTCATTTTGCCATCAAATCCTCCAAAAATATACAATTTTCCTTTGACCGCTGCTGCACTATGTCCATATCTTTTCATTTCAACCGGCGCATTTGTCATATTTGTCCATTGTTTACAAGCAACATCATATGTCAAAACCATATTTGAAAAACAATCAGTTTTTCCGGATGTCATTGTTGTTGTCGTATTCACACCATTTCCACCGACAACAATCATTAAACCATTCAGAAATGTTGCAGTATGAAGGTATAGTTGAACACCAGATTGCGGAAGATTTGACCATTTTTTGGTTTCTGTGTCAAATTGCATCAGATTATCAGATATTGTGTTATTCCACATAACTCCTCCATAGACAAGAATTGCGGTTTTTCCTTGAGGTGTTATATAATCCATTGAAGAATGTCGGAAACGACCAAGAACATGATCTGTGGTATTCGCCAGGGTCCATATCTCAGTTTCAAAATTGAAAACTTGAACTTGATGGAGGAATCCAAAGAAAGGATTATAACCAAAAATAACATACATCTCATTTCCTGAAACATGAGCAGTATGACCGGAAACAGCTAATGGTGCAGTTAGAATTGTCTCATTCATAGTTGGAATATGTCTCCAGGTCTTGCTAGGTATATCAAAACTCCAAAGCTCATTTGTAATATTTTGTGGGGTATTCAATTCATCTCTTCCTCGAATAACTCCTCCAAACATGTATAGTTTCGTCTTATGTTTCACAACAGAATGATCATATCGCGGTTTTGGTGATTCTCCAGATGTTTCAACAACGCCCCATTCTCTTGTGATTGTATCAAAATAAGAGATTGTATTCGGTTTTTCAGCACCATCAAAATATTCTCCACCAATATTCCAAAATGTGTCGTCAATCGGAATCGATACATGCGAAGATTTTCCCGATGGGCTTTGATTTTTTGGATGAATCAAATCCCAAACCGCTTGTGTTGCTGGCGATTGACATTGTTCACCGTGTAATTTCTTTGGTGGACATTGGCATCGACCATTTTCACATTGACCCGCGTGACAGGGTCCGGTAACAAAATCCGCATCCAATGGACAAACCTCGTGTTCACAATAATCACCTTTTGACCCGCTTTGACATTCACAGACGCCGTTTATACAACTGCCACGATTATGACAATTATAGGCACAGCTAGAAAATTGTTCTATGAGTCATGTTTTCTGAAGAAAAACAACTCACCGATCATACTCGTAGGAAATATTGAACCCGTTGAGATTCATGGCCAAATCACTGAAGAAATACACGAATGCTTTACCAGAAGGTGCTGTGAACTCTTGCGTTGGTTGTTCGCCACTGAAAATTTGAAAAATTATGAATATGACAAAAAAAAATGGAGGAAAAGCTTCTTACCAAAGTGCTGCTAATTGTTTACCATAAACACCATCACCATCGTAAATGTATAAATAATCCCAACCACATTCTGTCGAAAAACTTTCGATTTTGATGTTCAGTGGTTTGGTGACATTCTGAAAATTTAATATTCACAATTTTGCTGAATCTATACACGAAAATCAGAATTTCCTTTTTTTTTTTGATCTAACAAAAAAAATCGGGTCGATTTTTTCCTCTAACAAAAAAAAACTCGGGCCGATATTTTTCCTCTAACAAAAAAAATCGGGCCGATTTTTTTCCTCTTACAAAAAACATCGGGCCGATTTTTTTCATCTAAAAAAAACTCGGGCCGATTTTTTTTCTCAGCAATCCTTTCCCCAAAATCAACTCACCACATCAGGTTCAATCAGCCAAGTACATTTTGATGAAGAACTATAATCAAGTGGGCCATCGGTAAAATGACTGCTATTATCGGTTAACTTGACTCGTCCAAGACAATGATCACATTGTGGTCCAAACCATCCTTTGCTACAATGACAAGATCGATTCAAGCAGACACCATTGAAACACGGTTTTTCACACGGTGATAGTGACTGAAAATAAAAATATTATTGCTTATTGGAATTCACTAAAAAGGTTACCTTCTCAAAATCGAAACTGGCTTGATTTGCTAAAACAATTGTACATAAACTAGCTAATAGAATGAACATGGTCCATAATATCGATCGGTGTCTTGGGTACCGGAAGTCCCATAATAATCTTCTCATCAGTACCGCCGCTTTTTAGATATTTTCATTAGTCGGATTGGGGGCTGAAAACAAGGATTTAGATAGGGAACGAGAAAACAAAATATTTTAAAAGAAAACTTGAAATCCAGAAAGATACAAAAAACATTCGTTTTTAAAAATTCAGAAATTTTTAAAGAAGAAAAACTCCGAAACATTGTAACTTTTGAAAAAATTGAGATCAAATTTCAAATTCCTAGTGTTTCAACAAGAGGAAAACCATAAAAGTTGACATGAAAAAAGGTTCACATTAACTTGAAATATATATGGGAAACTCGAAAAAAACGACAATTTATCAAACTACCTCGCAAAACTAAAACTAATGTCAGTCGCAGGAAAAATCTGAAATATTTCTATATTTGTCAAAAAAAAACTAAAAACGGCCAAAAAAAAGCGAAAGCTGTTGTTTTCTCGAGGATTAGTAAAAGCTTATAACTTTTTTCTTTTCTTTCTTCGTTCCGAAAGTTTTTTGCTATTTTTTATTATTTAATTAAAATGTTCAAAATAATTACCGACAATTTGTGGCTATTCAGTTGAACGTAATAAAAAACAAGAACTGGATAACGTTTTTCTTCTGACTGACATCGAGGAAAGCGAATTTATGGTTTATGAAAATTAACTATACGTAGTTATGCTTTTAATTGTTTGCCGAATAGCTATTAGTCATTTCTCTCTTGTTTTTTGGTTAAAACGAATCGAGTTTTTCAAACTAACTACAGTACTCATTTAATTTTCAGAAACCAATAAGGTTTTGAATAAAAAATGTGTGTTTCCTTTCCTAGGAAAAGAAGAGCAATCATAATAATTATGACGAATTTTGTGTTGAAAAACTAAATGTGTGTACAAAAAAAAAGAAAAATTAAGGTCATTGGAAAGAAAATGGAAATCAGGAAAAAATAAATAAATTGTGACATTTTTTGGGAAGTTTTTTTGAGCGGAACTAATCTGAAAATTGGAGAAAAAAAGAAAAGGGACAATTTTTCTAATTTTTTTTTGAATAGACCAATCTTTTTTGAGGAGGAATATTTTTATATAACAACTGACAAGATGAATTCGAAAATTTTGGTTGAGAATTGTTTTTTTTAGCCAGAAATTGAATTTTAATCTCTATTTAAAATTTACCGATTTTTTTCGGGACCTGGCGCAATATCAAATCGTGATAAATATATTTTTGAACTACCAGAAAAGTTTTGAAAAATACGAAGCCTCAGCTGTGATCTAAATGAAAAAAAAATTGCATTGAATTATGAAAAATCTCAAGTTTCTTGAAAATCAGAAGATCAAGAACATCGAAGAAAAAATTGTGACCCGGATTAGAAAAACGACAAGACAAAACAAGGAAAAATGCGAAAAAGAAACGGGGTGCGCGGTAAGAAAAAGAAAAAAACGCGAAAAAGAAGAAGGAAGGAAGGAGCGTGGGGGATACGGTAGATAGATAATAGAAAAATCGGAGAGGGCAGACACAAAACGGGATCAATCGATCGATTCTTTTTAGTATTATTATTGTATTATTGTCTGTGTCTTGCGCACACATATACGCACACACTGCAAAAAGTATGACATAGAGACAACTTTTGTATTGCGATGAGAAAATGAATGAATGACTGACTGAATGAATAGATGTAAAATGGGATGAAACGAAACGAGTGTCTCTTTAATAAGAATACGAACATGAAGAATGTAATTTGTAAGATATACTACTTTTTTTGAGTGGGTGGAACGGGTTATATACTGTCTTTTTTATTTTTACCGAAATCTTTGGGAATTTTCGGAATGTTTTTTGAGGTTTTGATAGTTCACATATTTTTTAGGGGGGGAAATAGGAATTTTTGAAAAATTGATATTTTAAAAGTATATGTAGTTATCATAACTTTTTTCTGGTAGATCAGTAAACGTTTGATTAACATGTATCTTCAATTTTTCATCGCAATTTTTTTATTAAAGCATTCTGACTTACAATTCTCCTAATTTGGAAAAAATTAGTTCCTGAATCAGAAAAAAACTGGAAACTTGAATTTTAAAGATAAAATCATGAAAATATTTTCATTCCCGAAGACCACACCTATTTTCAGGAAAAAATTATTATGAAAAAACAGTTTCCGAATCAGAAAAAAGATCAACTTCTAGTCTCAAATTTGTATCTACCTTTTTTATAAAAAAAGTTTTTTCACTACATTTTCTCAAAGTTTGAAAAATAAGGTTCAGGAAAACCGATTATCTTTCTATACCAAAACAAAATAAGAACTTTTGATTCTATTGAACTTTCACGATGAAATTTTTCAAGTGGATGACAGTGAAAAACCTTGAGTTGTGTCAGAACACAATTGATTTTCATATATATTTTTTTCACAAAAACCACGTTCCATTTTTTCACTTACACAAACTTCTCACCTCATTTTATAAAGAAAAGAAAACAAAATAAAGCGGAAAACTATTCTCAAAGCTAAATAAACCAGTGTTTACCAAAAAAACCTCCTAAAAGTACAAAAATCGATAAAACACACACACGCACGCACATAATATAATTTTGAATAAACACGGAAAAATTGATAAAAAATTTGTGACAAGAAAACTCGGGACCAGCAAAAAAACAACAATGTTTTCAATTCAGATAATGTCAGTTTGAAATTGGATTTTACTCTTTTTCTGGAAGAAAATGGGAAGTTTTTTTCAAACTATTTTGAAATTGAAATTTTTTGTTGAGAAAGTGAAAGGTTTGTGATAAAAATTATGTGGATTTTAAATGTTATCAAAAAAAATTGAAAAATGTTATGCCTGATGTCAGATGAAAAAGAAATCCACATTTGCAAAGTTTCCAATTAAAATTGTTTTTGTTTTGAAAACGTCTATCTTTGAACCAGATGAAAAATAATAATTAGGGGGGCTTGAGGAAGAAAGAGCATTGCAAGTGTTGTTTTGGTGGGTGTAATTTATTGATTTGTGTTGGTGGTGAAAATAAAATGAAAAGGGATAATTGGTGAGAACGGGAGACCGGGGGGACCTTGAAAATTATATATTTGGAATAGAGAATTTATGAGCTAATTCTGGAGGAAAAGGAAGAGGGATTTTCGTATTTGAATTTTTGTAGTTGAAGTTCCTAGAGTTCAATTGAAAAAAAAAAATTATTTTTATATAAACAAAAAATCTGGGATTTTCAAAAAAAAAGCAAAAAAGTTTCTGTCATTTCAGAAACTAGAAGAAACTTTGATAGTTAGTCTGATGAATAAGCTTTAAAAAAACAACCGGAAGAATTATGAGAATTTTCAAATTTATAGTAGATCGAGTTTTGAATTGAACTAAAAACATCCAAAGATTAGAATGAACTTTGAAAAATGAAATTTCACAGCACTTTCATAGTGCAGAATTTAATAGAATTTAATATATTTAGTATTCAAAAGAATATAAATTTTTCTATTATCCAAAAATCTTCAAATTGTGGAATCATTTTTAAGACTAAAATAAAATTTCACAATAAAAGTAGAATTTCCAAATAAAAGTTTTATGAAATCCGCTATTTTACAACGTAAAATAGTTGTACACACTACATAAGAAACAGGAAATAAAATGTTTTCTGCTATTTTTTCTCCTTCAAATAAAAATTTGTATACCAAAAAAGGCGGCAAAACACTCAAAAACAAAACAAACAATTTTCCATCATCATTTTATTCTTCCTGAAAAAATAACACAGAGAAAAAATCCAGGAAAAGAAGTGTAAATTTTCGTCGCCGTGTGTGCAAGTGTCCAAAAAACATTTGTTCATTTCGCAACATTGGTAGGAAAAAGTTTTTTTTTCTGGTAGACTTCACCAGAATGAAGTTTTCACAGAATTTCAGCCATTAGGACTTTTTCAATTTTTTTTTTCAAAAAAAAGTGTTAAATATTGCTGACGCAGCTGGTGTTCGTTTAGCTGGATTTTTTTATTTGAGTTTTGAAAATAAGACTATTATGAAGGAATATCTGAAGCTGCTCAATCTTGAAGAATTAGTAAAATTTTTGTTGGGAATCAAGAAATTCCAAAGAATGTTGTGAGACACACTTGTGGGATAAGATACCACCATGAAAGGTGGGGTTTGAGAATCTTTGTCATGGATTTGAGCTTTTTGAACTTCCCTATAAAAATGACGCCCAATCCTAATAAACAGTAAAAGTTCAGCATCAACATTTTATTTTTCAAATAAAATCATGTTGACTATTATGTTTTTTTTCAAGTTGTCATATCTTATCTGTTTGCAGGAATTGTGTTCAAGTACTGTACTTTGATAAGAAACTTGTATAAATTACTTTTTCTTGTAAGTATTTGAGTTTCGCTGTTCGAACCTTCGTTGAAACTGGCTGAGTTTTTTCAAATTATTCTGTTTCTGCTGGAAAATATTCTACCAAAATTGATTTGAAGTTGAATATTTTTTGATATCGTTATAATGTTTTAAAGCCAAAATTCTCATTCTAATTTCCTCGTTTCTTTGCGAAAAATCGTCAAGAAAAGTATCAGCCCCTCTCAATTCATTTCAAATATACATTTTAACAAAATGTTTTCGATATTTTGTTAGTACTCGGGTTTCCAAGGTTACAAAAATGTGTTCACATTTGTATTTGAAAAATGTCTTTTTTTCCTAATGATATAATAAATGAGCGTTTCCAGTTTTCTGCCTTGAAATGGTTCTAAATATACCTAAAAGTAAACATTCGGCATTTTGTGTGTACATATTTGCCGCCAGATCAACTTTTCCTCGTTTTCGTTTTTTTTTTGCTGCACAAAAATATAATGTTGAACTATTTCACTTATCATGATCATTATTTCGAAAGCGTTTTTCAAAATTGAAAATTTCTATGGCATCCTTGTATGTTTTTCTCAACGATACAGATTTTTCAGTCAAAAAATTCTTTCTTTCCACCAAAATAAATAAATTATTCATTTTTGCTTCATGTGTTTACTGAATGAATAATATTTATGGTTTTTTGTTCAATTTTATTTCATTTTTAGTGTCTCAATTATTCTTTTCAAGGTATTTCTTTCAAAAAAATGGAACATAAATCGATTAGAAAATGTTTTAGAAACTGGTTTGTGTCTGCCTTTTTCCTCATTATTTCCTCTAATTTTCTTATTTCATCCTTTTTCTTTTTTTTTCCTTTTCTGCGACTTTTTGACCGTTTCTTTTCAACAGTTCTTTTTTTTCCCAAAAAACAAATTTCTATTCAAAAACAAATGCCGATATTTTTCTCGTTTATTGTGGCTGGAAAGTGTCAATTTCCCCTTCTCAAAAGAAGAAAATGTGGCTAAAAACAAGAAAAAATGAGATTTTTTCTCGTGACACATTTTTCATCAGATATGGGCTAGAATTTGGGAAAGCAAAAAAGCCTTGCCAATTTTTTTGTCAAGCAAAAAAATAAGTTTTCCTTCAATCTAGTTCATTTGTCTTTTAGGCGAAAATCTCTGGTTGCATTACGTCATTTTGGTTTTTAAATGATCTGATATGATGACATTATAAATTGATTTTGAAAAAATTCCAGTCAAGAACGAGGATTTGTATGAATAATAAAATATAGAAAATGAATTTCAAAAATCAAATTGCATTCCGATGAGTTTTGAAATCTATACTTGAACCCCGGAAAGCTCAAACATAACAACATATTATTTAAGCTCACAATACTTCTGTTGAAAACCATAAACATTAGATAACCAATTAGTTTTCGGTTTGAATTTTTTTCTAGAACTAGAAAAAAGTTTAATGTGTCATTTGATAGTAATCCGATTAAACTCTGAAACCCACCAACATAATTACCTAGAATCACTGATTCACAATTTTTGTTTCGAAATTCAAACAATGTGTTGTATTTTCCAACGAAATGCCGTTTTTCCCTCAACACGTCATTTGACCGCGTTTACATTCCAGGTGTTTTCATAAATATTCTAGAAAAATGTGAACAATTCATTATAATCGAGAAAAAATTGTCCACAGCTGCCACAGATGTGTTCAAAAAAAATTCGAGTCTTTCACATTTCCCCCATCCCACTTCATTAGTTTTCAATTCTCTTTTTCATCTCAATTTCCATCCACATTTACATTTTCATTTTCATTTAACCAATTCATTTTCGATCTTTTCCATTTTTTTCCAACAAAAAACCGAAACTCATTCAATTTCCTCTCTGAAAAAAAATAAAAGAAGAATTTTCGCATTTCACATATTTTTGCTCTGATGTTAGCTCGAAGAGGCTCTGCAGCCAGAGGCTCTTATCGATTTTTTTTCGGGGTGCTCACTTCGTCTTCAACTGAGCTCCGCGCGTCTCACATTTTTTTTAGTTTTTTCTTTCTTTTTCACATGTTTTTTGGCTGAAAATGTGCATTGATTTTTATGTGGCAGCTCTTAAATCTTTCCGGTTTTTCGTTCTTGAAAGCTTTTCAGAGAACGTGTAATTTATTTTTGAATTTCAAATAAAAGAAGCTATAAATCTATGGAGATCAAATTTCCAGACAATGATAAATTATTCATTAATCTCATCAAGTATTTTGTTTGAAAGCTGATATACTTTTATTTATGATAAAAACTCTAAAAGTTTGTGATAAAATCAAAAATCATAACTTTTGAGGAATTTCGAACATTCTACGAACTTTCTCAACAAATATTTCCTTTCATGGAAAAACCAAAAATCGATCAATACAGCAAATGTGCCCCCTCGCAAATAACAAACTTAGCCCCTGTCACACAAAATGGTTGTCTGCATGTCTGCGTCTCTCGCTGTCTCTCACTCACTCTCTTTCATATTTCTATCTCTCATTTATTTGATCGCTATTTTGTTTCGCCATAGTTGATTAAATTTTTGCGGTTTTTTTGTATGACTCATATTTTTTACATTCTTGAATTCAGATTTTTTGATAGGATCTTTTGAAAAATGCATTTTTTTGTCTGTGAAATTTGGGAGGATGAATAGGGAGATAGCTGGATTTGATTTGGCAAATGGATAAAATATAATTGGACGAAAACCTGTTGAGGAAAAGCTTTTGATTCTATCTTTTTCTTTCCAACATTCTTACGTCGGATTAATTTTTTTTTGTTTCCATAGCTTCTGAATTTTTGAACTTGAAAATCGAATTAACTCAACATTAAAATTAATTTTTTCCAGGTATGTGCTAGAAATGGTAGTCAACGGAACCGAAGGAAGCACATTTATCCGGTCAGCTTTTGCGCAAGGCTTGGCCGGACTTTGCACTTGGGCTGCTCTTATCATCACCAGTCATCAGGTTAGTAAAACTTTCATATAAATTTCGATATCATTCCGGATGTTTCAAGTAATAATTTATGTTTTTGTAGATCTATCAACATCTTCGCTGGTATTCATGTCCAGCAGAACAACGTTGGATTGTCCGAATTTTGTTCATCGTGCCAATTTATGCATTTGATTCATGGCTCTCATTGATATTTTTCAGTGATAATGTCTACATCTATTTCAATTCGATTCGTGATTGCTATGAAGGTGAGAAAAACACAAAGGAGAACCGGTTTAATTGATAGGAAAAGGGAATGTTATGGTTTTTGGTTAGGAAGACATGATTATCAGTTGATTGGACTAGGAAATAAAGATGAAATATCAGATGGAGATCAATTCAGGCTTTCATAGATATTTCAAAATCCCTAGCAAAAATGTTTGAAAAAAAACGCACACATATGGAAAACTAGTTGATATATCAAATCAATCAATTGTTTTCGTCAATTTTTGTACCCTCCACGTGTTTTTCTTTTATTTTTCAGTTGCTGACAAAAACTTGATAACTTTGATAAGAAAAGAATAAGACTGCAGATTGTGGAACATGTCAATTTCCGGGAAAATAGATTTTATTGATTGACACAATAAGATAGAAATAGGGATTGATAAGTCTGAAAATAGAATTTAACCAAGGTTTTAAATAGGACAAGTCAAATGTTTTCAGGATTTAACATGAGTTGGAGGCTTTTCAAGGGTTTAAGTAGTTGGAAAAGTCTTAAAGCTCTGGAGTTTTTCGCTTGAAGCTCTAGTGGCTTAAATCTCTAAATTTCTAGGCTTGAAGCTCTAGCTAAGCTCCCCTAATAGACATCATTACTTTAAAAACAACATTAAATATCCCGAATATTACATAATCAATCAGGAAGTACCGTAATCCTAAACTACTGTGCTTTTATTAATTGTCTAATACGTATCATCATCAACCTTAATGTCTTTACAGCCTTTGTAATCTACTCGTTTTTATCGTTGTGCTATGAATATCTCGGCGGCGAGAGTAATATAATGGCAGAGATTCGCGGAAAACCAATCCGACCTACCAATTATATGACATGCACCTGCTGCTTGGCTGGAAAACAATATACGATCGAATTTTTGAGATTCTGCAAGCAGGTGATTATTTTTTCTTTCTTTGATCTTTATTAAAATCTAGTAATTCTAGTAAAATTTAATTAATTAAATTTGGAAATATTTTCAGGCCACCCTCCAATTCTGCTTCATCAAACCAATCATGGCTGTTATCACCCTAATGCTCACCTCAATCGGAAAATACGAAGACGGAAATTGGAGCGCAGATGAAGGTTATCTCTACATCACTCTTGTCTACAATGTCTCAATTTCTCTTGCTCTTTACGGACTCTTCCTTTTCTACACCGCAACTCGCGATCTTCTCAGCCCATATCGTCCAGTTCTCAAATTCTTGACCGTCAAATCAGTCATCTTCTTGTCATTCTGGCAAGGATTCTTGATTGCTGTTTTGGGTGCCACTTCGGTTATTGATCCAGTTACTGATGCTGAAGGAAATGAAATTATTGGACGTGGAACTGTTGCTGCCGGATGGCAAAACTTCTTCATTTGTATTGAAATGTTCTTCGCTGCTATTGCACTCAGATTTGCTTTCAATGTTTCCGCCTACGCTGATGCCCATAATGGTGAGTTCTAGAAACATATAACAAAATGATAATGAGCAATTTTCAGCCAACAACTCAAACGATGGTCGTCCAGTTACTCTTCAATCAATCAGCTCATCCCTTAAAGAAACCATGAACCCCAAGGATATTATGCAAGACGCCATTCACAATTTCCATCCACAATATCAACAATACACCCAGGTAAATTTTATTGAGTGATTTTTCATTTTCAAGAAGCAACCTTCAAGCTACAGTAACCCATTTACCCTCATAGGATGAATTATTTATGCATGATTCTACTAGCCAACAACAGAAAAAAAACGACACAAAAAAATAGATGGAAGATAAATTGACTGGATGCCTAATTAACTTATTCGGTTTTTTTGTGGCTGCTGCCGCCGGAGGGAAAAATTGAAAAGAAAAAGATAGATAGATAGACTAACTAGGCATGGAATAATGACATTTTAGTTTTCTGGAGCATTTGGAGCATCATATTAATCTACAGTAATTTGTGGAGAAAATGAATAAAAACAACCTGCTTTGATAGATTTTTAGAACTCACAACATTTTTCCATAATTTTTTTCAAATTTTGAACTTTGAATACTATAATTTCTGTGATGCAAAATATATATCAACAACAAAAATTTAGATGGGTTACTGTATCTTGAAATGATTTTTCTAACTTTCATTATTTCCCCTAACTCTTTTCATTTTTTCAGCATTCGAATCCGCAACGATCGGTCAGTGGTTTGAGTTCAGGTTTCTTGCTGCTTTTCCCTTTTTTATTTGTCTGACTTGTTTTCGAACAAAAATAACTCCAGATAAGATTAACTTTAGTGAATGTTGCACGCATAGGGTTAAAAAAAATTCAGGCATGGGATAGCAATTGGAAAAAACTCAATTTTTATATTTCGAAAACTTCCGAATTCCTGAACATGCCTGATTCCAGCACAAATTCGTCCCTATTTGGTGTGGTAAACTAACCAGCTACCTAAAATCTATCTGTCCTTAGTTTCTCTTGGTCTGTTTGTAGTATTTGTAAGATGTTGTAATTTTTTGATGTGGGTTTGGAAAATTTGTAGGGCGCAGCTCCATCGACCTCGGATTTCTCAGCGACAGCGAGTGTATCTTCAATAATAGCTGCAACTCAACCATCAATGAGCCAATTTTCGTTGTCGGACGAGCCGTCAATGTCGAACACCGACGGAGTGACCGACACCGCACGGGTTACGGATCAGTGGCACTCCACGCCCCGTCGCCAAAAATCCGATTACAACCCCTTGCTTTAAGTGAAGATGAGCTTTTATCATTTTCATTGGATTGATTTTGAGAAGCAGAAGAACATTTATGTTGTTGTTTATAGTGTTTATTTATTGATTCATTTTTTTGTATGATTTTTCTTTGTTCAGCGTGATGTGAGTTCGGGCTTCTTTACACAGTGTAATTTTCTACCTCAAAAACTTTCAAATATAATTGTTGAATTTTTGGGTAGTAAATTACACATTTTGTTTTTCCTTTTTCCTTTCCCCTTATCATTTGAATTACATATATTCATGGTTTAACTGATCCAAGTTCTTTTAAAACACAAAAACTCATTTATTTTCCCTACAAATCACAAATCTAACCATATTCATTTTTATTTTTGGACCCAATATTTTTTGAAGGAACTGGATCAGGGCTCACAACCATGAATATATCGTCTTTCCAGGTGTGTATTTTCTATGTATATGTTCTATCCTTTTTGTATTCAAAGAAATCAGCAGAAACCCCATTCATCAATTATTTATTTTTCTGTTATTAAAACTAGAATCAATTTCAGCAAGCCGGGACGAGCACGAGTAGCGGCTCCGGTGCCAACGAAGAGCAACGAATGTCATCAAGTAACTCGGGTGCCAATTATTCAACGATGGCGCACACCGGTGCGCATGGTGTCTCAACACCAACAGCGCCAACACCACCAACAACCGGTAATCTCCTCGACGCATAAGAATCTCCGTTTTTTTTTCATTTCTATTTTTTCCTTCCCACCCATTTTTTCTCTCTCTACGTGTTGTCCTCCCTTTAAAAATCTCTTTCTCTATTTTTTGTACCCTATCCCCAATCCCCCTTAATTTTTTTTTGGAAAATCTCTGCCCATCAACCCAGTACTTATTCTACAGTAGTTCTACATAAAAATTTACAAATCTCTCTGTCATATCACCCTTCTCCAAACCCATCCCAATTTTATTTAAAAAATATTATTTATAATTCTTTTTGTGAACATCTTTTTTATGTCGGTGACTGTCCCTTTAAGTTTTTATTTTCATTTTCTAACTATCTATATATTGTGTTGTGCGAATTATTATTAAGCCGAAATTGAACTCTCCCCTTTCCATACACTGAAATTGTACGTAGAAATAAATATGTCCTGTTAAAAATTGTGTTTTCTGGAAATTTGAATATTAAGAAATCCGGGTTTCTATAAAAAAAATTTTGGCTATTGCGTCAATAGTATCGTCAACGTTTTTTTTAAATTCCGGGTTTTTAAATGAATTAGATCTTCGAATATGATCAGATGGTGCTGGGAAGTCTGAAATTTGAATCAAAACTGCAAACATCACTATTTGTTTATTATTTTTATCATGACAGAAACAAATTAAAAGCATTTAAAAAATACAAATTTCAAAAGTAAATAAGTAAAGATGCAAGCAACACACGTACTAATTTTCAAAAATTATTAGGAATATTATTTTTTAAATATAAAATTTTAAGTCAATTCACCGCGAAAAATACCAAACGAAAAAAATACAAGAAATTTCTAAAAAAAATTATCAATTAATGAAATGGCTCGAAACATTCAACAAAGAATTGTTGAATTTCACTATATAAATGTTTGACTTTATTTGTTAGACTATGCGCTTCATTTGCATAAACCAATTGACGGAAATGAATATTGCGGAGTTGAAGGGCTTCCGACCAGCGGGCACTGTTTTGATAATGAACGTTATCTGAAAATATAATATGAGTTTGATTTTTTGTTTGCAATTTTTATAAACTGACCATCTTTTTCCCCATGAGCCAAAAAATATTTGACATTTGTCAGATTCTTTGCATGAGGTATCAGATTTGTTCTATCATATCCTTGTGGATTATCCAATGGTAAACCCAAATATCTTTCTGTGTATGCAGTGTCATAATATGAAAAATCAGTGACTGGAGCAATTGCAGCTGCACATTTTACAGAATCTCCTTGATCACGGATAGCAATTTGAGTTGCCAAATAACCACCGTATGACTAAAAATGATGATTTATGATAAAAAAAACTGTTAAATAAATTTTAAAAAATAAAACCACTAACCCATCCAATAACTGCAACATTATCCTCATCCAAAAATGGGAATTTTTTCAATAAAACTTGAATCATATCCAAAGTGTCTTGCGCTTCTGGTTTACCCATATTGCGGAAAACTGGTTCTTTTGTGTTCCATCCATGTCCAGCAGTTCCTCGAACATCAACAATTCCAACAGCCACTTGATATTGTGATGAAATTTGAATATAGTGCGGTGTTGGTGTTTTTTGTAAGACTCTTTTAGTGTTTGGACCGCCATATCTGAAATGATTTGTTGATTCTTGTTAGAATTTTTGATATCAGACTTACAAATCAAGAATCAATGGTAATTTTTGTCCTTCAGTAATTTTTGGTGGTTGAATGAGTTCAAATTGTGCTGTTATTCCAGACGGAAGTTCAGCTTCTCCATATGTCAAATTCAATTTGTCAAAAGGCAAAACTGCATGAGTTCCTCCATCAAGTAACACATTCGACCTTGGTTTATCAACATTCATCAAGAAAAGTCTAGCATTATCAAACGGCGTAGAGCAAAGTAGCGCTGCACGTTTACCAGTTGGATCAACGTTATATGATCCATGAACACAGTCTTCAAGAAGGCTGTTAAGTTGAGAGATTGCTGTCTGAAAAAAATGATTATGATATTCTTTGATTGCATGTTTTGTGCAATATCATACCTCAAGTTTTCTATTGGCAGCTTTCGCTACACTATACAATCCATAAGTTCCAATTCCAATTCCATATGCAGAAAAAGTGATGATATCTTTTTCCTCATAATAACCCTCAATCTTCACTACATCATAATTTTCACCAATCCATTTTGTAACTTTTCCTGTTCCAGAAGTTTCGAGCTCAATATGAGCAATATGATTATAAATATTGTTATCAGCTTTATTATAATGTGGAAGAATAGTGAAGAATCCTGTTTTGGTAGTGAAAATATTGCCAACTTCTTCTGGTTCTGACCACATTCGACGGCCAGCGACTGAGAATTCTTGTGTGAATGTCTGAACAAAAAAATAAGGATTGAAATTTGCTGGAAACTGATAAAAGTTAGCACTTGCCACAATACAGTCGGTTTCGTTGCAAAGAGTGAAGTAGATTTTTGTTTGTTCGCGGTTAGCCCAAACTGAAATAAGTCGTTCTCTTCCCAAATCATGCAATCCATATGGTGTTTCCATCCAAACATTTTGGAATACATAATAGCTTCTGTAAAATAACAATTGAATGAAGATTTTGAAAAAAATGTTTGCAAGAAATTGTTTCTTAAACATCATGAAATTGAAATATAGAATAAGTTTTAAACTCAATTAGAGATATTCCAAAAATCTGCATAAAAATTATTATATATAGAACATATTTACGATAAACAACAGGCAAGCGGAGTGTTGTTGCTTTCTAGCGTTCAAAAACTAGTCTCACATTGCTCGCAGAAAAAAAGTTAAACCGGTTTCAACATATTTTATTCATACTTTTTTCTGGGAACTTCTTTTGTTTTAAGTTTCATATTTTTGTTCTGATTCATGTTTTTCGTTTTCAGGGATTCACTTTGAGAAACTGAATTGAATACGAATAATAAGAAAGTATCAAGAATAAAAGATTAGGTATGATTAGGTTTTCTCTCAATTCAACAAGAAATGCTTCTCTGTTTTTTCATTTCAGAAGTTTTTATAAAAACTTTTTAAAAAATCGCATAACAAAAAAATTTTTTTGTTCATTTTCCCCCTCCCTTACTCTTCTCTCTCCTTTTTTCATAGTTTCATCTCTATGGCATAGTTGCATGCAGACAGCATGCGATCTCGTGGTGTAGTGGTTATCACATCTGTCTAACACACAGAAGGCCGGCGGTTCGAGCCCGCCCGAGATCAGAGCAATTTTTTTGTTTTTTTTTTAACTTACTCATTTTGTGTTCTTAACTCATCCGGAGCTAATGCTTCAACAATTTTGTTCTTCTCACGATCCCAAATGAATTGAGTGACTTCAGTATTATGAGGAACTCCTGCTTTTGGATAGGGAAGTTCGAAATATTCCACGTATGGATCATTTGAAGAATATGTTGGGAGAAAAACTCTGTTTACTTGTTTATCATCAAATCTCAAAAATGAGACATATTGACCAGTTTTTGACCACCAAACAGCGTCTGGTTTTTCCAAAATTTCCTCTGAAATCGAATGAAAATTAAAGGTTATTCTAGATAAAAATGACTAACCCTCATATAGCCAATTAGCAACACCATATCTGAAATAATAATCACCATCAGTTGTCAATTGAATAGCTTTTTCTGGATGTTCTGGATCTTCTTGATAATAAACATTGAAATTATGAACAAAAATGAAATCATTTGATCCTTCAGAAGGATTCCAATAAAATGCTTGAATTGTTGCGTTTTTGATAGGTCCTACTTGCCAACTAAATCTGAAAATGATATTTTTTTTGTGAGAGAGTTTAATCTCAAATCAATCATACTTTTCATTCGCAGTTCCATTATCAATTTTGACTATTGTATAAACCCGTTCAGTTGAATAGCGGAAAAGTTGTCGAATAACTTGAGTACGGTATGCATATTTTCCATTTGTTGACATGCTACTCGCCAAGTCATAATCATCCAAAAATATATGGGATTCAAAAGAATCTGGTGGATAACGAAGAGCCTCATTTGTCATCTGAAACAGGTAATATAACTATAGGGACATAATTGAGTGACAGAAAATAGGAAGTGAAAAGTGCAGGGGTGGAAGTGTAAGTGATATGTGGGAAAGTGAATTTGGGGTTACGGGGAAAGCTTATGGAACTGATTATGTTTTTTATAGAAATCGAAAAGGTGAAGGAGTATTCAATTTCTGTTTAAAACTTCATGCTGAAGTGAATTTGTCAGATTTAAGTTAATAAGTTAATAGAATTTTTATCCAAAAAATTAATCTTTGTTTTTTTTCGAATTTATGTACATTCCCAAAATCTCTTCTCTCTCACAAGATGTTCAACCCCTCAAAATTGTCCGCCCGACAAACTTGCAAATAAGATTTCTGAACTTTCATATTCTTTGAATTTATAATGAGATCAAGTAAGTTGGTTTGCCAACTTGTCCGGAGAAGATCAGAGATGACCGGAAAGCATGAAGATTTCCGTCGACATCATTATTATTTCTTTGAAAAAATAAATTGATGAGCAAAATATAGAACATGCAACTATGAAAACTACACTTTTTGAAAAAAAAACCAAATTTTTAACAAAAAAAAAATATAGAAAACTGAAATTTCGCACATTCCTAACTAATATACACTACCACCCCCATTTTCAAACTTACAGCTGTATATTCATCCTTTCTTGTTAGTAGAGATCCATCAGGTAACCATTGATGGTCAAATGATTCTAACAAAAACATTTTTCCCGAAAAAAGTTGATCAAATGTGAATTTCGCATAATTTGCTTTGAATCGATGATATTGTTGATAATTTTGACTTTCATTTCCGGTTGGCGCCAAACTGAGATCAATAGCTGAAAAAAGAAGATATTGGAAATTATTTTATACTGGAAATAACTTACGTTTTTGTGTGAGTATTAATGCAATTGCGATGATTATCAATAAAAGTGTGACGATTGCAAAAGCCGCTATAAGAATCCGCAATAAAATACCTTGTCGAGTACACTGACTCGAATTGTCATCGTCGCTGTCGTATCCCTGAAATATCATGAGTGTCTGTTTTTGTTTTCAAACAAAATTCCCATACAATACAATACCTTTTTCTCTTTTGTTCTCCTGAAACATTTTCCAAAACACTTTGTGATCCGGCAAAAAACAAAACAGTAAACATAAACAACTAGTAGATAAATCAAATAGAAATATACCAAACACATGATATTTTTTTTTTGAAAAAGTACGAATTATTTTCTTTCAGATTTGCCTTTCACATCGCATGACAACATAAAATAACCCATTTTTCCCATTTTCAAGCTCTTATTTTTTTTTCGAAAAAAAAGAAGCCAAAAAAAAGACCATGCGAAATTAGAACCTACCTTTTCCATTTGTTCAATGATCAAAAATTATCAGTCAACAGAAATTTAGAAGTTTTTAGTTTTGTCGGGGAAGGGAAGTTATTCGATTCCAGAGACCATCACATAGAAAAATCTGAAATAAATATTTGGAAAACTGAAATTCTTGAAAATTTTTGTTAAAACCAAATATAAAAAGAAAAAGGTATTTGCTATCAATGTTGGAGATCTAGAACATTGAAAGCGTAAAAAAGGTTTTGAAGGTTTTTCGAATAAAAATAGAAATGAGGTAAAAATTGATGAAACTTGGTGCAAAATTAGATTCTTGTTTTTTTTCTTTCAAAAAAAAAAAAGATTGATGAAGAGAAAGAGACGTAGAGAAAACACAGAAAAAGTACAAAAACTAGGAAGTTAAAAATCATAACAAAAAATTGATCAAAGAAAAGACAAACATACAGATGTGTTATCTAATTGCAATAATTTCGACAGAAAAAAAAGAAGTACAAAAATACAATAAACAATAAAAAAAATGAGAAAGGTCATTTTCGGCGAAGAAGTCCAAAAAAATCTGTGAGGTTTTTATATTTTTCTGGGAGAAAAAACCGAAAGTCGGCTATCTATGTATTTGAAACGAAAAGTGGATTAGTCAGTAATTATTTTACATTCTTCATTTCAAAAATTGTCTAGTCCTTTTAGACTTACTTATTAAGGAAGAAAAGCGGATGAGCTGAGCCTCAAAGAAGTGCAAATAATAGCACCACAGGAGAAAAAAACGGAAATTGTATACCATAAAAAGGTGAATATCTCATTACAGTTTATGTGTGTTTAGTAGAAAAGAGGAAAAAAAGATTGTACAAAGTTGTTAATATTGTTGACAGACGGCGGATTTTGTTTTGATCTTTTTTTTTTTGAAAAAAAAGGTGTTGAAGTTTGAAAAGTTCAGAAACTATTTTTTTTGAAAAAAACTTACAGATCTTTGAGAAATCTTTGAACAAAATCAAGTCCCAAAAAATGGAAATTTTATGTTCACGATAAATTTGCATTTACTTATTTTGAAAAAGCAAAAAATATGAAAACTGAGTTTTTTTTTGTTGTTTTTGAGAATAACACTTTATATAATTGTTTAGGCATTTTCAAGTTAATAATTGCAGATCAAAAGTGATATTTTTTTTTCTGAGAAAAATGAAGGGAAAGAACATTGTTTTTTTAAATTCAAATTAACTAACAACAATTTCCATTAGTGGTTTTATGAGATGAAAGGATTTTTGATGACCAAAGAAAAAATATACACCCAAATTTACTACGAGAGGGTTGTGGTCAGCAAAAAATCGTGTTAGAAAAATAAAATAAATATTTATATAAAATACATATAAACTATAGATTTTCCCATCACTTTGGCTCTGACATCGGTTTTCGTTCTTTTTTCAAGTGGGCGCTGGTCAAAAAATGAAATACGGAAGGAAAACGATCGTATAACTTTTTACTCAACTCACAATCAAACTATATACATATTTTTGACCCGGAAATTTGTGGATTGTTTTTGGAACTATTTGGAATTCTGAAGTTGTTTCAAGTGAAACCAACAAAAAAAAACAATTTGAAGTGGTTTTCAGAATTTTCAACACTGATCATATGAAATCTGAAAGTGACTTTTTTTTGGAAAAAAAATGATGTGATAATTTTTATGAACCGGTTTTCGAAAATGAAGAAGATAGAAGAACTTAAAAATCAGAAATTAATTGACTAGACATTTTTGACACTAATTCTTCTATTTAAAAAAGAATTTGAAAAAGAACCTTTGAAAAAAAATATGACTAAAAATTTATGAGACAAGACAAGACAATTTTTGTCTGCCAATAGTTTGGAAAACACTAATATCGAAAAGTCACCTTGTAAAACCCATCCAACCGTCAAAAAATACACATAACAGGAAAATACGACCTAACATCGATAGCTACACGACTTTTTTTCGAAATAAAAAAGACTATTTAAAAAATTATGTAGGTAATCTTCTTTTAAAAACAGTTAATTCTACTAGTTTTTATTTTTACGAGAAAAAAACCTTCGCCAAAAAACTAATAAAATGCAAAAAACTTGGTTCCTGCTCAAAAAAAAGATCATCCATTTCTAATAACTTTTTCTTTGTAGTTCTTTCGAAGAAGATGAAAGAACAATTTTGTCAAGCAAAAAAAGCAGAGGTGAGAATGAATGAGGTCAACTTGAAATAATATAAAACTCTTCAAAAAATTGAGAGATTATGTGATATTTGGAGAGATTTGAGATAACAAAGAGCAAGTCTGTCACTGATTAATGCAGTTTTCATATATTTGTGTAATAATTGGTTGAAAGTACATATTTTTGATCCGCGGTTTAATGAGGTTCGACAGCAGAGATATGAGCTTGAATGTTAGAAGTTTGAGACAAAATGTGACAACTTGGAAATGAAAAAATAACATTTATTTTTTGAAAATTTGAGGTTGATTGATCTATTGATCTTTTTTTCGAGTAAAAAAATATTACGCTGAAGATTACAACACAAAAACATTCTAAAAAATAGGTTGATATTTTGTAGCGGTAAGCTTGTGAACTAGAGTAGTTAGCATAAATTATCAAGCTTAAAATTCTGAAAGTCAACAGAAAATTCACAAAATTCACAAAGATGTTCTCAAAACACAATATATCAGAAAAGAGAAATGGAAAAGAAATCACAAGTTTTACAGGACCGAAGGCTTTGCAACTTTAGAAAAATTTTCAAAGATGTATTAAATTTTCATAAACTTTTCAATCAGATTTTGAACATAGTTCTTTTTTTCTCGAAAATTCTCAAACAACCAACAAAAAATAGAAAATTTCATCATAGTCTCAAATCTGCGAACGCTACAAAAAGCTGAAAATCCGTGAATATGAAAAGTTCAAACTTTTTAAGCAAAAGAAAATAAATCCGCGTGCGAATATGTTGTTTATTCTAGCTTTTTTTTTTCATATTTTGAACATATGGTAGGAACCAACCAAAAATTTTCGCCCTATTGAAAAATACATAACATAAACACTTATCTATCTCGACAAGGATTCTGGAAAACATCAAAATGAGATTATTTGGGCTGGAAAAATAGAAACTGGAAGTTTTTTTCTCACTAGTTTTTTGGTTGAAAAAAAAATGAAGAAGACAAATTTCGAGAAAGAAACGTAATTGTTGTTACATTGTTGTTCTGTTATCAATTAGAAAGAGGAAAAAAAGTGAAAGAAAAAACCGGTTGAAGTAAAAGTCACCGACAGTTTCCGGAATTGAGAAAATATAGTTTAACTGTCAAATTTAGAGCCTAGTGATAATTACGGCTACAACATTTTCATCGATATTCAAATTCAAAGATTTTGATGTTTTTTGTCAAAACCGGCAGTTTTTCAAAACTAATCTATCTTATATGCAATTTTATGGATTTAACAGAGAGATCAAATGTTTACTGGATTTGAATTGAAATGTGGAAAATGGGAATTCGGACATGAATTATTATACTGTAGTGCTGATCATGTTGAGATTGAATTGAGAGTGATTAATTTGTATTAACAAAATAAAATATATTATAACAAGAGATAAAATAACCCAGTTTTCAGAGATTTGTATTTATTAAAGAGTTCTTCGATGTGTTCGCTTTTTCTTGATTTTTCGGGATTTTTTATTTTTCTTCGAACTTGTTCGATGTTTTGATGCAATTTGTTCTAACATCAGATCTTCGATGAGAGCTTTTTTATCATCTACTTCCACATTTCGAACTCCGTGAATTCTCGAAAATCTAACTTTTTGATAACATTCTTCAACATCTACTTCAATAAATCTGGTACATGATTTGACTCCTTCGATGTCTGAAAAATTAATCAGAGATTTGAGAGAGCACAACATAAGTAAGGAATTTCTTCTCGAAACCTCACATTCACATGTTATCTGGCCACAGCTTCTCGGACAAAGTTCTCTGATTTTTCTCCATGATCTATCACATAATCCATTCAACGCCCAAATACAACAATGAATACTGACATCTGAAACAAATAGTTCGAAAAAATTTAATCAAAATCTTTTTTTGTAATAAAAATGAAATACCACCATCATTTGTTGGTAATTCGATGCTTGGAAGTGGAAGAAGTTCTCGAGTCGTGTCTGAAAAATCACATTTTTTATCTGATCCTAACATAAATGATATACCAATTGGAACTGGTGGAATTGGAACAATTTTGGGTTTCTTCAACATTTTCTTCAGTTTTTTCTTTGGTTTTTGTGTTGTTGGTGGATCAGTTGGTGGAAGTGGTGGGACTATATCAACACGTGTTCCAGTTACTGGAAGACTATCATCTTTTGGTGGTCGAAAAGCAGGCATCATTGGTAATTGATCTTTGTATGTTCCGTATGCTATCTGGGCTGCCATATTTTGTTCAGCCTCAATTTTTCCAAATGATTCGATTGCGGATACTATAAAAACATATATTTTCTATTTAAAAACAATTAAATTGAAGTAACTCACGAAATTTATCGAGAGACTCTAGTGGTGTTGGTTGAATTTTGATAATTGGTCGGAATGTTGTTGTAGACGTTGTGATAGTATCTACACTATTTGAATTTATCGGAACATAATTTAACATATTCTTTGCTGGAGAATAATATTGATCTGTTATTTCAACAACTTCCACGACTTCATCTGGATCACCATAATTACCAGGAGGTTCAACGATAAAAGCTGGCTTGGAAACCTCGCTGAAAATTCTTGAGTTTCATCTAGAATTTTAAGTTCTCTAATTTTAGGCTATTTATCTTTGTCAGTGATAAGCTTAGCCCGCAAATTTTCAAAAACTCACTTATCCTCAAAGAAATCGTCTGGAGCTGGTCCCAATTTCTTGAGTTTATAGGTCATTGTTCGACTCGGATCTCGGAAGATTTTATTTGTATCGGGGAAAGAGTTTGAGTCAGTGGTTGATGGAGGTGGAGCCAATTCCAAAATTTGATCAGATGGTTCCGGACTTGTTACAAATGCATCTGGTTCTGGTGTGGTTGTAGAAGTTGTTGTTGAATTAGTTTTGAACCAAGTTGTTGTCCAACCAAGGTATTTTCGAACTTCCATTGTGCAATTACGGCTTACTGAAAAATTTTATTTTCAATAATTTCATTGATATTGAGATTTTTTTCTGAATTGAGATTTTTTCTTTTTTTTTTTAATTTTACAGAAAATATTTTCCAAATTCTTCAAGTTTTCTCAATGGCAAAATTTTCAGAATTTACTCACGTTCTCGACATTTCTGGATTTCTGTACCATTCGTGTTCACTAGGCAGATAAATTGAGTTGGCTCACAATCAATTATACATTCACCCATTGCTGGAAGCCAATCAGATTCATAAAATGGATCACCACCTGAAAAATGTCTTCATAGTCAATAAAAAATTCAAAGATTTATAAACTCACAAGTCAATTCATGGTTATAAATATATTTATAAACTAACTGCGTCAAATATTTATCCTCATAACCATTTCCAAATGAAATAAAAGATATCAAGATTATTTGAATCCAGAAAAAAGTCGGCATGTGTGGTAAGTTTTTGTGTGTCAATGAATTTTACCTTTTTCCCGTTTTGGCTTCAAAAATATGCAAATTTTCCTGTAATTTAATGCAAATTGAAATGAACACAGCAAGAAATAGAGTGAAATTGGAATGAAAAAAAACGGGAAAGTGGTGATTTTGATTTATGAGAGAGGATGAAGTTGTAAAACATCAAAGAGGTGGATTTGAATTTAAAAATACCGGAAAACCGTATATAAGAGTTGAATTTTGTGCGAAAATTATATTTTGATGGTTAGTAAAAAATGCCGATGTTCAATAAAACAAGATATGAAAAGAAAATAAAACTATTTTCTACTTCTTACATTCTATTTCTATTCAAAACACAAATAATAAAAACAAATAAGCATAGTTAGCATATATCTCGAAAACTTCCAGAAACAATAGAAAATAAGAAGGAGAGAAAAATACTAGATCTGTCTCGGTGAAAGCGCAAATGAATCCGAACCGTCTCACGAAATCTATATGGTTTTTTTCTTGGTTTATTGACAGATTTGAATATATACATACACACACACACGTTCCTTTCACGCTATGTTGTTTATCCAATTGGTTATTAGTACACCCATTTTTTGTCACAATTTTTCCGTTGTTGCCAAATAAAACGTTGAGAAAAAGCGTGCAAACTTTGACCATGTTTTTCTATTTCAAGTGCAAAAGAGAAATTGTGTTTCGTTTTCAGGTCAGGCAGTGAAAATAAATGTTACAAAAATGTGGAAATCATGAACTCACTACATCCGTCAGAAAGATAATTTATTCTAGAAATATCAAATGTGAAATTTTTTCAAAATTGAATAAGATTGAAAAGTTTGTCGGGAACACTGAAGAGTTTTTAATGGGAAAAATATTCTCAAAATAGTTTCAAAACACAGAATTTATGTAGAAAAATTATTCCATAAGTGTTTCGACAAAACTTGATTTGTCTTTAATTATATGTTTCAAACTATAGTTATGAAAATGCTATATATTTCCTGGATATTCAACTTATATATCTTTTTTTCTTAATTATGAATGAAGCAAAACTTTTTTGTCCCCTCTTTGTGTTTTCAAGCCTTGCTGTCAAAAAGCAGACAGTTGCCAAAACATACCAGACATTTATTGACCCAGACTTGTGAGTATTATGTTTCACTCAAAATTGCGACTAAATTGATGCGTAACACTATTTTCTGACATATATATTACAACAAATGTGTCGCGTGAAAAAATACAAAAGTTGGAAAAATGATATATCTTAAAAAATATTTTCTGTGACTTAGAAAGTAGAAAAAACAGTGAAACGCCGTGTAAAATGGCTTGAAAGTCCATATGTACATTAGTTTGAATTATATATTTAAGAAACTTCCAGAAAAAATCCTTCGAGAATTGAACTTTTTAGAACATGCTCTTTCAAATGAGCACAACTTATTTTTTGTTCAGAGAAATTCCACTTTAAGGAATTTCTAGAATCGCAGTTGCAAAATTTTCCAATTTTTGCACATTTTTATGGGTAGATTAAAAAATATAATGCGTCTGAAATATAAAAAGTTCTACATATTTTAAATTTTGATACAACTTTGATTTTTAAAAATCATATTGTTACTAGAAATTGATGGGTTTTAACAATGTATTTTGTATTTTCTAAGCTGTTCCCAATATACTATTTTCACACATGTACCTTTGCCTATTTTTTTATGAAAATATAAAAACAAAGTTATCTGTAAATCAAGTTTATTATGAAAAAAATCAGCAATCTCAAAGCAATATAAATAAACAGTCGCAAAGTAAAAAAAAAGTAGTAATGTGAAAATTGAAAAAAAACATAGTAAAGCCAAAAAATTAAAGAAGTTGAAACATTCAAGAAAAAAAAAGACAAAGTTACAGACATTGAATCACAAAAAATACAGAAGTTTGACACAGACTTTTTTCATGACGAAAAAATAATTTTTGGGTTAATTAGCACCACGAGGAGAGCTTTGGATCGCGTGGAGTCATCAATGTCAGCGGGAAATAGGTTGAAGCCAAATTGATAAGCAATCTGACATCTGATTCGTCGCAATCAACGATAGTACAAATTCTTTCGATTTCGATGAATTGAGCCTGTAAAATTCATGATTTGAGAAATACTCTATCAAAAACATATTGAAACTTACAGTTGATTCCACTCTCAACGTTTCTACCAATGTCTCACTTTTTTGAACCATATCACGAAGCAAGTCATCCATTTCAACTAAAATGTCAGATCCATTGAAATCTTGTTGTTTAACTCTCTGAAGAAAATCGACAATGGATTTTGAAGGTTGCAGAATTTGATCGACAGTTTTGTCAGAAACAATACGAACGCTACGATCATCAATATCGGCATAAATGTAAATATTTTGTGGATAATTGAGTTTTGATATCTTCTCATTGATGTAGGGTAAATATGCAACATTTTCATCTTTCTTTCGAAGTTCTCTGATCATTCTGAAAAAATAATCGATATATGGTTAAAGTTTTAAAAAACTTTTAAAAAATTGCATACCTGTCAAAAGTGTTATTATCAGGTGTTTTGACGATTCCTTGAACTGCAAAATAATCCGAAAATTTGGTGATAGGTCCGGAAACAAGATCTCTCATCGTTTGCATTTTTTCATGAAAACGTGGAAATTTGGAGACATAATTTTGTTCGACTCTTCTAATTGCATTTGGAATCCTTTCCCGTTCATTATTTAGTCTTTCTAAGTAAGCTTCGAGCAAATGATCTTCATCAGAACTGATTCCACTTTCTCCTTCCTCGATTGAAGGCTCCCCATCTTTTTCAAAAGTGAATCTTGCAAAATATGTCATCATTTGGCAAATTTGAGCAATATCTTTCTCATTACTACCAGTTATAACCACTTTAACTGTATCAAATGGACCACAATTTCCAATCATTTCCAAATAGTTAAGCAATTCCAAACTGTGTGGTCTAAATGGAATTTCTTCTTGCTGAAATATGACAATTGTTATTATTTTCAAGAAAAAACTGAATAAACTTACCAGAAATTTTCTGACTAATTCTAAATTCCAACGAATATTAGTATTACCACCTTCTTGTTCTCTAGGAATGTGTGGAATCGTGTTAATCCATGACAAATTATGACTCAGAAAAGCGGTTAACAATTTTGAAACAAATTGTTGATTTCCTTCCAATCTCTTGATAATATCAAAAAAACAATGTCCGGTTATACGAAAACATTGTTCGAGGGTCTGTGGATTGTCGTGTTCTGTTGGTCTCGTCATTGAAGCCCAAAATGGCTGTTTCAGTTTTGGTGAGTTATGAATATTCAAGAATGCATCAGTCATTTCGCGCCATCTGTTATGGAGCATCACTTTGTAATCTCGTGAATTGACTACAAAATTCTTGACCCAGTTTCGCATTCTTTGCAGCTCTCTTTCGAGATAAATTGTGTGATTCAAAATGAATTCACGATGTTTGATTGGAACAAGAATTGCCATGCAAAATTGGATATCCGGTTTTTCTTCGAAGTAATACTCGCGTTTTTCTGTAATGAAAAAAATCATGTGAAAATATTCCAAAAATGTATTCTGAAAACTAACCAATGAATTGATGAAGTCTTATTTGTTCCATTTGAAATCTTCTGAATTTTAAGATTCGACAATCTCTAAAACTAAGTAGATTTTTTCCTGTTTGTGGTTTTTCAAAATGCCAAGACCATGGAATAATATCTCCTGGATACTTTGCACGCCAATAAGTTTTTGTTTTATCTGTGGTGATAGTTGTTTTTTGAAGATCACGGAATGATCGAATTGGTTTGTCTGCATAACAAAGTGGTCTTGGTTCTCCACGCGCTTTTCGTGGAAATCCAACGGATGCCATATATTCCTGTCTGTAAAATAATGAAAAATAATTGAATCGTTTCAAATATCAGAAAAAATAACTAACCCAACAACATTAATTTCAATTTCATCAATTATTGGTGCACAAATAGTTGGTAGATGAGCAGCATTGAATAAATCATAATTGGGTGGTTCGTTCGGAATATTGTTTTCGTTCGGAGCATTGTCGGGTTTGAAATATTTACTGTCAAACATAGGTTTGCCATCTTTGAACAAGATGAAACGAAAATCATCGCTTGTCATTTTGATTTCCGGAGATTGACTGAAAATATCATGATTGACGACAAAATTTTACAGGAAACTTTCTGAGAATTGGGGATAACTCAAGAGTCCTCACACCATTAGTTTAGAATCCTGAGTTTTTCAAAAATATATGCACCAACTAATCCAACCCAGGATATTTCTAATCTAGATAGAATTCTGAATGTTCCTTTTACTGTTGTGTTTCTAAATCTTCTTTCTCTTTCTCTCTAATTTTTTCGATCCATCTATTTCACACGTGTTCAATATGGACAATAAAGGACACCCCCCTCTCTTGTATTTCAATTTCTTTTTTTGTTTCCAATTTCCAATTTCTTCGTTGGTGGTGAAAATGTGTCAATCAGAAGAACACACACAAAAAATGAAAAAGATCGATGGCTCTTTTTTTGTCGGGAAATTGTTTTTTAATTGGGCGAAATGTGAAAAATGACGAATTGTGATAAATAAATATACGTTTTTTCGAAAACTATATGAAAATAATGATTTTTCTTGGAAATCAGAATGTTTCATAAACTGAAAAAGAACCGCGGACGGAAAGTTGAGAAACTCAGAAATAGGTGTAATGATACTTACTGTAGGGTCGAATCTAGGAATTCTATTTCAAGGAACACGATTATTGTCTAGAATTTGGGATTAAGGTTTTTAGCAAAAGTGAATATCCCGCTCCCGTTTGCTCGCACATGTGCACCCACCCTTTTGGCGGACAATCATAAGAAACACACACACACACTGCTTCCAGTTCATTTTTGTATGTTTTTTTTCAAATTTTCACCGCAACCCCAGCTTTTTTCAATGAAAATTTCGGGATCTTAACAAATTTTCCAGAAAAAAATTTGCTCTACCGAATGATACCAAATTTGTGCCATTTTCTCAGTGTCGCCTGGTTTTTCATCAAAATTACTGACAAGCTCAATTTTGGTCTCAACCCTCTTTCCTAGACAGTCCATCTCAAAATTATTGTACTATTCTAAACCAGAAACTCACCAAATTATGTCAATGATTCTCCTCTCTTCCTCTTTGACAATTCGAAGTTTTTCAGTAGCTTTTGCAAGAAGAATTGCTGGATCGGGTCCTGGGTTCGCCATTTTTGCCAAGTGTTGAAACATGGGAAGCATTTTCTGAATGTGAGAAATAGAAAACTATTATAAAAAACAGGAGGAAAATAGGAAAAAGTGAAAATCAGAGTCAAAATGAATCAGCAATATTTTTCTTCGAAACGATGCTAAGCTCCGCCCATTTTCTTTTTTTTTTCAGACCGTTCGCCATCGCGATTGGCTGCCTCGACAGAAATAGGCGGAGCTTGCGACGATGGAAGAGAAACAAAACGGCAAGACATGTGTACTTTCTTAAGGAAAACTCTGTTAGAATATAAAAGTGCAAAAAATCAGAGATATAGAGGAACAGAGAGATGAAAACAGCAAAATACAAAAACATCAGGACACCGTGACATGTATTAAACCAGAGGGAACATCTGTAGATTATTCACATTTTTAGTTGGAACACGTGGTGAAAAATGAGAGAAGGGAACTAATTATGGAGAGCGATTTACAATTAGGGATTTCAATCAAAAGAATTTTGAGACAGAATATTTTCAAAACTGAAAAAAATCGAAATTTATGTGAGTTTGTTGGGCAGGTGTATTCGGTGAGCTTAGACCACCCATGAAGTTTAAACTTTCAAAAAAAAATAGATTTTCTTCTGAAAAGAGATTTTATGTTGGTATTAATAAATATTCACAAGAAGACTATTTTTTCTTGAGAAACAAAAGGACCATCAACGATTAAAAAAAAAGCGAAATGAAAAAATAAAAATGTATATTATAATTAATGTATGTATACAAGTCACAAAAAGTTTTATATTCTCACGTTGGTTCTCATCAAATCTTGTAAATTGACACCTTAATATCCCTTACATAATTAACCAGTCAATCAAACGACTACCGTAACCAAGATGACACCTCGAACATAAAAAGTCAGCATCAATAGAGCAGGCAGATAAAAATAGCAACACAGGGACACTTTTTTGAGAAATAGTGTTGGTCCCTGTAGTGTGCTAGAGAGTGAAAATAAGAAAAGGGGAAACAGTTTTTCTGTGATTTTTTATGTGAAAAAAACGCTCAACAAACAGAAAATGTTTTGATTTGCCTCGCAACAATTATGAGACATCTATGTGTAATTGTAATTTTATTAGCGTGAGTTTCTGCAAAAAAACAAAGAAAACGTAATTGATGTGAGAAGAAAAACAGTCGTTTTTTTGTTGAAATTTTTGGCATACTTTCTAAATCCAGAAACATTTCCCACTTGAAATGCTAGAATGGAAAGGTAGAAGTGAGAAATTGTTGAAATCGAGAATGCTCTACACAAATAGATAATTATGGAGATAATAAAAATTGAGTAAAACAAATAACACTGAAGCTCAACATTTCTGGTGTCAAAGACAGTTTTCCTTGTTTCACAATGAAAAACAGAAAATCGCTGACTATGGTTTTTATTCTTCGATTGTCATGCTTTGTCACGCATTGTCACTCTTCAAAATAAACTGTTTTCGTGCTTAATAAAATAGTTCTTATAACATTCACCTCAGTCAAAATATTTTCTTTTTTCTAGAATTCATCTGAAAATGAAGATCAAATTTTCGCATTTCATTTCAGAATCTCGAAATTGGCTGTCCAACTCCAACTACCGTGTTCTTCTCCCGTCCCAAATATCTATAACATATCACATATCTACATTTGGAAAATTAACCCGAATGTCAGTCAAAATATAGCATCTAACCAAAATATAGCATATGAGTACATTTATGCAATCGACAGCAAGTTAGGAAAATGAGAACAAAAGAAAAGAATAGACAGGGAAGAGGTTGGCGGGAATGAATCAGAAAAGCCAAAAAAGTGCACTTTTACCTCTTTTTTAGAGAAATTTTGAATAGAATGGCGAGATCAAAAAAGCAGTCTCGTCTCGCCATTAACACCATTCCTCTCTTAATGACAGAAATGATGTGAAATCTACAAAGTGCTCTCGGGTTGAGCATCAAAACGTTGAAATGCACGCGCCACAAATTATACAATTGATGCATCTGCTTTTCCTTTCTTTCTTTTCTTAATGGCTAATTTTTGTGTTTAAATAAAACTAAAACCAAAAGTAAAGTTGCACTTTATGAATAGAAGTTCCCGGGAGAGAACATTGCATAGATCGATTTTGTTTTGAGAAAAATGAACATTGAGAAAAGCTGCATAAAGGGAAGGTCGAATAAGTACAATTTTCCACAGAACCAAAACAATTCAACTAACATAAACAGAATCTGGGATGGAAGTGATGTGATCAGGAAAATGTTCCGGGTGATTTTTTCGGGTTGAAGCGGCACCACAATTTGTTTGGCTATCAAATTTTTAATCTTTTCGGACTGGCCGAACAACTTAGGCAAATTCAATATTGATGTGTTTTGGAGTTGCTGAATTGACACCAACCAACTTTGGATTTGGTAGGGTGCGTTGTTGTGTTTCCCCTACAATGTTGCGGGTACTTGTACGAAATTGGTAATGTACAGTAAGGCAATTTAGTAGTTTAGTACGTGGTCTTCTTATTTCTCCATAAATTCAGAAGTTTCAAAAATTAAAAATTAAAGCAAGTGATGATAATTCAGATTTTTTAATATCCCAAAACATGTTGAAATCGAAATAATTTGATGTTGTTTGTTTTGTTGCTAAAGCTAATTTTTGTTGATTTTGTTAACATTGTGAAACTAAAAATAAGAAAAGCATGTTTTGAACTACGCCAATAACTCGAAAATATATTATACCCCAAAAAAGTTATTATCCGCAAAAATGAAAATTGAAAAAATCGAAGTGAAAAAATGCCGGGATACAGATATTTTTTCGAAATTCGGATAGATTTTGAATGAATGTTGCAAAAGTGCATATTCGGAATATTGCAAAGTGATTTTGCGGATTTCGCCCTCTTCACTTGTTTTATATTTCTATTCAATAAAATTGGCCTCCAACTGATCCATGAGCTTTGAAATGATCAACAAATAAAAAATCGCAACATCGATGTACTTTTTTTAGAATATTGGTTTTTAGCTCGTAGATAGTTTGCACTTTTGTTAAATCAGAAAACATAACAATATAAAATGGTGTTCTATTGAAAACTCCTCATTAGACATTTTGTAGACTAATTCCTGATTGCAACTTTTTCAATAAATCAACTTGCGCAGACAAAAAGTTGCGTACAATTGTCTGAAGAAACAATATAAATTCCAAACATATGTTTTAGAGTTTGTACGCGCTGTTTTATGAAACAAAGGAAGCACGTGACGAAAAATTAACCGATTTATGATTTATTTTCTAGACAGTCCCACTCATATTTCATAAAGCATATCCATAAAACTTTTTGTTTGATTTAAAAAGTCCTCACTCATAAAAATTGAATGTTTTTGAGTATTCAAAAATAATGAGAAATTAAAAAAAACAATTTCGGAACTTCAATTCCATGAAAATTATTGGCTAAAAAATCGAGAAACAAAAAGTTTGCTGTTGAGAGCTGTAAAATTTATGAATAGGAATTCAATTTTTATTGCTTTGGATTTTCAGAACTTCAGCTCGTAACTCTCTGAAATAAGAAGTTTTTGGAAAACGAGAGAATTATTACATTATTGTTTTGAAAATGTTCGATGTACGGTGTTCATATTTTTGGAAGAATGATTGAAATATTTTGTCAATTTTATTTTTTATACTATTTTCACTTTCGAATGATACAAAAAATTGAAAATAATCAACAGGCTTTGATGAGTCAAAGAGTGCGATTTCTTCAATAGAAAATTTGAAAATTTTACAAATTTTTCCAGTGTAATTTTTTTTATTAACTACCAATGAACTTCAATCTTTCAATTAATAATTTCAATAATTATGCCAATAATATGAACGTTTTCTGACATTATAGGCCTTCGATTATATTAAAATCAAGAAAAGGAAAATCAGTTTTTGTTGCACTTTTCGGAATGTTTGTTCATGAAATTCGATTTATTCTAATCGATTCTCGCACAATTTTACGCTATAAGATTCCAGACAAAAATGTTGAATTGGTGAGCATCAACTTTGTTACGAAAACTATCCTTTTGAAAGTAAGAATCTGCAAAATAAGAAGATTTATATTTAATTTCAATCGAAAAATTAAAATATTTTGTAATTGATTTGAGAGAATGTCTGACTCGAAAATGTTCAGTTTTGATTTCTTATCCAAATGTTTTGTTTTTTTTTTTGAAATTTGAAATATTATAATTTATCTAAAAATTGGTGATTCCCATGAAAATGTTCATGGTTTTTTGCTACAAAATGAAAACTGTCTCAAAAAGTTGTTCAACTAGTTCCCTGGTTTTTGATTTCTTCATTCATCCAAATATATTTCAATTTTTTCTCATCCAATTCTCACAAATAAATCGTTGTCCAACGAGTCGGAAACGATCAGTCACTGTCATTTTTCGATTTTTTTGTGTGTCCCCACACAAAAGTCGATAACTCCAATTTACATATTGACACGGTGAGTCATTCTTGCTTTACTATCAACATTTTTTTGACAGTTTTATTTTTTGTAGAAAACTGATAAGCAACAAAAATATTGTTGTTTGCCAGATTGGACGTTAATTTTAAGTGAGAAGAATTTATAAAATTCCAATTATTTTTTATGTCTCATTTTCACTCGGGTGAAATAAAAATAGTTTTCAAGAAAAAATATTTAGATGGAAAATTCTATTATTCACTCTTTTATTCATTCAAAACCAAAACCACTTCATTATTTTTTATTTCATTTTATTTATGTGCTTTTGGGAACCAGATGCGCCTTTTCCTCTTTTTTTTCCTCAATCCAAATCCCAAAAAAAGCGGACTGGTTGAATTAATCAACTAGAGTTTTTTTTCTCTCTTTCCATTCATTGAACATTTTTGTTGGGTTCTATTTCTGTTTGCTTGTTAGTCTATAGTGTTAGGTTGGTTTTCACAAATAAATAAATGAAGCAAAAGAAGAAGAAAAAGACAATTGTAAGTGGTACCGTATTTATTTTTCTATACTGATTTTTATGTGTCTCATTCAAATAATTTCATAACTTTTATTGCTATCGGATACTGTAGTGACTTTTTCTCATGGGAAACATTAAATAATTTTTGAAAAACATCAGATTGTTTTTCAAATTTTGAACGTTCACCTGAAAGTTAGCCCGAAAAATAGGATTATTGTGATGAAATTCGAATTTCAGATCATTTCCTGATTTTCTCACGAACAACAATTTGAAAAGCTTGTGTCAAAATTTGTTTTGAAGAAACCACAAAACTTCAAAGGGATTTTGCCACATCACAGCTATTTCCAACTTTTTCAGCAATATTTGAATTCAGCATGTGTAAAATTTCAAAAAACTGAAACATAAAAATTTAGAACTCCCTGTCCAAGCTTTGAAGTAATTTGGAACCAGGCCTAATTGTATACACCTGTGAATCAACTTCTGAAATGTGTTTTTTTATTCCAAAGTCGAACTCTTCCTGACCCTTCTCTGTAAAATTTGGAGTGTCTAATTAGATTTTTTTCAACCCCTCAAACATTTTTTCGAATCCCAAAAAAGTGCACTTCCCTTTTTTTTCCCAACATTCCACAACTTTTTTCCTCCGTCATCTTCTTCCCCTCAAAAAAATCCCCCAGCACATACATACAAAAAAAGGCCCAAAAACGTCGTTGGCACCATTCTTTTTCTTCTCTTCTTCTTCCCAAATATATATATATACAATGTTTTCTGTTTGCAAGAGACACACAAATCCCAAGAGAAAGAGAGACACAAAATTGATCGCGCAAAGTAAGAAGAGAGGAGAGAGTGTGAGAGAAAAAGACAGCAGGCGCGAGCACCAGCAGCAGCAGCAGCAGTCAGTGTATTCTCTTCCTCTACGTCTCTATTTTTCTTGTTGTCCTCTCTTTTCCTTGGTCTGGTCTGTTCTGTTTTGTTGTGTGTGTGTATGTATGTTTCTGTTTGAGAAAGGGGGCCACACAACCCAGCGATCAATAACATTCTCTCTTTTTTTTGCTTTTTTGTTGGCAAGATGAGATGGAAGAAGAAGAAGAAGAGTTTTTTGAGCTCAGAGTGACTTTGAGCTCTTTTTGTACTAACCAACACCCCAACTTTTCTTATCTTTTCCAGATAGTTTTCTCTGTTTGCTTGATTGAATGACTCACTTTTTTTCTTTTTTTCTCGAAATAAAATGCAATTTTGTTTACAAATTCTTCGGATTCTCTAGCATTTATGTAGAGAGAAAAAGTTGTTTTGAAACTTGAACCTGACGCCTGCAAAAACTATATATTTTTGTTTAGGAGGTCTCTTACGAAATTCTCTGTGACTCATAATTTTCTGAAAAATTCCTGCTCTGCTCTCTTTTCTGCTCCAAGCTTATGTTAGCTTCGATTTTTTTGAGGGAGGATTAAGAAGCATTTGTTTTGATTATACTGAAAATTATTCCAAATTTTCTGAAAATCGCTCAAAAAATTCTCTCGAACAACAGATTTGATCATCAAAACCTCAACACATTCAAATTTCTCGCTCTCCTCAAACCTGACAGGTAAAAGAACTAGAAAAAACCTTGAGAAGGTCACCGGGCGGAATCTCTTTCTCTTTTTTCTCTCACTCGATTTTTTGCTGATATTTTTTTGGACGCGTTCTTTTCTTTTTTGGCGGGAAAACCCTCAAATGTAATTGGTATCACTCATTTCTTCTAATAATTTATTGTCTTGTTTGTTATTATATATTTTAGATTCGGGCCATTTTTCGGGCTTGTTGTTTTCATAAATTTTTCAAAATAACCCGAGCCCCCTTTTTAATGCCCGAACCCTACTAAAAAAGATTTTCTGAAGATCTACATGATTTTTTGCTTTTTTGTCATAATCAGAAAAAAATGTCGGAAGTGCGCAGATAAACAAAAGCCTTGTTGATTTTGGTGTTTGCTCAAGTCTCAGAGCTCTTTATCACTCAATTTTTTGCCTTTTATGTTCTTGTCTCCGCTTTCCTTTTGGCATTTCCTTTTTCCTTTCATACTCATAACAAATCAAATGTGTTTCCAGTAAGTTATGGCTGATTCGAATGATACTCACGCACCACCCGAGCCGGTTCTCGAAGTGCCTCCACCACAAGAGATTCGAATTCTAGAAACATCAGAAGATATTCAAAATCGACGTCAAGAAGTGTTGGGACACTACACACAATTCAAAGACTTCTCCAAAACCAAACGTGATCGTCTTGAAGAAGCGCGTCAATTTCAATATTTCAAACGTGATGCTGATGAATTAGAAGTGTGGATTTTGGAGAAATTGCAAACCGCTCAAGAGGAATCGTTCAAAGATCCAACTAATCTTCAGGTAATTACTGTTTTTTCTTTATTTTTTCTTCTTACAAATTACATAACATCGAGGTCGTTTTCCTTTCTTTTTGTCACCGGAACTTTTCAGTAATATTTTTGACACCAGCTGACCCATATTTACTCGTCGCCCGCTATCTATTTTGGATATCTGTATAGTTAGAGTGTCCTTGACATAGTAAATATATAATATAATATAATAATTTGCGCAGGGGAAAAAATAGAAGAGACAGTTTGGTTGATAATCCGATTAAATATATTCTCCTTTTTCGGAAAAAAAAGATAGATTAAGAGAGACTGGTTATATAACTCACAAATTACTAATGGATGAGAAAAATATTAAAGTAAACTTTTCAGGCCAAGATTCAAAAACATGAAGCCTTTGAAGCTGAAGTTCAAGCTCACGCCAAAACCATTGCCAATCTTGATAAGACCGGAAATTCGATGATTCAACACAATCATTTTGCAAGTGATATCATCAAGGTAATTTTATTATCTAGAATTGGAAAATTATTATCAAATTATATATTTTTTTAGAAACGATTGGAAGAATTGCATGCTTTATGGGATAAACTTTTCTTCAAACTTAAAGATAAGGGAATTAAGCTACAACAAGCATTGAAACTATTACATTTTATTCGACAATGTGATGAAGTATTATATTGGATTCGTGAAAAAGAGACCTATGTCACCGCAGAAGACATGGGAATGGATTTGGAACACGTTGAAATACTTCAAAGAAAATTCGATGATTTCTTGAAAGAACTTGGAAATCATCAATATCGAATCAACGAAATCAACCAGGCTGCTGACAAATTGGTTGAAGAAGGACATTCAGAACATGATCAAATTTATAAGAAACGTGATGATGTTAACGATGCATGGCATAAATTGAATACATTGGCTGCGACAAGAAAAGAAGGATTGTTTGGAGCTCATCAAGTTCAACGATTCAATCGTGATGCTGATGAAACTTTGGCTTGGATTGGAGAGAAAGATAGTGCATTGTCGAGTGATGATTATGGAAGAGATTTGAATAATGTTCAAGCTCTTCAAAGAAAACATGAAGGAACTGAAAGAGATCTTGCTGCTTTGGAATTGAAAATGCAACAACTTGAGAAAGAAGCTGCTAAATTGGCCGAAACTCATCCAGATCGTGCAGATGCTATTTATCAAAAGAACAATGATACCAAAGATTCTTGGAATGCGTTGAAAGAAAAAGCTCAACAACGTAAAGATGGATTGGAGCGAAGCTACCAATTGCATCGATTCCTCGCTGATTATCGTGATCTTGTTAGCTGGATTCAAGATATGAAAGCTGTTATTGGAGCTGATGAATTGGCTAAAGATGTTGCTGGCGCTGAAGCACTTCTTGAATCTCATCAAGAACATAAAGGAGAGATCGACGCCAGAGAGGATTCATTCAATCAAACCGCCGCTGCTGGACAAAAATTGGTGGAAATTGGAATTCCTGGAAGCCAAGAAGTTCGCGAGAAGCTCGAGAAATTGGCCCAAGAAAAAGCTGCTCTCCTCGGATTGTGGGAAGAGAGAAGAATTTTGTATGAGCAATGCATGGATCTTCAATTGTTCTACAGAGATACTGAACAAGCTGAAACCTGGATGAACAAACAAGAAGCTTTCTTGGCTAACAATGATCTTGGAGATTCACTCGATTCTGTTGAACATTTGATCAAGAAACATGAAGATTTTGAAAAATCATTGGCTGCTCAAGAAGAAAAAATCAATGCTCTTGATGAATTTGCCACTAAATTGATTCAAGTAAGAATACTTTTTTATCACAATACAAATTCATTTTTCACATTTCGAATTACAGGGTCAACATTATGCTGCTGAAGATGTTGCTAAAAGACGTCAAGCTCTTCTCGATCGCCGTCGTCGTCTTCTCGACAAAGCTCGTCTTCGTGGAAACGCTCTCAAAGAGAGTTACAAGAGACAAACATTTGATCGTGATTGTGATGAGATGGTTAGCTGGATCACTGAAAAACTCTCGACCGCTCGCGATGATTCATATTTGGATCCAACCAACATTCGTGGAAAACTTCAAAAGCATATCAACTTTGAACAAGAATTGAAGGCTAATGAGAATCGTCTTGACGATATTCGCTTAACTGGAGATCAAATCATCCAATCTGGACATTTTGCTTCTGATCATGTAAGTTTCAAATTGAGAAATTATAGAACATTAGGAACAAAAATGTTTTTCTAGATTGGTGATCGTTTGCGTCAAGTGAACAGCTTGTGGAATGATTTGGTTGATGCTACCAACAAAAAAGGAGCCAAACTTCGTGATGCTGGAAATGAGCAACAATTCAATAGAAACATTGAAGATGTTGAATTGTGGCTCAGCGAATTGGAAGGACAAGTTGCTTCTGAAGATTATGGTAAAGATCTTGTATCTGTTCAAAATCTTCAAAAGAAAATTGGATTGTTGGAAAGTGATTTTAACGCTCACAACGATCGTGTTGATGGCATCAAGAATTTGGCGAAACAATTCGAAGATGAAGAGCATTTCAATGCTCCAGTCATTGTTCGCAAACAAGAATCACTTCAATCAAGATATAATGCTCTTCGTGATCCATTGGAAAAGAGAAAGAGAAAGCTTGGCGAATCACTTCAAGGAAATCAATTGTTCCGTGATATTGAAGACGAATTGGCATGGATTCGTGAGAAAGAACAAGTTGCTGGAAGTACCAATCGAGGACGTGATTTGATTGGTGTTCAAAATCTCATCAAAAAGCAACAAGCTCTTATCGCCGAAATTGCTAACCACGAAAGCCAAATCGAATCAGTCAGCAAAGCTGCTGAAGATATGATTCAACAAGGGCATTTCCTTGCTCCAGAAATCCGCGACAAACTCGCTCAACTCCGTGACAACTGGAGAATTTTGAAAACCAAGGCTGAGAAGAGACGCGGAGAATTGGATGATTCCCTTCAAGCTCATCAATATCTTTCTGATGCTAATGAAGCTGATACTTGGATGAGTGAGAAAGAACCTATTGTTGGATCAACTGATTATGGAAAGGATGAAGATTCAGCTGAAGCTCTTCTTAAGGTAAATAATAATTTCAGAGAATATTTCAATATATTCATATTTTTTTAGAAACATCGTGCACTTTTGTCCGATTTGGAAGCCTTCAAAGGAACCATTGAAGATTTGCGCAAACAAGCTTCACAATGCAAATATCAAGAACAACCAATGGGACAACTTGGAAGAGATTGTGTCTTGGCTCTTTATGATTATCAAGAAAAATCACCAAGAGAAGTTTCGATGAAGAAAGGAGATGTTCTCACTCTTCTCAATGCATCAAACAAAGATTGGTGGAAGGTTGAAGTCAATGATCGTCAAGGATTTGTTCCAGCTGCCTATGTCAAGAGAATTGAACCAGGAACAGCTCAACAACATGCCCAACAACAAGTGAGTTATTATATCTTATATAAACAAAACATAAACAATAAAAACAACTGTTAGGTAAACTCGATTGGTGGAAAACAATCTGAAATCGAAGACAAATATCAAAGACTGATGATGTTGGGAGAAACCAGAAAGAGAAAATTGGAAGAAGCTTGCAAAGGATATCAACTTCTCCGTGAAGCTAATGATTTGGCTGAATGGATCAAGAGCCGCGTAAGTTTTATTTATTTTTCTTGAAATAATCTTGAGTTTCTCTAACTTATTATTTTTAGACTAACATGGCAGAAGTAAGTAAAAAGAGTCAACAAAATATGTATTCTTATTGTAAAATTTTTGTGAAAAAGCTTTGTGAAGATGTGTTTTTTTTTTTGAGTATTGTTATTTATCAGCAGTCTTGGAGAGAATCCTAATTGAAATCCATGCGGATCTGGGATTTTGTGGCTTTTTGTGAATTTCAAAAATAAATAATTGTTTTTCAGGAAGCTGTTGCTGCTCAACAAGAAATTGGAACCGATCTTGAACAAGTTGAAGTTCTTCAAAAGAAATTCGATGATTTCAAGGGAGATCTTAAGGCTAATGAAGTTCGCCTTCAAGAAATGAACCAAATTGCAACTGCTTTGACATCAGTTGGACAAACTGAAACCGCTGTCAGAATCCGTCAACAAATTGAAGATTTGAATGCAAGATGGAGAGCACTTGAAGAGCAAACCGAACAAAGAGAACAACAACTCGGATCAGCTCATGAAGTTCAAAGATTCCACAGAGATGTTGATGAAACTAAAGACTGGATTCAAGAAAAAGACGAAGCTCTTGATAGCGAAGATTTCGGAAGAGATCTTCGATCAGTTCAAGCTCTTCAACGTAAACATGAAGGAGTTGAAAGAGATTTGGCTGCACTTGGAGATAAGATCAAATCATTGGATGAGAAGGCAAACCGTCTCAGACAATCGCATCCAGAAGCCGCTGAACAAATTTATGATCTTCAACGTGAATTGAATGAACAATGGAATCGTTTGACTCTCAAATCCAACAACAGAAAGGAGAAACTTTTGGATTCATATGATTACCAAAGATTCTTGACTGATTATCGCGATTTGATGCAATGGATTGCTTCGATGAATCAACTTGTCAGTAGTCAAGAATTGGCCAATGATGTTACTGGAGCTGAAGCTCTTCTTGAACGACATCAAGAATACAGGTTTGTAATAAAAACTTTTTACGATGGTTCAAACCTAAAAACTTTTTTTGCAGAACCGAAATCGATTCTCGTTCTGCCACATTCCAAGCTTTTGATCAATTTGGAAATCAACTCTTGAAAACTCGCCATTATGCTGCCAAGGATATTGACAAGAGACTTCAAGATGTAAGTTTTTCTAATTTTTTGATGGAACCTCTTGTGAAATTCTTTTTTTTCAGGTTAATGATGCTCGCAAGGGACTTGAAGATGCCTGGGTTGCCAGAAGAAACATTCTTGATCAATGTCTTATGCTTCAACTCTTCTACAGAGATTGTGAACAAGCTGACACTTGGATGTCTGCTCGTGAAGCTTTCTTGGCCCAAGAAGATCCATCTGGTGATAATGTTGAATCACTCATCAAGAAACACGAAGATTTCGACAAAGCTATCAATACTCAAGAAGAAAAGATCAAGGGACTCAAATTGTTTGCTGAAAATCTCATCAAGGAAGACCATTATGATGCTCCAGCTGTTGAACGTAAACGTGACCAAATTTTGGATCGTTGGAACAATTTGAAGGATGCTTTGATTCAAAAGCGTTCGAAATTGGGAGAATCACAAACTCTTCAACAATTCTCACGCGACGCTGATGAAATTGAAAACTGGATGGCTGAGAAATTCCAAATTGCTCAAGAAGAAAACTATCGTGATCCAACCAACATTCAACAAAAACATCAAAAACAACAAGCGTTTGAAGCTGAACTTTATGCCAATTCTGACAGAATTGCAGCTATCATTCAAGCTGGAACCAATTTGATTGATAATGCTAAATGTGGAGGTGGTGAAGCTGCGGTTAGCGCAAGATTGAAGGCGTTGAATGATCAATGGGATTTGCTCGTCAAAACAACCACCGAAAAGAGTTATCGTCTCAAAGAAGCCAACAAACAAAAGAGTTTCATGGCTGCTGTCAAAGATTTGGAATTCTGGTTGGGAGAAGTTGAAATTCTTCTCAACTCGGATGACTATGGAAAAGATTTGGCATCTGTCGAAAATCTTTTGAAGAAACATTCTCTTCTTGAAGCTGATATTGCTGCTCATCAAGATCGTGTTAATGAGATGAACGATCAAGCTGATTCATTGTTGGAGAATGATCAATTCCAAGGACAACAAATTGCTGAAAGAAGAAAGTTGATTAGTGATCGATATGATAATGTCAAGAAAATGGCTGCGGATCGTCGTGATAAATTGAGCAAATCTTTGAATGTTCATCAATTCTTCCGTGATATTGATGATGAAGAATCATGGATTAAGGAGAAGAAATTGTTGGTTTCATCTGATGATTATGGTCGTGATCTTCCTGGAGTCCAAAATCTTCGTCGTAAACATCGTAGAATTGACACTGAATTGGCTAGTCACGAACCACAAGTTTCGCTTGTTAAGCTTAAAGGAGAAGAATTGTTGAGAAGTGCTGCTGAAGCTGGAATTGGTGAAGATCAAATCAAGAAACGTATGGATGAATTGGAGAACTCGTGGGGACAAATTCGTGATCTTACCGGAAGTCGTCATAAGCGTTTGGATGAATCTGAAGCATTCCAAGAGTTCTTGGGAGATGTTGAAGAAGAAGAGGCTTGGATGAATGAGAAACAACAAATTCTTGGATCTGACAACTTTGGTGATAACATGGCTGGAGTTCAAGGATTGTTGAAGAAACATGATACATTCCAAGTTGATTTGGAACTTCACAAACAACGTGTTGCTGATTTGGTTAACCGAGGTGACAAACTTATCGGAAATGGCAATCATCATGGTCCACATATCAAACAACGATGTGATCAACTTCGCACAAGACTTCAAGATATTGAAAAGATGGCTGAAAGACGTCTCGCTAAACTTCGCGACAATTCAGCTTATCTTCAATTTATGTGGAAATGTGATGTTGTCGAGAGTTGGATCGCTGAGAAAGAACAACAAGTTAGAAGTGAAGATTTTGGAAGAGATCTCTCATCTGTTCAAATTCTTCTCACCAAACAAGAAGCTTTTGATGCTGGTTTGAATGCCTTTGAACACGAAGGTATCCAAAGGTTCGTTTATTTTTTGAAAATTTCTTTGTGAGATCAAAACAATAACATGTTTTCTTTAGAATCACTGAATTGAAAGATCAACTTGTCTCGGCTCAACATCAACAATCACCAGCAATTGATAAACGCCATTCCAATGTGATTCAACGTTGGCAACAACTTCTCTCGCATTCTGAAGCTCGCCGCCAGAAATTGTTGAAAATGCAACAACAATTCAAACAAATTGAAGAGCTCTACTTGGCATTCGCCAAAAAAGGCCTCCACTTTCAATTCGTGGTTCGAGAATGCCGAAGAGGATTTGACTGATCCAGTTCGATGCAATTCTTTGGAAGAGATCCGCGCTCTCCGTGATGCCCATGCTGAATTCCAGGTTTGTTTTGGTTTAGAAATTGGGTTACTCACAATAAATGTTTCATTTATAGCGCTCATTGTCCTCCGCCGAAGAGGACTTCCTTCAATTGCAAGATCTTGATCGTCGGATCAAGTCGTTCAACGTGGGCGCAAATCCATACACTTGGTTCACCATGGACGCTCTTGAAGACACTTGGCGCAATTTGCAACGAATCATCAAAGAGCGCGAACAAGAGTTGGCCAAAGAGCATCAACGACAAGAAGAGAATGACAAACTTCGACGTGAATTCGCCAAACTTGCCAACTCTTTCCACACATGGTTGACCAACACACGACAAGAAATGATGGAAGCTGGCGGATCTTTGGAGGAACAATTGGATGCGGTGAAGAGAAAGGCTGGAGAGATTCGAGCAAACAAATCACAATTGAAACAAATTGAAGAGAAAGGAGCAATGTTGGAAAGAAACCTTATTCTGGATAATAGGTAAGATTTTTTGAATTCAATTTATTTGAAACATATCAATTCATGTATTTTTCAGGTACACGGAACATTCAACAGTTGGAATTGCACAAGCTTGGGATCAACTAGATCAGTTAGCAATGCGAATGCAGCACAACCTCGAACAACAAATCCAAGCAAGAAACCAATCTGGAGTGACGGAAGAAGCACTTCGAGAATTCTCAATGATGTTCAAACATTTCGACAAAGATAAGACTGGCCGCCTCGATCATCAACAATTCAAGAGTTGTCTGCGAGCTCTTGGATACGATTTACCGATGGTCGATGAAGGTCAACCAGAACCAGAATTCCAACGAATTTTGGACATTGTCGATCCAAACAGAGATGGTTATGTAACACTTCAAGAATACATGGCATTTATGATCAGTAAAGAAACTGAAAACATTCAATCATCCGAAGAAATCGAGATGGCTTTCAGAGCCTTGTCGAAAGAATTCAGACCTTTCGTTACCGCTGAGGAACTTTATGCTGTAAGTTTTCATATTTTTTGTCAAATTCAGATGTTCATAACTCTTTTGTTGCAGAACCTCACACCGGAACAAGCTGAATTCTGCATCAAACGTATGAAACCATACACTGATGCGATTTCTGGTCGATCGATTCAAGGAGGACTCGATTACGAGCAATTTGTCCACGCCTTATTCCAAAGTTAAAATGTTTTCAATACGGATTTTCCCTCCAAACAAAAAATCGTCATAAATACATTCTTGTTTTGTTTTTTGTCTTATTTATAACCCTATTTCTGACTGGTCAAAATGTTTCAGCAGCTTTCCCCCCGCCCTGCCATTTTTATTAAATTTCGACCCCCCCCATCTTCACATTGATTATTTCATTCCTATGCCTATGCCTAATATTATTTTTGTATGAGCAATGCCTATGTGTCGAATGACTTTATTTTATTTTTGAAACATACTTTTCTCCCCAATTATAGCTTTCGTATGGAAACTTTACTATGAATTGAATTTAATCTGAAATAAATATTATAGCTATCAATTTGTTTTTTTGATTTTTGTGGGTTGCTAATGAAAAACCCACAAAAATTGAAATTTTGATTTTTGTGGGTTGCTAGTGAAAAAAACCCACAAAAATTGAAATGTTGATTTTGGTGGGTTGCTAGTGAAAAAAACCCACAAAAATTGAAATGTTGATTTTTGTGGGTAGCTAATGAAAAAACCCACAAAAATTGAAATTTTGGTTATTGTGGGTTGCTAATGAAAAAACCCACAAAAATTGAAATTTTGGTTATTGTGGGTTGCTAATGAAAAAACCCACAAAAATTGAAATTTTGGTTTTGCATAATTTGAAGAGAGTAATAAAAAAATGCTCAACAAATGAAATAATATCAATTTCACACTCAAATCATTATTATCTACTTCAAAAATGGACTGATTTCACACCTTTTTTCTGAAAGAAAAATACGAGTTATTAAAATTATCACACTAATGAGAAGAAATTTTTAAAAACATTTATTTTTACATTGCAAAAATTTGAAAAGAAAATATATTGATAATTGTTATTCTAGTTAGAAAAAACCGATTATAATAAAATAAATATGAACATACTTGTGGATAGAAATCACGTTTCAAATTACTGGGAAAAAATTAGACATTTTCAGTAGATAAACACATTTGAGATCCACATTTAGAATATAATACTTTGAAAGGAAGAAGTACGTGTGGTAATTAATGAACAATATTGTTAAGATACTTTTCTTCTTGTTCGAGTGGTATTGGTTTGCGGCAATTTGGACAAGCTGAATTATCAATGAGCCACTCGGAGAAACACTGAAAATCCAATATTTAGATAAAAATTAAGATTCTTTATATGTACCGTTTCGTGAAAATACTTCTTACAATGATAGCAGATATCTAATCTCTGTTCCAAACTCATTTCGCGTTGACAGAAAATACAAATAGTATTTTCACGTAGTGGTTCAGTTTGAGGTTTTTCGTCAGATTTATCCAAGATTGGTGGATCGAAAACTTCAAGAGGTGGCAATGGGTCAGAACAATTGAAATCTAGTGAAGGCATCATTGGTTGAGCGAACGTTTCTGCCTCAATTGCCAATTGTTGTATATCGACTTTTTTTATTCCAAAAAGTGTGTAATCATCTGGTTGTGGTTCTCCATTATACACATAGATTCTTTCGAAATTATCATTTGATAGAATTTCGTTGACTTCTTCTTTAGTGATTCTGAAGTATTTGAAGGCATTTTTTATAAATTTATTTAAAAGAGTAGTTTGATGTCGCAAAACCTTGATACCATAGTCGTAATAATTCTTTTCACTGTGAAGTTCTTTTCCTTTGTTTTTTAGTGCACATATCAAATTGTCAATATAAATGCGATACCTAAAATAATATGAAGTTATCAGAATATAGACTATGCTTGAAACCTTACTCTGTTTCTCTTGTTTCGTAGTGACGAATTGAATGTTGCAAATTTTCGATCATCTTATCTTTTTCAGCATTATTTCTGAAAATTAAAACATGTTTTGTTTAGAAAAAATTGAGGACGAGAAGAAAGATGTGGATTGGTTTTATAGGCCGCACAAAAATAACCCGGGCAACGAAAGACCGAGTATATATGAAGCGTAACATAAATCAAAGAGAAAGATTTGAAAAAAATTGTCCACCTGTTTCATTAACAATCCGGACAAACAAGGTTTTTTTTTCAATGAAACAAAAAAATAATTTTTAAAAATATTCAAACCTACCTTTCTAGCAATTTTAAAGTTTCTCTGAGGGCTTTGTTCTCTTCTTCCATAGTTTCCAATATTTCACTAAACTCGAGCATATAAGTGAGGTTTTGATGAAGTGGCCTGAGAAACAATGATAATTTTTTTTCGATTTTTTCAAAACTCACAAATTTTTGCTCATTTAAAAGGTATTTTGCACTAATAAATAAATGAAAAGAGGAAGAAAGAAATAGCAATATGTATAAATATTATATAAATAATAGAGTGGAAAATGGAAAATGATTGTGGCAAGCTTAACTAAAAGAGCAGGTTATAATTATGTTTTATATTTGGGTTAAACCTATGAAGCAATTAAAATATGATTCTTTTTGTTTTCCGTTTATAGATTATGTGCATATATATTTTAGTCTAATGCGCAGATTAGTAGAGAAAAAAGAAAGTATAAAATAATTGGTGGCATAAAAAAGTGGTTTGGCTCATAAATTAAAATCATCTAATTTTAAGACATGGAATGATTTTCATAACTTGTCTCCTATGTTCCGATGAAAATTCAAAATTTCAGCTGCTGAACATAATTTTGACAAAATCTATGGCATTTTTCTTTTAAAAAAATCAAAGGTTTGAAATAATAATTTCACCTGGGAGATAATATCATCAAATTTTCTATACTAAAAATGTATGTCAGAATCTTTTTTTTAGTCTTATAATTTCGAAGAAAATACCTTTGATGCGATTCAAATTAAAACTTAAAAGGGTTTGAATAGGAAATCTTTTAAAAATAACTCTTAAAATGTTTTCTTTTTCAAAAAAATGAAAAGGACAGTCAAATCTGCTCTGTTACACACGAAATTTTGAGTTTTAGAAAAAAAATGCATTAAAGCAGCTCACATTACATTCTATGTTAGTAATAAAATCTTATAAGACTGAATGCGAAATGTTTTCTGAAGAGTCGATTGTGAGTACAATTTCCTACGATTTTAATACAATTTTCATTGAGAATTTATTTTTTTTTCAAAAAACTTCAAATGACTGAAAAAGTATTTATTTACATTTGGAAATAAAATAAATTAGAACCTAAATAAAAACTTAATTATTAAAAAAATCGTTTGATTTCAAAATTCTCCTAATTCAAAAATAAAATCCTATTCTGCCATTGACATGCAACGTCTTGTCATTGATGGAGATCTTGAACTCTGATTTTTGTTATTTTTCACAAAAAGTGAACTTCGATGTTCATTTTCGACGATAAAAACGTTCTGTTTTGCCACCTCATCTTCACCAATTCTGAAAAAATAGTTTGTAAAGTTTCATCTAAATCTATAGAAACCAACCTATCAAAAATTAGTCCATCAACATTCATTTCTTCTTTGAACTTCTTCTGAATATCCTTCGAATTCAAATCATCTCCCCAAACAATTTTCACCAATCCATATCTATTGGCAATTATGATTGGACTTTTATCATTCAACAATTCTTCACTATGGAAATTCACACCAAGTAATTCACATCCAGCTGCAAAATTTGCGGCAATTTTGCTGCAATCTGATCGAATGTCCTGAAATTTAAAAATTAGGACCACTAGAGATAGTTTTGAATGATTTTAGATTACCTTAAATGGCATATATCGATTTGTAGCTCCAACAACAAGAAACAGAACTGGGTATCGATGTTGTTTTTTGGTTATTCTGGAAAGAAATTTTTCTCTTATAAAAAATGCCTGCTAATCCTTACAATGTACAAATATCAGGCTCGAAACAAGAGAAGGCAATTCGTCGGTTCCCTGCATGTTCAGCCACTTCGCTCAATATCCGATCCACAAATTTATTTTGCTCAAAATATCCGTGACATTCGTGTGAGCCATCCTGTAATCAACAACAACATTTGTTATTTGAACTCAAAGAACTCTTTTTCTCTTCTTTTTCTGGTGGGGTGATTATGAAAAGGTTTTTGATTTTTTGTGAAAAAATTGATACAAATTATATAAATATCATAGTTTACAATCTCAATTTGAATTGATATCATTTAAAGGGGAAAAATCAAAAATTAACAAGGAAGTTGGAGAGAAAAAGAGAATATTTCAAAAACAATGGCACAATTGTTCGCCTAGAATTATTGTGAAAAAATTCATAAATAAAGGGAACTCACTTTCATATACATTGGATATTTGATTTCAATATTCAATCCAACATTTTCATCAACTAGTTGGAGAACTTGTGCAAGTGATGGGAATGGAACATGCATTTCGTCGGTTTCATCTTTTCCTGGTGTAACTGACAATGTTTTTTGATTTTCTGCTTTTGTATCAGCTTTCGAAATGTGTTCGCAGTGTAGAAGCTTGAGTTGTGAAAGAGTCAGATCCTGCAAAAACACTTATTTTGTTTTCATACTTTGAATAAGGCGGAAAAAATACACAATTGTGTTGTGATTTTGTAGAAGTTTTCGTAATTGTGAACATTTGATCTCATCAATATATGTTTTTCTAACTGTTCATAATCACGAAAATATCTTCTGAGCAATTTTGTTCAAGAGCCAAACATTGTACTCACAAAAAACTAGAGCACATGAGCATTTGCGCTCAATTGCAATTTCTTCGCTCGACAGGGACTCAAGCGATAGAAAAGAGACACAGATTGTTAGACAAATCTATTTTTTTAACATAGACAAGAAGAGAGAGTAAAAAGAAAAAAAGATGCAAAAGCTTACCTTGATAGCAATTTCATGTAAAGCTATATTTTCTCCGCCAATTGTTGGTGTACCCGCAGGGGAATCTCGGCCAGCAACAGTCACCAAAACATGAAAATCATGATACACCACAGTTTTCATATCTTTGGTTAATTGAACATCGAGTTCGACATAATCGGCACCACGTTTTGCTGCTTGATTCAATGAGAAAATTGTGTTTTCGCGAGCACTTGTTGATTTTGTGTAAGAACTTCCCATTCCACGATGACCAATTTCAAGAATTCGTTTACGTTTTCTCCAATATCTTCCGAATGTCAATTCCATTGAATCAATTTGAGAAAGAGTTTCAGCAGCTGGATTTCTTTTAGTAATCATAAAATCAACTAAAAAAAATTATAGTTATGTGAGAAAACAACTTGATTTTCTCACCATTCAATTGTCCAACTGGAACATTATTGACTCCAACAAACGGAAAAATTGCTGCTCCGTGAGTTTCAGGAAATGTTGATGGAAGAGCATATGCAATTGCACAGCGTTTTGTTTCATGATAAAGTTCCACACGAAATCCGAGATTTTGAATCGACACAGTTCTTGTTCGAAAAACCAAATAATCCACATTATTTCGAAACACTGATCCATTAACATATTGATCACCAAAAATTGGATCTTCTCTTGTCAAAACAGAAAGATCAGTGTCAGAAAAACTGGGAAGATTTGGAAGATATGATGCATTATCCATCTCATCTTCAATATCTTTCTGAAATAAAAAATATTATTTTTGATTTTCTTTATTTGGTAGCTCTTCTAATAATGAGACAATGTACTTTCACAACACAACATTTGAAACTAACAGAAATTGAGGTATAAACTGAAGAATGTCTCCAGATAGCTCTTCTAGAATCCAAGCCTTTATGGCCGTATGAAAACATCTAAATTCTCTTGAACTTATGCTAGAAAAGTAGAAAAAACATACCTCTCTGAATCTAACATCAAATGGCACAATTTTCAATCGATATTCTTGAACGGAATACTGTTTTTTATAAAACTTCAAAGCTTCTCCATGAATTCGAAAATATACAACATTCTCAATATCGTTCAGAATCCAACCATCAGAAATTTGCACTTTTCCATCTGAAAAATGGGGAAGAATCAAGAGAAAATTCAATTTTTTTTTAAATTTTAGTTACCGTATTCTCCAAATTGATGTAATGTATTTTTTCTTGCAACACCGTTTGATGCTTCACACTCAACTAGACATTGACGAGGTGTGAAAAGTGTTTCCCATCTGGAACAAATCGTGAAAGGTTAATTTTATTTTTAATTTTCATTCAATCTCACTTTGATAAAACAAATTTTGGTTCAGGAGATTCAGTTTCTGCAGCATCCAGGTAATAAGCTTTCAAATAACGAAATTGAATATGTTGTTTTTGATTTGGAATTTGGATTGAACCACACCATAACTCACTGAAAACATAAACAAATATTAGTGGAAGTGATGACGTTATATTTGCAAAAAAAAAGCTTTCAATGCACTCAAAGTCACCTGATGTGATCTTTCTTCCCAGTTTCCTGTCACAAAAACATTATCTGATAATTGAAAGTTTGTGACGTCACGTTTTAAACGCATGACTAATCAGAATGCCACGTGTTTTTTCTAGAATTAACTCACCGATTTGCCTCCGAACACGTCAATGCGAATGAATTTTTAGGTTGCCATTCTCCAAGAATTGGCAAATTTCCAACAACAAAAACACTTTCCCAATCTTTGATATTTTCACACCTGACGTTGAAATAAACAGTGAAATAATTTTTTTGGTCCATAAATAATAAAAGTTGCGTCTTATCTGATAAAAAATGATTATTTTCTTATGATCTTATCGCAACCAGTGGCATACAGAAAAAAGTGGGCGGTTCGTTGTTGAAACAAAAGTGCACAGAAAAAAAGATGTTTTGAAAAAAAAAAGTAGTGACAAAGAAAAAAAAACAATTGAAGCAAAAAACCAAGAAAAAAGTGGAAAAAATGGATCGATGTTTAGCGCATAGAAAAAAGAGAAAAGGAGAGAGACGAGGAATACTAGGGTTTGACTAGGGAATTCAGTAAAAAGAGCACATTTTATTTCGAAAAAAATGAATCGTTGAATTTCCAGTTTCTTCAAGCCATTTTATATGAAGATGATTCGAGATAACACGTGACTTTTCAGGTTCTCAATTCAAAACAGATGACGCGAAAAAGATTTTATTTATCAATCAATGAAAAATAAAAAAAGATAGGAGAAGAGAGAGAAAATTATATATTTATTTATATATTTGTGTTTATAATAACAATTTACAAAGTAGGGTACTAGACACTAATTGTTTTTGTTAGATCAAAGTTTGGAATCGGTTCACGCTTTGGTGGCAATGTAGGAGATAAGATCAACAACTCTGTTGGAGTATCCGAATTCGTTGTCATACCACGAGACGAGTTTGACGAAGTGTGGGTTCAAGCTGATTGATGCTCCAGCATCGAAGATTGATGAGTGAGTATCAGAAACGAAGTCAGTTGAGACAACTTGGTCCTCGGTGTAAGCGAGAACTCCCTTGAGTGGTCCTTCAGCGGCGGCTCTGACGACCTTCTTGATGTCATCCAAAGTAGCTGGTTTCTCCAAACGAGCAGTAAGATCAACAACAGAGACATCTGGGGTTGGGACACGGAAGGCCATTCCGGTGAGTTTTCCGTTGAGTTCTGGGATAACTTTTCCGACAGCCTTGGCGGCTCCAGTTGAAGCTGGGATGATGTTTTGTCCAGCTCCACGTCCATCTCTCCAGAGTTTTCCTGATGGTCCGTCAACAGTCTTTTGGGTGGCAGTGACGGCGTGGACAGTGGTCATAAGTCCTTCGATGATTCCGAAGTTGTCGTTGATGACCTGTAAAATTTGATGTTGAAGATAGGATATATATGAGATTCTGTAGTAATAAATTTACCTTGGCGAGTGGAGCCAAGCAGTTGGTGGTGCATGAAGCATTTGAGATGATGTGGTCATTGGCATGATCGTATTTCTCGTGGTTGACTCCAACAACGAACATTGGAGCATCAGCAGATGGAGCTGAGATGATGACCTTCTTGGCTCCTCCCTTCAAGTGAGCGTTAGCCTTTTCGATGGTGGTGAAGACTCCAGTTGATTCAACAACATAGACGGCTCCAGCGGCTCCCCATTGGATCTCAGCGGGGTCTTTTGCGTTGAAAACCTGAAAAATGTTTGATTGATCTGGGTTTTTTAGCATTTCAAAAATACCTTGATTTTATGTTGGCTCTTTCCTTCCTTGGTAACCAAAAGATAGTCTCCTTCGTGGGTGACGGTTCCCTTGAAACGTCCGTGGGTTGAATCATATTGGAACAAGTAGATCATGTAGTCAATTGAGATGAATGGATCATTGACAGCGACGACTTGGACAGAGTCTTTCTCGACGGCGGCGCGGAGAACGAGACGTCCGATTCTTCCGAATCCGTTGATTCCAATTTGTGGCTTCGACATGATTTTTGAGAAAATAATGGGTTTACCTGAAATTAAAATGATAAGAAAATAAAAAAACAAACGAGAACAAATAAAAAATAGGTAACTGATAACCGATCAAGGACGGTTTTAATATAACAATAAAAAAATGAAAAAGAAATGATTGTTTTTGACAACCAATTTATTCGATAGAGACCATTGGATACTTGTATTTTTGCGTTTACTAAAGAGAATGGATTACTGAAAAATGTAGTTTCTAAAGTTAGTCAATTAGAAGCTAATAGAATGCGAGTTATGAAACAGTAGGAGAAAATATTTAGGCCTTGGTGGCAATGTAGGAGATAAGATCAACAACTCTGTTGGAGTATCCGAATTCGTTGTCATACCACGAGACGAGTTTGACGAAGTGTGGGTTCAAGCTGATTGATGCTCCAGCATCGAAGATTGAAGAGTGAGTATCAGAAACAAAGTCAGTTGAGACAACTTGGTCCTCGGTGTAAGCAAGAACTCCCTTGAGTGGTCCTTCAGCGGCAGCTCTGACGACCTTCTTGATGTCATCCAAAGTAGCTGGTTTCTCCAAACGAGCAGTAAGATCAACAACAGAGACATCTGGGGTTGGGACACGGAAAGCCATTCCGGTGAGTTTTCCGTTGAGTTCTGGAATAACTTTTCCGACAGCCTTGGCGGCTCCAGTCGAAGCTGGGATGATGTTTTGTCCAGCTCCACGTCCGTCTCTCCAGAGTTTTCCTGATGGTCCGTCAACAGTTTTTTGGGTGGCAGTGACAGCGTGGACGGTGGTCATAAGTCCTTCGATGATTCCGAAGTTGTCGTTGATGACCTGTAAAATTTGATCTTGAAGATATGAGATATGTTCTCTAGTAGTAAATTCACCTTGGCAAGTGGAGCCAAGCAGTTGGTTGTGCAGGAAGCGTTTGAGATGATGTGGTCATTAGCATGATCGTATTTCTCGTGGTTGACTCCAACAACGAACATTGGAGCATCAGCAGATGGAGCTGAAATGATGACCTTCTTGGCTCCTCCCTTCAAGTGAGCGTTGGCCTTCTCGATGGTGGTGAAGACTCCAGTTGATTCAACAACATAGACGGCTCCAGCGGCTCCCCATTGGATTTCAGCGGGGTCTTTTGAGTTGAAAACCTGTAATTATTTGTTTGAAACTGAAGCTGAAGATGTGTGTGTTTTCTTGTTTGAAAAAGTTGTATTCTGACTGATGATGAAAAGGTCATTGGATTGCATCATCTGTTTATGATGCAAAAAACGACTAAAATCGATGAGTGAGCGGCAGGCAAGCCCGCTGTCATAGTTACCAACTGACACAGCATTTTTTTTTCAACTAGTTTTTTGTGCTGAAATTGAAACTACATACCTTGATTTTATGTTGGCTCTTTCCTTCCTTGGTAACCAAAAGATAATCTCCTTCGTGGGTGACGGTTCCCTTGAAACGTCCGTGAGTTGAATCATATTGGAACAAGTAGATCATGTAGTCAATTGAGATGAATGGATCATTGACAGCAACGACTTGGACAGAGTCCTTCTCAACGGCAGCGCGGAGTACGAGACGTCCGATTCTTCCGAATCCGTTGATTCCAATTTGTGGCTTCGACATGATTGATTGAGTGGTTCTGTAAAAACAATTTGAGCTACTCTACATTCTAAACTAAAAATAACACAAAAATAACAACGAAGTATTAAACATCGAACGAACGATAGAGAAGGCCACAAACAACAAGAGAAATGTTTTTTTTTTGTCAGTTTTTTTAGAGAAAAAGAGAGGTAGAGAACGAGAGCGTAAAAGAAATAGACAACTATTTTTTGGCCGCCCGTTCTTCAATATTGGCCAATCGTTTTTGATGCTGTTCGAGAACCTAAAAACTTTTTGAGTGTAAAAACTCTGCGTCTCTAACTACTCTACCTCTGAATGGTTTTTCAGCTCATCTTGCTTGTCAGCAATATCTTTTTGAAGAGAAGATTTAAGAGCGTCAAGTTGCTCTTTCTGTTGTTTGCGAAAATATTCTTCTTCGAGAACGCGGCCACGTTCGCCGAGTGGATTTTGAGATGATGACATTCTGAAGACATGTAAACAAAAACATCAAAGTTTATCAAACAAAAAAACACACACACAGAGTGGTTGATAAGAAAATGGAAAAAAAAGAAAGAGAGGCGGCTGCTCGAATAAAAGTGAATGTTGTGTTGTGTTGTGAAAAACGGCAGAAGAGGCGGGGCCTTCTTGTGTGGAAAATAAAAAAAAAGATGGGGAAGAGAGAAAAGAAGGCGATGCAGAAAATCAATGGATGAAAAAAAAAAGAAGAAGGGCCAAAAACAACACGAATGTTCGAGATTTGCACGTAGACCTAATCCGCATATGTGTATGAAGAGATTAAATTTAAGAGTGTTAATTTTTTGTTGAAAAATAACAAGTTCCGAGAATTCAGAATTGATATAATTATTTAGAAAGCAGAAAAACATTATTTAAAAAAGGAAATATTAATTTTTGGGATGTTTTTCCAAGTTAAAGATTTGGTTAACCAGTCTAAAACTAGATCAATATAATTGAGGATATCAAAAACATTTCATGAAATTTAGGACGTTAATTCCTCGAAAGCTAAAATTATGTGTTCAATAGAGTGAACTTGAAGTAATGTGGGATTTATAAAACACGGTGAAAGCTCGCTTCAGAATTTTGCTGGAACATTCGAGTAGCAGCTTATTCCTATAAATTTAGCACAAATCCCCCGAAGAAGAAGAACAAACCCTTCAAGATATTATTCATTTTTGAAATTCTTCAAAATATTCTCAACTAGAGTGAGAAATGCACTTGCTTCTTCTTGGATTGCATCATACTGCGCATGATGCAAATTCTGTTTCAAAATAGATTATTACGAAATGCGATATTTAAAACTTTAAAAAAAACAGAAAATGATATTTTGTTTGATAGAACAAAGTATTTATATCGAAGTGTTGAAACAGTAAACATTTTTTTTGTTTTTCAAGATCACAGATCATATTTTGATCTTATTTTGAAAAATGTACATATGAAAACAATAAAATCTGAAGATTGAACACAAAAATTTTATGAGTATTCATTTGCAGATTTGACTGAAAAATTGAGATTTTTTTCCATTCAGAAAAAGAGCGATGTAGAAAGAAGATTTTTCTTTCCCAACGGCAAAAAAAAACGAAAAATAAAGGTCAAAAAAGTTGTTGACTCTCTCGCTCGTTTCTTTTCCGAATGCACATAGGCTTGCAAAACAATTTTCAAGGGAACAAATTGGCAGTTTTTCAAGTTATATACTTTGAAAATCTGGGGGTTATATTGAAAAATTGGCGGACTCATCGTGAATAAAAAAATCAGATTTTTAATCGCATCATTCAAAACATGTATTCAATAAACCATTCATTTTTTTCAGAAAAAAAAATGTATCAAACAAATTTCTCTTTTTTCATTTATCTGCAAATAAACCATAAAATCAAAATAACACAATTGTTTTTTGACCTTGATTCAACAGAAACGGTCATAAGACTACATTTCAATCACACAAAAGTTCAATAGTTGAAAATACTATAAATAGTATTTTAGAAATACAATGTTTCCGCGGATATAATTGAATGAACTAATATTTTCTTGGAAAATTTGATTAGCATATACAAACGCTTACAATTTATATTATATTTTACTTATGAAAACTGAGAAACAAAACGGGATTAACTTCTAACTTTTTTGATAAGCCTTCAAGAGTTGGTGCTTTTCCAACAAAAAGTTGGTCTGAAAAAATTCGTCACAGTGTTGCTCGTCAAATCAAAACGCAAAAAACACAAATAATTGGCGTGAGAGCGCATTTTCTTGTTTTATTTCATAGGTTTTAACTCGCCTGTGTTTTTGAGAAAGATAGCTCAACAAACGATATCCAATCAATTTTAGACTGAAATCATGAAATTTGGCTCGAAAATGATGGATTTGTAAAACTGGCAGCATTTTTAACAGTGTTAAAAAAAAAAGAAATTTTGATTTTCGTTGAAAAAATTTTTTAAAAAATGAAAATTCAAGTTTTTTTATCAAAAAATGACTCGTGGCAAAATCAGGAACGGTTTCTAATTTTGCCATGACGTCATCGAACAATTTTTCAAAAAAAATTTTTCTTGTTTTTTTTAACAGTGTTAAAAAAAAGAAATTTTGAAACTGGAAGCTCTTCCAGATTTATCATTTTTTTTCAGACAGTATTCAAAAGATGCTCAACAAACGATATTCATTCAATTTTAGACTGAAATCATTAAATTTGGCTCGAAAATGATGGATTTGTAAAACTGGAAGCTCTTCCAGATTTACAAATTTTTGAACGAAAAAAAAGTTGATCAAAAAATAGTATTTTTCGAAGACAGTATTCAAATGATGATCAACAAATGATATCCAATCAAATTTAGACTGAAAGGCCCGAGTTTTTTCAAAAAAAAAATCGACCCTAGTTTTTTCAAAAAAAAAATCGACCCTAGTTTTTTCAAAAAAAATCGGCCCGAGTTTTTTCAAAAAAAAATCGGCCCGAGTTTTTTCAAAAAAAATCGGCCCTAGTTTTTTCAAAAAAAAAATCGGCCCGAGTTTTTTCAAAAAAAAAATCGGCCCTAGTTTTTTCAAAAAAAAATCGACCCTACTTTTTTCAAAAAAAAATCGGCCCGAGTTTTTTCAAAAAAATCGGCCCGAGTTTTTTCAAAAAAATCGGCCCGAGTTTTTTCAAAAAAATCGGCCCGAGTTTTTTCAAAAAAAAATCACCCCGAGTTTTTTCAAAAAAAAAATCGGCCCGAGTTTTTTCAAAAAAAAATCAGCCCGAGTTTTTTCAAAAAAAAATCAGCCCGAGTTTTTTCAAAAAAAAAAAATCGACCCTAGTTTTTTCAAAAAAAAAATCGGCCCGAGTTTTTTCAAAAAATCAGCCCGAGTTTTTTCAAAAAAATCGGCCCGAGTTTTTTTTTTAACAGTGTTAAAAAAAAGAAATTTTGATTTTCGTTGTAAAACTGGAAGCTCTTCCAGATTTACGAAAAAAAAGTTGATCAAAAAAATGGTTTTTTTTTCAGACAGTATTCAAAAGTTGCTCAACAAACGATATCCAATCAATTTTAGACTGAAATCATTAAATTTGGCTCAAAAATGATGGATTTGAAAACTGGAAGCATTTTTAACAGTGTTAAAAAAAAAGAAATTTTGATTTTCGTTGAAAAAATTTTTTAAAAAATGAAAATTCAAGTTTTTTTATCAAAAAATTACTCGTGGCTAAATCAGGAACAGTTTCTAATTTTGCCATGACGTCATCGAACAATTTTTCAAAAAAAAAATTTTTCTTGTTTTTTTTAACAGTGTTAAAAAAAGAAATTTTGATTTTCGTTGAAAAAATTAAAAAAAAAATGAAAATTCAAGTTTTTTTATCAAAAAATTACTCGTGGCTAAATCAGGAACAGTTTCTAATTTTGCCATGACCTCATCGAACAATTTTTCAAAAAAAAAATTTTCTTGTTTTTTTTTTAAAACAAACAGTGTTAAAAAAAAGAAATTTTGATTTTCGTTGAAAAAATTTAAAAAAAAATGATTTTCATTGAAAAAATTTAAAGAAAATGAAAGTTCAAGTTTTTCGTTCAAAAATGACTCGTGACAAAATCAGGAACAGTTTCTAATTTTGCCATGACGTCATCGAACAATTTTTCAAAAAAAAAATTTTCTTTTTTTTAACAGTGTTAAAAAAGAAATTTTGATTTTCGTTGTAAAACTGGAAGCTCTTCCAGATTTACAAATTTTTGAACGAAAAAAAAAGTTGATCAAAAAATTATTATTTTTTTCAGACAGTATTCAAAAGTTGCTCAACAAACGATATCCAATCAATTTTAGACTGAAATTATGAAAATTGGCTCGAAAATTATGGATTTGTAAAACTGGAAGCTCTTCCAGATTTACAAATTTTTGAACAAAAAAAATTAATAAAAAAATAGTATTTTTTGAAGTCAGTATTCAAATGGTGCTCAACAAATGATATCCAATCAATTTTAGACTGAAATTATGAAAATTGGCTTGAAAAAAAAGAAATTTGGTTTTTTCAATAAAATTTATCCCGGTCACGTATTTTTAAAGCTGGAAGACGTTCCAGCTGTTCAAATCTTCTTTTTCGAGCCAAATTTCAGGATTTCAGTTTTTTATAATTATATTTAAAAAAGTCCTTTTATTTTTAACTGCTTCTATTGTTCATCCCACCCTTCCTTTTAAATTAATTTCAAATAAAAAATTTCTCAATGTGAATCACCCTGAAACATTTTCTGATTTTTTGTTCTTTTTCCCGTCCATCGAGATTCTGTTGTTGTTTACTGAATGTATGTTTTTATCAACATCCCAATCAATGTAAAAACACAATAAATCTATGAATCCCTGTTCGTTCCACACCTGACCCAAAACAAAACTTGATGTTTGTGCTCAGTTTCACAACTGCTTCAATATCATCTTCTTCTTGAAATGTTTCTCTTTTTTCTAATGATTTTTTCCAGTCGGCAGTCCGTCTCGTCAACATGCCATGAATCGACAAAACTGTGTAAAAAAAAGAGAAGAGCATGTTCAAGAAGATAAAAGGAAAGTTAACTTTAAAGAAAAAAAGAAAGAAAGAAGATCCCGGAAGACAAAGAACATGTGGCACTTCTACTTCTATCATCTCAATTTCTCGGACGATAAAAAACATCTTTGATCAACTAAATGGATTTTGTTATCCATAGAATAAAACGAACAAAAAGTATGAATAATATGAATTGGTTACCCTGGAGACTATTAGATTAAAATATTATTATCACATTTACAACAATTGTTCAATTCTTTTGCTTTTTTTTTGAAAAAAAAAACGAAACTCTCACATTTAAAGCTAAACTTTCAATCCACCCACATATTTTATTCATATTAACCAAATTTTTTCACCTGTGTGAGAAAATTTGCGGAGCTCAACTCATATTCAATTTTACCTTTTCGAATGTTCGCCATTTATCGGAATAATTGCAATTCGGAAAAAGGTAATTTTTCTGTTTTTTTTTTTTGATAAATTGAATTATATAATTCTGGTTTGTGGGTAGAACTCAAGCTTTTGAAAAAAACTTGTCTCTGTACAATTTTGAATTCAGACTCTTTTTATTAAAGAGTTTGTACTTCTTTAGGGAACCTGGGTTAAATCGGTGGGTGGCTCCAGAAAATTAAGAAGATTCTGGAAGTTTAGCAAAGAATTTAAGCTTAAATTCTCAAAGTTTTAATTGAAACATGACGTATTAGCAAAAAAGTTTTCTCTATCGGATATTTAAATTTTTTTGTACCTTGACTTTCATGGAATATATGAACTAGTTTAGGTAACTCTAAACAGTTTCAGATTTCTTTGTAGTTGGTGACGCAAAATTGAAAACTCGATTTTTTAAAAAACATCGATCCATTGAGGAAAAATCTCTGAAAATGCAAATTTCATTTTCCAGTTTCAACAATCTCAAAATTTAAAAAATATATCTATATTTTTCGTTCAGAAAAATTAGTGTAGATCATTAACAAGTTGTTTCTCTCAATTTCAGCTGTAATTTTCTGAACACCTTTAAGTTTGAATTGCATGTGAAAAAAGTCTGGGAAAATATTACTTTGTTCCAATTTGATGTTGATGTTTTTCTGATTATTTTTTCAGAAAAAAAACTCATATTTTATTAGTCAGATCTGCTGTCATCAAAACAGTAATATTTTCCATCTAATCCATCTCCCACAAAATCCTTTATAAACCTCTTTTAATCTTCTTCTCGGTTTATTTTCATACGTTTTTTTTGGTTTGATAAGCGTTCCGATTATCTTTTTCCACACTCGCTGCTTTGAAGTATGTATCAATTTGATCTTGAGCCCACATGAAAAATAACCATTTTATTTGTTTGTATTAATTGCGCATTGAAATCAAAAACTGTTTCAATTTTCTTGGTAACTGCTCATTTGTGCACAGAAAAATAGTTTGTAGATTGAAGAGAATTTGATCCTTCTCGCAAACAACTTTGAAGAAAAAAAGCAAAAAAACGAAAAAGAAGAAAAACATAGTGTCTTCTGGCAGTTGGCAAAAAGAGAAAAAATTGGAGGGAAAAATGGCACGGAAATAAGATATTATTTGTTTGTTTGTGTGTTTGAATGTTCGGTCAGATCTTCGAGAAAAAAAGAAGAAAATAAGAAAAAGAAGAAGCTTGTTGTAGTAATTGGTTGTGGACCAAAGTTTGTATAAGGATCAAAAGATTTATGCGGAGGAGGAATCTGAAAACATGTCTATGAAACAGCTGAAAACTTGAAATGACATTTTAATAATTTCAGATGTTCTTATAAAAGTCGAAAATCTCAATTTCAAAGTTTTTCTGCAAATTTTCAATTGGTTTGAAACAATTTTTCGAAGATAAATTCCCTTGTGAATTTTTTTTCGATCATAAAAAAATCTCATAAATACTTAATTTCCACCTGACGTTCTTCAGAATTTCCATGTTAATAATTTAATCTGCGTTCGTTTTCCCAATTTTTTGAACCAAGAATTTTTTCGTTCTCTTTTTTTTCCGCTGCCTAGCATCTGTCAATTCCTTTCTTAATATATAAAGACTATTCCCATCCAGATGTTATAAATATACTTCACTTCAATTCTATCTAATTCACATTTCTTGTGTCTTTAGTCTTTGAAAAAAAAAACAAAACCAAATTGCATCATCTTCAAAGAGTTACGAAACATTTTTTTGTTCACACGATGACTGTACATTTGACCAGCTCAAAAAATCGTCATGTTACACAAAATGTCGATATCAAAACATTTTTTGTGTTCAATGTGAAAAATAAATAGATCGTCTATTTTTGTTCATTTTTTGGAACGTTCATTTGGTTTTTGGTTTTTTCATGCAGCCAATGAACAACAACAAAAAAAGAGACAATAGTCGAAAAAATTCGGAGGAAAAAATCAAATTTATGTATGTGTGTGTGTGCAGGCCCCGTTTCAAGTTTCTTTTTCAAAAAAAATTTTTACGCGAACACAAATACATACGCACAAAAATCAACAAAACTATGATTAGTACGTGCAAAAGCATTGTATGTTCTATGAGGCGTCCGGCCTGCTTGCCACAAAAGTTTTTTGCTGTGTTTTGTTGTGTATGACCTTTATAATGGAAAAAAAGCGGAAGGGAGAATGTAGTTTTGATCTTTGAAGAGGTAGATGATGAGCTGCAGAAGGCAGAGCTCTGACCTCGGATACTCCCGCCTTCGGTAGGATTCTCAAGTAGAGTAGAATTTCTGCTGCTGATGACAATTTCCAGCGTATTTTAATTTCAACGAACAAGGCTTGTTTCATAGCCTTTATTGATATCCCGAAAAAATCACAGAAATGATTTTCAAAATTGACAAAAAAAACTCAATGTTTACACTTTCCCTTTCAACAATTTTTTTTTGTTCTCTATCAATTTTCACCTGAAAATTGCCGTTCATTGGCCTCAAAGAGAACCGACCTTCAACACTTTTTTTTCTCACCGCAAAAAGAACAAAAAATGAAGAGAATAGAAGTCGCCCTTTTCTAATTATACAACAACACAAAAAAGAGCTTCTCTTCATTTTTTTTCAAAAACCGAAAAATAAATAATTCACGCACATTTTTTTCTTTTTCCCTCTTTGACGCTGCTGACAAGTCACGTTCTCAATTTTTGTTATCAGCTTTTTTTTGGAGAAGGAAAAAATGAAGGCGAGAAAAAAGATCGAACATACATAAAGAAGAAAGTGAATTCTATGAATAATATATTTTGTTCAGAATTGTTGTTGATATCTCGAGAAAAAACCTGTGCATTTGCATAATAAGCCACAATCAATATGCAGAATATGATTGTTTTTTTGCAAAAAATATGTTAATCAAAGTGTTCCATAGAGATCAAACAATGAAGTTGTTTTGGTTTTTTTTCGAACAAAAATCTCTTGAGGGGTTCTAGAAAAAAACATGTTATTTATTTATGGTTATTATTTTATGGTAAATAACAACATTGAATTGGTATAATAACAATTTCATCAACAATAAACAAAAAAAACTATTACTGTTTCATCCAAATCTGGACAGGCTCGAATAATTGTTGATTTCTGTTCTCTGCTATTCCTCATTCCTCTTCAATATTCCCACTATTTCTTCTTTTCCTAAACAAAGTTTTTTATGTTGTTGTGTGAGTGTGACGCGGCCGCCCAAATAACACTCAAACTCACACACTCACACATAGAATGCAGAGGAAAATGACAGAAAAAAAAACACACTCACAAACACTCATTACAGTGGGCGGAGCTTGTGAAGCAACGATGTTGAGAGAAACCTACTCGGCCTCACTTCATTGCACCAGAGTCGCTGAAGACATGTCCGTCGCTCCAGAAGTTGTTGCCAAGATTGAGGAAGGCTATGCCAAACTCCAAGTAAGTTATATATTTTTTAATAAAACTATTGACTCACTAATGAATCATGAACAAATTAATAATAAAAATTCCTTGCAGGCCGCCAAGGATTGCCATTCACTTTTGAAGAAATACTTGACCAAGGAAGTCGTTGATGAGCTCAAGAACAAGAAGACCAAATTGGGAGCCACCCTTCTTGACGTCATCCAATCCGGAGTTGCCAACTTGGACTCAGGAGTCGGAGTTTATGCCCCAGATGCCGAGGCCTACACTCTCTTCAAGCCACTCTTCGACCCACTCATCCAAGTAAGTTAGCCTAAATCGAACTCAACATTTTTCCAACGAAAAAAAACTTGAGAAAATGTTGGGGGGTCCCGGAAATCCTCTGGGGAACTAGAAAAAAATAGAATAGAGATTGGCAGAAAACAGCTGTTAGATTTTTTTCTCGGCACAAAAAGATTTTCTTTTAGGATTACCACAACGGATTTGCCCCATCGGCCAAACAACCAAACACCGATCTTGGAGAAGGAAAGACCGCCGCTTTGGTCGACTTGGATCCAGAAGGAAAATTCATCAACTCAACCAGAATTCGTTGTGGACGTTCCCTTCAAGGATACCCATTCAACCCATGTCTCACCGAGGCCAACTATCTCGAGATGGAAGGAAAGGTCAAGCAAATCTTCAACAACATCACTGATGCTGAACTTGCCGGAAGCTACTATCCATTGGATGGTATGACCAAGGAAGTCCAAACTCAACTCATTGCTGATCACTTCTTGTTCAAGGAGGGAGATCGTTTCCTTCAAGCCGCTAATGCTTGCCGTTATTGGCCAAAGGGACGTGGTATCTTCCACAACAACCAAAAGACTTTCTTGGTCTGGTGTAACGAAGAAGATCATCTCCGTATCATCTCCATGCAAGAAGGAGGAAATGTCGGACAAGTGAGTTGCCATCAAACATCTGGATCTTTTTATTTATTTGTTTACCATTTGATTTATTTTTCAGGTCCTTGAGCGTTTGATCAAGGGAGTCAAGACTATTGAGAAACAAGCTCCATTCTCCCGTGATGACCGTCTCGGATGGCTCACTTTCTGCCCATCCAACTTGGGAACCACTGTTCGTGCTTCAGTCCACATCCGCTTGCCAAAGATCTCTGCCAAGCCAGACTTCAAATCGATCTGCGATGGATTGAAACTTCAAATTCGTGGAATCCACGGAGAACACTCTGACTCCGAAGGAGGAGTTTACGATATCTCAAACAAGGCTCGTTTGGGACTCACTGAATACGAAGCCGTCAAACAAATGTACGATGGAATCGCCCATCTCATCGCTTTGGAAAAGGCCGCTTAAATCAATAATTTGTATTCTATTTTAATATGAATCTCATTTCTTTCTCTCCCCCATCATATTGGTAAATTGAACAAACTTTTTACATTTTCATCTGGCTAGCAAATAATTTAGCTATGGTAGATTCTTCCCATAAATTTTCTCTCTTTCTTTCTGTCCAATAAATATTTTTTGCATCAATAATCAACCGGAAGAAGCTTATCAGATTACAAGTATTTAGGAAAATGAGAATGCGAAGAGAAAAACAAAATATGAACCATATGCTCGTTGACTCATTTATCAACGTCGAATTTTTTTTTTCGAAAACAGGAAAAACGAAAGAGCGGTTTATAAATCCTTTTTTCTAATTATTGAGCAGGAAAGGAGAGAAAAGGAAATGCAATTATTCAAATTAAATTATTTGTCACGAATACATTAAATATTCATTTTCTCATAGTCTATTCGAATCGATAATGCTTTCGGAAGTTTTTCTAGAATTTTGAATTCAAAAAAAAGTTTTATATGTTTAACTGTCAAAGCTGTCAAGAAAGATTTCTGCAACTGAAATTCAACAAAAGATTTTTTCAATGATCAATTCAAATCGATTATCAATTTTAATTCGACAAAAATCTGCAAAGTTGTCTACATGTTTTGTGATTTGGAAAATCAAACAACAAATAAGCCCATTTTTGGATTGGAGGTTTTTACTGAATATCAAAATTATTATTTGAACGTTTGGAAATACGAAAAAAGTTCAGAAAAATATTGAAATTGGAAAATTGTTATTTTAATAAATTAAAAAATTATATATTCGCTTTATCTGTTTATGCTGAAGTTTTTCCACTGCAAATTTGAGAATCAAAATGACTTGACAAGCTCTTGAAAGTCATATATTCACCAGATTTTTTTGCTCTGTCTTATGATAATTTTAGATCGATTATAAAAATATTCTCCAGAATTTGAATTTGAATGAAAACTGATTGATGTATTTTCCCTAGAACCTTTCCATCAAAAATCGACAGCCTGGCTTGAAAATATTTTTTTTTTAAAACACCTTCACACATTCATCAAGCTTTCGTTAAAAATTCTCTCAAAAACATCCAATTCTCTTTAAAAAAAACTTCTAACATAATTTTCCTTTGTTATATTTTCAAATCGATAAGTATAGAACTGTGAAATTTTGAAGTTTGTCCAGCTGGTAAAACACCTGTTTGATGAAAATCTATCTGAAGAAACATATTCATTCCAAGAAACTAATATAAACTATACAGTAACCGTTAAGACTGACAGATTTGCCCATAATGACCAGAAATAGACACGTTGGATAATCCCGGATAAATTATTGTTTTTCAGCCTCGTTTTTCTTTTCATTATCATCAGCTTTATATTCGTCTTCTTCTTCTTCTTCCTCAGAGATAGTTTGAAGTTTGGAAAATAATGGTTGTAAAACTGGTCTTTGAAAAAACCAAAATTCTGTTGATTTCAAATTTGAAATTCTGTCTAAAATAACTAGTCTATACGAAGTTTTTCAATTAATTAACTCACTTGTTTCATTAATTTTTTGTGCTTCATATAAATCATCAACTTCGTTTTCGTTTTCATTATCTTCAACAATAGCTTCTAATTGGCGTTTGAAATTTTCTGCCATTATGTTGCTGAAAAGACTGACTCTAGTTTTTTCGAGAAAAATAATGAATCATAATTTCTGAAAAGTGTACCAAAAAATAAGACAAAAAACAGAAAAATAAAACATAAACTCTCACATCTGTGAAGCGAAAGAAGGAAGGAACTGTTAACGGAGACACACAGACGCAGAAAATATGGGATTGTATAATTTTTTCCTAACACACATTTCTTTGATCATTCAAAATTTTATATTGTTAACGAAAATCACAATATATTTATGTGTGATTATTTAATATTCATTTGCATATCCATTCATTTTGTTGATATTGAATTATTAGAACTTTGATTCCGTGTGAGCAGAGGTCGACGGTGAATCAGATGCTAGAAAAAATATGGGTAACAAATAGAAAAAAATAATATTAATATAAGAAATGCTTACTTGATTCTTTGGAAAATGACAAGTTATCGAGCACATTCGACATTTGATTAGCTGGATCATGTTTTCGTGTAAATTCGAATACTTTATCTCCTTCTTTTACAGCTGGATTTTCATTTGTTGCTTTAAGACCATGACCCCGAGTTGCATCGAAATCGACTTGAATATGAGACGGGAGTAATTTTGAGCTCGAATCCGCTTTCCTCTCCGGTTTCTTGATTATTTTTCTTCTTTTGATTGCGGGTGATTCTGGAATAAAATAACAAAATTGTTTTTGTAGTCTACAAATTATAGCTCTCAATTTTTTAGAAGTACAAAGAATGAGCATAGTTAAAATTTTCTCAAGACTAATGAAATCAAAAATTATTGTGCTGATTTTCATTTTTATGATGTTGATCTCTAAAGACAGGAAAAACTCGTAAGTTTATTCTAAACAAATTATCGAAAAAAATTTGGAAGCTTCTGATTCAAATAAATGAACTGATAATATTTACCTGATCTTCCGAAAAAATAAAATTTATGATGTTATGTTTTGAACCAGTTACATCAAGTAATTTTAATTTTTTTAACATTTGATTTTTGCCTGAGTTATTTTCGAGTTCAAGACTTTCAAAAATTGTTATTAGGTTAACCAAGCTCATTCAGATAACCTCTTCAGATTTAAATTTTGTTGAATTATTTTACTATTTGAATCATATTTTGAAAATGTAAGTTATTTGTGTGATAAAAATATAGGAAATATTGTACAAACACAATTATCAGAACAAAACACGAGTATATCTGAATTATACAAAACCCCTCACATAAGATCTACCCAGTAAAAATGTTTTACACAACTCAAAGAATCATAACTTCTAGTTACCCTGTTTACTACAGCTATCTTCGTCCTCAATACGTTTGACCCGATAAAAACATACCTTGAACATTTTCTGATGTTGATTCCTTCGATTCATCTTCCACTTTTGGTTTCTTGAATGGTTTTCCCTGTTTTTCCTTTTCCTCGGATGTTTCTTCTTCCTCTTCCTCTTCAACAATAACTTCCAAACGTCTTTTGCGGCTCATCTTGTACCCGTAGAAAAACTACCCGTCTATAAAAAATATTTCATCAAATACATAACTATCAAATTGAAACACAAGAAAAGTCAAGCACAACAAAGAAAATAAAAAAAACCCGTGTTTGGCAAAAACATTAGCCAAATATGGAAATTCGCTCTAGTACACACACACTAAAAGGTCATCACAAAAAAAACAACTCGTTACACCTTTTCTCGCACTCATTATCGATCAAAATGAGAAAAAAAAACAAAAAGGGGAGACCGCGAAGATCGAAAATAAAATGCAAGAACAAAGTTTCCGGTAAACACATAATCGTTTGGACATTTTTCAAAAACATTTTTACTTCTGAAAAATATGAAGAAGAATGAAAGGGGTTTTTGAAAAACCTATTAGGAAGAAAGAATTTTAATGGGAATATTTTGAACGAAAAAATGAATTATGTTGTTTTTGACAAAAATGTTTGATCGACAAAAAATAACTTACTTTAAAGCATTTTGATTTTCGAAGTTTTCAGATTTCTGATCAAAATAATTCGAGAAGAACATTTATAGAAGATTGCAGTTTTTTTCAGAGAGAAACGTATTTCGTTTTGTCAAGAGAAATTTTTAAAAATTACTCTTTTTACATTTTATAAAAGTTGCAATGGTGTCTAAGTAGGAATGCTTCCCAAAGTGACCCCTCCGATTTGGATGAGACTGGGTGGAAATTTCTTAGTATGGACGGGTATGAAAAACCCTAGGGGGATTTTTCCTACAAAAATTTATTTCCCGACTTAGGCTAAGTTCGAGATTTTTTGACTCAAAAAGCATGTTTCAACTTCAAAAATTCATAATTGAGTTCATTTTCAAGTAAATGACTCGACTAAAAAACCAAAATGTAGCTAAAACACTGTAGTTTTCGAAAAAAAATAGACCTGAACACGAAAAAATTTTTGAAAATTAAAAAATGGGGTCACAAGGAGAACCAATTTTTTGCCTCATTACGTACTTGATGAAAGGAGGCAAGTACGTGAGTTCTAGTTGCGATTTTCGAACTCTACGCGCAAAATTAGGTCTAGGGTCGGTTTATCAAGGAGCCACGCCTTGAGAGTGTGTCTTTTGAGGAGCCATGCCTTGAGGGTCATTCTGACATGAAGTCAAACCTCACCTAACGTTCCGTCAAGCATTTGCGCTTTGAGGAATTTTTTCTTTTTCAAAGGTTTCACTTTTTGCTAATAATTGAGCCGAAACAAATCAATTTCAGATAAATATAAGTTAGACTTTGATGTAACTTTGAAAAAAATATGTCAGCATGGGGATTGAACCTACGACCGATTTCTTGGTAACCATGCATGCTAACCACTCGGCCATGAACAGTTACACCCAAAAAATTCACTTTTTTCCCGGATTTTCACCTTGAAATGAGACATAAAAATACGATATGTTAATATAGAACGGTCAATTTTTCTGAAAATGGGTCCCTAGACCTAATTTTGCGCGTAGAGTTCGAAAATCGCAACTAGAACTCACGTACTTGCCTCCTTTCATCAAGTACGTAATGAGGCAAACAATTGATTCTCCTTGTGACCCCATTTTTTAATTTTCAAAAATTTGTTCGTGTTCAGGTCTATTTTTTTTCGAAAACTACAGTGTTTTAGCTACATTTTGGTTTTTTAGTCGAGTCATTTACTTGAAAATGAACTCAATTATGAATTTTTGAAGTTGAAACATGCTTTTTGAGTCAAAAAATCTCGAACTTAGCCTAAGTCGGGAAATAAATTTTTGTAGGAAAAATCCCCCTAGGGTTTTTCATACCCGTCCATACTAAGAAATTTCCACCCAGTCTCATCCAAATCGGAGGGGTCAGTTTGGGAAGCATTCCTACTAAGTACAATGATTTCTTCTTGTTTTTTGGAGATTTGCTGGCATTATGGGAAAAACTGTTCAATAACAAGTAGAACTTTTTGTGGATATATGAGCAATTTTTAAATTTTAATCACCATTAATTTTCATTCACAAACTTGTAGAAAAATCGCTGAAAATGATTTCACATCTTAAAAACATATTTTTAAAAAGAACTTTTACATTCTCGTTGATATTTGCTAACATCATGAGAAGTTTTGAAATCATCAAAATCTTATCCCTCGTTTTCCAAAATGCAAAAATTATCATTGAACATTTTTTCGTCATAACAAGCTGTGAAACTACACTAAAGTCACGCGATTTTTATAGTTTATTTTCGAAATATGAGCTGTTAATAAATAATAAAAAATTAGATGCGTCACAATCGATTAGGTAGAGATGTGAGGTCATAGTTTTCGAGTCTAGTCTTGAGTTCTACTTTCAGCAGATCATTGGATGTTTGTTTCAAAATATTTATTGTAGTTCGATGAATTCCTGACTGAAATTGGAATTTTTTATTTTATTTCACCACAGTTACTTCAGTATTTATAATTTCCAAGAATCAATAAGCAGCTCGTTTTCCCTTTCCACTTACATTATACCATTATTTTCTTTATTTTGTGTTGTAATTCAATTTGGGAACAGGTGCAAAGTTAATTTTCAATACGTATAATATTTTGTATTAATTGCCTTTTGGTTTATTAAATTTTATTTTCAAGAAAGAAAAAATAAGTAGAAAAATGGGAACAGATAAATGTTTGATACAGGGTTTTGATTTTTGGGTAGGGAAAAAGGTACAAAAAAAGGGATGGGGGAAAATGGCAACACAGACAAGATTTCATTTTGGGGCATAGACTGGCATTTGAAAACACACAAAAAATAACAAAAGTAAATTGTGAGAGAAAAATATGCATGCGTTTAAAAATAAATAATTATCAATTTGAATCTGAACAATTAAATGTTCCTAAACCGTATAGATTGCGAGAGGTTTAGGGTTACTTTAAAATGAAAAAAACACCACTAGAAAATGGTGTTTGACTAGTTAATCACATTTGTTTCCTAAATTGAAAAATTCAGTTCCGGTAGAATCTGATTGGTCAATCAACCGATAATAATTATAATGATATTAAAAATAAAATTTAAAAAATTTGAGGAAAAAACATTGAAAATTCACGTGCCTGCACAATTGACACCCCTATTCAAAAAAGAGATGAGGTTTGATTGTTATTAGGATTTTTGGATTTTTGATTTTTTTTTTTTGATTATCATAGTGAAAGATGACTAGTCACAAACTGGTTAAAAATGAAACATCGGGTAAAAATTGGGGCTATATAACAATAAATTTCTCTTTGAGATATATGTAATCAGTCGGCCGTTGTGGCTTGTTCTAATATAATTTTGATGTCATTCAGTTTTCCAGCAGCATCTTCTTTAAATCGATTCACACTGCTATTCATTCCGGTTTGAAGTTGGACTAATGTCAAAATCGAATTCAGCGCCATCTCCATATTTTTCTCTAGTCGATTTACTCGTGCGTCAATTCCACTCAACAGCTGAAAATCAGAATATTATTTTTCTAGAATTACTGTAAGTTCAAAATACCAACCTGCTCAATTTTTGGTGTCGTTAATTGTTGAGCTTTCAAATCACAAATAGCATTTGCAATAACTCGCAATTCATTTTGATAACTTTCATCCCCCATATCTTCCAAATTCTTATCTTCAACAGCAGCTAGAATTCCAGCCTCTGGGGGTGGAAATCCATGATGAAGTGTCATATGTACAGGTAGATAAGAACCTGAAAAAATGTGTTTTATGATCAGATTGTGAGAAAAATTATTCACAAAACTTCTTTGTTTCCCCAACCAACTGTTTTCCAAGAAACATGTGGCGTTGTTTTTTGTAATGTGCATAGTACATAGTTTATTTTCACACAGTATGTAAAAGATTTATTCGCCTTTCTCTAACTATTTTTCCCTGTGAATGAATGTGCTACCGAGAAAGAACCAGAAAAAAAAAAGAATTTGATACTGAACTCAAACAAAATGGTAATAGTACTCCCTAGGGCTTTTTTCCCTCTCGATGTTGTTTGTGTTAGATCTCCCCTTCTACATCTATATTGAAAATTTGCATGTGCTTTGTGTACACAGTGCTTGCCAATATTATTTTTTCGTTCGTTTTCTCCCCATATTTGGATACTATGAGAGAGAAATGGGTATGTGAATGAGTGAATGAATGAATGGCAAAAATTGAAAAATTTTCAAGAAAACTCACTTTTTCTGACATGTTTTCCACATTCAGGGCATTGTGTTCCCTGACCGTTTTGTTGTTGAGCTAGGCCAATAATTGTTGATTTTCCACTGGATTCATGTGGTGGACTTGCGCTAACTTGTGCGATCAAAGCAGCCAACGAAGCTTCTCCACCAACTGTATTTTGAATTGGACTATCATAACCATTATCACTATCGATCATATCTTTGACTGAAAATAAATCAGATGCTTTTTTGTTTTTATTTATCATTTTTCCTGGTTGTCTAGGTTACAGCGTATTTTCCCATCAATTCTATTTTTTCCACAAAATCTTTATTTATCCCCTCTTCTCTTCTATTCATTTTATACGGTGTAGAGCAGATGGCTGACAGTTGGTTGGTTTTTGCTTTGCCCCCCTTCCCTGCACCAGAAATTGTTAATTAACGCAAAAACTGTGGCAGGAAAAGAAGCCGTAAACAAACAATTTCGCGCAAATTAAATTGGACGTTTCTTTTTTTTGTCGCTTGAAATTTCTTCCACCCACCCCCAAAGAATCTTAATTATACAGGGTGGGCTATTTACTTTTCTCTCTTTTTTTTCTCAAAATTAAATTCTAAATTAAAAGTTTTAGGGTACTGTAGTTTAAGAGATGTTGATTAAATTTAATTTAAGTTTTTATGACACATGCACAAACATGAGTCATTCATTTGGAAAAAGTGCAAACAATTTTGAAAGGAGAGGAAAAGAGTCTCTGTCAAAACAAAATCTCATCAAAACAGTATCATCTGTCATAACGACTTTGAATCGCCAGATGCTTGCTTTGCTAATTGTGGGTGTTCCTTTCTCTTCTCTCCAATTTCTGTCTTTTGTTTTACTGTAGCTCCCCGATATATTTTGGTAATCGACATCCACTCGAGATTTCGAGCCCTACGGAGCCATTATCGCCACCTGTCTGACTGCTCTGCTCACATCGAAAATGACCCCCACCATTTTTCGTGTTCCCCCCTTCTCTACTATATTGCAACAAAAACAACCTTGGTCCCTTTTCTCTCCCTTTCCTTTTCCAATCTGAAGAATGGTGCGCGTTGGTGCTTGAAAAACGCTGGGCTGACAGAATGAAAAAAGCACAGAAAAGAGCACACACTGAGTCAGTCAGGAAAAAGAAAGAGAAAGAAGGGAAAAAAAAGAGCTTGAGCTTCTTCTTTTTCTTTTCTCAAACAGTCGGACGGGGGAAATAGTTGGTCCGTCTGTCACAAACACACAGAAAATCGATAGGAAAATGCTGAAGATGAAGGAAAAAGATGGAGTTTTCAAATGCACTGTTTTTTTCGTATATATACACATAGATGTATGTATATATAAAATGTAGCTGACATGTTGACGAACGAAAAAAAAGATGGTTACCTAGATTAAAAACGTTTCGAAAAACAAAATGTGAGACTTATTCATACACCCAATTAAAAACACCGGAAAGAAGCCCACGCAAATCCCTTTTCCTGCTTTCTATTGCTCCAATTAAATCTTTCTTTCCTTTAAGCTCTTTCTTGCTGACAGGTGCATCCCTTTAACCATACCGCTTGCTCTAGATCTATCTATCTACCTATCTATCTATCTATTTTTCAATTCAATACAAAAAAAAACAGGAAGAGAAAGAAAACATATGCTGCCCCATTTTCCTCCGCAATGATATAAAAGTTTATGTGTGCTGTGATCTACAGTAATCTTCCTAACCCAGAATATTTTATTTCGCCAGATGCCAACCCCAAAAAAAAACAAGAAGGAGACTAACCGTTATCTGGTGAAACGCTTGTTTCTGGCGATTCGCGCAAGTCAATCGAGTTACTGTAATCAAGGCCAAGAGAAATGAAAATTGATCGTTCTTGATCGCTTGGTCCTGCTCCGCCAGTTGTTAATGTTGGTAATTCAGTTTTTGGCAAAAGAATTGGCTTCTCATTTTCACCTTGTGATGTTGTTGAAAATGAACTGAAGAAACTTGAATCATCAAATTCCATTTTAATACTATGATTATTATTGATATTATTCAAAACACTTGGAGTTCCAGATCCACTACTTCCACTTCCCCCATTTGATCCACCATTCCAAGATGGTGCTGGTAATGGTCCATCATTCTTTTTCACAATAATATCATCTTTTCCAATCGGTTCATCAGCCTCTTTTTTGTGATGTTTCAATATGTGCTTTGTCAAGTTTCCTGTAATAAAACATGTGTTTAGCTGTTCGGTATGAGGTGGTGGGCTGTGAAATTAATGATTGCACAGAAAATGTAGGGGAAAAAGATCAAACCTTTGAGCCGACTCGATTTTCCGCAGAATTTGCAGACATATGGTTTCAGGGCAGTGTGAACAGAACGGTGTTCCGCCAGATTTGAACGAAACCGAAATGCTTTGCCACATGTTTCACAGATGAATGCCTGGAAAAATTTACGTTGAACCCTGCTACATTTTTTTTTAATTTTCAATCTTCAAATTCCAATTTCCTATTTCACATTTCTCATTCCATCAAAAAAAAAGAACACAAAAAATTTCAGCTGCTGTCACTCGTTTGTCTTAAATCCAATCTCCCTTTTTTTCAATTCTGCAATTCTAAAATGACACAATTTGACAAGCAACCGTCTGTCGGTTCATTTTCCGCCAAGCGTAAAATGATTAAATTTGCATCTCTCGCCTTTATTTTCTCTCCCCCCGCATTCACATCTCCTGACAGCGACAGTCGTTTGGCAGCAGTTAATTGAAACTTGTCAACACTCTCCTTCAAACCCATACACACTATATCTCATCTACAGATCTTTGCGCGAACGAAAAGAAAAGAAGAGACGAGATTTGTTGTGTATGTGAGTGAATATGTATGTGGTGTGCTCAAATGCGCACATTCACAGAAAAACAGCGCACACACACACAGGCAGCTAGAAGAATGATGAAGCATCTGGCTTTTCCCTCACACACACACAAAACATTTCGGAAAGTATCCTCCCAGGCACCAGCTCATTTTTGTGCCAGCTGTGTTGAGTAAGAATGAGAAACGAGGAGAAACGAGCTGTTCATCTTTCTTTTTTCTTCTTCTGCTGCTTGGTTACCATAGTACAGTGATTCTGACTTTCTTGGTGGGTCAGGTGTTGTTGTAAACAAGACAGACACCGGTTCGATTCACATTTTGTAATAATAAAGATAAATGGTTTTTCTAAATGAGTGGGTGGATTTCGAAATTTTTTGAATCATCACTTTTTGCTCCAAAATCATCGGATAGTATGAAAAAAATTTCTAGATGATAATAAATGTAATGATTTTTGAGAAAACATGTGGATTCTTCCTAAACAATTTAAAACTACAGTATTCTGAAGAATTCAAAATCAAGATCGATTTATCGATTGATTTTATTCAATTCCTACAAGCAAATACAGTACCCCGCTTACCCAATAGAAAAAAGTGCAAACAAACGTGAAAAGTAAACAAATACCCTCCCACTACCACTATTCTTTCAGTTTAGCTCAAGAATCCAATCTGAAATTACAGTACCTTATCTGTATGAAACATTTGTTGATGTTGCTGCAATAATTTTGTGCTTGTGAACATTTTGGGACATTGTGGACACGCTAAATTCTCGTCAATCATCAATGTTTGAGTTATTGACGGTGAGACGCAAACCGACATATTCTGAAAGAAAAAAATTGGACACTTGAAAAAATATTTTTGAAAAAAAAATGAATAATAAAATTGTGTTAATATTAATGCACAAAGTTCGCGAATAGTAATTATTGACAAAAATGGGAGTGAAAAATTAAAATGAAAAATTACATGTTTGGTCGGAGATGTATGAATAATTTCTCTCAATATATATTTTTCTGGCTATCTGAGAATATATGAATAAATATATATTTATATATAGTAAAAGTGTACACTCTAACAGAAAATGAGCATGTGGTGGTGCTTGTTCTGGTGTGGGCGGAGTCGAAGATTTTACAGTGAAAAAAGAGAGCAAAAAGAGGGCGTAATACCGTATACCAAAGGAAAAATAGAAAAAGAAAGAGAAAAGGCAAAAAAAAACGTCACGAGTTGGTGAGAGCCGGTAAATGTCTGTGTGTGGGAAAATCTATCAGTATCTTCTAGTATCTAGAGATAGACTAATAGGAAATTTGCACATTTCCGTTGGGAAAATTATTCACTTATAGCTTTTTGTTTAATATTCTTTTTACCTAATTAGTTAGTACAAATTGAATTGTTCATGTGAAAAATAGGTTTATTTTAAGAAAGATATGATGAAAATGACAACAAAAACAATGACTTTATGAAGAAAAGCTGACGATTTTTTTGATCTCTATAGTTTTTTATATTCAGAAGAAGAAGAAGAAGTACATAGTCATCTAAAGTACCTGGGGGATATGAAAAGAAAAAAATGAAATAGTTGGTTGGGGCGGAGCATAAAAGGAAATCAAATATTTCCGGTAGTTAATCATAGAGCACTATCACATGATAGATTTTCTCCCTAACCGTAATAAAAAATCTCATTGAGCCTATTTCGCACAGCGAAAAAATTGAGAAGAAAGTGAGATGAGTTGTTGACGAAAACAAATTTTACAAAAAGAACTCAACTGACTGACTGACTGACGGACTGAAATAGAGAAAAGGCGAAAAAATAAAATAAGAAAAACGAAAAGAAAAAAAAAGAAACGACAGGCATGGGGATAAACAGAAGACGGACGAAGAAAAGCCAGCAGCCGACAGGCAAAAACGAGTAGAAGCACAAGCACGAGGCGATCAAATCTCGGAGCCCCGACCACCCGTCATTGGAAAAAGAATAAGGAAAAATGCCAGCCAAAAACACGAAAAATCGACGCCAGGATTTGCACATTTAACTGCCGCTCCATCGCCACCGATGATCGTCTTGCTGATCTTCTCCAAGAAGCTGATCGAATCAAGTACGATATTATCGGATTATCTGAAACAAAACGAGGGGCAGAAAAACAAGCCAAGAGCGCCGACGGAACTGGTATTTTCCTTGGAAAACGAAACGAAGTCTCGGTATCTGGAGGGGTTGGATTTATCACTCACAAATCCATGACTCCAAAAGTCAAAGAAGTCAAATTCATAAACCATCGAATTGCAACCCTCACCTTCTATGTTTCCAAAAGATTCGACTGCACAGTCATCCAAGTCTATGCACCAATTGGAACATCTGACGCCGAGGAAATTGCTGAATTCTACGAAAACGTTGAAGATGTCATCCGCCAATGCAAATCGAAATTCAAGATTGTTATGGGCGACTTCAACGCGCGAATCGGAAGCCGAGCAAACTCATCTGAAATATACATTGGCACACACTCAATGGAGCCAAGAAACGAACCAGGAGAATTTCTGGCAAGTTTCTGCGAGAGCAATCGCTATTACAACACCAACAGCTTCTTCGAAAAACCAACAAATCGAAGATGGACCTTCATATCTCCTGATGGCCAACACAAACATGAACTGGACCACATACTAACCAACGGTCGTTTCTTCACCGACACTCACGTTGTTCCATCGTTCACAATTGGAAGTGACCACAGGCTTGTCCGAACCAACCTACACTTCAACCTAAATTTTGTGAAACATCAGGAATTCATGACACGACGTCAACCGAAGAAAATGATCGACGAGTCCGCGATTGCCACCAACTGCGATCTCACGCAAATTCCACCACAAGATCAGAATATAGATATATTCTACAACAAAATCGTTGGTATGTTAAGATCGATTCAAGAAAAATCGCTGGTTCCACAACCAAATCACTCACAAAACAGAATAAGTGAATCCACTCGCCAACTGCTGACACTTCGACGAGAAACGAGTCGATCTGATCCATTATTCCACACCATCTCGGAATTGTGCCGCGAGGAACTTGCCAGAGATCACCAAGAATTTGCCAAAACTCGCCTCGTGAACGCAGCAATGGCAAGAAAAAGTCTGAAAAGAGTCGCCAGAAACCTCGTCGAATATCAAGCCACAATTCCATGCTTGAAATCTTCTCCAACCGGAACTCGGATCACTGGAAGAGGAGAAATCGAAAAAGAAATACATCAGTTTTACTCAAAGCTTTTCAAAAGCTCAGATGTTCCACAAAATCCCAGTAACAGAAGATTGAGAAGAACTGAAAATCCACCACCGTTTCTACCGAGTGAAATTCGAGCAGCTCTGAGATCATTCCCAAACGGAAAATCCGCTGGCGAAGACAAAATCACCGCCGATTTTCTCAAAAAATGCACGGATAAGATAATCTTGATCATCACACACTGCTTCAACCTGATGATGGAGAAAGAGGAGATACCCAAGGCATGGAAAACATCGAAAACCATCTTGATCTTCAAAAAAGGTGATCGCGAAAACCTCGAAAACTATCGCCCTATCACAATCCTCCCAGTTCTCTACAAACTCTTCACAAAGTGCATTCTGCAGAGAATCCGCCGACCACTTGAGGAATCCCAACCTGTTGAGCAAGCTGGATTTCGAAGATCGTTCTCAACAATGGACCACATATCCACAATTCAAAGAATTCTAGAAGCCAGTCGAGAACACCAAATCCCACTTGTCCTGATCTTTGTCGACTACCACAAAGCATTCGACAGCGTAGAACCAGCTGCAGTATGGAATTCGCTGAAAGATCAAGGAGTCGATCAACATTACATCAAGATCCTCCAAAAATGCTACGAGGAGTGTTCCACCAACATCACGCCATTTTTCAAAAAAGTCGAAATCCCAATCTCAAAAGGAGTTCGCCAAGGAGACCCAATCTCTCCGAATCTATTCTCCGCGAGTATTGAAGGAGTTTTCCGCTCCACAAATTGGTCAGATTGTGGAATAAGCATAGATGGTAGAAAGTTAAACCACCTTCGATTCGCTGATGATGTCGTTCTGATCTCACACACCCCGCATCAAGCTTCGAGAATGTTGAAAGAATTGGTGCAGGAAAGCGCAAAAGTTGGCCTAAAAATCAATGAAGCCAAAACAAAATCAATGAGAAACCGATTTGCGCTCACCCGTCCAATTGAAATCGGAAACAAAACCATTGAAAATGTCGATGAATATATTTATCTTGGCCGACAATTAAATCCTCAAAACGAACTCCTGCCGGAAATCCACCGAAGAAGAAGAGCTGGCTGGGCTGCTTTCAAATCCATCGAAAAAGCAACCGACGCCATCACTTGCCAAAAAACCAAAGCAAACTTATTCGATCAAACGGTTCTACCCGCCCTTTGCTATGGTTCAGAGGCTTGGACCCTCACAAAAAAGAATTCAGAAGCTCTTCGAATCTCTCACGCGGCATTGGAAAGACGATTGGTTGGCATAACACTCAGCGAACAACGCGAAAGAAATCTCCACCGCGAAGACATCCGGAAGCTATCGCAAGTCAAGGATCCACTTCGACACATCCGCCAACAAAAAACCCGCTGGGCCGGACACATGGCAAGGAGAAACGACAACCGTTGGTCAACGGCAACATTGGATTGGTATCCACGAGATTGGAAAAGACCAGTTGGACGCCCTCCATTGAGATGGTCAGATGAACTAAGGAAAAACCACTGTATATATGACAACAACAACAAATTGGTCGAATATTGGACAACTCGTGCCAAAGACCGTGATAAATGGAGAACTGTGGTCCGCGCAATATGCTGAAGAACGGATCGACTAAGCGACTAAGTAAGTAACCGTAATAAAAAATCTCATTGAGCCTATTTCGCACAGCGAAAAAATTGAGAAGAAAGTGAGATGAGTTGTTGACGAAAACAAATTTTACAAAAAGAACTCAACTGACTGACTGACTGACGGACTGAAATAGAGAAAAGGCGAAAAAATAAAATAAGAAAAACGAAAAGAAAAAAAAAGAAACGACAGGCATGGGGATAAACAGAAGACGGACGAAGAAAAGCCAGCAGCCGACAGGCAAAAACGAGTAGAAGCACAAGCACAGGCCACGCCCACTTTTTGCATATAGTGTATGTGTGTTGGGTGAATGAGCAGTGCTCTCGCGGGCCCTCGCCTGTGAGCTCCGCCCTCTATTCATTTATCCTCCTGTAGTGTAGAGATTCAAAATACAATATATGATATATTTATTTCCGTCCGAACAAAAACAAATCAGTGTCTGTCTCTCGTCATATCCCCCGATGAATTTCAGATCATTATTTTGAGAAACTTTCAAAAAGACGAAAACAAGCATAGAGAAACAGATAGATGTTGAAAAAAAAAGAGTTGGAGAGTGAGAAAACGAAACAAAACTATTCATTATTTTATATTGATACAAACTTATTTCATGTATATGACCAGATGAATATGTGGAAATGAAGATGTGCATACAAAATAGGAAGAAAAAAGGATGAATGAATGGAAAAAACGGGAGGAAAAGTTTGTTCACTCTTTTTAATATTGTAAATGGACAGGATTTCTCAAAACTCAATGTGAGAATACATATAAAGAAGTCGTTTGGATTTGTAAAACTTTTCAGACTAACAGGGGATAGTAGAAAATTTCTAATGCTCTTGATAATCTAGGGGATTTATGTTATTTTAAAATTTGTTCAAATTGTTTTTGACTTACCGTATTTATTAGATGCATGGGTTGACGATTATCAAAACATAATTCCAAGTGATGAGGCGAATTCTGTGAGAAAATTGTTTTGAATTATTTTTATGTGGGATCAACCTACCCTATTGTACATCAGGAAATTTGTTGTTTGATTACGAACAATGTAGCCTAGCGGCATTGAGCCCTGAATTTTTCAGAATTTTAACAAAAATCTTTGAAAATGGGAAAAAATACCTCAAGAAATGCGTAGAAAACTGGATTTTCCATTTTTCTGATAGGAGTGGGAAAAAAGAACGAAAATGAGTGGACAGTAAATTGCCGTTGGTACCCAAACGAAATGAGTCACTACACTTCTCCTTTTATCCTTTTATACCAAATTTCAACAAAAGAAACAACTCATATAAAGAAATGTTTCACACCATCTGCAGTTTCAAGGTATATGACCTTCAGCAATAATTTGTCTATTATCACAATCACCTTCACCATTTATTTGTAATTTTGTTCTCAATGTAGTGTCCATTTCGAAACAGTTTTGTATCGGTTTTATTCAATTCAGTCCGGTTGTATGAATGTATTATGTGTCAGAGATTGATGAAAAAAATTGACATGAAATGAGCAGACAGTTAGAGCAAATGCACTTTGTTCAACAACCGCCGTCGTCTTTTTCCGTTTCGTTTTCTTCGCTGCGCTGTAAAACCAAACCAAAATTAGTCATAGTAATAATAATGGCCGAGTTGGTTGGAATCAGACAAAAGTTCATCCGAATTAAGATTTTTTTGTTGATAATCCCATCTTTTTGTTTATGATAGATGTTTGCACTGTCTACGGAGTTACAGTATACCACTGGCTGGAATAAAAGGCGGAAGGAAATCAAATTTTTGCGGCGGAAATTTGATCAAAACTATTTTGAAACAGCTGATTATTGTAGGGGGTTTTCATGAGAGCTTGTTTTGATTTCGCAATATCTTCTTACAGTAATATTTTTCATTACTCTTTGTTATAGAATTCGATTTCAATTTCAAAAAATTCCATTGTTTCCAGTGATTTATGGAGCTTTTTCCAATTTCTTCAAAACAGTAATTTTTCACCAGACCAAAACAATTCTTTTCAGAGAAAAATCGAACAATAGTAATTGTTGCTCCATTTTTTTTTGTGTGCGTAATCTTTTTTTTTTGTTCATTTCTGCTTGTTGGTTGGAGTCAGTCAGTCAGTCTGCCTGTCATGTCGATGTTTTCAGTCAGTTATGTGTATGTTCATTTCAAATATACGTCAGTCAGGAAAAGACATGCACAGAACACATACACATACACTCATATGTATGTATAGTAAGAAAAACGTTGCTTTTGCTTGAGGCTAATGGTTGGAAAGTGGACCGCAAAAAGAGCACATAAGGCTGTGTGCTCACAGAGTGAAAAGAAGGGGGGGAAAGGGGGGCACTTTCTCGTTTCCTATTTTGTGTATGTATGTGTCTGTCGATTTATGGTGAATAGGCACAAGAAGAAGAAGAAGAAGCCGTCGTCTTCTTCTTCTTTCTCTCTCAAGTGCTTCTTCTTCTGCTTCTTCTTCTTCTTGTTCGCGGGACGTCTGCTGGTTTTCCGTTTTTCACACACACACAGAGCAAAACAGAACAACTACAGCAACCAATTAAGAAGCTATATTTTTCTCCCATTTTCTTATGGTGACAGACCAAAGGACCTTCTTTCTCCCTTATCTTTCACAAATACATAATTTATCCCAACTCTAGTCACTTTTCCATTTCATTTCATTATTACAGTGTATTGGAAAAAAGATGAGTAAAAGAGATATGTGAAGAAAAAGAGCCAATGTGTGTGGCTCCTCGGTTTTTATTATTGTACATTGGAGAAAAAGGGGGGACTCGGAAAAAAGAAAAGAAAAAAAAAAGTTTTTCGGTCATTACACTTTTTATCCGGGTCGGTCGGTCGGTCGAATGTGTGCTTGCTTGGGTGGTAAAAATATGAGAATTGGCAGAAGAACAGGCAATGTGTTGTTGTAAAATGGAATGGTGATGGAATGGCTTTTTTATTTGGAATCGATAGATCTTTTGGAAAATATGGTACGGGAGTGTAATTTTCTAGCGAAATGTTTTAAAATTTTTGAGTAGGACAAAATCAAGGCGAAAATATTTTTGATCTACCGAAAAAAAACTAACAATTTGAGATCGTAGTTCTAGCAATTTGAGATCGTAGATTATACGCTGTGGAACTGTAATTTGATTATATCATTTTTCAAATTCTTGTCTGAAATTTTGAAAAACTCTATTCACAGCTAAAATTTTAGACATTATCTGATAATTTTGCGCTTCTGTCAGAACTCAAAAATTGCGCAAAAGTTTTTTGGGTCTAAAGTACACACATCCCATGGTTTTTCCAGACGTTGGGAAATTGTTCTGGCCTTATGTTGTAACCTTATTTTTCTCTCGAATCTACTAAACACATTTCCCAACAGTTTTTTGAAAAATAAACGTTTTGAGAACTCACAACAACATCTGTTTTTCGACTCGCAAACTTTTCTAGACAAAAATAAAAGTGCATTTTATACGGTCCTCATTTCAACATACTTTGAGTTTTTTTTTTCGTATTTTGTATTTCGTAATAAGTTTAAAAAATTCATTTCATGATAGTATGTATATAGGGCGTGAGAAAACAGAAAAATTATTATTTTTACAATTTATTATCAGAAACTGAGAAGAACTTTTTCTTCAATGTCGATTTTTTCTCAGGTTCAACAACAGCAGGACATACACGTAATAATGCACAAATCCGACGAGAATCGAGCAATTTTTCGACCTGAAAATAATATGTCAGTCTGTTTTGAAAATTTGTATTGTTTAAAATAAAATATATTTTGTTATTCATTTTGACCATGCACAAATGAGGGGATTAACGAGAAAAAAGACGGCGTAGCTCAATGAAGTGCGCTAATTAAAGGTGCGAGATTCTTCGAAGCTTTTTCTTTTTATATACACAGTTGAAAAAGGGATTCTTTTTTTTTCTCTTATGAATAATTTTATGTTATGTATTTTTTATTTCGTGTCATTTCAGATTCAATGGACAACTAATGCAATTTCCGATTACAGTATACTTTAATCAAATGTATAAATACACACACACACACATATTAATCATAGGCAAAGGAAATTGAACTTTTTTTGCAAGCTCAATTTTCCCATGTCGGCTAGCTATATCTGATTATTCAACAAATCTGTGTTGCACTATTCAATACATACATTCTGGAAAGGTTTTTGTTACCAGGGAAACGCCTGTGTGAATAAGTGTTAATTTAGTTAGGTTTCGATTAAACGTTTATGTGTATTTCTGCGCGCGGGGGACTTTTCTGAATGAATGAATGAACCTATGAAAAGGGGGATTATCAATCAAAAAGAAGAAATTGACCGACCGACCAGGTGGTATTGAAACGAAATAGGAAAGAGAGGAAAAAAGCAAAAGAAAAAAGGTTAATGCATACCTTATTTGAGTATTTTGTCACTTTTGATGACATAAATTGAATGCATGTTGCAATTTCATCTGGATTTTGATGGAAAAGTGCTTCACAATCAAGAGTTATCATATCTAGAACATTGTCTTTCATTTGAATAAAATCGTAATTGAGTCCATAAATCGAACGAACGCAAAGATCACAACTGATTCCAGCAAGTTGGTTGACCTGGAAGTTAAAGATTTTGGAGAGGGTAGAAGAAATCTGGGAAATATCGAGAAGGTTTGAATTTCTAGAAAGAAGTTTACATGAACTTTTTTTTCTCGTAAAATTTGAAAACTGAACAAAAAATGTTGAAGAAAGTATAGAGAATATGATTTGCGGATAACAGATTATCTTAATCATTTATGCCACGAGGAATATATTTTTCGGAACTTTACTATAACAAAGATCCCCCAGATTGCTTTCCACTATCTAATGGATCAATTCTTCCTCCTTCCAAATTTTCACATACCTTTTCTTCAAAATACTCAAACCGATTGGTTTTCAGCATCTCTTCTTTTGTAGGCAAATCTCCAACAGCTCGTTTCAATCGATATCCATTTACTTGAACAACAGCAAAAAATGAGGCAATGAATATAGTTATCTTCATGACTCGACTTCGTGAACTGACAAAAAATAAGCGACGGTCAGATCAGGTCAGCTCAAAAAGTAAAGAATGAAATGAAGAAGCTGCGAACACCACTTGAAAAGTGAAAGAAAGGTCAAATATTATGGGAGAAGGCGGGAAAAAGGAGCAGGAACGAGAGGGAGCACTTTTTGTTTTGTTGTTGCAACTTATTCTCATTTTACCTTATTCATATTTCTTATTTGTATAATCTATTATTTCCCACACACACAAAAGTATTGAGACACGGATTTTGTATGTGTTTCGTGAACATATAACATCTACATCTACATATATATATATACATATATTTTTTCCGTGTATGATTGATGAATAAATATTTGAGAAAGTTGCGAATTTCTCAAAAATGATGCATGTTCGTTTTCGTTTGTAGAATTTTGAATGAGATCACATTTATTTTCAATGAGCGAAGACGACACAAAAAATGAACATCGAGGGCTTTAATTTTCTTTTTTACAAAAACATTTACAAGAAAAAATATAATTAATAGGAAAATGAAAATGACTGAAGTAGTTTCAACAATAAAAGACCACGTGCTATTTATTGGTCTTACACAAAATGAATGATGAACAGATGAATCATAAATATCGATTTATTTCAGTCTATACAACACAACAAATGTCTCAAGGAAGATCAAAAGATTTAAAATTCCAGTGATTTTTAAGAAACACGTAAAAATATTCAAGCAAAAATATGATAATACAAGCAAACATTGCGATTGAAAAACTTCGAAACAATTGTAATAAATGATTAAGAAATGATAAAGGCGCCCGAGGATTCGCTGTTCGCATCTGGTTTGTGGAAAAAACATGTTTTTTAATTTTTAAAAGTGCGTGTGTAGGTAGACCTGTGTCGGAAAATCTCACAGACCCAAACAAGGGATTTCCGAAACTTTTAAATGAAAAACTGACTGTGGAACAATTTTTCAAATTGACCAAAACATTGAAATAGAGATCTGGAGCTGAATTCAATCAATTTGAAATTAAAAAGTCAAAAGTTGGCAGAACTTATTTAAAAAAAGTTCTGCCAACGTATTTCTTGTAAAACGTTCTTCAAGATCACGTGATAAACTATATCGTGTGATAAAACTTGACCAGTTTGACAAATAATCAATATTTCAGAAAACATTCAAACGTATATTAGCCATCATTATATAATTGTTTTCCACATAAAACTTCTTGGTCATATTTTTTTTAGTGAAATTTAGAATTTTAATACGATCGAAAATTTTCTGGATTTTCTGTTTCAAAAAATCCGAAAATTTCCGCGCAGGTGTGCTTTTTCCAACACAGGCCTAGTGTGCTCTTACCTCAAACGGCAATTTTTTAGTGTTATACCCATGTCCTGTTGTTATTGTAGAAACAGCTGGCAAAACTTCAATTAACGCGTTGTTGAATTTTCGAAGAAGTTTCTTGTGTGATTTTGCAAATGAAAATGCGACATAATAAGATGGTGCATCTTCATCTCGAATTATCAGAAATTCTTGATTTGTGGTGAGCCATGCAAGTTTTCCAGGTAATAAATCACTGTCCACTGTTGATTGATATATTCCACCTTTTCTAAATTGAAAAATATATATTTCCCATATTTTTTGAATTCGATTTTTTTAATTCTAATTTTCTAATACACATAAAAAGCAATTAATTTTGTGCTAAATCTTGAAGAAACCGAATACTGGTATTAATACCGTCTGTCCGCCTATATACAATCCACTTAATACAATAACATAGGGCCAGACTGTTTACGAAAACAAGTCAGCATGAAATGGGAAAGAATTGACAGATGTAGTAACCAGCTGTGCGTGTTGCGGGACCAACGGAAACAGGCAGCACAAGACACACGTTCATAAATTATATGCAAATAATACCAGCCACCCGTCTGTTTTCTTCTGTACACTTACAGTTTCTTATTAAAAATGAGAAAGAGGGGTTTGGGAAAAATGGGGGGATAATGTATCTTATAGATTTTGGGTTGAAGAAAATCAGGAATTTCAGAGAAAATTTTTTTCAAAACTTATGAGAAATTCAATAAGAAATAGATAACATAAATTTTACTCTGTTTTTAAAAATAGATTTCAAATCTGCAAAATTAATTTTCACAAACAGTGTTAATATTTTCCCTCAAACTCACAATATCAAATCTTGCACTTCCTTTTCAGTTTCACCCCTTCTTACTGGATTTTTCTTTGTCACTTGTTCATATCGGTTACACGTTGCTGGTGTGCATAACAATGTTTGTGCATCAAATGCCGCGAAATACATTTTCTTCCGCTCCACAATATCTGCACTTTTATTATATTCATATACGCCATTCATATGTACATTACAAAGTACATATTCATTCAACTCACCTAATGCTTCTTTTATTGATCGAAATGGAATATCATAGGATAATGGAACAGATAAAAATGCATACATATCGGTTTGATAAAGTTGAGAAAAGATAAAAGTCGCAAAAAGAGTGATGAGTAGAATAAGACGATTGCTTACCGGAAATGTTGATATACTCGTCTACGAAATATCTTGTGGTTTCCAGAAAATTTATGAGAAAGCTCACTTACATTGAAAAAATCAATAAAATATTTGGAAAACTTGAAATCTTCATCATGTCGATTTCGAACTCTTGCATAATTCATCAATATCGAGAATGCGTAAAAAAGCATAAAAGTTAGGATTATACAAATCCAAACTGTTCTGGAAAATGCATTAAAAATAAACTGCCTGGTACAAGTTAATGATGGTGGAGCAATTATGAATATGCTCTGGAAAAAATTTATTTGGGGGATAATGAACAAAAATAAGTGTTAGAAACCTCAAAAACTCGTGTTGGATACGAAAACAACACAGCTTCTTCGCGTTCAGAAGACATTCTCATCGATAATCCAATCATGTCCAATTTTCCTGAAATATTTTTAAATTTGATGTTTCGAAGTGAATCTTTTTTTCATAAAACCTTGAAACATATTATCAAAAAACAAAATTTTACCCTGATGAAGTAGCCCAATCATTCCTGACCAAGATCCGTTCTTCTGTTTTGCTCCAAAGTCATATTGCTCGCCAAACTCTTTCCAAACATCTAACTAAAAAGTTGTCTTAAATCAGATACAAATCTCACATCCACTTACCAATGTATAATTCACTTTGATCAATCGAAAAACCATTTTCAGAATCTCAACTTCAGCTCCGGGATGTTTACAATCTGGTCGTTCAAAACAAGTTTGCGCATCTTTTTCCAGCGGAAAAACTCCAACACGAATATTTTCAGACATATGCCAAATTCCCAAATTCCAGAAGAACAAAAAATGAATGAAAAAAAACTGGTTGGTAACTCAATATCTTTATTCTTGACCACAACATATCATTTTTATTTTAAAATAAAACAACACGACCAGGCACAAAAGTACTTCAAGATGCCAGTTTTTTCGAGAAAAATGAAAGGAAGAAAGAATTTTTGGGAATCGAGCAATGCAATTTTTGTTTCAAAACAACTAACAAAATTAAACATATGAAAAAATAAAAAAAGACATATTATAAAATGGTTACAAGTGAAATGATTATTGGTGTCAACCTAATAAAATTGAACTCTAGCACTATTAAATAGTGAAGATATCGAAATATGCAAACAATCATATGAATATAGGAAAAAAATGAACATGATATCAGAATATCGGCAAAAAACATGATTACACTTTTGAAAAATTCAATCATAATATGAGAGACAGCGTTTGACTGCCTTCGACCAAACTTCAAAAGTTTTTAATAGTTTCTCTCGGTTTTTCAAATTTGGCTGGAATACATCTTCAACGATAACAAGTTTTTCGCGACTTTCATTTGTCCATAATCCTTGCGCATATCCGGCTAACATTGCGATTCCTTTTGCAGCAACATGATCTGATTGATGCATTCTTTCAACATTTCGATTTAAAAGATCAGCAATAGTTTGACAAATGAAATCGTTTTTCGAAACTCCACCGCAAATTCTAAAAAAAAAGAGATATTCAATGCTATTTTTTATGGATGAAAAATAGATTTACCTGACGGTTGAGCTTTTGTTGATATAAACTTCAGCTTCGGCGGCCGTGTAGATTTGATAAACTCGGAATGCTAATGATTCCAAAATGGCACGAACCCTGTAAAAATTAAATACAGTCTCACATTTGAGTCCCAAGAAAACTTACATATGAGCTTTCTTGGTATCTGGCAACAATCCCAAAAATCCAGCACAAGTTCCTTCATTGTTGATTGGTGTTTGAATTCCACAAAAAGCTGGGATAAAAACAGTTCCATTTGAGTTTTCAACAGAAAAAGCAATGTCAGATGTTTGTGCAACATCTTCATAAAGACCAATCGATTGTGCCCAATGCAAAATAATCGCTGTATCGTGTGCGCATCCTTCAGCCAAATAATCAGTTTGTCCATCAATCTGCCATGCGACAACTGGATAAAGTCCAGCCATTGAAGCATGTGCTTCTTTTCCAGTATGAACATTTACAAATGTTCCGGTTCCCATCGTGATTTTGACATCGCCCTTCTTCCACATTCCACAACCAAACATTGCGGCTTGTTGATCAGCAAGCTGAAAATCAAATTATTTAGATGAACTAAAATTACGTTATCAAACTTACAATTGCGGAAATTGGCAATTCAATTCCTATAAACTTTGAATCTAGAATTGGTGTTCTTTTAATATCGGATAAATTAGAGCTGACAATTGGTGATAACAATTTTGTTGGAAAACAAATGAGTCGCATTATGAGAGTGTTATAAGTATTCTGGAAGTGATTGTTGGTTTCATCTTTATGAAACAAAGTTACTCACAATCCATGGATCATACATTCCACTTGGCGAAATGTTGCTGGCTTCCGCGACAATCAAATTTTTCTGAGAACATCTCATTGATAACCAAGTTTCAAGACATCCAAAACACAAATTATCATCGCTATAAAGTCCAGTGATATGTTCCGACTGTAACATAACACTTATGAATTTAGAAATGTTGAGAAAAATTCTTACTTTGTTCATTGTGACGGTTAATCGATGTGCAACCATTCCGCCCAAAAACTTTAAACGTTGTGCACCAAGAAAACGATTCTTTTTGGTGAAAGTGTGCAAAAATGCGCCACCAAAATGAATAAACTGAGAAAAATGATGTGTATTTCAACTATTTCCGATTGAAAAATGTTAATTTTTCAGAAAACATCAATTAATTTACCTTGAGAATCCACGAACTATTCATTTCTTGGCATATTTTATTTGCTCGGCCATCATTCCAACAAATGATTTTGCTGACCTCTTTTCTTGTTTTCTTGTTCCAAAGAACAATTGAATTTCGTTGGGTGCATAACGCGATACTAACAAGTGCTCCAACTGGCACAAGCTTATCTGAAAAAAAAATTACATTTCATTTTTCTTTCAATAATATATGTACTATGAGATTGGTAATTTTATTATCAGGCGACCAATTTATTTGTCTGTAATGATAAAAGCATGTCAATTTTCCACACGTTGGCTAGACAGGCCACACCAGACTATTGCAACACAAAAAAAGCAGTGGTGATTTATTTTCAATAATAAAGATAATAAGTGTAATATAATGCGACCAATAAGTGATTTTTTTTCTCAAATCAATCCAGATCAAACTTCTTGAACTTTTTTTTCTTATGATGTGTCTTGCGATTTGACCTTGATTGGTATTGGGTACATATCTTTGGACAAACATCACTTAAATCAAGTCTACATCGCAATCATATTGTACGTTCGCCTATAGATTTTTCTCTTGCAATTTGATGGATGCGGTTTTCTAAACGATCAAACTATACAGAATCGGAAATGAAGAGATGGGTTGCTAGTTGATTTCTTGATGTTACAAACAAAACACACCGAAGAAATTGATCAATTAGAGTTTAAAAGTGATCAAAGAGAAAGAATTTAAAAAAAAAGATTGTTGTTCTAAATATAGCAATGATGTTAATTTGATCTAATGAAAATATTTGATGTTTCAAATAATCAAGAACAAATTCTTTACAGGCGATTTCATAATACATCAATAAAAACAGTAATTTCTAATCCAACAAAAAACTGTTGCGATGAGTTCGAAAAAGAGTGAATCAAAATTCAAGGAAACTACTGAAAATTTTCAAGATCAAAGTATTCGATTCTGTGGATATTAGAAATTTGGTAATTTCTAGTCAGAGTTGTTCAATTAGTACTTTACTACAAAATTAAAAAGGCTTCAGTCCATTTCAGCAGTTGGGCCGACGTGTCTCATATCATTTCTTGGATATTCTGTTAAATAAGCGTTGAGAACATGGTATCTACGAGAACCGGTTTCGTTTCAATTTAGAGTTGAGAAACGTGATTTGTTGATCGCAACATTCTTCAAAACTACACTCTTGTGATGATTCTAAGAATTCAAAAAATCAACTAATGAAAATTGATTCAATTAAACAAAATTAACAAAGTCAAAATTCGCAACATCGTTTCCATATTTGAAAATAAATAGAAAGATCACAAAGTCCATACGTTGTCAAAACGAAAGAAACGCGACTAACCTCAAAAAAGATAAGAAAAACCCCAACAAATATAGTTTAGTCTACAGCCCAAATAGACTCTAGTTTATTTGATGAATTGATTTGATAAAACGGAATCGTTTTCGATTTGGTTGATAAGAATCACACTTACATGTTTCTTTGACGACTTTTAAAAACTGCTGGAACATCGTGTCAGGGTCAATTTCAACCAATATATTATTTTCGTCGTTGGTTGAATAGATTGTTTGGACCTAAAAAATGAGAAATGGAATTTATTTTAATTCATTCATGTATAATTAATTATCAGTTACTTACCCTCTCCTCGTGACTTCCTAATTCATAGCATTTCGAATCTTCTAAAACATGAAATAAAACACATCGAATTGTTGTGGTACCAATATCAACAGCTAGAATTAATTTTCCCTCCTGTACCATTTTCGCTGTAAAAAGGTGTTTGTTTGGGTGAAAATGAGAAAATACAAACAAAAAAAAATAAGAGTGACCAATGCACAACAAAACAATAATTATTTAATAAAACTAACAAGTAAATAAATAGACGGAAAAGAAAAAAGAGGAAACGGTGAAGAACCAAAATAAACAATCAAAAACGTTTTCGAAGATCATCTGCACGCTAACCGAAAAAATTAGGCGGGAAAAATAATATGTCTGGCTGGCTGCTAGTTTGGTTTCCGCCCGCCTTTTCTTTCCAACCTTTTTTTGTCGTTTTTACAAGAAAAAAATGGAGAATGATAACACATAAACGCACACAACACACAACGTTCTAGTTAGTTCGGTTTAGCAACAAAACTATTTGAAAAATTTGATAAATCATTGGGAAATACTACTATTTAATAGTTAATAGTAGATTAATCTAGGTTAACTATTAATAGAGTAAATTGTATTGGAAGACAAATAAGAGAGGTGGGAGATAAAGACGCAGAGAGTGAAAAAAAGCATGTTGCGAACAGTGTTTTTTTTGTCAAAAAAAAAGAAAAAGAAAAAACGTCACGTTACATCTTTAGGTCACAAAAGTGTATGCTAAAGAACGATCAGAAGAAAATTGTGTCCAAATAGGAGAAAAGAAACAATAAGAATCGGAATTTTATCAAAAAATACTAATTTTTCGTGGAAAGGGAACACTTCGCAAATGTGATAATGAAAAAACCATTTAGAATATTTTCAAGAGAATCGTGGAACATGCCTTCACAAGATAGTAAAAGTCCCTCACTCAATGGAAGTGGGAACCTAAAATTAATATTTCAGGATCTAAATATGTAGTGGGACAAATTTTCAAAGGTTTTCTATCACTATCATTTTATGCCCTCAAGTGGATTATTTGGGAATACGAAACTATTCATTGTCTTCAATATATTCCCTATTCCCTATTCTAAAAACCTTTCACTTCAAGTAACTTTCAATTACCAGAATTCTGACGAAAAAATTATCTATCTTTGAAACTAATGATCACGCTGATTTTTTTCAAAAAAGTATATAGATTGAAGTTTGAAACTTATCAACACTTCTACTATTAATAAAACATTATCATGTGTTTTTGCAATGTTTCCGAAATAAATGATTTGTTTGACCGTTTGGGTGGAGAGAAAAAAATTACGTTTTAAAAGGGAAATTTCAGTTTTATTGTTTTTGAGATCGAATGCTCAAGACACTGTGAACCCTAGACAATAGTTGAACGAAGATACACTTCGAATAGAAACATTAATCAAGAGAATTGATGAAAGGTTTGGGAAAAATAGAGAAAAAACGCCTGAAATCAACGATTTATCTTTTCTCATTTGTTTTCACAATGGCTCCTATAATTTTTTTCGGGGGAGGAGCCAAAAAAAACCGTTCGAAAAATGTTGTTTTTTTTTCATAGAGGACGAATTAGTCATCGAAAAACCAATCAAAATTTTGTTTTTTCTCATTTTTTTCAGTTTGGGGGAGCAAAACAACAGTTTGCCGGAATAATGTTTGATCCAGAACCGTCATAATTCAAACAATCATGTCTATTTTTCTAACTTTGCGATGATGACACATTGTGTCTAGACCGTGAGTCAGAAATAAGGGTCAAACTACTAAGAATCGGAATGATAACTGTTGAGATAAAAAAGGAGCAAATCAGGCAAATGTTTTAATCGCAACACTCCGGGTTCCAACAATTTTTGAATTTACTTCATTTCATTAAATTTACAAAAATCGTAAAAATAAGTTGATTTTTCATCTCTATTTTTGCTTACTTTTGGAATAGCTTATATTTAGTCAGAAATTTGAAAGAGGAAACTGATCAAAAATCGAACATTTCTCAATAAATTGTTGGAAGGACTCATAAATCAGAAGAATTGATGAAAGACTCGGAAAAAATGAAAAGTGTCTGAAATAATCTATTTATTTTTTCTCGTTTATTCTTGGCTGATCATACCATCAAATGTGAAACATAGATAAATTTTGAACGGATTATAAATCAGTAGTCAGTTTACCTCACGTTAGAAAAAAGTAGATTAAAGAGTGTTATCATTCATTAATTAATTCTCACCAAAAGCTCATAAGATAACATTTTTTGACAGTTTGGGAGGTGCCTCGAAAAACTTGTGATTGAAAAGTAATAGTTGTCGGTGTGGTTTGATTATTATAATGAGCCACAAGACTACGAGTGGGCTTTTTTTTCAAACCTGGGCGAACAGAAACTAAGTTTTGCGATTATCAAATTGAATCTTGTTTGTCAAACCCAGGTGGTTAATTTTCAAAAATAGGCGAACATATGAAAATTCAGAGAGCGTTTGAGGAAGTTATTTTTGAATTATTTGTTAAAACTAATTTTTGAAATTCGACTTTATTGGTCTCATAAAGTTAGTTGAACGAACAAACCAAAGAAAAATCAAGCAGAGCTATAATTATCAAACCCAAAATTTTGTAAAATTACAACCACTATTTATCAAATATTTTTCTATCAAGACCAGAACACAGTAATGTGTCGTAAGAAATAGTTCAAGTCAATCAAAAACACATCTCACTTGGAAAAAACTCACTAATTAACAAATTATTCAAATGGCATAGAAGAAACAAAACATATATATATATATATATATTTAAAAATTTCTGTGAATCAAAAAAGACAATTTTTCCAACAAGAGAAAACGTTTATAAGAAAAATGTTTTTGAAAAAATGATTACTCATTATCCAAAATTATTTTTGACAATACTCTAGTTTTGACAAGGGACCAAAAGAAAAATGTTCTATTGTCTAATTCTGTGATCTACTCTTGTTTTTCACACTATTTCGAGTTCAAACTATAAAAAAAGGTGAGAATGGAGAATATGTGTGAATTTTAAAGACATATTTTTTGACGCTGGAATACTGTATTCATATAATAATAGAATTAATGAAAAAATATAGAATGAAAGTTGTTATCAAAAAATCTGAAAATTAACTTACAATAGGCGGAGCTTTTTCCATAATTTATGTTTTATCTAGAAATGATAATTTGTCAAAAATTCGGCTAGACAGACAAAGGGCAAAACTAATTTTGTAAACAATTCGATTTGATAAAAGAAATATGATCAAATCATGAGGCTCAAAAACCTATTCAATAATTGTGAAACCTATAGTTTCTTTACATATATAATTATTTTGAAGTGTAGGATCATTGCGTTAACAAATACACTCAAAGTACAAAAAAGAAGAATTTAAAATGACGATATTTGAAAATCATGTGAAATTTTTTTTTAGAAAAACTAGCTTGAAAAATTAAAAAAGTTCATAAAACAAAAACAGAACACTTGTTGTAAACAAGTTCCAATTACGTAATTTTTATGTTATCACTTTGATTTTTGAACAAAAAAACTGTTGTTTTCTCTCTTAAATTTGTCTGAATTGGACAATTTTCGATTTCAAACATAAATATAACCTTTATACAATAAATAAAGCAACTATTATTGCAAAAAAAGTAAATTCGACAAAAAAGTATCCGTAGGTTTTTTAGACAAAAAAGTTGAGTTTTTTTAAAATAAAAACAAATAAAAAATAATACAATTTCAAATGCAAATGTAGATCGAGTGAACAAAATAACAAGTTATTAGTACTTTTTTGCAACTTTTAGAAACCTGCTTTTTCCAAAAAGACCCAAATAAAGAGAGAGGAGAGAGAAGAGTTGGATTTAGTCAGAATAATGACTGGAGGTTTTGTGATAAAATCACAAGGATCACATATTTTAAGGCTAGAAGAAGAGATACATTGAGTGAAGTTATCCGAAGTGGAATTTGAAAGAGTGTGGTCCGTCATCTTGGAAATGTCCACCTTGGAATCCGTGGAAACCATGATGGAATCCGTGTGGGAAACCGTGACCACCTCCTCCTCTTTGAGCATCGGCATCAAGTGGATCGATTCCTTGATCGAATTGACGACGTTTCTCTGAAAAAAATCGTTGAGTGAATCAGAGTTCATTGAAAAGTTTACCTTCATCAGTCAAGACTTCTTTAGCAGATGCGATATCAATGAATTTTTTCTCAGCCTTTTTCTTCTCATCATCATTTGCAAAGTTATCTGGATGCCATTTTTGTGCCAATTTTCTATAAGCTTTCACAATCTCTCTTTTGTTTGCATTTCTTTTAACACCAAGAATCTTATAATAATCTCGTTTTCCTGCTTGGGTTTTCAGTCGTTTTGCATTTTCCAATCCTTCTTTCGCTCCTCGATGTTCCGGGTTTACTTCAGTCGCTTTTTGCAAATCTTCGATCGCTGAAATATATTTTGATTAGAAATTATTATAGAAAAAATTTTAAAACCAGATTAGTTTGATAAGATTATTTTTCAAACTATATGTATATACAAACCTGCATCATAGTCTTCTTCAATCAAATAAGCTTCAGCTCTTTCAACCAAAACATCAGCATCACTTGGATCTTCATTTAAAACTTCAGTACATTCAGTAATTGCTTGTTGAATATGTCCAGCTTCACGATTACATTTACAAGTCAATCGGAAAACATTCAATTGAACTGGCGATGTTGGATCAAATTTCAAAGCTTTTTGTCCTTCTTCCAAACATCCCATCCAATCTTCACTTTCGATACGTTTTTTGGCACTTTCGAGAATTTTCACAACTTTTCGGAGTTTTTTGTAGAATGGATAACAATTTTTGTGATCTGGATTGAGTTTGAGACAATCACGAATAACATTCAACGAATCATCCAATTCTCCAACTTTATACAAAAGTTGAGATGTTTCAAACATTGTATCTGTACTATCAGTTGTTAATTTTGATACAATTCTCATATCATGAATCGCTTTTTTGAGTTCACCACGTTCTTCGAGACATTTAGCACGCATTCGGTATAATGAAGCGTCCCAAACTTGAACCTGAAAAACATTCATTTTTTGAAATGAAATGTGTGGAGTTTGAGAAACAAAAACTATACTTTTTCTAGTTTTTTTTTTCAGATTTGAAAATTTATAAGATAATTTTTGTCTATAATACCCACTACAATATCAAAAAATTAAAAAAGCTCACCTCAATCATGTGATTGATGTATTCTTCAGCGGTTTGACAATCGCCACTAGCAAATGATGTTTTAACTTGATGCGAATATTGTCGATGTTGTTCAATGAGCTCGGTTTTTTCTTGAACTTCGGCGTTCGATGAATCATGGTTCAACTGAAACACAAATTCAAATTTTTACATGTATAATGAAAAAAGTTTTGTAATAAACTCACAACAACATTATAATCATTATCAGCTAAATCTAAATTTCCCTGCTTCAAATAAATATTGGCTCGTTGAAGACGTGCACCATCAAAATCAGGTTTCAATTCCAAAACTCGTTCCAAATCTGAGACTGCTGATTTTCCACGTCCCATTGCGAGATAAGTTGTTGCTCGTCGATACATTGCTTGATAGTTATTTGGATCAAGTTCTACGGCAGAATGATATTGAGTTAGAGCATCGGCGAATTGTGCACGTGCCAAAAATTTACTACCAAGGTCTAAATGTTTTGCAACTTCATCTGCTGTCGATGCAAAAGTTGAAGCTGAAAGAATAATAATTTTTAGCCGAATTCTTCATATTTTATAAATACAATTTGATTTTAAAATAACTTACCTAAACATGAATATAATATGAATGTTATCTGTTGAGATAAACTCATCGTGGTCAATTATCTGTAAAAAAAAGTATAAATTAATATATAATGAAACCAATAAAAAAGGAGAAAAAGGAGAAAAGATGAAGACAAACATAAAATTGGGTCAACAGAACTAGTTCCACGTAGGCTCAATTATCAAGTGAAAAAATCGACACCTAAATTAGTCTAAAAATCAACTAAAATAATTGTAAACGTATATAAACGTTTAGAAAAGGATGAGAGCATCGAAAAGTAGAATAACATATAATATATATACACAAATAAACGGAGAAACATTCTTATGCTGACGTTGCCTCTGCGTCTCTGACTATGCATTTTTCTCTAATCGACGTCAGCAATAGAGTTTTTCTAAATATTTTGATCGTGAAGTACTGTTGGTAAACATTGGAAATGAAAAAATGAATTTTAAACATGAAATATACTGTTGAAATATTGTTAAACTTCTAAAATGTTATAATGAAAAATGAAAACAGGTTACAAATGAAGGGCAAACTGCAAATTGTTTGGTACAAACATTACTACGCAATGACTCCGTACTCTGTTTATTGTTCTCACAGGGACGAAAAAAGAGGAGGGAGTTTGAATTGATATTTTTAGCAGGTGAAGTGAAAAATGCACATAGAACTTTGTTTTTCACGAGAAAAAAAATGAGAAACATCAATCAAAAACGAGAATAATTTTTTTTTCCAAAGAAAAGCGGAAAAATAGTAAATCTACAGGAAACATATAATTAAGAGTGTAAAACATGGCAATTATATGTTTTTTTGTTAATTTTACTTTGTGAATAACACCGTACTTGTTCCAGATACAATCTACATATCGTTTTCTTCTGTGGGGAATAAACTTATTCTCAATTAAAACAAAACAAATCGGATGAAAGACTACTCAGATCTGCTGCAAGTCTTACAAAAATAAAAGAACAAATTTTAGACGAAACTACTAATTTATGAAACTTTTGAAAATTATGAAAAACAGGGAAAGGGGTAAAGTAAAATAACAAAATAAAAATAATAATAGAGGTCTGAAAAAAAACATGTTTTTGCAGTGAAGTAGCTCCAGTACCAAAGAAGCTCCCGACTTACAGCTCCTTCTGGAAACGATACCCCAAGAATTCTCAACTCCTTTTTTCATTCCCAGTTTTTCAAATTATCATGTATGAGAATTATTCAAGAGATAATTTTGAGAAAAAATTTGTACATTAAAAAATACTACATTTTCGAGTTGTCAGAACAACCATAGTGAAATATCCTACAATTTCTGAAAACTAGTTCAACTTTTCCAACAAAAATTATTATAATCAATTTTTGAACCATAATGTTTTATCTCAATTTTTTTGATCTCACATTGATACTTTTCTTTTCTCAAAAATACATCATCAAAGCAATATTTCCACAATCGGTATATTCAACGAGCTTAAGAACGTATATTGGGATTATAATACATAAGCTCAACAGTGGATAATGCAACAGGTGTGTTTGTAAATGGATATTTAGATTTTGAATATTTTCTAGACCCATGAATTTTGAGGCCAAGCCCCGAAAAGAGTCAGGATTTTTTTTATTATTTGTTCTTCTCCAAATGTTGAACCCTAAATATTTCCTTGTTCAAATTTGTTATTGACCGTACACTACATTATTATTATTAGCTTCTAATGTTTAATGCATTATGAAACAATTAAATAAGGGAGGTGCGATAAGAACCTATTAAATTTAAGTGATAGTGACTATAAGGTGAGTTGGGTATTTTATTTTATTCTTTAACCAAATTTTCCACGTTTCGTAGGGTTAACAGATGTCGGTGGTCTATATATTTTCTTTGAGAAAAATATATAATTTTTATGAATATATATCATCATCAACAAGTGTGAATTATTTGAAATATTATTCATTTTTTGTCCCTTAAGTGTCGCATAAATAAAACAAAGCTCTGTCCCATCAGCCTTGATTCCATATTTTTTTGCTATTTTTCTTGATGACAGCTGGATCAAAAAGTCTCCTTATGCCGCTTTGCAACACATCCCTTTTTTCTTTTTTGTCCATCCCGCACCGTATCCATCATTCTTTAACTGACACCTCTTTCTTTCCTCTCTTTGTGATTGTTCACACCCCCATTTTTTTGCGATTCAGCCAGCTTGCAGTTATTCATCACATTATCGCCACCTGTACTCGATTAATTTTCATCATTCTTTTCTCTTCAGTTTTTATTTTTCGTCTTCGAGAAAACTATAAAATCTCGACACATAAAAGCATAAGAAACGGGAAAAAAGCAAAGAGTCCCATATTTTTCCTTCTATTTATTTTACCAAAAAAGGACCATTTATCAATTGTGGTGCTGCTTGCACACCAGCCCATTGGGGATTATTTTTGTTCAATTCCTCCTATTTTGCAATGTAGAAACTCTTTTTCTCACTTTTTTGTTCTTATTCGCATTCTTTTTCATTGGGAAGATGTTTCGAATTGGTATTTCAGGGTTTGTTTATCCAGACTGATTTTATCTGGGACAACGCCCTGAGTTCGTTCAAATGAGAAGTATCAAACAGATAGTTTTTTGAGATTATTAAAAAGTTTTAGATTTCATTTTTCTTGTGAATTGTTCATTGTGTTTTAATCTTCAAGTCTTTTCGAACGCTTCTTGAAAAGAATGGAAATTTTCTAAAGCTTGTCTAAGATCTAAGATTCTGAAATTTTTTCCTTTAGAAAAATTTTCCCAAACTTATCCACTACGACGTTCATTCTTTCAAAATTTCAAATAATCTTCTCTAAAAATCTTTCTGTACATATTTTCTTCTGCTATTGCATTTTCAATTTTTCTTGTTAAAAATAGGTTACTGTAATTGCTGTGTAGTATTTCCATATTTTTCTAGTTTATTCTCTCCCAGCTCTTTCTACCACAATACTTTCATTGTTTCAAAAAATTGCAATAAACTTCTCAAAAAAATCATTTGGAAAAAGTGTAATCTATGTGGCGTATCCAGATAGCTCAATAAAATAAAATAGAAAAAATATTTCGAATGATCAGTAAAAATTGACCTTTTTCTTTTTTTTTGCTCTTCACGACTTTACATTTTCCTCAATGTAGATATTTTTGCTAATGTTTTTTTCTAATGATGATCCACACGAATTCATTGTTTTTTCGTGTCAATGGACACCTGTTTTTTGTCGTGTTTCTTTTTTCTTTTACTCTTCCCGTTCAGCAAGAAATAATAATAAATGAGTGAATGAATGACCTTATCAATCTCATTTGAGAAACAAAAAAAACGAAAAAGAAGAAACATAAGGCGCTAAATTAAACTGGAAGAAAAAGACAAAAAAATGCGCCAAAAATGTGTCAGAACATACATTTTTTCCAAAAAAAAGGGCAAAAGGAGGAGAGGAATAATGGATAATTTTTCATGTCACTCGCATTTGATTTCTATCGTTTTTCGGAAAAAAAAATAAATGGCAAGATGCAGAAATTTGTAAAAATTGGGTAACAGAGAGGACTATCTTGATCAGTCGTTTCTTTAGCTGTTTTTTCGGGTTTCCAAATATTGATTGTTATATTCTTGTGGCTGATCTTCTAACTAATTGATAGACAGTTTAGGTTCCAGTTTTAAACCGGTTCTTTATTTTTAAAAAATTCAGAAGTTTTCCTAGAACAAGAAGAACATTTTTTATTGTTTCAATAAATTTCGAAAAAATCAAACAAATATTTCAAAATCAATTATTACAACATTTATATGTTTTGTTTCGTTTGCACCTAGCTCATTAAAATTGGTTTGTCCCTTGCCAGAAAAAATATCGACCTTGAACATATAAAAGAAAAACAGTTTTTTTTCTGAAAAATATCACTGCCAAATAATAATAAAAAGATTTAATTTATCGGTTTTTCCTATTTTTTGCGCCAATTTTCCATCCTTATCAACAACAGTCGCAAAAAATGATTGCGATTGGGTATCAATTTGTCACCCATTAAAATCGATTATCTTTCATTTTTTGCAATTTCAAAAAAAAAATAACTATTGTTTTCTTGTTGTGTTTTTTTTGCTTGTTTCGTGATGAAAATCAAACGAGTACATAGTAGTTGCTTTCATTACAACTTTTGCTCGTTTTCCTGCTCCCGTTGGCTCGTTTTTCTCACTTCTTTCTATCTTGTTGAGATTTGTAATGTTTTCAAACAATTCTCCTACTTCATTTTTTTTTGCTGTTTCTCATCTTTTCTTCATCATCATCATCTTCTTCTTCGTCGCATTTTTATTCTCATTCTTATGTTATTTTTCCCCCATTTTCCTTTGTTTCAAAAACGTTCTTATCATTTTTTGATTGGATTTCATTTCTGAAAAACAATGCATTTTTTTCCAGATTTTTGGGATGGACCTCGATAATCATATGCCGCTTCATAATGATTCGTCAGAAGTCTGTCCCTGCCCAGATCCACCATCTGATGCCTACAGTAATCAAGCGCAAGGTGGACCTCGCCAAAATATTTCGTCCGGAAGTCAGAAAATTGATATGTGGCGAAATCGTAATTTTGATAGTGGATTTCAAACTATGAATCATAGTGAGGTAAGATCTATCAATTTTTGAGTGCAAATAATTTCAAAAGAAAATTAAATCCAGGCACCTTCAATAATCTCATCTCTTCATCCATCTTCCCATATTTCTGGAATGTCATCAGTCGCAGATTATGAACAACTTCCATCTCTATCAGATCATGTAAGTTTGAAATCAAGTTTCACGAAAAACCTTTCATTTCCAGCAAAAACTGAAATTTGATGGAATATCTTATGGATCAACAGAATCACAATATGGAAGTGCAGTTCGAGCAATTCCAGAACTCACAAATCTGATGAAAGATCTAGATCATGTAAGTTTCTTTGTACAAATGTTAGATCCTTTTTTACAACTGAAATTTTCAGGCGGTTGTGTACAAAGCAGTTTACATTATGCAAAATATTGCAAAAATGGATAGCGATCAAATGAGAAGACAAAAACAAACAGTTATTACTGATGTTCGAGTTATTATTGCACTTCGAGATGTTTTACGAGACAAAGTTGAACATATGGTTAGTTCTTGAATATTTGTTTTGTTTTAAAATTTGAATTACTCAAATTTAAATTTAGAATATTATTCGAGTTGCTCTTGGTACACTTTTTCATATTTGCAATCGTCCGGAAGGTTTGGATCTTATTGCACATGCTATTAGTATGCAACCAGATTTTATACAGTATCTCGTGCAGCATATCACGTGAGTTTTTCTTTAAAAATATTACTGACTCCCAAGCAACAATGTTCCAGATCTGTGCAATTTTCTTGCTACAAATATGCACTTCTAACTCTCCACTCAATTTTATCTGATAAACATCGAGGTGGTCCAAGTCTAAATCTTGCGCGACAATGTGACGCACTGAAAAATGTTGTTGGATGGTTGGAAACTGAAAAAAGTGAGAAACTTCTACCAGTCATAGTGGATCTAGTCAGAATTTTGTGTGATAAACAAAACGAGCAAAGAACTATTTTCCTGAAATTGGGAGGATCTCAAAAATTGTTGCATATTATTCAAACGTGTAATTATGAGAATTTATTGTGGAGATGTACGCAATTGCTGAAAACTTTTTCAAACTTTGTGAGTTTTTTTTTCTAGTGGAAAATTTAGATTGTGGAGTTATTTGTAGGATGCAAATAATTTGGTTTTATATGGAGCTCGGGAAATTCTTTCAAGAATGTTGGCCCATGAAAGTCAACGACTCATTATTTCAACACTAGAAACTCTTCGAAATATTTCTGATGTTCCATCACAATATAAAGAAGATGCAATTCTCAAATCTCTCATTATGTTACTTGGAATTCGTCATCCAACAGTAATGCTTTATACTGTTCAAATTCTATCAAATCTTGTTGCAAATAATAAACACAACAAAGAATTCCTAGTATGCAATAATACAATCGAAATGTTATTGAGATCATTGATGGAAGCATCTGCATTTATGCCAGGATTGAGTAGAGAAGCTCATATTATGGAAGAATTTATGGAAAGTGTTATTTGTATCTTGCGACAACTTTGTGTTGGTCACTCATTTGCTGACAAAGTTCAAGCAGTTGTTTTTAAAGATCCAGTGATTTTCCTAGAAAAATTAATTTCGATGAGACCAACAATACTCAAACAAACATTGAATGTAGGTTTTTTTATTATTGAATTTTTTCCCTTAAATCCAAATGTTCAGCTTCTTCTGAAACTTGCATCGCACAACGCACTTTTATTAACATTCCGTGATGCTCGAGCTGGTATGACTTGCTTCATTGAGCAAATAGTCCATATTTGGAAAGTGTCTTGTAATCAAATTAGTTCGGTGAGTCAGATTCATTTTTATCTTTATGGCTTTTTGCTCCCACCCTAACCAAATATTGTTTTTTCAAAAAAATTTCAATTTTCAGCAGGAACAAATTGAAGGGGTGAAAGTGAAAGATTTGATTCACATGTCTGTTGAACTTTTGAGAATTTTGAGTCGACAACAAGATATTTTGGAGCAAATTATATATTTTCTCCGTATCCCGGAGAATAATCGCATTGGTGATACCCATACTCTTCTTCCACTTTTTGTCCTACAAAAAGTCAATCTAGATGAGAACACCCGAAAATCGGCAATGCTCCTTTTATACAACCTAATGCTTCACGAGCAGATGGCGACTGTCTTGGAGAATAATCAAGCATTCATAAATCTTATGCAGCAGCTTCAAGTGTGTCAAACATCGCCCGAACTTGGTAAGATTTATAGACGTTATTTTATGGCATGAGATAAGAAAATTTTTGCAGCAAGTATTGCGGACAATATTCTCAAGATGTTATTTGAGAAGAAAGAGAGAAGCATGTTTGCCAAATATTCAGCTACAAGTTCAACAATGGAACGAAATAATAGTTTGATGAAAGATGATTCGATGGAAGTTGGCGGAAATGAAATGTTTGATGGAGCTGGAGAAGAATGGTCACAACAACCTGATCCGTTTGCAGAATTATATTGTGGATCAAACGCAGAACCTTCAAGTAACATTTTCTTCAATATGAGCAATCCTTTTTTATCAAATAATATTTTCCAGAACCCTTCAATTCACCAACATATAATTCTCCAACATCATCATACCCTGATTATCACGCGCCTCCTGATTACTATTATCACCAACATCATTCATCTGGTCAACCATCGTCATCTTCAACCCCTCAAAATCGTCGTCATTATTATGATCAATCTCATAATTACACAGATTATCGAAATCCGCGATTTTGAAAAATCTAACTAACTGATCTTTGTTCATTTATTCATTCCTTTCTGAAATTTACAAACGGGTTTTTTATATTGCTCGCAATAACTTATTTTGTTTTTTTTTCTTTCAATTACTAATTCATTTATTTATACCTGAAATGATGAATAAAACAATTATTATTTTTATTTTTATTTATAAGTTGATTATGCCATTTGGTTCATTTCATAGTAGATACCCTTTAACTTCATTAGTTCATCATGTGTACCTTCTTCGGCAATTTCGCCTTGTACAATGACGTAGATTCGATCGACGTTTCGGATTGAGGAAAGACGATGCGCAACTGAAAAACATTTGGAATTTGTTTCATGAATTGTGCGATTCAACTTACTCTGAATACAAGTAGTTTTATTTTTCTGCGACATTTTTATACGTTCAAAAGCGTGCTGAACTTCTTTTTCACTTGCACTATCAAGAGCTGAGGTAGCTTCATCTAACAATAAAACAGTTGGTTTTCGAATAACTGCTCTGGCAATTGCAATTCTTTGTTTTTGACCACCTGAAAGTTGAGCACCAAATTCACCAACTTCGGTGTCATAACCCTGAAAATTCGGATATTTTTTTTAGTTTCCATATCATGTAAGAAACCTGAACTTACATTAGGTAAACTTGTGATAAAATTATGAATATCAGCAGTTTTTGCAGCTTCAATAACTTTATCAATAGTTGCTTCACTTTCCATCATACCATATCCAATATTCTCGCGAATTGTAAACGAGAAAAGATCTGGCTCTTGTCCAACTGTCACAATACATCTTCTTAAATACGCTGGATTAATTGATTTGATATTGTATTTATCAACTATAACAAGTCCATCAGTTGCATTATACATTCTTTGGAATAATGAAATAATCGATGATTTTCCTGATCCTGATGGTCCGACTAAAGCAATAGAGGACCCTCCTCGAATTTTCAAATTTATATTTGTCAAAACTGGGACAATTGGACGAGTTGGATAGCGGAATGAGGTGTCTTTCAAACATAAATTACCTTCGAGTTTCTGAAAAAGAATACAATTTTTATTAGTCATTCAAATTTTCAAATCTCACTGGTCTCAATCCTTCTTCAGTAAGATTATCCATATCAACTGGTGATTCTTTTATAACTCTCATAACATTTTCAGCAGCAATTTGAGCCTTTGTCAAATCAGTGACAGAAGCAATGAGTTGAGAGAAGAAATTAGCACCGAATTGGGTGAGCAAAACAACTCGCATATAATCGAAAACTGAAATTTCATTGGCCAACATCATAACTTTTCCGAAATACAAAGTGATGGCAATAAGAATGTAGGTGAACGAATATTGGCAAGCAAATACGAATGCCGAGATTATTGATTGTTTTTGCATACATCTAAAAAAATTCAAAAAGTTCTTTGATGGACAAAAATACAAAATAGTTTCATTTTCTATTCATGTATATAATCCTATTAAAAATCTTCGTTTTTTCCATAGGTGGGATTTTATTTCATTCATTTTTGTTCCAAATCGTTTTCCTTCATTTTCTTTTTTTGAAAGTTTTTAAAACTTACTTTGACACTGGTTTCAATGCTTCACAGAAAACATTATAGAAATGTGATTGTAAATTATATGCTTTGATAGTTCCCATATTTGCCAAAACTACTGTAGCCAAATTTGCTGCTTTTTTCTCTTCCTCAATCATTTGACGTTGTCTGAAAAAACAAAATTTTTTTCAAACAAATTGTTTTTTTTTTTTGAAAATACCGTTTGGTTCCTTCACGAATTTGTAAAATTCTGATAATAAAATATGCTGGAAACTGGAATGAGCAAAGAAGTGCCATTTTCCAATTGATATATAATGCACAACAAATTGAGAATAATGAACAGACAAATCCGGGAATCAACATATCCAGTTTTTGTTCCATAATCTCATTAAGTGTTGATGATTCATTGATGACTTTATGAACAAGTCTACCAGGACTGTTTCGTTCTTCATCAAAATATGCAGCGCCGTGTCGGAGAATTTTGCGGAACATTTCAGTTCTCATGAACATACAGAAACCATGTCCGTATAATGCGATAAACAAACGCTGAAACAAAATTAGTTTTTATGTTTTTTTCATTATCTAATAGAATTCTTACCCCGAGAGCCTCAAAAATAGTCTTGACAATAATCAATGCTGTATAAACTGCAGCAACAATGAAAATCTGAATAGGCCGATCCTCGTCCGGAGCTATAGAAATCTCTAAAACTGAGGCGACTTGGAAGCAAATCAACAAATAAAAAACAGCTCGAACAATTGTTGTTGGAATAGCTCCAGCTAAAAGTGGTAATCCACTTCGATAAGAGTAGATCAAATCTTTGACAACTGCTAGAGATGTTGTTTTTCCTGGTAAATCTTCATCTGCTTCGTGATCTTTTTCTAATTCAAGATTGTGAACAACTTTTGAATATTTGTAATCGAGACGCTCTGATTTCTTCTTACTCATCACTAAAAATCATATTATTAAAATAAATAATGCTCTAGGATTAGTCTAGAATACTTACCCGGCAACTTTAATTTCTCTTTTTCTGCACTTTTCACCGAATATGATTTTCCGAGTTTATTTTTTCCACCTAATGAACTTCTGGCCCAAGCTTTTCGTTGTTGTTCGGGATCCTGAATTTTTCAAAATTATTTTTCTCAATGTTTTTCAAATGTAAGCTTACAAGTTTTGCTGGCGGACTGAATGACATTTGTTGTTGCAAAGTTGGTTTGTGTAGAATATCTTGTTGTTCTGACAATTGATCAAGTCTTTGATCATTGTACATTTTGTAGAATACACCGTTTGGATCAGCAAGAAGCTCATCTGGAGCCCCATTCTCAACAATTTTTCCCTCGTGTAATACAATGATTCGATCAGAGTTTTTGATGGTTGACAAACTGAGAAAAAAAATTGAATAGTCTTGCGTTCACATTCAGAAACTAACCGATGTGCAATTGTGATAGTTGTCAAACCTTCTGACGCAAGATCAATAGCAGTGTTGACTTCTTCTTCGTGAAGATTATCGAGAGCACTTGTAGCTTCATCAAAAATCAGAACAATCGGTTTTCGAATCACAGCTCTAGCAATAGCAACACGTTGTTTTTGTCCACCAGATAATTGATGTCCACGATCTCCCACTCGAGTTCTCATTCCTTCTGGCAACCCATTAATAAACTTCCAAGCTCCAACTTTTCTAGCAGCATCATTGATTTCTTGTTGTGTTGCATCTAATCTACCATATCTGATATTATCAGAAATTGTGCCATCAAATAACACTGGTTCTTGGCTGACAAGTGAACACTGTCCTCGTAACTCATCTGGTGACATTGTTGTGATATTTTCACCATCAAGTAAAATTGAACCACTTGTTGGATCATAGAAACGCAACAAAAGTGCAGTGAGAGTTGATTTTCCACTTCCACTTGATCCAACAATTGCAATTTTTTCGCCAGCTTCCACCGAAAATGAGATTCCTCGCAGGACTTCAGTTTCTTTTCGGCTTGGGTATGAAAAATGAATATCTTTGAAGTGAATCGCACCCTTTCCTGAAATAGAAGAGTTTTGATTTGGTGAGACTTTTTCTGTAAACATACCCATGAATTTCATACTCTGTCTACGATATTTGCAACGGGTTACAGGGACAAAATCAACATTATTGTCAATTGATCCAAGTTCAACTTCAATCTTTGGTTGCTCATCTGAAAAGTCGATTTTTTGATGATCAGGGAATTTGAACTCATGAAATGCGGTGTCCAAAGTAAAAAATATAACAAAAAATGCGAAAATATATCGTCCTAAATCTAGCTGTCTGCGTCTCTCGAATACACACACTATTTCTCTGTTATGTATTCCGAATATAAGGCGAGCTTTGTACGATATATTCTCGCATTTTTTGCTATATTTTTTATTTTGGACATCGCATAAGATCTTGTTTCAAAAATTGTTTTTCTATTTATCTGACATTTTGAACTTTAATTTCATTTTTGATTGTGAAAAGAAAACTGTGTTTTTTGTTTTTTTGTAAATACGGAATTTTGTTTGTTATGGAACTAATTCGATTTGACATATAACCTTTTTGATAACATTCAAACAACAACATTTATTTATGATTCACATTTGATGGAAACAGTGCTTCGAAAAATATCTAGTTCATTCCGGGTACTGGAAAAACTAGGAAAAATCTTTGGATCTAATACAGATGCAGAGTATCACCATATTACTCATTTAGAACTTGAAATCAGCTTCTTCGAAAATCGTATAAGCAGATTTTAAAAAAAAACTCAGAGTTTTCCGTACATTTTGAAGGTTCCCCAACCCCTAACTAACTCAAAACTTCACACATTTCTTTTGCATTCGCCTTAGCCCTCGATGCTCCATTGATATGAAAACCAATAGATATTGATGTCACACACATATATAACATATTGATAGCGAGCTATAAAGATAACAATTAGTTTTTTTTTGAATAAACAAAAGAAAATACCGCGCATAGTCGACCAGGTGAGTTATCAGCAACTCTCCATATTCCATAACAAAGAGCGCCAGTGAAAATTAGTTCAGTCAGTAGGATCTGAAAAAAAGAATTGAGCTTGAAACCATTATGTGTGAAACCAACCTGTGTCAAACTATCAAACACAACTGATGACCTTAACCTTTGTTCTGTCAACTTGCTATGATCACCGGAAAGACGTTCGAATCTTCAAAATTGTTTAGTTTGGCGCCAAAATAAGATTGATTACTCACTTATTAATTGTTTGTTTTTGCGCAGCAAATGATATGACAGTTGTAATACAGTTAAACGTTTCATTGACAAGATTTGTGATTTTATTTTGGAGTTTTGTTTCTTCTTCCATTGTATGTGCAAACCACTAAAAAATTGGAATAAGTGGAAATCATTGAAGTTGTAGGGAAAATTAGTTACCTTACTGTACAAGATTCTTGAAACAATCAAAAGTGGGATAGCTAAACACATGAATAATGTGACATCCCATTGAATATAAATACATACTCCGATGTTGACAATGAGATATGAAGTAATGAAAAGAACCATTGGAAGATGATCTGATATACCATTGTAAATTGAGTCAGCAGACCTAAAACACAATGTTTTTTCACTGTTTTTGATATGATATCAGTAATATTCTGGAGTTTTGTTCTTCCAAATTTTCAAAAAAATCAATCTCTTTTAAACCTACTCTTGTAACATTGCTGCAACGTGTCCACTTTGTCTCGATTCCAACCATGAAATATCCATCAACAATAACTTCCGGATATACGCTTTCTTAATTCGAAAAACTTGTCGAATCGATGAGATTTCCCACACAACTCTCTGTGTAAACGCCGCAATAAACATTGCGATGGACAGGCCCAACATTGAAATAAATGCCGGTGTTGCAGATGTTGAAAATTCTTCATCAATTTGTATATTTGAACTTGTCAAATTTTTGATTCCCAATTTTTCTTCCTCTCGTAAAATTGACATTGATACAAAATTACCCATAATTAACCAAACAAATGGTGGTAGAACTGATTGCAAAATTGCGCTGAATAATCCAATCGCCATGAGCTGAAAATCAGTTGGGTTTGTTGGAAGTGAAAGATTTTTCATGGCTGACCTGCATATCAATATTATCAGCAAAAGCGTATAATCTTCTATATTCACCGAAAAATCCTTTACCATCGTGTCCTCCTCCACCTTCATCATATTTACTGTTTTCCGCATCATCTATTGTTATATCATATGCTGAAAACATTAGGTTAATTTTTATTTTTTGACCAAAGGTTACCTTTTTTATTCTTTTTCAAATCATCGATATACAAAGTTGATGGTTCAATCGGATAAATAATTGATTTCGTTGACTGTTTTTCTTTTTCAGTATCCCCATTTTCAATGGGTTTTACTTTATTTGTCATCTGAAAATTAGACTGAAGATCTCTCATTCCGACAAAGGGATAACTATATACAAATGATAAGGTGAGAGCGAAAAAAAAGATCACGAGAAAAACAATTAAAAATTGTGGTGATGCTATTAAATACCGTTTTTCATGGTCAAATTTTCGTTTGCAAAAGAGGACTACTCAAACGAATTATAGCCACTGATTACGAAGAGTGAAAAAAAAACGAAAATTATGTAGTTTAAAGAGGTGACGAATTAGGAAGTCAAGAAAATTCGTCCCACATTTGTCTGTATAAAAAAAGAAAGAAAAAACGGGTTCATGGTGATTCATTTTCTGTGAAACAATAACAAGTTTTATGAGAAAATAGGATGGTAATTTCGTAACTCGGATTATCTTAAAGATCTACTAATACATTAAAGAATATGTTGATTTCAGAGAGAGAGAGAGGGATTTTCAAAGATTTGGAAATTTTGTAAAAACTTGTGTTAGAAAAATGTTTCTAAAATAAACTTTAGGATTATTTTCCAAACGTTTTTCGGAGAAACGACCTTTTAGGGCACCCTAAATTTTGAGATTATTGTTTTCTTTCTGGAATTACACCATGTTCTTTAAAGATTCTCTACAGCCCAATCATTTAGTCCTATAGATAAAAAAGTGAGAGCTTCTGAATTTATCCTGATTTACAGTGATCCAGTACAAAACTATACACTAGAAACTATCCTATTCAAAGCTCTTGAAATAATCTTTTGATTTTTTAAATTACCAAAACTGCCAACAGAAATAAATCAGATAACAAAAAATGACCACCAATATTAAATAAAAGCCATGTCTCACTTTCTGAAAAATGAAGTTGTCAAAAAAGTAAACGCAATCAACGTTTTTCGCTGATGTTTTTTTGGCGTTACACAAAGCAAAGAAGAAACTATTGATGAAGGTTATTATCATCTGGTTCTTTTTGCCCATTTTCAATCAAAATTCTCTCATTTTAACCTACTATTTTGTGTTAAATATAAATTTACTATATATTTATTACTTGGGGTATCATACTTGTTGTTGACAAGTTGAATTTTTCTCATTGTAAGTTTAGTTTTTTTTCGTGTAATTGAAATTGAATGAGAAAAAATGAAATGGAAAGATGATAAAAAAATAATTGGATTAAGTTAACCGTTTTGATGGGTTGATGATAAAAAGAAAAAAGTTTATTTTGGGAAAGGTCATGTTTTCAAGTTTTTCAAATTTGTGGATTTTGTGGTCTAGAAACTTTGAAATAGCCTAGTGATTCTAAAATTTAATTTCAAAATTTTCTGACTTATTTTTATATGGTCGAAAAGATAATTTCAGTAGAAATACTACAAGAAAAGTTCATTAGGGTATTTTGAAAATTCTGAAATATACTTTTTTGAACACACAGTGTGATTCACTCTAGGCTTCAAAAACTTTCATACTTTTGTTGGGTAGATCAAAATGAAGTAGTAATTTGCTAAGTCTCAATACGGGTAAACTCATGGGAAAACTTTATATACTAAAATATACCCTGTGGAGATTTTGAAAATGTTATTATTTTTTGAAAACATTGCACATTCCTATGATTTTCATCAATCAAAATTTCAAACTTTGATCTTTTCCATTATTAATTTGTTATTCTTCTAAAAATCTCAACAAAAAAGACTAAAAAAGATCAATCGTTATCATTGTTCGATCTCACACTAGACAGGAAAATGACAAAATATTTCTAAACATTCCAAAAATGACTTTCAACAAATTGTTGAATATAAATTGAAGTGTTTTTCATTGCATGTTACTATGATTGTTGAATACAAAAGTTTTATGAGATGTGACTTTCAGAAAATGAAAAACATGAAGTTGAACAAATAAACAAGAAGGATATGATTATTTTTTGATAAATGTTTAAAAATTGAATTTGAATGACCTATATAAAAATTCGAAGCAATAAAATAAATTCGTCAGAAATGTTCTAACTAGAAAAAACTGTGAAAACATTGTTGTCTAAAAACTGAAAACAATGTTTTTTGATTGAATTAGTGATTTTCTCGCCTTTTATTTCTCTCTTTCTTTTCTCAATTCATCATTATTTCAGCTAATTTGGTCATTTTCAGAATGTTTCCTCGCTGTTTTCTAATTTTGTGTGTTTTGTTTTTATTACTACAGTACTCAAAAGGTTAGTTCAGAACTTCAAAATGAATGAAGAGGGTTCTTTTTTTCGGGAACAAAAAAAAATGATTTTTTCAGGTGAATCCGTAGAGGGCAGTGAAGAACAAATTGATGGATTGGAAGAATTTTTAACAAACTTAGATCCGAATACTAGTGATATTGTGAGTTCTGAAAAGTTCTAGTTGTAAAATATTTTGAATTGTTAGATTCTTGAATTGCTGGAAGTGCGGAATCATCCGAAAAAAGAGCGTCTGATGCGACGAATAATGAGGAAATTGAGTCAACCACAATTAGATAAACTATTTGAAATTTATATGCGTACACGTGAATGAAAATTGAAATAATTTTTTTTCTTTCTTCATTATTTTATTGTATTAATTTTTGTTCTGATGACTAGGATTTCCAGGTGAGTCAGTGGAAAACATTTTTTTCAAATTTATCCTAGAAATGTTTTGCACTTGAAAACAGGTGGTTAAATTTATTGAAATTTAGGATTCTTGAACTTCCCAAATCATCAAAAATTGAACCATAATTCAATAAACTATTTGCAATTAATAGTTTACACGTGAATAATCTGATCTGAAAATCTCAAAGAAAAACATTTTTTGCAACCTTTTCGAATTATTTCCGTTGCTCAATGCCAAAGGATAGATTTTTGTCTCCGATGACTCACAACAAATCTTTTATCTTGCTCACTATCCCGACGCACTTAATTCATCTCATTTTTTGTGTCCAACATTTTTTATAGCATTTCTCATTTCTCCTCATTTCGTGCACACTTACACAAAATGAATCGAGGTCGAACTCGGACAGTGTAACAAAAAATCGGTCGGGGTTAGAAAATAGGAGCAGCTCGCTAGCTAGCCAGCCAAGCCAAACTGAAGAAGACACGACAAAAAATAGGAGGTGGAGAGATAGACAAAATCTTTTGGCTTGGCAACATTGGTATCACTTTTCTATCATTATGGTTATCATAACGGCTCAAATGACCTCTGAAGACAACAAAAAACGCATCATATTTCGTATATGTTGTTTTTTTGCTGATCTATTCCTGTTCCCTTGTTTTGTTTCTTTTTTCTTCCGTTGTTTACGCCAAACTCTTATTGCTTCACACTTTTCTCCTTTTAAATTTAATATAGAGTTTTTTATAAGATAATTGTATTCGTCATATTTTGTATAACAGCTGCACTGTAATATTATCGTTTTATTGAGTTTCTATCGAACAAATGTATAGATGGTGCGGTTTTTCTACACCACAGCTGCAGATTTTAGTTCTGATTATTCATTTTCAAGTTGTTTTAATTTTCAGATTTATTTGAATTTGTAAAAAAAAATAGGGTGAGCTTTAAATTATAATTGACACAAATTTTTAAAATTTTAGACACGTAGAAAGCATATGAATATGACCACTTTTTAAGAGTGATTTTCTGAAAATCTCTGAAAACTTGGAATAAATTAGTTTTTGTCCAAGGGTTTGTAAACAAAAAATGAGAATTTTTGAAACATGTTGACTATGAGAAATTACAGTATCTCACGTTGTGACATTTCAGAAGGAATTGTTTTTGTTTTGAGAACACTTTTAAGATCTATGAATCCAATTTTTTTTTTCTTTTAAAACTTGTCTATGTATTCGAATTTCAATAAATTTCTAAAAACAAATTTTCCTGAAAAATTTACAGTGATTTTTTTCTAACTTGAAAACAGTCTGTTGAAATTTCGATCATCCAGGGTGTTCTTTTTTTTATAATAAATAAATAATGATGAACCTTTTCAATATTTGTTCATCAATGTGAAACAAAGTTTTCAGTTAAATTTTTCTTTGATATTTTGATCTTGGAAACCAGATCAAAATATTCAATAAAATAAACTATACTCATAATTTCACAACTACTATTCCCAAAATCAAACGCCAATTTTCTGAGCCGCAATAAAAACATTCCCTAAGGCATCAAAACGTTGCGAAAGATGGTCCTAAAATAGTACATTAACACCTCCAAAGTGTTCTTCATCATTCATCATTTTTTTTTCGAACACTCTATATTTTGTCTCGTTCATTCATCATATCAAAAAAGTTGCCCTTATTTCTTTTTACTTTATATTTTTTTCCAAAAAGTTCACTACAAGACAGCCAACACATCTGGGTGGCATATGTGAGGTAGTTTACATATTTTTTCTCGTTTTTTTTTTCTTTTTCCCTCCCTGATTTCTTTTTGGTCAACAAAAAAAACTTTTGAATTTGTTAATTGAGTAATAAGAAAAATAATAGTACTAATAAATATGTAGTGTTGATGAAAGATATCAATCTTTTCTTCCCAATCTCTTCCAAAAGTACCCTTACCAATATTAATAATAATAATATGAATATTGGGCTGCGTGTATATGTGTGTTATCTCTTATTCTCCTTTTTTCCTAACAACTTGTTGTTGTCTGCTGCTCTCTTGCATATCTGTTATCTCTAATAATAAAGAGTCTACCAAATATTCAAGAAATGTATTGCGCGGCGTTGTTCATTGCGGTCCCATCGAAGAGGTCATCTTTTCCCTCTCTCTCTTTCTCTCATTCCTTCCCCCTCGTTCAACTTTTTACCTGCTGTTCTTTATTGTTTTTCTTTTTCTCTTGATTTTTTGGAGATGATTATTAGTACTATTATGAATATATTAATTAATTAGGTGCATTGTTTTGTTGTAAATTAGCGCATTTCAAAGGGATTAGGATTTTCAAAGGATTATTTTTATTATTTTGAATTGAAGGTTACGGTATTTTGGTTGCTTGTTGAAATTTTCTCTAGTGAAATATAACATTTTTAAAATTATCTTTCAAGAAGTGTTTTTCATTTACGAACTTTGAGAAGTTTTGAAAGAGTTTTGATAATAATTCATAATTTTCCACAATAGTATTTCGACACTAAATACCATCAAAATTCCCCTTATATTTTCCAATAAAATCTACAGATGTGTTAAAAATGTGATCTATACGATCTTGTTTTTTTGGTAACATCTGCATAACAGTATAATAGTTGTACTATCAATATACATATATATATATTTCACCAGATGTGCCTCATTTTACCGTACTTTATACTAGCAATGCTCAACAGTGCGCCAGACACACTCGCCAGATGTCCTGGTACGCGCATCCCGCCCTAAAACTTGTTTTTGTGCTTGTCATTTTTTTTGTCTTCTTTCACAGCTGCATTATAAATATATATCATTCATTTCGGATCGGAAGATTCTCAATTTAATCCAAGATCTACTAATAAATGAATTTGCACTTTATCCATTTGATAAGTTTCATCTTTCCAAAAAGCAGCAAAAAATAACCCCTCAACTGATATAAATCATTGAGGCGACAACACATCTGCCAGTTCATTTTGGATGAGCCCGCCTTCTTCTTTTATCCAGACCTATCTAAATGAATGAAAGAATTGAGGCAAGAAATGAAACACGAAAAGCTTCGAAACATGTGAAAGGGACACCTTCAACAACAACGTTTTGTTTTTTTATTTCTTATTCTTCTTATTCTGCTATTTTTTCTTGTTGCTTTCTGCACTTCTATATGCCTATGTTTTTATTTATTTGCCCTCGCTCTAGATCCGTTCTAAAAGTTATGTACTATGTACACATTAAGATAGGAAACCCAAGCCAAAGAGCCGTTCTCTTTTTCTCATTTACCTACATGTGTTTGTATATACCTTCATATTATTGATGATGTTGATAATACGAGTTTTGTAGTACACTTTTCTCGCAAAACTATACTTCGTTCTTGTTGACCTTTCCTGAATTTTCTCTTCCTCTCCAAAAAATAATTGTTGTTTTTTTTTCTAGACAAAACATCAGCTCCTAACTGAATGACGGTATATTGAATCAAAATGAATTTAATAAATATGTACTGGATTTTTGGTTATTTCCTGTTTTGTATATGGCGGACAGCTAACTCACAACCCGCTGAACTATATCCTAGTATTGATCCGAATCATTTTGGTGCCGATGGTAGTCCTTGTTATGATCGTCAAACTCGTCAACCACAACGTTGTGTGCCCGATTTCATCAACGCCGCCTTCAATTTGCAAGTTGAAGTGACAAATACTTGTGGTGAGAAAACACCAACCAAGTTCTGCGTGCAATCTGGTCATACTGGACAAAGAAGTGTTTGTGAAACTTGTGATGCAAGACACCCGGTTGGTTATTTTTAAAAGTTTAAAAGGGTTTGGAAAAAGAATTTCTTATTACTGGTATATTTTGAGTTATTAGCAAATTCACAAAGTAGATCACAAAATTCTCATTTGGATAGACAATATATTTTTTTACATATCACTAACTCACTAACTGATTTTTTTTCCAGTCATTTGCTCATCCAGCCAAATTTTTGACTGATTTCAACAATGCTAATAACGAAACTTGGTGGCAATCCGAAACAATGTTGGAAGGAATGCAACATCCAACAACTGTCAATTTGACATTAACCCTTGGCAAATCTTTTGATATCACCTATGTTCGTTTGAAGTTCATCAGTCCACGACCAGAATCTTTTGCGATTTACAAGAAAACCACACCGAAAGATGATTGGGTTCCATGGCAATATTATTCGTGAGTTTCATCAGTCTAGTTTAAATAAAATTTTTCAATTTGAACTCTTTTTTTTTTTTGAATATAGAAAACAAAATCAATAACGAATTCTATTTATTTAAATATAATTATTTTCAGAGGATCTTGCCGTATGACTTACAAGCTCAGCGACCGTACCCCAATCTTACCGGGCAGAGAAAATGCTCCACAATGTACCAAAGAGTTCTCTGATATCTCACCAATTACCGGTGGAAATATCGCGTTTTCAACTTTGGAAGGAAGACCATCGGCTCATGCTTTTGAAGATTCGCCAGTTTTGCAAGAATGGGTTACCGCTTCAGCTATCAGAATCTCGTTGAACAGAATGAACACTTTTGGAGATGAAGTTTTCCGTGATCCACAGGTTTTAAGATCGTATTATTATGCCATTTCTGATTTTGCTGTTGGAGGAAGGTTGGTTTTTATATCTTCAATAAGCTTTTCTGTTTAGAAATTTTGTTTATTTCATTTTAACCACAAAAAAAATGAAAATTTTCCAGATGTAAATGTAATGGCCACGCATCTGAATGTGTTTCATCATCTTCAGTTGAAGGAGAAAATCGTCTCGTTTGTCGATGCGAACATAATACTCAAGGAGAAGATTGTAATGAATGTTTACCATTCTTCAATGATCGACCATGGGCTTCTGGAACTGCGAATGAAGCAAATGAATGTGTTGCTTGTAATTGTTCACAACTCTCCAACCGATGCTTCTTCGATCCAGTACTTTTCAATGAAACTGGTCATGGTGGACATTGTTTTGATTGTCAAGGAAATACTCAAGGAGTTCATTGTGAGCAATGTGTTCCAAATTATTGGAGAAGACCTGGAGAGAACTTCTGTATTGAATGTCGTTGTAATGAGGTTTGTTTTGGTTTTCTTCTGAAACCTTGTACTTTTTTTTTTTGAAAAACAAAAATCTTATTCTAGATCGGCTCACTCAACACTCAATGCGACAACGAAGGAAAATGTCAATGTAAGCCAGGTGTCACTGGAAAATATTGTGATCAATGTATCGATGGATATTTCGATTTCAGCCCCAACGGATGCAAGTGAGTAGTTGACACATTTGATAAATAAAACACCTGACGCGTTCAACCGAAAGGTCACATAGCTTAAACTAAGAAAATCTTGAATTTTTTTATTTATCTGTTGCATTTGCCAATGATTTATTTTCAGAGATTGCGGTTGTGAAGCGTCGGGATCCTTCAATAATCAACCAAAATGTGACTCAACAACCGGAACATGTAGTTGTAAAACAAATGTTGAGGGAAGACAATGTGACAAATGTAAACCGGGATACTTTGATTTGTCGTTGGAAAATCAATTCGGATGTACACCGTGTTTCTGTTATGGGCATTCATCAATTTGTAGAACTGCTGATGGTTATAATGCTGTCAATGTTTCAAGCAAATTTGAACAAGATAAACAAAAATGGACTGGAATTAGTCGAAGTGGACCACAAGATGCTCAATGGGCTGAGCTTGATAAAGCTGTAGCTGTTTCAGATCAAGATAATCTTGCAGTCTACTTTGTCGCCCCAGAACAGTTCACTGGAGATCAAAGAAGCAGTTACAACCAACTTCTTGTTTTCACACTCAAAGTTGCCAAACACATCACCAGTCAAGATGTCAAGTAAGTTGATTTGCACAAAGATTGGAAAACATTATTGATTTAAATTATTTTCAGAGATATTATCATTGTTGGTGCTGACAACAGAGAATTATCCACATCAATCACTGCTCAAGGAAATCCATTCCCAACAACTGAACCACAAGAATATAAATTCAGAATTCATGCGGATCCAAATTATGGATGGTATCCAAGAATCAATGAACTTGATTTCATCGGAATTCTCTCGAATATCACAGCCATCAAGATTCGTGGAACTTATTCATACAAAGATATTGGATATTTGTCAAATGTCAATTTGGGTTCAGCTGGTAGCGTTTCTTCAGAACTCAATCCAAAACCAGCAACTTGGATCGAACAATGTGATTGTTTGCAAGGATTTGTTGGACAATTCTGTGAATCTTGTGACAAGGGTTACAAACGTGAACAAAAGTTCGGAGGTCCATTCAACAGATGTATCAAATGTGATTGTCACGGACACTCAAGCAGTTGTGATCCAGAAAGTGGAGCTTGTATTTGTGAACATAATACAGCTGGAGATACTTGTGAAAGATGTGCTCGTGGATATTATGGAAATGCTTTGAGCGAAGAACCAACTGCTTGTGAAAAGTGCCCATGTCCAAATGATGGTCCGTGTATTTTGCACTCCGATGGAGATGTTTTGTGTACCGAATGTCCAAATGGATACACCGGAAAACGGTGTGACGAATGTTCAGATGGTTATTTCGGAAATCCAAAAGAAAGCACTGAATGTCAAGAATGTGCCTGTTCTGGAAACACCGATCCAAATGCTATTGGAAATTGCGACAAAATTAGTGGAGAATGTAAGAAATGTGTCTACAATACTGATGGTTTCAATTGCGAGAAATGTAAAGCTGGTTTCTGGGGAGATGCACTTTCTGAGCCAAAGGGTAATTGCCAAGCTTGTGGATGCTTTGCTGCCGGAACCAAACGACCAAATAATGATTATGTTGTTCTTGAATGTCGACAAGATGATGGACAATGTGATTGTCTTCCAAATGTTATTGGTATTCAATGTGATCAATGTGGCGTAAGTTTTCCATCAAATTTTGATTAGAAAAATCTTGATTTTTAATTGAGAGTTACTTTAAAAATATGTTTTTTTTTCAGCGTGGTTTCTACAACATCACATCTGGATTAGGATGTCAAGAATGTAACTGTGATCCACTCGGTTCTGAAGACAATACCTGTGACGTCGTCACTGGTCAATGTATCTGTAAACCAGGTGTCACCGGAAAACGATGTGATCAATGTGCTCCATATCATTTTGGATTTGGTGCCAACGGTTGTCAACCGTGTGATTGTGAACCAATTGGATCAGAAACTGCACAATGTGACCAAAATAGTGGACAATGTTTGTGTCATCAAAATGTTGAAGGAAGACGTTGTGATCAATGTTCGGAAAATAGATATGGAATGACTCAAGGCTGTCTTCCATGTGATGATTGTTATACTTTGATTCAAACTCGTGTTAACGGTTTCCGTGCCAAAGTTAAGAATCTTGACAATACTCTTCAAGAGATTATTGAAAATCCAGCACCAGTTAATGATACTCAATTTGATGACAAAGTCAAGGAAGCTTCTAAAGAAGCTCAAGCTCTTTGGGAACTTGTTAAAGAAAAGACAAGTAAGTTTATTTTTTTTTGTAAATTCTGAATAATTATAATAATCCCTTGCTTTTTCAGATGCTGGAAGTGGTCAAATTATGACAAAATCCAAACAAATAAAGCAAGATCTTATCGATGCTATGAAGAACTTGAACTCGATTGATGAAAATATCAACAAGGCAAAGAAGAAGTCTGAAAGTTCTGATACCAACATGAAACGATGGAATATTATCAATGAAAATACTCGTCGTGAACTTGAAAATACTATCAGATATTTGGAATCGGAAGGAGAAGCAAGTGCTATTAGAGCTCTTGAAGCCAGTCAGAAATATGGAGAGAAGAGCACACAAATGTCAGAATTGGCTCACAAAACAAGAGAAGAAGCTCAAAAACAACTTAAAACTGCTGAAAATATTGAAAATCTTGCCAAGCAAGCTAATGAGAATGCAGAGAAAGCCAAGAAAGAAGCTGATGAAGCTATTTATGGTGGATCAGCTATTTCAGATCAAATCAATGCTCTCAAGAATCGTCAAAATGAAATCAATGAGACTTTGGCTAAAACATTGGCTCAAGCTGAAGAGCAAAAGAAATCTGCTGAAATTGCTAATACAAATGCTGCTCATTTGATTACAAATGTTGAAAGTGTCAAGATTCCAGCAGTTAATCCAGCTGATTTGGAAGCGATTGCCAAGAAAATTGATGTTGAATCAGAGCAAACTATTCAAAATGCTAAAGATGAAAATGAACTCAACAATGAGACTTTCGATCAAGTAAATTTTTTTTATAGTTTTCATCTGAATCAATTGTAATTTCAATTTTTTGCAGGTTGAACGTGTTGTTGCTGAAGCCAGACATGAACTTCAAAGTGCTCAAGATCAACAAAGAATTGCCGACCAGCTTTTGGCTGAAGTTGATCTTTCAAGATCTAGCATTGATGATTCAATCAAAATTGCTGATGAAACATTGGATACTGCTCAAAAAACACTTGACGCCTTGAACAGTTTCAACACACAAATTGAGATTTCAAGACAAGAAGCAATTGCTGAGCTCGAGAAAATTGAGAACATCAAGGAGAAAATTGCTGAAGCTGAAAAGATTGCATCCGAAACTGATCAATCAATTGGAGATGCATCAAAAGAAGCCGACAATGCTCGTGAACTTGCAACTCAATCACAATCAAGTGTTACAAATGTGAAAGATGAAGCTGAAGATTTGCGAATCAAGGCGGAAGATGTTAAAAAATCTGCAACATCATTGAAAAATGAAGTCAGTTCGCTTATTGATGAATTGAAAGATACCAAATCTGAACTTGGACAATATCAAACACAAGCTGATACTGATAAACAAATGGCAACTGAAGCTGTGAGAAAAGCGACTGTTGCTAAACAATCAGCCACCAAAGCAAATGCAACAGTTTTAGAAAAAGGAGAAAATATCAAGGCGATTATTGATACTTTGAGTAAGCTTTAGAAATTATTGATTTTTCATAGGACAATATATAATTCATTATTTTGCAGCATCATTGGAAGAGGTGAATAATGCAGATTTGGATGAACTCGAAACCGAAATTGATAAAATTGATGAGATTCTTGCACAAGCTCAAATTTCTGATGATGTTCCACAGGTTCAACAGACAAAGGTTGAAGAAACACAGCGTATCGCCCAACTCAAGGCCGATATTGCTGCTCTTCAAAAAGAGGTAATTAAAAAATTTTTGAATAATGTTCAAAAACATATAAATATTATAATTTTTGCAGGTGTTGAACTTGGAACAAATTCGCGATGCTTTACCAACAAAATGCTTTAATGTCATCAATCTCGAACAAGAAGGACAAAAATAAGCATTTAATGTTTAGGATTTTGTTTCAAATTGTTTTTTCAAACTATCTACTTAAACTAAGTGCTCTTCGTGTTTATGGTTATCCAATTTAACTTACGTGTTCATATTTGCCTTATTTTCTTTTTTGTCTTTTGTAACTCCCTAATTTTCTTATTTTTTGTTCTTTTTCAAAAGCATTTGTTCCCAGTGTTTTGATTCACTCCAAACAACAATTTTACTTACTCATGTTAATTTTTTTCTTAAAGAAAAAAATACCATAATTTTTGGAAAAAACAAAATTGTTGATCGTGTGATTTCAATGATTTCGTCATAACATGATGTTTTTGTATCACGTAAAAAACTGCCGAAAACCAAACCCCAAAAAAATTACGCCAGAATTGAATCTCTTTTATGTTTTCAAATCCAACCGCTTCTTTCTTGATGTTATTTAATTATTTTATCTGTTTTAACTTACTTTTCTTTTATATTTTTTCGTTTATATTGCCAAAAAAGTTCAACGATTTATTCATGCTCAGCAAAAATAAAGATTATTTCACAAAGTTTTTTTATTGAACCCCCAATATGAGGTGAGTTGGGAACAAGCGTTACAGAATTTTTTTTTTTCAATACGTATTATTAAAAACAAATTCCACGCTTTTAAGTGTGTGTCGTTTCAATGAACGTTGATGGATTAATCACAGTCTTCTTCCTAAAAACTTTGAAAACCGCTTGTCGATAATCCCCTAATGCAAAAGTTATAACAATTGGATCTATCAAAGGATAAGCACTTATCATTGGAACAAATATTGAGTTGATATAATAACTCCATTCCAAATTAAAAAGTGGTGTATACCAACAAACACAACATGGAATAAATGTGAAAACTGCTGGAATCATAGTCTGAGCAATCAATGTAATCAGCAAAATTCTATGCAGTTTTTTAACATTTGCACTTATGTTATGAACTTTGATTGCAAAACAGATTTTTATTGCTAAAACTGAATCCAGGAGTATTGAACTGATTGAGATCAGTCCTCCGAGAGCAATACCGAATAATCCATTTTTTGAAATATCGGTGTTCTGTAAAATATTGATTAAAAAAAATTAAAATCCACTTTGATTGATTCTTACCCCATAAACTGCAACAATTAATGGTATATTTTTGGTGCTCTCGTTGTATTTTTCAACAAAATCTCGATCCAATTGTTGTCGGGTATTATCATCAAGCCACATCCATTTTGCAATTATGAGCATCCACGTGGAACCATAGATCACGCTATGCCAGCCGATACAAAAATCAGATTTCTGGGAGACGCAGACTTTTAACACAGGCAGAGACATCTCTCGCCTTTCCTTCCCCTCGGGCGATATATTGCACTGTTCGCAGAGACAGCAGACAAGCAGACACACACAAAACATAGCGCTTGGCCGCGCCGGTTTTTCGTCTGTCGCTGCGTTTATATACCTCATCGGCATCGCCCTTTGAGTTTGTCGCTGGGTTTATAGACCCCGTCGGCATCGCCCTTTGATGTGTTGAGGTCTCGCAGCGACTTTCTAACCGAAAATGAATGTCTGCGTCTCCTCGGATTTGTGTGGTGGCACGACGTGAGATGAAAACTAGGAGAAACATGAGAAAAATATATTTTGGTTTGAAAAACTTGACTGTTAAATGAATTTGACAAATTGCAAAATATCGATAGAGAAAATGAATTGAAATGACTCCAAAAGTATAAAGCATCATTGAACATCTCAAAGTCAATACAAATTCTGAGAGATCTCGATATTTGTAGATCAAACTGTCTGACACAAAAACTATGAAATTGGATTGTAAGCTTTCGGTTGAAATTGGAGTTATAATTTCGAGAATTGTAGTGAATAAATTTACCGAAGAAAATGTTATAAGAAGAAACTTATATTTTCCAATTGACAGCGATGATTTTCTGTTAACTAGGTTTATGAAAATTGTGTTGATTATGATTGACAAAACACATAGAATTTTTGGAATATAGTAATGGGCTAGACTTATGTAGATCATTTCTGATTTTGTGAGAGAGAAAAACTTTTAAAAATAGGTGTTGGGCAGACGTGGGATCACGGAAATAACAATCGACAATTTTATGATTCTCAGTATGAAAATTGTGTTTTTGTAACTTATACTTTCGGGGCATTCAGAAATTTTTTATTTACGAAAAAATTGACAAAAATTACGTACTTTCAGTTGGAATGAGTGTAAATAATTCAAGAAAGATTGGGAACAATTGAAATTGTAAAACATTTTGAGAAAGTATTTGCGTTTATTTTTTATTACGTACATGTCTACAATTTAGCTCTCATAATCCTGAATTGGACTGGATTTTTAAAAAAAATGTTTCCTTAAAAAGTTTCCATCAGTTTCTATTTATAGTTTCATATATAAAACCATACCTAAAGAAGATATTATGATTGTTTGAACTACATTTCCATGTTGCCATTTTTCTCCAATCTCTCTTCTTTTTTTCTGCTACCGATCAATAACCTATTTGTTGATCGTATCATTTTTGGTCACTATTTTGTTTTTGTCAAACAATGTCATCTGTCCAATTTTCTCAAGTAATTCAAAACCTTATTAATTCGGAAACTCATGCGCCTTTGACTAATTTTATCAATAATGAGTTTGTTCCAACTGCAAACCATCTTGATTCTGTAAATCCAGCGACCGGGAAAGCATGGATCAAAATTCCAAATTCTACAAAGACTGATGTTGAAAAAGCAGTAGAGGCAGCCAAAGAAGCTTTCAAAACGTGAGATTTCTTTTCGAAAAAAAATTTTTCTGAAAAATATATGAACCATGATTCTAGATGGAAGAACACAAGTGTTAATCAACGTTCAAAACTTCTTCAAAAATTAGCTGATCTTATTGAGGAATTCAATGATGATTTGGCTATTCTTGAAAGTCGTGATCAAGGAAAAACCGTGAATTTGGCAAGAGTTATGGATATCCCAAGATGTGTTCAGAATTTCCGAGATTTTGCAACCGCTGCAAAACATCAAACTTCAACTTCAACAATTTTAGAAGAACCTGTTAAAGCTATCAATTATGTGAAATATGATCCAATTGGTGTTGCTGGTTTGATCAGTCCTTGGAATTTGCCATTATACTTGGTGAGCTATATTTTCACAAATTCTATCAATTGATAAAATTCTATTTCAGTTGTCATTCAAAATAGCTCCCGCTTTGGCCGCTGGGAATACAATTGTTTGTAAACCGAGTGAATTAACAAGCGTCACTGCTTGGGTTCTTATGCATGCCATCAAGCTTGTGGGTTGGTGTTTTAAGCTTCTTAACTGATAGTAAAAGAATTTATCGCAGGATTCCCTCCGGGCGTTGTAAATATGGTAATCGGAGAAGGTTCAAGTGCGGGACAAAGTTTAGTTGATCATCCAGATGTACCAATTATTAGTTTCACTGGAAGTAAGGATAATTTTCAGAAAATAAAGGCAATTAAAAAACTGTCATTAAGGCACGCTCATCGGAAAGAAAATTCAAGAAAGTGCTGCAAAATTAAACAAAAAAGTTTCTCTTGAAATGGGCGGGAAAAATGGAGCAATTGTATATTCGGACTTTGATTGGAATGATTTATCAACTATTGTTCGTTCAGCATTTTTGAATCAAGGAGAAATTTGTTTGTGTACAAGTCGGCTTTTTGTGGAAAGGAATATTTATGAAGAATTTGTTGGAAAATTCGTAGCCGAAGCTAAGAAGTATACAGTTGGAGATCCAACTAGTAATGTTAATCTTGGAGCGATGAATTCAAAAATTCATTTTGAAAAAGTGAAGAGTTATATTGAAACTGTAACCGAGCAAGGTGGCAAAATACATTGTGGAGGTGTTCAACTTTTAGATGGCGAATTTAAAAATGGTTATTTCATCGCACCAACAGTTATTACTGATTTAGCTGACAATTCAAAATGTATGACTGATGAAATATTTGGGCCAGTTGTTTGTATCACTCCCTTCGACAAAGATGATGTGAGTTTTTTTTAATATAAAAATATGCACACGTGTACATGATATTTCTAGGAAGCAATTGAACGTGTAAACTCAACACCATACGGCTTATCAGCAACTGTCTGGAGTCGAGATAGTAAACGATTGTTAAACACGGCAAACGAATTGCGTGTAGGAACTGTTTGGTGTAATACGTGGCTTGTATGTTATCTTAACATCCTTCTTCTCTCTATAAAAAAATAATCATTTTTTTTGTAGACCAGAGATCTTGGAATGCCATTTGGCGGATGTAAGCAATCAGGACTTGGAAGGGAAGGTGTTCATGATTCACTTCATTTTTATGCTGATGCTAAAACTGTTTGTGTCAAATTATCATGAATTGTGTGATTTCTTTTTGAATAAATGTTAAGAGAGTTGATTTACATAACAAAATAGTAGAACAAATTTGAAGTTTTCAAGTGAGAAATTTGATTTAAATTTGAAAAATACGTTCAAGGTATTCAAATATTTGAACTTCAAAGTTTTATATCCTCGTTTTCTTTCTTCTAATTCATTTAAAATTCACAGTGTTTGAAGATGTTTTCGGAAAAATTTTATTGGAAACGAGTTTATATTATATCATAAAAATTAAAACAAAAAAGAAATTATCAAACACATGCTGGACATGGTGGGCAAGTTCCAGAAGGAGTTGGTCCAACATTTGCATCAACAGCACAAACACTTTGATATTTCTCACTACAATCTCTTGGCACCCATTTTCCAGTAGACATCATTATTCCTAGGCATTGATTAGTTTCTGAAGGTGTTCTATCTCTCCAATTTGTGAAGTTCAATGGAGATCCATCAGTCCATGTCCAATTTCCACCTCGATTTGATGCACCAACCCAGTAGTATTCGAAATCAGAGTCCAGTTTTTCAACGGCAAAATCTGGAAATAAAATGTTCAACTTTAGTTTGTTCAATCTGCACGATTTACCTTGAATAGCACGATTTTCAATCATGTTATAAATTTTTGCGAAATGATAACCAGCTCTAACACAAGCATCATTCGAATCATCAAAGGTTCCGCGAAGTTTGTCATAGTAGAAACATCTGATATTAGTAACATTCATTGAAAAATATTACTCGATAAGAACTTACTGGTTTTGCCAAGAAATATCAAGATCTGGGCACTGATTGGCGGCAAAAACTGAAGCAACAAGAACAATGAGAAGAGTTAGATACTTCATGTTTTGTGTTACAAGAATGATGCTTCTTATCACTTAAGAGGAACATTTTATCATCTTCGTTTTTTTTTGGAATTATAAAAAAAAATATATGTATATTGGAAGCACGATAACACCCTTTGAATAAACATTCCGAACTCGAATATTTTGTTTTTACTTTGGTATTCAGTGACATCATTGATGATTTTGAAAAATTTAGGTTTTCACATTTAAAACATCCTGATTTTTTAAAACCTGAATAGGCTGCTTCGGAACGAGGAACATGTCTAGAAGTTGCATTTTATTGAAGAAAATCAGTGCAAGACATATTTCAAAACTTTTCCTCGACACTCAAAACCATCAGAATATAAATAATGAAAAATATTTATTTTAAATGAATGATTTCGGACAAAAAAATAGGATACAGGAAAAAAATAAGGACAGATAAAGAAAAATGGGGTTGAATCACAATTTCGTTGGAGTACTCTGTTGGTATTTGGTTAGAATCGTGATTTTCAGAAGTTTACACTACTAATGAATCAAGAATGAAACGTTTCAGAATCTAGCGGTTAGATATGTTCGAAAAATAAAATAGATAAGGAATATATATTTAACAATAAATGATGTGGGATATGTAAAATGGGGAAAACATGGAACGTTGTAGGGTTTTGCAGGGTAAATAGTTATAAATCAATGAATTTGAGAAAATAAGAATAAAAACAAATTGAGTGGGTCGAGACAAGAATAAAACAATTCAGATCTATTTTGACTTTTTCATGAAATTAAATCTAAAAACCTGCTGAGAATGAATTGCTGAACAAGCTCGAAATGTGGAAAATTGGAAACTATTTTTGAAGTGAATTAGGGTATCTAAAGGGTGTCTAATTTTTGATTGTTTTTACATAATTTTCAAGTAAATCAGTTAGTAATTCAGTTTGTTAATAGGGTATCATTTTAATAATATTGATGAGCACTCGAAGTGCTTGGTTCACAATAAGATGAAGATGATTGTGTGCCAGTTCGAGTATCAGAACTTCTTTCATCAAATTCAACATTTGAATCAGTGTCCTCTTTTTCTTCAACAATCAATTCACAAAGTGATGCTTTGCTGTGATAATCATCCATTTCACGGCTTTGCATTTGCTTCATTTGTTGCATTTGCTGATATTGTTTTTGTTGTTTTTCCAGAAGTTGCTTCTGTTGTCTGTCATATACTTCTCTCTCATAAATTTGAGTTTGCGTGTCGAGCATTCTACAAAAAAATTTCATGTTTTTCAAAATGCACACATGTTGTTTTGTTGTTAAAAACTCACTGTCGATTTTCGTCCAAAACCTTCTTGATTCCCGTTTCTTTATTGGGAAATCCAGCTGCAATCAAATCACTGACAAATTTTGTGGCGACAGGATCAGACATCACATAATCACATGAAAAAAGAAGCTATTAGTATAAACAGAGTGGGGTTACTAAACGAACCTTGTTGTGCGTTTTGAAGTTGTTGACGATGATGTTGTTGAATGACTTTTTCGCTGGGACGAAGCTTTTTATCGTCACGATGATGTTCGAAACTGAAGTTTGGTGTGGCCAACATCAGCTCTTCACGACGAATCAATCTGAATTGTATGGTTTTTTTATTAGAGAGAATACTGTTTTTTAGTGCAGAAGTTTGACCTATTAAAATCACGTATGACAAATAACTCCCCCTAGCTTTTCCAAATTTTTTTGAAAGTACAATGAACAGTTGATCAGCCACGGAAGTTAACAGGAAATTGATCTATTTCCGCAGTTTTATTTTAGGAATTCTATTTACCTATTAGGACTATCAATACTTCCCGATGATCCACAGCCTCTTCCAAAAGACATTGTCGAAAAATCAATTTCCATATGATGTTCATTATCACGATTAGCTGGTGGCAATGTATAAGTATGTCGTCCAAATGGACTACTTCTGCCTGATCCAAAACTTCCAGATCTGCAAAAATGTGATTAGTTAAACAAACTTGTTAATTATTGTAATTAGTAAATAAATCGTACGTTGATATGAATGTGTTAACTTCATGTGAACTGAAAAAGCATTGGTTAGAAAGCATAACAAGAAAAAAAAGAGATTTATCCTACCTTATCCTTGGATCATCGTGCATTTCTGATGAAGTCAAATAATTTGTAGATGATGATGCTGGAGAGGAATTCAATGAAATTCCAGAAGTTGATGTATGATTTGGTGAAGATGGGCGACCAGAAAGAAGCGGTTTTTTGACCAAACGACGGAACTCATTTAATCCAATAAAACTGAACAGCAAATAAAATATTGGCGCAACATTAGACAAAAACTTACTTGAAGAAATTTTTGCTTCCCAAAGAAAACGCTCGTTTTCTCGGATCCTCTGCCGGAATACTCAAACTATTTGAACTAGTCTCATCTTTTTCATCAGTCTTTGTTTTTTCAGATGGTTTCATATTTTTCTTGCTGCTTGGTCCAGGCACTGGTTTTTTGACAACTTCTTCACCATTAATACTTCTTCCACCAAATGAATTGGCTCTTGGTGCATTCAACGCGGCAAGATTGCCTTTTTGTCCAACACTTCCTAATTGTGCATTACTGTTATTTACCATTGATGAATAACAACTATCACTACTATCTGATACATATGATCGAACTTCTTCCAAATTATATTTTTCTTCTTTTGGTGGATCTGAAAATATTTGAAAGTATTATATGGATTCCAAAAAAAACAGAGGATTCTTACATGGAAGTGGGACAATCAAATGTGCATTTGGCCCATAATTCCAATCTGAAGGTGTCATATTCGTATAAGTTTCATCAATGCTGCAGGGCGGAGCTAACAATCCTTTGGCTCTCAATGATCTAGGATTATTATCTTCTCGATGAACAAGACTTCCTTCGTGCAATCCATCACTGCTCACAAGAGTTGAATAAATTGATGTTGATTTTCCGAGTTTTTTACCGGTTTTTGTGAGTGTATTAGTTGAATTCGCTTTGGAACTCCTGAAATGAAATTTCATTTTTATTTTTTTCCAAAAAGAAAACTCTACTTTGTCAATCCTCTTTCAGACAATGTATCTTGAATATCACTTCTTGCTGAAGAGAATTTCCTGCTAGCTTCATCAAAATTCATCTCTTGTCTATCAGACTGTGATGAGAACTTTTTGGGAATTCTCGCTGCTTGCATAGCATCACGAAGTCCTGGCTCTTCTTTGACCAATCGAATTGTGTTTGATGCACGACGTGGTCTGAAATTTATTCAGATTTGAATTTTTGTTATAAATTCTATGGAGAGAAGTGGCACATGACTTTCTGACTGAACGAATTGATCGAAAGAAAAAAAAGATGTGATTTTGATGTCTGTACTAATTGTCACATACATATTTTTCTGAAGTAGAATATCTACAAGCAATTTGAATTATCAAGCAAAAACAATTTTCAATTTTCAAAAGAAAAAACGGGTTGGGAAAAACAAGCATAGATCATTCAAACTAAAATAAAAAAAGGAGTAGAAGTAAAAAAATCACATTCTCAAACACAGTGTTAGAAGAAACTAATTGAAAATAAAATAAAAAGTGGAAACGACCTATCGGAAAGTAATCCACCAAGAGAATGAATTGATCCACGTGGATGTTCCAATCTGTATTTAACAAAAATCAGGGTTAGACAAACAAAAAAGCAGCGGATAGCGAAGCACAACCTGGCTAGATGATCAAGCTGAAAATTGCCAAGCGAACATCGAGGGCGACTATTATTTCCGAATGGTGAAGATGGTGCTGAATCATCCATTTCGACAGAACTGGCAAATGATAAACAATCGCGAAGTAATAAACGACGATCTTTGACACTCAAAATTGGCGTTGAATCCAATGACAACTTATTATGATGAAGATGTGGTGAGGGAACAGATAATGATTCCATTCCAGGGAATGGTTCACTAAAACTCAATATTTTCAAGCATGATTTATTTTTTATTTTTTACTTGTCAGTTATGAAAAACAATATATTTTCTTGTTCAAATTTCTATATATTTTTAAATATATTTTTCACTTCAAATTTTTAATCTTGTTTTTTAAACGCGAAATTCAAAAAGTTTTCTATTTGAAGAATTTCTGAAATTTTTTTCCCGAAGTTTAAAATAAGAACTTCTCAAAAATCCACTCATTTTCCTGATAAACTTCGAGGAAGTTTTTTCAAACCATAGTTTTTATGCCTGAAACAACATACCTTCGATAAACCCTATCACCACAACTATGACAAGAATCATTCAAAGTATTTGATCGATCACGATGTCTTTGATGATGTTGTTGCAAAGTGGCCGGCATTGTCATATTTGTTCGACGACCAGCTTCACGATCAATAATATGGCTCATTTTATGATGAATTGCAGTCGCCATTTCATGATTGTCGCATTGAACAAGAAGTTCTGAATTACCTAGAATAATTCCACGACCAAGACGGAGAAAGAAATAACGATCTTGACATCCGAAAGATGCAATTAATTGACGCTGAAAAAACATTTTGTTTTTCATATTTGTTTGTTGGAAAACATTTTACCAGATGTTTTCATATTTTTTATAGTTTTATTTTATAAAAAAACTAACCGGAAATTCAACAATTGCATCTGCTCTAAACGGCGGGCATCCAGAATCTGGACATCCTACTGTAGTTGGTTCGATACGTCGATTGGCCAGAATTACAGTGTGCGAATAGAAACACAGACTGAAATTTCAAAACCTGTTATAAAATCACTGAAATTTTGAAACCAACCGTTTAACACCTTCCATTCCTCTCGTGGTCTCACAAATATTTGTGTATCCAGCTTCTTTCACTTGTTTTTTATATTTTTCAACATTTTTCTGTGTTCGAACCACTTCGATATCATAAACAGCTTCGAATATTTCATGGGCATAACAAGGTCGACCAAGTTTTAATTGGCGAGATGGAAGAAGTGATTGGAGAATAGCATCATACCATTCGGCAGTCTAAGAGTTACAGTATTTTGAATTTGAAAAAAAAATATGTTTTTCACTCACCAGTTCCTTCGTCTCGGTTCTTATAACTAAAGTCTCATCGGGTCCCATCAAACACAAGCATTTCTTCAATTTCGTATCAAACTGAAAAAAATTGGAGTTGAACTTTTCAAAAACAAAAAAACTAACATGATCATTATGCACATTGAAAGCGGTGGCCAAATCCACGATATGTTTAGCAGTGACACCTTTTCGAAAAGATTTTTCCGATTCATGAAGTTCGAAAGCACGTTTCGACAACACTGCATAATAATTCTTCTTCTTTTTCTGGAAAAAAAACACGTTTTTTCTTGTTTTCCTCCTTTATTGCTTGAAAAAATCCCCCAGGAAATCCGATTTCCGGTATTCAACTAACTAACTAAAAGCTTTTTATTAGATGACAATAATTGAATTTCTCTCGACTTGCCCCATGTTTTAACCGACTAAATAATAAAAAACGATTAGATAATTGAATAAACCCAAGCACGAGAAAAAAAAATGAAGAACATACCACAGGTGCGAATCCGACAAGAACATTCGAGCATTTTACATAATTTTTCGGGTTTAATTCAGTTTTATCGATATCTTTGGATGTTGAAGGATCACCAATACATACAACAGGACTTGCGCCAGGTTCAAAATCAAAACTTCCGAATCGTAAACCAGATATCAATTCACCTCTTTTCAATGATACTTCGTTCGCTGGAAAAAAAATCATTTTTTGAACCTTACATAATTAGAAAAAAGTTCAATTTTTTTCATTCTGAATCCCCCTGGGATATAAAATAAAATGAAATTAGTTCAATTTTGTAGGCTATAATTTGCAGTCGCAACATTTTCTGTTAGAATTAAATTAAAGTTGGACTTACAACTTGATTGTTCGGAATACATCGATGTTTTTTGCGATGTGTTATCATCTACTGCCTCCTTATCCTTTTCTGATTGAGGTGTGCCTGACGATTCCGGTGTGGCTTCATTTTGTTTTTTGATTCCTGATCCAGTCACCGTTGATTTCGATTCCTTCGTCGTATTCGCCACGGATGGTAACGAACACGACGTTGTTGATTGCGACAACTTTGTTGTTAGATGAACTGCCTTGAATAGGGCAGTTCTGTGACGGCCTGCAAAAAATACCGAATATGATTTTTTTTGTCTCTTGTCCGATTAACCAAGAAAAAATCAACACATTATCAAAATCAAACCATTTCAATGATAACGCAACATTTTTGTTGTTGAGTTTTTTTTCATCAATTGGAACAACACAAAAAAATTGAAGAGAAGAGAATAGATAAAAAACTATAAGAGATATCTATATTTATTATCATTAAAAGAGCCTAATTATATCAAACAAACAAGTACAAAAGTTTCAACTACCAGTCAGAAACAAAAAAAATATGGAAGCACGCAAAAAAAAAAACGACGAGAGATACGTACGCTTGAAGAGGGTGGGAGACGATGAGACAGATTGTGTGTATGAGTGTAGTTCTCTGCGTCTCTCACGAATTACATGTTATTCATCAATCAATAGGCGCACTCATTTCTACTACTTGTTTATTATGAGATGAAGAAATACGAAGGAAGAAGAAGAAGAAGGAGAAGAAAAACGAAAGATGAAGGAAACGTAGGAGATCCCACCTTTATGGTGTCAAATGACAACAATAATAATAATATTATTTTTCATTCTGATAATCTAATCCATATCCATAAATCCTCCTTGGCAACAAATCTCTTTTGGATTAGAAATCTGGATGTTTTTCCCGTTTTTGTCTCCCTTCGCTTCACTAATTTTTGTGTCTCTCAGTCAAAAAGAGACAAAAAAAACTGATAATGAAGTGCTTAGGCAAATAAACATACAAAAAATTATCAGCGAAGCTTTTCTTTGCCTGGGGGACAGGCCAGATTTTTTTGGTTGCTTTTGGTGGAACAAAGAACGGTGATAAATATTTTGCGATAGACGAATGCTTTATTGATATTTCACCCCGTAGTCAAGTCTCAAAGGGGGTTTGAGATATGAGGTATGATTCAGAAGCTTGAATTCCTCAAGGTATTTGGGTTCAGAAATCATATTGTTGCGAAAAAAAGATAACGCAACTAATCGGAAGAAATAAAAAAAAAGAAGAGAAGATAAAAAGATGAAATAAAAAATCCGGAAATAGTCATAATAACAACATGAAAAATAAATGGGCGAAAATTCTGACAAACAATGGTCACATTCGATTCAAATCGGTTCGTTTTTATCTAACTAACAACCGCCAAGACATAATAACAATAGAAGAGGCGAAGACAAAAAGTGTTTACACAAACATTTTTCAAGAAAATTGAGAAAAAAAGAAGAATAGAGAAAAAACGAAACAAACAAATAAACAACTATAATGCAACAAAGGTCACATGTTTTCTCGGATTTTCATTTTTTTTATTTCACTATTTTCCATATGAGCAAAACATAAAAGAGTACATAAATAATAGCTTATTTTGATACCCATGAGGATTTTGAAAAAATCAACCAAACAAATAGAAAATCTCCCCCAAAAAATGATAGAAAAGAAATAAAAAGCAAAATTATCATGCACCTGTCACTTTTGTGGAACATAAAATAACAACAATCGGAATTCACACACATTATTCGTGAGATTCGAAATATTTCGAAAAAAAAAAGATACTGTAGTCTATTGAATGTATTTTGTTTTGATTGCCTTCATTTTATAACAATCGAATGATGAAATCTTTTATTTTGTCAAATATTGTTTTATATTTGATGTTTGAAGCAGAAAAAATTGTATCAAAAAATCTAGGATGGGAGGGAGATCGTGGTTTTGAATGAACGAGAAATTTTGATAAAGGTGAAAACACATAATTGTTTGAAATTGGGCTTACAGGTTTTCACCTTTGTCATTTTAAGTTCCCACAAGTATGATATATCCCTACAGTTACGTGGTCAGTTGACCTAAAATAAAGTTGACAAACGGGAGTACAAAATGATAATGGCGGGGTTGTGTTTTACGAAATACCATATGATCGAAATAAGAGGCCGAAATGTATAGGATTATTTTCAGTTAACCAAAAGTTTAACCAAAATATTTTTTGCAATAAAAAATGTTACCTATATTTATTGTTCAGTATGGTTCTTTTCATCAGACCTCTTAAGAACAGAAAAAAACGTTTCAACCGGAACTTTCTATTCAAAATTTAATTTTCAAATTTTTATCAAAAAACGTGTAATGTTTTGTTGACATGTAATATTTATGACGTGTGATATTTATAAGTTGAAAGTGAATAAAATATTTTGATCAAATGTTTCATTTTGTACATATATAAATGAGAAGAACATTTTCAAAGAATATAAAATGTCAGAAGCACAAGAGTTCTGAATATTCAAGTGTTGAATTAACATAAATGTTTCACAATTAGTAAAGTTGCAAAGTTATTCAGATTTTGTTGAAAAAATTACAATTTTTTAATGGAATTGCAATTTTCATCTGCTCTTATTAAAAAATAATCTCTCGATAAGAAAATTTACCTCAAAAAGTTATTTTTGAGAAGTTTCTGAATAGATGTTTGATCTGAACATTCAGCTATTCTCAAATTAACCTAATGATATATTTCCTAAAATAAACATGATGAAATCTAAATGTCAAATTAACAGTAGTTCTCGATTACGTCAAAAACATTATTTGGATTCTTTGATGTCTAAAACTAGGTGGCATTTTCCAAATGAATAGACAAGATGATAAAAAATGAGAATTATACATAAATAGATATTATTAGAGACCCTCATTCAAATAACATTTCAAACTTTTTCGAAAATCAAATTAGTTCAAGTTTGCGGGACAAAAAGAAAGAAAAGATTTATGGTTTGAAACCTGATGAATAGTAAATATTTTCGTCTAGACAAAAATGTGAACATCTGTCCAAAAGTCCAAAAGATGAACCTTTGAATTCACAGATGTTTCAATAAAATATACAAATCTTTACAAGAAAATAAACCAGCATGGATAAATAACACAGAAAAATGTTTGGGAGAATCGTAAAACAGGTCCAAACAGATGTCATTCAGAAATCAGGGAAACACGTGGGGGCACAAAATGATATCGGTCGAAACTACCCTGAGAACAAGTGACCCCTTCCACTTGAGGGATGAAGAATATGAGGCATGTTTTAAGGTACACCCAAATATACAAAGTCCTACAAGAAAATAAACCAGCTTTTCCACGCATGGAACAATAACACAAAAGGAACACTGTCATCACAAAATATACGTTTTTTCTATCTTTCTCTCGTTTTTTCTCCCAAAAAAACACACATTATTTGCTCAAATGACGCAGATAAATTTGAGTAGCGTGAAAAAAATGGTTTCCACCACCGCAGCACGAAAAAAATCGATTAGCTATTTTCAACAGGGCAAATAAAAGTTATCAAATTTTTTCTCCGTTGTTTTCTATTCAAATCAAATGGCAAAATTCTATTATTGTGAGAAAAGTTATATTATTATTTTCTGAATGTGTTTGGTGTTATTGCAATTATGTTTTCTAGAAGGACAGGGAGCGAGAATTTACAAAAAAAATTGATAAAATTAAGTGCTTTTTGTATCACAGCACTTACAAGAAATAGAAAACAAAAACGTTGAGAAATAAATGTATTTTTTGAACAGCGAAGCAGAATGACATGAAATAAAAAAGCTAATTTCAAATTCATCGCGGCAAAACGAACATAAACATATATTTTTCTTGAACTTTTGTCGATTTTATTTCTTGGAATGAAATAAAAATGGAATTGCTGAAATGAGAAAAGGAAAGCTGGCTTGAATGTGAGAAAATATGAATATTTATTTATTTTATTCATATGAAAAACAAAATGACGAATAAAAATAAGTTTCATAGGTCATACATCAAAAAGAGAATGTGTAATTAATTTTTAGTCATTTTATTTTGGTTTAGATGTAATGCACAAATTCTAAACTTCTATTCAAAAACATCTATTTTTATAATAAAAAAAATCTGTTATCGGAAATGTACACTCATCCTGACGAAAACGAAAGATTTACAATTTCCGTTTTCATTTACATATATATGTATTCAAATAAATCCGCTTGTAAGGTAAATCTTTGCTTTCTTTCCATAGAAAACAAACTCCCATAAAAATCTAGCTTGCACTTTTCTGGCAGCATTTCCAAAACAACAAAATCTTCATCTTATTTTTATTTTTATTCAAAATTTTTTATTTTTCTTTCAGTTGATTGAACATGAATGAGAAAAACAAGCCTAACTAATGTCACATTCTGATTTTTTGGAAATAAAGAGCATTGAAAAATAAGAAATAATAATAATAATGACAAATAAAAGTTCTCATGATTATGTCTAGCCACATTTATCAAAAATCGTTGAGTCAGTAATATGATGATTATTATTACTTTTACTGGGAGAAAAATGATATTGAAAAAGCGTTTCAAACCACTTTGCACTTTTTTATAAACAATTTCGAATTCAAAAGTGCGTCAGTGGAAAAAAAGAGTTTGTTTACCAAAAAGTTTTCAACAATTTTTTAATATTCAATAAATTTTGTAGGAAATGAACAAAAAAACAACTCCAAAACTTGTGAAAACAAAATTGTAATAATATTGGATGTGTGTGTGTGTGTGTAAAAAATGATTGCTATGACGTTTTGATATAATAATCGACCATAAAATGGTTCACAATTGATGGGAATATATAATAAATTGAATTATTATTACATATTCTTGGAACTACGGTATATGTATAGATTTTATGGACAATCTGTATAGAATTTTAATGTGATTATAGAGAATATGAAATGCGCTTATTCTGAGAAATTGATGGGAGCTTGGGAATTTAGACTGTTCAGGAGAGCGTTTTCAAAAATGAATGCATATTTTTGCTTGCACACTCATACCACTTATTTCGAGTAAATCTCTTGAGTTAGAAACACTGTTAGAACGGATCTTTCCCTAACTTCCGAAAAACTTAAGTCAAAATCTGGTCAGCGTATACTATTTCTGGTGGTGAGCAAGGCAGATCTGGAACCTTATAGGAAAGATATTTGGATATTTTGTTACATATTCACCGATCAGAATTGCGCTGTTGACCTCCGCCAAGTCTCTCTGAACTTGTTCCCATAGAAAAAGTTCACAGATTCCTGGCTCAACCTTCATCACAGAAAAAATCCTATTATTCAATCACACATACAATTTTTTCTCTGACAGAATGAGTAATTGGTGTTTTTCTGATTTCCTGAATTTTCAATTACAAAAACCTTTTCTCTCATTTGTCAAAGAAGAATCTATCGTGAATTTCTATGTAGTATGAAGCTTACAATAAACTTGATAGGTTTTTCGTATTTTTATGCCCTTTTCCAATATAAACCTTATCTGATTTACAATAAAATGCGGCAACAAATTTCACTTTTTCACACCACACAGCACAACAAATACATTCGAGAGGTTATTTTTCCTAGGCTAGGCTTGACAACAATCGTCAAAGATGAGACATACCTGGATCGGAATCACGTCGAACTGGACACGGCGAATCGATATGCATTTTTCACTTCTCCAAATATTTTTTATTTCTCTCGAAAACTCCAAGTAGCTGGAAAATAAATGAAAATTGAATAGATTTGTTAACAAGAAATGAGAAACAAAAAATGAAGATTAAATAGAAAAGAAGTGTTTCCTAATCCAAAAAATTATTCTCTAATCTCATGTTTTTGATACAAATACGCACACAACGTGTAATTAGACTTATGAATATGAGAATTTTGTTATTCGAAAACATTTGGAAACCAAATCGAGAAAATAAAAATGAAATTTAATGTAATCACGCGACCGCCCACAATGTTTTAATGCACATGTAAGCATGAAAAATTAGGCGATTGACGTGTATCACCTGAAAAAGTTGTTATTTCTAACAAATAAGAAACTTTCAGACAGGTGACATAATAAGTTTAGTCAGCTCATTATTTTGAAAGCAAAAATATATACTTATTCTTCGAGAATATTCAACATTATGAATATTCATGACTGATGAAACATTAGTTAGTACATTAGGAAAATGAAAAAAACCAAAACAAAAAAAATGTTTCGAAATATTTCGAAAAACACTAACTATTTATTTTTGCCGCGACAAAACAAGAAAAAAAGGAGAACGTATGAGTAAGCGCGAAGACGTTCGCGGAATGAGAGAAACCGAAAAATGGGCGGAGCAAATGGTTTAGAAACGCGACAGAAAAATAAAAATGAAATAAGAGGATTGCAAATGTAAAAAATTAGACATGCCTTCTGTTTAGAAAAAAAAATGTTTTTTGTGTCGGCAGAACACCGAGGAATACATTTTGAACTCGAAATTGAAAGAATAATTGGTGGGAATTTTTCAGAAAGACGAAAAAAGACAGCAAGAATTATTATGTTTGGAAAACAGTAGACGTTCGGAAAATGAATAAAAATGAGTGAAGCTTGAACTCCAAGTCTAGCTTAATTAAATGCTCACAAAAAAATGAAGCTCAAAAATTGAAATTGTAATAACTGCACTTTGAGAATACTCAATGCATTTATCATGGTTAGTGAGAAAAAGTGCATTAGAAAATATTACTCTGAATATTTGTAAAAAAAACAATATCATAAAAATGAGAACAGCCTTCCAGTGAGAAATGTTTGATTTCATTCCATTTTTAATTGTTCTAACCTTTATCGTCATCATAATTATTAAGAACTATTACACAATTAATTGGACTCGTTACAAATGTGCAAAAACATTGTTGGTTTGTATAAGAAAAAAAGAAAAACTGGATTAATAACACAGTGAAGCCGTTTTGACCTGAAGACGACCAAGATGTGAATCTCTTCAGTAACGCCTTTTGCTGGATTGTAAGTAAAAATCATGAACGGTTCAGGTTGAAACTAATCTACACGCGGAAAAAAAGTTATTTAGGGTAAAAGTTCAGACATCGTGGGTGGTATCCGCTCACAAAATTAGCTGCTCAGTTGCATTTATATAATAATTTAATAATTTTGATAACTTTACGAAAATATCTATTTTTTGAAGTAATTATTTCGAGTAAACCTCAAATAAAACTTTTGAAAACCTCAAAAATTGTGAAAACTCACATCCAATTCATTCCAATTAGAGATCAGCGTCAAATATGTGTTTTTCTTTTTCGTTCTGGAAAAATTGAATAGATTGCATGTAGACCAAAAAGTGTTTATCTTCAAAAATATTTTTCTTCTCCGATGCCATTTTTTGTTTCCTTTTTGTTTTTGACCTTTGTTCAGAACACAACAAAATGAAATTGAAGTTAAATAAATTCGAGTTCCTCTTTGAGCCAATCATCAAATTGATTCAGTTCAATTCTTTTGTTTTTGTCATTTGAAAACTCTGTGTTCAGAAATTTCTAGATTTTATGTATTCGGATAGAAATTATAAACTTCATAATTTCTATCCGAAGACAACTTTTAAAAGTTTCATTGAGCCAATTTAGAAATATTCAGACATACTTCAAACGTATTTTTTTCATTATTTTTTTTATTACATGCGTTTTTCCCTCAAAGAATATCAATTTGAATAAAACCCAGAAAAACAAGGATTTGTGCACAAAAGTAAATAAACAATTATTCTTGGAGGTTATCTTTTTCCTTCTTTTTTCCCCTGTCAATTTTTCTATCTTATTTATATTTTCTGTCTGCCTTGCCTCTCCGGTTGATCTTGACATTTTTCGCAGCGATGAACGTGTGGAGAGATGGCCGAGCGGTCTAAGGCGCTGGTTTAAGGCACCAGTCCCTTCGGGGGCGTGGGTTCGAATCCCACTCTCTTCAGCTATTTTTTCTTTTTTTTGCAAATGTTTTTTTGTTCGATCTGGAAAAAAGGAAAGAAATAAATAAATTGATGGTGGATAAATAAATATTTTGACGTCTGTAATTTTTTCAGAGACGCTATTTTTTGAAATTATATACTTTTTAGAAACATTATACATATGTATATACAAGTAATTTAATTTTTCTGCGTGCGAGAAAAAAAAATAATTTTTGATTTCCAGCTTTTTATGTTTATGCTTGCGTACTAAAATGAGCATACTACATACGAATCAAGAATAAATGTATGGTTGAAGTGATTCACCAAAAATTAAATTTCGCGTGAATGTTTTTGAATATAACTGCTGAGTTCTGCCCCCACATTTTCGTACTGTAATTCGTCACTTTTTTTTACTAATTTCGAAAAATGCTCCTTATCAGTTTCTTTTTCTTTTTTTTCATGAAAATTAAATTTTTACTTTTTCTCTCGTTTCAACAATCTCTTCCGTGATTCCCAATTTTCCTCACTCTTCAAAGATTTTTCATTAATTTTGCAACATATTCTTATTCTTCTTCTTGGCTAGCCAATATATCCAATCATGTCGTCAAGAGATCCATTTTCTTTTATTTATTCAACGTTTTTCAAAACAACGCTGTTTCAAAATTCTGTTAGACTTTTTCTTCCTTTTTCACTTGTTTGTGTTGTTTTAAATTAGATTTTCACAATTTCTTCTTCTGAAAAAAGTTCTGAAAATTTGACACAAATTGCTCGAAAAGTTTCAGATTTACATTATTACGATATTTGAGAACAAATTTTGAATGATCAGGTTTCTCAAAAAAAAAAATAGAGAGAGGTCTATAATTTAAAGTCAGATACACGTTTTTCTTGTTTGAAAACGTGTAATTGTGAAAACTTATAAACAAGCATGTAAGTAAGTAAGCAGTCAATTTGTCGAACTTGACATTTTATAATTACGTATTTTCATTATTTCTCTTTTTCCGTCTTGAATTTCAAAATAACCAAGCTCTTGCAAATTGTCTTTTCACGCAATATTTGTACTTTTGAATTATTTGGGGGGAATTTCGAAAAGGTCGTGTTTGGAATTTTTCTATGTGTGTCGTTTTCAGCCAACGATTTTTGGTCATTTTTTCTGGAACTAGAATTTTTCAAGTAGGTTCGACAAGTGCCTCGAAATTCTCACAGAAAATGAAAGAAATGTGCCCTTGTTTTGATTTTCTGAATTTTCTGCATGTGAGAGAACAAACGTTTCACTTCAAATAAACTAAAACTTTTTATTTGGAGGAATATCTAACTTCCGTCATTTATTTTTGATTAAAAATAATAGTTCAACACCGAAAGTTTTGCCTATTTTAATGAATGTTATTGGATTAAGAGTTCAACACCATCTTTTTCGGGATTCTATTCTTTCTAATGAAAAAATCAGTCACTTTTTTTTTCTCGTGCAGAAAAACCACGATTGCAAAAAAATATTCCAAAAATAGTAGATCAAAATTAGTTTGTTCACACTGTACAGTACGAAATGATGACAATTTTTATCTACCATATCTTCTTGACCTTTTTCGATTGTTGGTGAGTTGATTCTTCAATTTTTAAAAATATTTTAAAGCTTTTTTCCAATCAGTTAATTAATTCAAAATACATGTTTATTTAAATATTAAATTAAAGTTTTTTGTTTTGTTTTTTGTTTGGTTCTACGTATTTTGCTCGTTGAAAAAAAAAGAATACCCGGAACATTTTCTTGTTTTTACTCACATTCCAACGACAAAATTTGTAGATGTAAAAAGTAGAAAAAATCTTTCTGTAACTCTAAATTATCATGATTCAGAGCTCCGGATAACAAAAAGTCACATTGGGTTTAAATAAACAAAACAAAAACTTTAATTATTTCTGAATGAATCGGAAATTGTCGAGTCACATTTTCTTTCCGTCATCTCTAAAAATCTAATAAATTTTTGGTGGGCTGGTCTCTGAAATGAGGATCTCACAAAGTTAATAAGCTATGAATTTCCAATTTTTTACGTTTTTTTTGGGATTATATTGAATTTTGTTATTGTTATTTTTCGTTTCGTAAAGTTTCATTGTTATATATCTAGCTCGGCTGTTTTTTTCTTCATACATACATTTTCGATGATCAAAAAACTGAAATTTTTCTGGTGTTTTGTATATTTTGAACTTCCGAGTCAGACAAGTGTTTTCCATGAATCTGGTGATTTTCTGGATTTTTTCTCACGTTTGTTTGTTATCAGATTTTTGTTATATCGGAAAAATACGATTTTTTTCTTGAATTCCTCGGGAAAGTCTAGTTGCAACTTTTTTTAAAATTTGATGTTCATTTTTTTTTTTGAAAATGAAAAATTATCACCTATTGAAAAAATACTACTCCTTTTTTGGCTGGTTTTTTCCAAGACTGAAGTGTTTTCACTTTCTTCCTTTCATGGAACTTCTTCTATTTTTCCGTAAACCAAAAAAAAAAAGATCAAAATATTTCCAGTCGGTGGTCTAAAGTTCAATCAGTCAAGTAAAACATTTTTTGGAAGTTTTTTTCGCATTAATTCAATTTCGATTTTGAGTGTGTATGTGTGTTTTAAGACAGAAATAAATTTAGTAGAGTCTCAAGAAGTAACATGTCGTGTAAAAAAGCTCCTCCCATTTCGGTTTCCTGTGTATAAATTTTTCCCCCTGTTTTTCTTTCACATGTTTTTTCCTAACAATGGTAGCAGGTATGAAAAAGTGCAAAGTTTGCGAGTATTTTTTTCTATTTTTTTTTCACTATGTCTAGAAAAATATGAAAATAGAAATAGAAAAAGTCTATTACCCTGGCCATCATTATGTTTTTATTCTGAAAAATAAAAAATATTAATGGTCAACTAGTGTTAATAGAAAAATGCATAGAAAAAAACGTCTGGCTTCTACATAAATACCACTAATCTATATAATGTCCGAAAATGTATATAGTTAACGAGTTGCTGAAAATTGCTATTATTTTTATTAATATGTGTATATTTTTAAGCCAACTTTACTTTTTTTGTTCGCTGCATACATAGCTAGCTAAAATTATTTTGTATAGTCTAAGATTTCGTTGAAGTTTGTTCTGTTGAACTCTCATTTCTCATTCATTCATTCAAATTTTGAAGAATGACCAACAACAAAAAGTTCAATGAGGCTTAGAAGAGCATTTTTCCAATATACTCGAGTTGTACATTGTTCCGATTTTGCAACATTTTTTATTCTGGATGAATGAGAACATGTATACATACTTTTTATTTTGATTACTTTTCGGTCATGTGAACAACATTCTTCTCCTTGTTTCAAAAATACATCAACTCATATTTCATTTTCATAATAATTTTTGAAAATTGTTTTTTTTTCATACTATTATGGATTAAGAGAAAAACACTAGTTGTTTTTTGTATTCAGAAAACCCGTTCAGTTATTTTTTATTGAACTCGGTAAGTGCATCTTAACAGATAAATACTTTTGAACGTCCTAAAGTGCGTGGATCAAAATCCATCAGTTATGACGTGTTATTCTAGATAAAAATTTGGGTTATTTTTGAAATTCAAGATTCCAAAGCTTGAATTTCAGCTAAAATTTTAAAATCGACATTGAAAAAAGGTTTTCTGGTTTTTCAGATCCGTTCTAAAATTACTCTCAATAAATCAAAAGCGGTTCTATTCCTTTTGTCGAAATTCATGGGGCCATTATTTCTCCATATAAAATAAGAATGAGAATGGAAAAATTGGTTTTTGACCAAATGGCAACTTTTCCAAGTCATTAATTTTTTGGAAGAGTTGTTCAGCATGAAATTTTGGAATAACTTTTCCTTTGGGAGTAGTTTTGACTTTCAGAATTTCAGGCTGGTGACTTTTTTCTTATATTTTCTGAAAACTTCTGTTTTTTACCAAGAGCAAAATGTCCGATTTTTGATATCCACATATGTACATCAGATATTTGAAGTCGCCCAAGAATTTATCACGAATCTTTTTTGCTCAATGAAAAGTAAGATAATCTGTAATCTACGAAGAACATAATATTGCATTTTTCTGAAAATATTCGTTTGTTCTTTCATATTCGTCATAGTTAGTTAGTTTTTATTTATTTTCCCCATCAAAATTAACATTTTCCCCCTCCAGTCGTTTTTTTCTCATTCCTAAAAAAGTCGAAAAGTTCAAACGAAAAGAAAACGAACACCCAATCATCAAACCGGATATTCAGTTTTTTTTTCCAGTCTCGGATGTTTGAAAGAAAAAAAACGGGGAGAAAAAGGAGGTCTCCTCTTCGTGTTAATAATTCATGATAATTTTTAAACACAAGCAAAAGAGAAACAAAAAAGAAGAAGAAGAAGAACGTTTCTTCTTTGCTTTCATCGAAGCCGCTTATTTCCCTCGTTTTTTGCTGTCATGTAGGTCGTGGCTTTTCAGAAAGCAAAAAAGGGCTCAATGAAGCCAACATAAAATAAACTATGTTTTACTTTACTTTTTTCGACGTTTCTTATTTTTTGAAACACATAAATTTTTTATTGTTCCGTATATATACACATATAAGCCTAGTAGTGTTCTGAAAGTGAGATTTTCCCGATTGAAAAATGATACCCCGAAGTCGGTGTGTTTTCATTCTCAAATTCAGAACTTTAAGTTTGTGTGCTTCTCTAGGATAACTTGTGCTATATTGATAGGGTGATCATCAAAAGTTCTACTTGAATAAAAATCACATAACTCATAGTAAAATTTGCTCTTTTGTGAAAATAATTTATAAAAATTCATATCTTCACATTCAACAACAGTTTTCGGTATCTCTAAACAATAGATCCATTCATAGTTTCTTTAATCCCGAAATTCCTGATTTGTTTTTTCGCAAAAAAACATCAACCCTAGAGAACGGTCTGGTCGACTTTGAAAGTTCATGACACCATAATTCAATTTTCACATACATTTTTTTGTTTCGAACAAATGTTTCTTTGCGCTTTCTGTTAGTTTAACTTGAGTGAATTTTTTTCATATAACAAACTGAACAAAAGTACTTGCTTTGAAAAACTCTAATTATCGCTGAAAATTGCAAAGATGCACTTTTTGAGATAAAAGATTTCAACCCTTTTTTTGTTTTTATTTTATTTCATTTTATGATAATGATCTTTGAGGTTCCAAACTGACTGAATAAATGAAAAACACGATCATCATAAATAATTTTTAGAAAAACAAACCATAAGTTTGTTTTTTTTCTATCCATAATATTTCCTATGATAATCAGTACATTATCCATGTCTATACGAGATGAAATGACATTATAATAATTTGAAATAAAATTGGATTTTTGAAACCTTTCCCTCAAAATGTCATTGTTTTTCAAACCCCTACCTACCATATTTATTAATTCTCTCGCAAAAAAACCCGCCCAAAATTCACGTGTTCACATGCCACTTCCTGTCTCATGTAAGTCACTATTTTTCCCCGTCTTTTCAAGCAAAAGACAAGAGAATTCTTCCACCCACAACATTTTCTTTTTTTCTTGTTCCAGTAGTATTATATTTCAGTCAAAGGCCATTTTTTTTTCAACACATGTAAGAAAAATCAAAAACTTTTTTTTCTCTTCTTTTTGTCTTTGACAATAATATCCTTGTTTGAGCAATGTTTACCTTCTTTTTGTTTCCACAATTTTTATGTAAGTGTGTTTTTGTAGTCTTGCCGATCTTTACTTTTATTTTGAGGAAGATGATATCTTTTTTAGTTTTAATTTGAATTTTTTGTAAAGCTGAGATAAGGAAAAAATAATGCGATGAATGTATCAAGTGAGCCAGGTTATGAACCAAGTTATGATATCACTCCAGTAAGTTAATTTTGAAAAAAAAAACAAATTTCAGAGTTACAAATTGATTATTTCAGATTCGAACAACGGCAAACATCCTATGGAGTCTCACAGCAATCATTGGAATTCCAGCAAATATTTTTGTTTTGGCTGCAATCGTCTACTTCAGGTAAACATTGAACTATAGTTTTTGAATTGATATATTTCATATATGGTCTGTTTCTGACAATCTAGAATTATCTAAATTATGGAAGAAGTCGTGTAATTTTGAAATTCTGAAAAATAAAAGAACCAACAAAACATCTTCCGACAATTAATGATATACATTTCAATTCATTTTCATTTTAAAATTATCCTTTCCAAGTTCTCATTTCAAAACAACTTTAAAAAGGAACATATTTTTGTTATTTTGCATTTCAACTCAAAAATGATTAAAACCAAATGATTCTTGGTCTATTTACTGCTCTCCACAAACATTTTTTTCCAAATAAAATAAAATGAATTATTTTCAGGGATATGCGAACCATCTCAAATATTTACATCTTCAATTTAGCTGTTGCTGATCTTTTGTTTCTTCTTGGAGTTCCGATTGTCGTTTTTAGTCAATCTGCAAATGGCGATTGGACTCTTGGAGTTACTATGTGCAAATCGTTTATCTCTGGAAACGCGGTACAATTTTTTTAAGATAAAAAATCACTATGTTTGATGTTTTTAAGGTTTCACAATTTGCATCAGCAGTTTTCATTGCGATTCTGTCATTTGACAGATTTCTGGCGGTTTGTCGACCATTAACATCAAGTTCTTTGAGAACTCCACAAGCTGCAATCGCATTGTCGATAACTGCATGGGCTATGGTTATTTTTGAAACTATTCCTTTGATGGTTTTTGTTGATGTTGTCAAAATTAACCTTGGTTTGTTTCTTTTTTCTCCGCATACACGACAATTAAAAGTTCAATACATAAAGAGCAATATGTAATTGTTCTTCATAATTTTAGTTTCAAAAATGTGCAACTCGGAAGTGTTTTTTCTCCGGAAACGATGAGGTTTCCGACAAGTTATGTTCACATTTTTCCAGGCCATCATGTCAAAAAGACTTGCATTTTGTATCTTGGGGAGCAAAAATATCTTGATCTCAGTAATGATTCGGACGATGAAATTGAGACCGTCGAACAAAATATGATGATGTCTAGAAGGTGAACAACTAAAAGGATTCAAAAACCGAAAGTATATTTTACAGATTCTTCATCAGTTATACATTTGCATTGTCCTATTTAATACCCTTGATTGCTGTCTGGTACTTCTATGTCAAAATAATCCTGAAAATGTGCAAACGACGTCGTCATACATACCTCAAAAAGAACGGCCACACGCAAAAAAACGACAAAAGTTGGTTTTTGTTTCCGAAATGTTTCCGAAATGGGAGAATCATGTTTTCTACATCACTGAGCTTTGCGTGACAAGCAAAAAAATCCGAAAAAAATTCAAACTTCAATCATCATCTTTCATTTTCAGGTAACAATAATGGGTTTGGCAATTGTTATTTCTTATACACATTGTTTACTTCCATTCTGGCTTGTTCAATGGTTCATTGAATTGAATTTGTTCAGCGGGTAAGTCTCACTTTTCTCATCTTCATTACTGAAAAAATCAACAAGGGTGATCTAATTAGCACACAAACATTGAAAGACTGAAAAAAACGGAAGTGAGTTTCGACTAATTGGCGAATCCGAACGTTGTTAGTCAAAAAAGGCAAAAAGAAAGAGAATCAAGTTTCTTGCACTTCTTCTCCTTTTTCTTTGTGGGTGGTTATAAGATAGTTTCAGCTAAAGTTCGTGAGGGATCATGACTAATTCTGATGATCAAATTCCAAGAAAGTTTTTTCATGAAAATCGTAGATGAACAAGGACTGAAAAACGTGTTTACAGTAACCCTTTCGCTTTGGTCAGCGTTTCACATTTTGCTTATGCACTACAGTACATCAACTCCGCAGCTAATCCATTTCTTTATGTATTTTTGTCAGATTCCTTCAAGAAAAATGTGAGTTTTCCCTTAAAAAGATCATTTCTAATCTCTAAATTTCAGATTTCAAAACTTATGAACTCAACAAGATCTGAAAAATCTGTGACAAATAATCTTGCTGAACAAACTGACAGCACAAAACTGTTGATAACAAGATCGAAAGAATCAAGTTTTGTTTCAGCACAACAACCACCTGTATTATAATTTTTCCCCCCTTTAACCCCTTCCTTTGCACCAAAAGCCATATCAAATCACAAAAGTATTCCGGTAGACCCTAAACTGTTGTAGAAATAAAAATCTGATCTTTTTCCCGCCAAAAACATTCAATGTTTGTGAATATATTCATATTTATTTTGTTACATTTGAAAAAAAACTGACTTTGATTCCGTTAAACCAAAAATTGTATGTATTTTTTTGTATCTGAAAATGAATGAAGTTTGTGTTTTATCAAGGTTATTGATATGTTTATGAACATTGTTACAAAAAATATATGAAAATAGAGATGGTGAATATTTTTCCATTATTGGCAACAATCATAAGAATGATCTGAATATGAGGCAATAAAAATGATGCACTCTAACTGAATACATTTTCAAGAGTACTGTAGTTCTGGAGAAGGTTAAAATTTTGAAATTGGATTATGAGCACCAGTGCCAACACGCCTGACGAGACGTGTCCCAAAAGGATACTGTACAAAAATTTTCAAATAAAAATTCCCGCCCAAACCAAAATTTCGATTCGGGCGGGAAGCTAATAAAAATTTTCAATTTTTTTTTCATTTTTTTCACGAAAAAGTGAAGTATGCCTTGATTTTCAGCGGATTTTGATGAAACGATTCAAATAAATTCAAAATTTCACGCTGCACAATTTTTATTCTGAAAAAATTTTCACGCTGCTCAAAAATTTTGGGACACTCTCTCGCCAAGTGTGAGTGCCAAATAAGCACCTTACGAGCATTGTGCTTCAAAAAAATCAACAACAATTTCTGACACCCCAGTGCTAAAAAGTGCATGTTTTGCCGAGATCACAAAACAAGTTATTTTCTTTTTATTATGTTCATTTCTTTGAAATTCAGTTCGAAAATCTCTGTCAACCGTCGGTTGATAAGTTTGACATCGATCTCTGATAAAAACGTTCGGTTTCAGTGTACGTTTTTTTTCCGGAACACCAATCACAAAACGTTTCCTTTAAAACGTTCAAAAATTGAACAGCCAAGACGAATGACTTGATAATAAATCTTGGAACACAACACATTTTTTGTTGAAACCAAAAAATCAAGAAAAAATTCTTTCGACGTTTCTCATGTTTCCGTTTCTTCTTGTTTGTGAGCAAAATGTGTTGTAAAAAAGTCTAATCCGAATCAAATTCCCCATTTTCATTTGAATGAAATAAAGATAATCCTCAATCTAATTTCCTGCGTTTTAGCCTACATGTTGAAGCAAGAAAGGAATAATTCATGGAATAGGATTAATAATAAAATATCACCTGTGACGTTAATCAGTCATATGACTGCTATAACATTTTCAAACATTCAAATGAATCAGACAATTTTATAATCTGGAAAAAACGTAAACTTTGGTGTTTGGAATGTTTTTCAAATGACAGCAGATGTTTTTAAAAAATTGAGAAAATGAAAACTATCCAGCATTCTCAGTAACTGAAAAAAGCCATTCCTAGAAGGAGATAAACTGATTTTAAGAAGATGTTTGATTCTTTTATTCTTGTTTCTCGCGCATAAAACATAAATCTCGATAAAAAGATTTCTAGAGTTCTCGAGAGCACTTTTGATTGAATTTTCGAATAGCTCTAACTTGAAAAGTTGTAAAAACTTCGGAGATCGAACATTATTCAAACAACTTTTTGCTCCGCCTGAAAATTTTCTAGAACAATGATGTTTCTCTGAAAAATCATGTAAAACAAACAAACACCAAGTTTTCACAAGCTTTTTATTGATTAATAGAAAAAAGACAAAAAATGACATCTTCAAAATAAACGTTTCCATACCCGGGAAGCTTTTTCAAACTTAAGAAAATCCCTGGTGAAAGAAAAATAATTGTAATTTCGAAAAATTCAATTAATTTTGTTTCACATGTGGGGCAAGCTTAAGTTTGACGCGCAAATTTTAAAAGAAGAATGTCTAGAAAAAATAAATGAACATTTTGAAAAAAAATCGCCTAAGCAAAAATGATTGAACGAGTTGATGAATGAAGAAAACCGTGTGTGTCTACCGTAAAAATAGACCCATAGCTAGATGGTTGCAGACTATTTTGAGAAGATGTTGTTGTTGGTTCCGTATTCATATGAGATAATTATATAGAACTATATATTTATATCGTTTTCTACATGAAGTTGTTTATGATTATAAATGTGTTGTTGTTAGAATAATCGGCTAGAATATTTTAACCCATTTTTGCCGTGAATGACATTCGACCACGATCTGCAAAAAATATTTTGAAATACTATTTTTAATTTTATTTTAAAACTTACTTAATAGAGAGATAGGAAAGAATTGATGGAAAAAAGCCCACTAGAAAGCAAGCATTTTGTGAAATTTGGTTCAGTTACCCTGTAATAATTCAAATTATAGTTTGAGTTCACCACAAGCGAAAAAAAAGTAAAATTGTTTCAGAGAAAAGAGAGAGATAGAGAAAGAAAAAAATGAGGTGAAAATAATAAAAAGGGAGAAGGAATGAATGAGAAAAAAGAAAAGGGAAAAACGAAACGAAGAAACCGGCCGCACATATACACACACACACACACTCACACAACCAACCAGCTACCCTCTCATTTTCATCATACTATTTCGCAATCCGGCTGTCCCGAAACAACGAGAGAGTATCGCAAATAGAGAGACGCAGCGCATGCTGTACAACGTCATTTCATCGATTGGAGTGAAGTGGGAGGGCTGGCTGGCTGGAGACGCAGTTTTTCGAAAAAATGTGAGGAGAATTAGAGAGAAAGTAGTAGTAGGAGGATGGAGGGAAACATGCAGGGAGGCGAAACGATTCTTCTCCGATTTCTGCACTTTTTGCGCGTTTTTTGGAGTGGACGGAGGCGAGCGATGGAATTGCGTTGAATTGAGCAAGAAAAGTGCAACTAGGGGTAGAGGACATGAATATTCATGTATATATAGGGGTGGAAATTGGATGGGAGGAGTTTGTGAGTCATGAATTTTCAAGAAGAAAGAAAATTGGAGGAAACAGAAAGACGGGGGAGTTGGAGGTTGAGTTTCAAGGTGTGGGATTATTATAATGAGTCATATGGTTTTTATATTTGAAGGTTGTGAAATCGAGAATGTTTTGTTTGGATTTCAAAATCACATCCATATGGTTTTTAAAAGTTCAAGAAAAAATGTTTATAATTCAAATTGTGTAATTTACAAGCCCAAAATTGCTAGACATCAATTTTTTCTGAATATTTTTGGGTCGATCAAAAATATTTTTCTCTCAATCTCCCAGGTCTCAAAAAATACTAGAATTGTTTCGATATACCGGAAAAAAAAGCCTAGAAATTTGAAAAAAAAACAATTTCAAATATAATTTCATATAATACAGTAGCCTAAAAATTAGAAATTCCCATGAAAAAATAATTGATATTAAAAAATGCACGTTAAAAATTATAATAAAACTACAGTAGCCCGTGAGAGTTTTATATTTATTTCGTTATGTAGAAAAATGAAAAATTATACGAATAATTTTTGAAAAGATTATGTTCGTTTAAACCACGATTTTTCTTGAGAAACACTTTCTCTTATCAAAGTATGTATAATACAGAAACGCTAACTTTACACGATACACGAAAAAGATCAAGCGGAAACTGTACGAAATTGAACCACGCCTTTGTATATACATACATTTTTTCGGGTATGGCAAAAAAGAACAAGAAAAAATTGACTTGTTTTTGTTACTCGCCCACGTTTTATTTTTTCCTCAACAAGTGTAGTGCAAATCAGATGAGCTAGTTCAAAACAAGACGAGACGAAAAACATAGTGATGGTAAAAAGTGCAAAAAATGGTGTGATAAATAAATGATATCAATAACAAATGCATTTTTCTGATAAACTATACGGAGCCTTTTTCAACTGTACAGAAAATGAACAGATAGAAAAAAATCGGATTAGTTCATCTTTTGTAATAAAAACAATAGTGAAATACATAGTAGAATCGCGTTTTTATCCATTCCGATGGCGAGGGCTTATAAAAACCGGTTTCATTTAAGATCTATACATAATTTAAATTTGATATTGAAAGAGACAAAGCATTCAAAACAGGATAGGAATTATGTTCAAATGAACCTGCAAAAATTAGAATGTGAAGGGAGACAAAAAAAAAGAAATCAGGAAAAATTGAATGGGAAAAAGCGTTTATTTTTTGTGTTCATTCTTCTGAAAGCGACAAGATTACGTTTTTTTTTTGAAAATGGAAAACAAGAAAATTCAAAAAATCTCCTGAAGTCTGAAATTCAGTTGTTTTCTATATTTTTTTAGGTTTTATGGAATATAGAATTTTCTTAAGATTTTTGCTGAAATTCGTATTTTCTCAGATACTTTAAGAAAAATTGGTTCAAAATCTAGAACGTTTTTGAAGTTTTTATTTTTATTTAAAAAAAAAACAAGATTTTGTGTTTCAGTACTTGGAAACACGGGACATTGAAACTTAGGTTTTTGAGTTTCTAAAATCACTTAACATTAGAAAAATCTATTATTTCAAAACATATTTTTCACCTGTCCAAAATATTTGCTTCAATCAATAATTTCATCAAATTTCCAAAGTACAACAACATTGGAACTTTGCTATTCTTTAGAAATAAATCACAATTTGTTCAAAGAACGTGCATAATTTCAAAAATATCCATTAATAAATACGATTTTCAAACAATGAAATTGTTTTAAATTTCACCCGAGAGTTTTGATAAAAATATAGGTTTTCTAGTAGTTTTGATCATCTCATCAAATTCCCGTCTTCAAAAATTTTGAATGTGGCTTGTTCAAGAAGAAATTTTTCAAAAAAATTAGAAATCTCCAACAGTTTCCTTGAATTGTTTATTTTTTGAATAGAAGTAATTTTTTAACATTGGCTTTTCATGTTCCTATCGATACAATATTTTGCAACAGTTCATTTTTTTTATCAAGCCTTTCCAATAACATGCAAACATTTATCATTTATTGAAAATGTTTGTACAGAATGTTCTAGAAATTGGCCAGCGTGGTTTATTTCAGCAGAAATTGATAAAAAGCTTATCAGAAAATTGTTTTCATAAAACCTCAATCTTTGAAAAACAAGAGATTTCTCATGTTTGCAATAATATTTTTTTGATCTCAATTTTTTGCGAATCAAAAATCAACTTTCTTTCAGCTATTCTATTTTCAGTTTTTCATTTTCATTATTTAAAAAGTTCCCATATTTCATCAGGTAAATGACCTTGTTATCGAACTTACTAATTCGTCATTTTTGCGTACACTTTTTACGAAATGAACGTAATTATTGCATTATTTCAAAAATGTTATTTCCTCTCTCGTTTTTATTTCAAGTAAAAGCATTCAAGTTGTTCACCTCAATCACAGCAAAAACAAAACTTTTTTCAAAGCGTCAAAGATCTATTACCATTCTTTCTTTCATAAATAAATCAAACTCATCACATGATCATTTCCATCGTTTTTTTTTCGAACACAGAACAACAAACGCACAGAAAACCTTTGTGCAAATCAGAAAAAGAGTGTCCCTGCAGAAATATTTGCATTGGAGCGCGCTTTCTCTCATTTTTCTCGAAACGTCCCTGTCAAACATATCTGTCTCGAGGTTTTTTTCTTTTTTGTTATAAGTGTTTTATTCTTCTTTTTTTCTAGTTGGCATGGTTTTTAAAGATAACATTCGTCTTTATCATTTTTTTTATTGAAGATGTTATTGTATATAACATCACGAGTTTCATTTTTTCGATAAAATTTGATTTTTGAAGGCAACATTTTTGCTCAATATAAAAATGCAAACGTTTCTTCAAAATTCTTATCTTCTATCTTTTTTATTGTTATTGTTTCTCATTTTTAATCAAAAAATTGTTATTTATCATTTAAAGTTTCATCATAATGTTATTGATCAGAGTTTGAGCAAAGTCCTTGGCTTATCCCATTTTGTTACACTTTTTTTTGTTTTTTGCTGCAATCTTCTGTTGTCCGCGGGTTCTCCTCTTTCATTTTCTTTTTTGCTTGTTTTTGTCTCGAAACCAACATTTTTTTCAGATGAGTGTTGATAACCCAAAATTGCGCACCGATCCATTTGATAGACCAAAAATTGACTTTGATTTTTTCAGTGATGCTGAAGCTGTGAGTTTTTCCCATTTATCATTGATATTTGAAAACAAAGAAAATTGCTTTTCAGAGATGTCGAAGTCTCCTCGAGAAGCTGGAAAAATCAGTAGATCCAAAATTGAAAGGAGAAGATTTGTTCAAAAGTTCTTTGAAAATATTTTGTGCAGAATGGCGTTCTAGAAAGAAGAATTCTGAAATTGCACTGAAGGTAGGTAACTTGAAAAATTATTTATTTTCAGAAACATTTATTTTTCAGGGCCTCTTGATCGTTCTAGAATTGTGTTTAGCTCAACCCACTCAACAGAGTTCGATATTTGCTGCACTTATTGATACTCTTGGCTATAACACTCTAACCTTCTGGAAGTCATCAGTTCCTCATATTTACAACTCGGATTTGTCATATTCAACACAATATCGAGATTCATTACTGTTTTCATTAGTTTTATACGATGTGAATAATAGTAAAAATCGATTACGTGAACTGTATGCGGCAGTTCCAGGTGTCAGAAAAAGTATGTTAGGTACACATGCAAAATTGTTCGGCGAGAAATATCGACACATTCAGGTGAGCTTTTTTCTAGATAAAGAAAAACATTTTTCAAATTTAAAATGTTTGTAGATGGTACGATCTCGCGCCAACTCAAGAATGTCGTCAGTTCAAGGATCAACAGAAGATCTTCTATCACTTGATAATGATGTGGTTTCTGATGAACATTCTGAAGTAACAAGTAATTCACATCATTCATCGATTCCAAATGCTTTATGTGATTTGGCTCATCATAAGGTTAGTAGCTTTTTTGAAACCATTCAAAAATATTTGGTGTGTTTTCAGCAACGTGTTATCAATGTGTCTAACGCTCCACCTGTTTCAATCAGCCGCAAAACCAGCGGATCATGGGAAATCAAACAAGGTTCCGGTGGTCTTGTTGCATGTGTTGATCCAGTTATGTCCGGAGATCGAGAAAATATATGGTTATCAAATCTTGGATTCAATTATCAAGATGAGAACGAAGATGTTGCGCCATCAACAAATTCGTTAGGACTTCCATTAATAAAACAGGCACGCGCTGGAGAAGTTTTTCATGTTCTCGAAGAAAATGACAAGAAAGTTGAGCTAACTCCAAAACAACAAATTGTTGAGTAAGTGCTTTTGAGAAAAGTGCGATAATGAAAACACATATTTTCAGAAGAGATATGTCATTGTTATCTGTTTTGAATGATTATAATAAAAAGAGTTATCAATTGAATCCAGTTGTTGTTAGCAATGATGATTATAACACATATTATGGTGGAATCAGTAATGGATTGTTATGGCCAGCTCTTCATAATCTACCACAACATATTGTTTCCGATTACGATGATTTGAGTGTGCTGAAAGATCATTGGTGTAGTTACGTGAGAGTTAATTATCAATTCGCTATCAATGCCGCTAGAAATAGTCGAGCTCAAGATTTTATTTGGATTCATGATTATCATTTGATGTTATGCGGTGCAATTATGAGATCGCTGGAAAGCAGTTTAGAGGTAATCCTTGATAAGTGAGATTTCGTAATTCATAAACTTTTCAGGTCGGATTCTTCTTACATATTCCATTTCAACCACCAGAAGATTTTATGACCAAATATCGAATTGTTGCTGATCCAATAATTCGAGCCCTTCTTAGATTCACCAAAGTTGGATTTCAAACAAGTCGGGATCGTGAAACATATGTTCGACTAGTTCGAGAGAATATTCCAAGAGCTAGAATTCAATATGATGCGCGACTTGATAGATATACCATTGCTCACGATGTGAGTAACCTCAATTTATTTTCAAAACCAAACACTTTCTCAAATGATGATATTTTAGGGTTGGACATGCTCTCTTGGTGTTTTCCCAGTTTCAATTAAAATTGAAGATTTTCTCAATATTGCCAATGATCCACAAACAAGAATTGAAGCAGAAACCATCAGAAAGAATGTGAGTAAATTTTTTGTTTTTTTTTAACCAAATGTTTATTTCAGATATTGTCAAGTTCTGGTCCAACTGGAAGATTTTTCTTCTCTGTGGAGAGATTTGATTATACAAAAGGTATCGAAGAAAAACTTCAAGCATGGAAAAGATTTTTCGAAAAACATCCGGATCGAATTGGTAAAGATGTTCTGTTACAAGTCGCTGTGATAAATCGAAGATCAGTAGAATCATATCGGAAATATCAGGATGATTGTATTGCAATGGCTGAGCAAATCAATAATACTATCAAGAGTGCAGAATTTCCAAATTGGAAACCATTGATTTTTGAAACAGATGGTTTGCCAAGAACAAAATTGATTGCACACTATCTGGCTATGGATGTTGGTGTAGTTACACCATCGAAAGATGGAATGAATCTTGTTGCAAAAGAAATGCTTGTATGTAATCCAGTTGCGTCGTTGGTTCTTTCGACTGGTGCTGGAACTGAAGTTCAATTAGGAAGTGCTGGTTTCTATTCTGATACTGATCGTTGTTATCATCGCGTTGAAGATATTCATGACATTGAGGTGAGTTATTTTAACGGGAGAAGTATAACGCTTCAATGTGTTTATCATTTCAGAATTTTGCTGAGAGCTTCTATAGAGCATCTGTTGAAAGTGTTGAAAGTCGAGAAGAAAATGGAAGAAAGTTGAATAAATTCCTGACTGAACATGATATTGAGGAGTGGAGTAGCGCATTTTTAGATCCAAATTGGACACACGAAGTTATCAGCAGAAGTGATGTTAAACAACTCGCGGATTTCTATATTCTCATGGATAAAACTGCAAGAGTTCGAAGACAGATTGTTGAAGTTGTTTTGAAAGGTCTACCAATTCGTCCACATTTCACATTATCTTTGGAGAATGCGAAGAATGCGCTTGAAAGTTCATGTGAAGAAGGAACGAATAAATTGGTGCTTCAAACAACAAACTCTGCTGATGATGTTGATGACAATAATCTTGAAGCGAAATTCGATATTTCTGATGAATTGAATGAACTTCAGAAAGATATTGCATTCTTGTCGTTTATTCAATCAGATGAGATCACAAATGTTGAACAATTTATTGACGTAAGTTTACTTTTCTGATAAACTCAACACAAAGTTTTCTTTAGACTCTTGGGTCATTCCATCCATCAGGACCTTCTGTGTTTGCAACTGAAGTTGAAAACGCTGTACAACTTCTTGTGCAAGGTGAACACTTCCATTACTTCTTCACTGATCGAGATGGAACATTGAAAAGTTATGCATGTTCATATCCAACAAGTATTCAGCCAGCGTATTCTGCAGTTATTCAGGTAATTTTAGAGGAAATTTAGCATTCAAACAATTCAATTGATTTCAGGCTCAATTTGCTAGAAGATGTGCACAATTTTGTGCTATCGTCACAACTGCTCCTTTGATTCACATTGGAATTTTGAATGTTGCCACAATTCCAGAAGGATATTATGCTTTTGGAGCATCTGCTGGAAGAGAATGGTATTTCAATCCAGCAATGCAATTCAAAGATGATTCAGTTTCTGATGGAGATTTGCAATTACTGAATAATGCTTTTGATAAGATTGAAGATTTGCTCGAAACTCCAGAATATCGAAATTTCACTTGGATTGGAAGTGGACTTCAGAAACATTATGGGCATATCACAATTGCCAAACAAGATGTGAATAATTCCATTCCAAAAAAGAAAATGATTCAACTTTATGAACAAATTACTAAAATTGTGAATGAAACTGATCCAGCTGGAACTGTTCTAACAATCAGAGAATCTGACCTTGATATCAAAATTTACACAAAGGTAAGATTTATATTATAAGAAAACCTATAAATTGGTTTATATATTTCCAGGCCAAATTAAGTGGTCGAATTTTCAACAAAGGACACGGTGTCCGGCTTGTTGAACGTAAAATGGGTATCAATTTGAATGATGGCAACATTTTGGTTTGTGGTGATTCGGAATCGGATATTCCGATGCTTGAAGAATGTTTGTCAGTTGCTGCAGCTAATGTATATACTATTTGGGTTACTGAAGATGATGTTCTCAAAGAAAAAGTGAGTTTTGATTATAACCGTTTGGTTTCAATTTCTCCAATTGATTTTTCAGGTAACCTCGCTTTGTGCTCAATATTCAAATACAAATATAAGATTTGTATCATGTCCTCAAGTTTTACTCGGTGCCATGGCGGCTGCAACCGTCAAAGAACTGACACGTGGTGGCTCAAATGAGACGTCTTTTCGATTAGATCAAGATTAATTCAACTTTGCATGCCATAATATTTTCTTTCACATAATTTAGCTTTTACCTTATCTTCCCTTTGTTTTGTTTTGTTTTTTTTTTCATTTCTTCTATAGTCTTCCTATCGTAATGACCGGTTAAAAAAGCAAACTCTTGTTCTCTGTGAGAATTATCGTTATTAATATTTTAATCTGTTTTCCAGCTGAAAATTTTCATCTTTTATCATTATAATGAATGAATAATTTTTTCCAAATTTTTTATGTTGGGGCGGAGTGAAGCGAAATATGTCGCCTTCTTCGTCTCTTCACTTGAATAAAAAAATCGATTGGGTGGTGCTCGGCTCTTTTTTTTTCAGTCAGGCAGTCAGTTAGTCTTTCGTATTCTTCCGGTTTGGCTCGAAGTCGGTTGAGGAATGGGTTCGACACCAAGAACCCTTCCTTATGGAACATCGGAAACCCTCGATTGCGGTTAGTTTGTGATTGAGTTTTAGGAGAAGATGGGATAGGGGTGTGAAAAAGGTTTCTTTGTTTTGAGAACTCGACGAGCAAGCTATGTTCATTCCGGAAATTTTACTACAAAGAGAGGTTCAAAATTTGCTTCCTGTTAAAAATATTGTGAGAATGAACAAAAGACATTCAAATTTATTTCCTGAATTTTTAATGAAACAGCGACATTTGAAAGATCCGCTTTTCACATAAATTTGTGAAATTTTCACTTTTGTCTTTATTTTTCCATTCAGATTTCCCAGAAGATAATCTAGATAATCAACAGATCATTTATTTTTAATGAAAAAATATATAAAATATACCAAGACAAAAAAAACAGCAAACATGTCAGAGAAAAATTGCGCAATTTCTTCCACGCCGACAGTTTCTCTTGCACGCTCTCTTATTTGCACACTCCCTCTTCATTTGTTCGTTCCCAAAATAAAAAATAGTTTCATTTAATATTTTCTATGAATGTACCGAGTTGTAAAACAATCAGATGATGAAGAAGAGCGAGGTTTAGTACAAGGTTCAGGATTTTTGTTGAAAATTGAGATTTTGCAGATGATGAGGCTTCGGATTTCAAACATTGGAAAAGAAGGCATGTAGTCGCAATTTTAGCGTTGTTAGGATTCGCCAATATTTATGCAATGAGGGCTAATTTGAGTATTGCGATTGTTGAAATGACGTCTGGAACTGATCTCAAAGTTAATGGAACTACTTATCACGTAAGTCAATTTGTTCTGGTGGGCTAATTTGAATCAAACAATACTGTTTCAGATTGATGGTGACTTCAAGAATTGGTCACCAATGACGCAAGGTGTTGTATTGAGCTCATTTTTCTATGGATACATTATATCACAATTGCCAGGAGGATATCTTGCTTATCAACACGGAGGAAAAACTTTGTTTTTTGCTGGAACTTTTGGTAGGTTTTTTCTCCGGAGTTCCCGCTAAGCTTAATATTTCAGGAACTGCAATCTTCACCCTTTTGACACCACCGTTGGCTAGAATGGGATATGGGATGTTAGTTTTTGCTCGATTTATGGAAGGACTTTTGGAAGGTGTTACATATCCAGCTATGCATGTTATTTGGAGTCATTGGGCTCCACCATTGGAACAAACTAAATTGGCAACATTTGCATTTTCTGGATCATATTTTGGAACTGTTTTAGCAATGCCATTATCTGCATATTTGGGTGAACAATTCGGATGGCCAATGATTTTCTGGTTCTTTGGTGAGTCTTTTTTGTTGTTTTCGTGCGTGCAGAAAAGTAAAAAAAAAATATGGATTTGTATTCGAAAAACAACTTTTTTTTTCATTAAATTTTATTATATTATATTATTTTTTGGTTTGGCTTGGCTTGGTTAGAGAAAAAAGTATATCCAAAAATAATAGTACACAAATTAATTAGTTAAAAATTGCCCAAATCAGCTGGAAATTGTTTCTCTGAAAAACAAATACTATTCTAATGTAAAACATCTCAAGTTTTATGTTACAAAGCTGTTTTTTCTCTAAAACGATACTTCCGCCTCAAAGAAAGTGCACATTTTATATTCATAGATTTGAAAACAATTTTTTGCAGGAACTCTTGGTGTCATCTGGTGTGTCGTTTGGTTCAAAAATGTTTATGATCGCCCAGCGGATGATCCAAAAATTACAACTTCTGAGCTTGCTCTTCTTCAACGTGATGCCTTCAGTCAAACACATTACGTATGTCAAAAATCAGAAAATAAAAAAAACCAGTTTTATATTCAGATTGTTCCATGGGGTCAAATTCTTCGTTCAAAACCAGTTTGGGCAATTATAATTGCACACACTGCACAAAATTGGGGATTTTATATAATGTTAACAAATCTACCAAAAATGTTGAAAGATATTGCGGGTTATAATTTGGAAAAGGTATTTTTTATTTTTGTTTTTGTTTTCACCAAAAAAAAACGCACAAATCTAATCCGGAAATTAAATCATCTTCACACAATACTGAACTAATTGAGTTATTTTCAACTTTCAGGCCGGAATTGCTAGTTCTTTGCCATATCTTCTTATGGGGGTTTCAATAATTGGTTCCGGACAATTGGCCGATTTTCTAAGAAAAGAACGACAATTTGAAACTTTGTTGGTTCGCAAACTTTTCTGTGCTGCTGGATTCTTGGGACAATCAATTTTCCTTCTTCTTATTGTTGCAACTTCTCATCCAACTTTAATTGTTATATTTTTCTCGATTTCAATTGGTATTGGAGGAATTTGTTGGAGTGGATTTTCTGTGAATCATTTGGATTTGGCTCCTCAATATGCTGGACATCTTATGGCTGCATCGAATACAATCGCAACTATTCCAGGAATCTTGGGACCACTTTTTGTTGGAGCTATTGTTCAATCAGCGGTGAGTGACATTTTCGAGCTCGAGCTCAACTCAATTGTTCAATAGATCAAATAAACACGCTACTTGAATTTATTATGGACCATTTTTGTTGATGTCAACGTGTAAAGAATCACGCAACAATAAATTATTCCAAAAAAATTTTGAAAATGAATTTCAAATTTTTTAGCTCCACCCATCTCAAATAAATTTTTCCAGGGCATCAATGAATGGAACCTCGTGTTATTTGTAATAATCGGATTTTATATCGTCGGAGCTGCCATTTTCTGGAAGTTTGCCGATGCCAAACTTCAACCATGGGCTGGAGATCACACATCATTCATTGGCCAATTGGAATAACTCAAATCTGTCATCGAAAAAAAAAACAAAAACATATCTAAAATTTTTGTAGATATATCAAATAGAAGTGTGAGATAAAACTATTTGATTGTGGCTTTTGAAACATATAAAAAAATGAAAGAAAGGATAGAGATAACAAATATTTGAATGAGTGGGAGAAAAGAAAAAAGAAGAGAAAACAAATATCCAAGAGTTGAGAGTTGCTCGAGAGATTTTCCGATTTTTAATTTTGCAAAAAGCATTCATTATTACATCTTCAAAATTCATGGAGCGAAAAGCGAAATAGAGAAAACATGTTGTTATTATTTTATGGTTGAAATGTAGATTAGGGGTTGTAAGAAATTTTATGGAGCATCACAATCTATCTACTAGATCTGGAACAAAAGTTGGAAGAATTTGAGATTTGTTTGAAATTCTGGAGCAAATCTCGTTCTCATTAAGATTCATGTTTGAATGTAGAAACTTGCTGAAGTTTTTCTATTAGGTCTCTAGATCTGGTAGAACTAGAAGAATTTCTCCAAAATTTGGTTCCTGTTTCAATTTTCCTGTTTGTCAATGAATAAAATAAAATAATTGGAGCTTCAAAACATTTATTTCTTTGCATTGTAAAACAAATTTACATTGATTGTCAGCACCACAAGAAATTGCGTGTGAAAATATTGAAAGAATATTTGAAAAAAAAGATACAAAACAAATAGAAGATACAAAAAAATCTATTCAAAATGACGAAATGCGTGAATGATAATGTACCATTTTGGAGTGTGTGAACGCGCAGTCAGACGGCGTATTGGAGGAAATTTGGGTTGTCAAATGGTGTCGAATAAGACTTGAGAATTTAGAGATCAATTCAAAAAAAAAGAAAGTCTAACCAAATGGCAACCACAAATTTCCAAAAGAAAAGAATTGTTGTTGTATTTTCAAAAACTCGGCTACAAAAGGTGGGGGGAGCGGCAAAAAGGATGATGTTAAAATGGACCGCGCGGAATGAACAAAACCGCCGTCTGAACGCAGCGCCACACGGGATGACATACAACATAAATTGATGGGATTATGAAACGAAAAATGTCGTGCTGATGGTGATTTGTTGTTTGAGGCGTGAGCCACATTCAACACATCATCACGGCATTTTCGAGAATAACGTTGACGCCATTCCCAAAGTGGCTGCAATTGCTTGTGGGCTTGTGTTGTTCAAGCGCTGGCTAGTTCATCTTGAGCTCCGGTGGTGATAAGATGGGCGAATGCCTTGTAGTCGACTTCTCCTCCCTCAATTGGTGGTTTTCCCTAAAAACATTGGAGTTTGAATTTTTTCTTGAAATTTATTTTCCTTACCTTGTACATAGCCTTGATCTCATCCTCATCAAGTGGTTCTCCTCTCTTGTTTTGAAGAATCTTGATAAGTTCGTCCTCCTTGATCTTTCCACAATCTTTCTTATCGAACATGGCGAAAGCTCCAACAATGGTGGCTTCTGGGTCAGTTCCTATAACAAAATTTGAATTAAAATCAGAATTGCAATATTTTGAGAACTAACCGGTCAATCTTTCTCCGAAAAGGGTCAAGAAAACGGTGAAGTTGATTGGTCCACTGGCTTCCTTGATCATGGCATCGATTTGAGAATCTGAGGCAATTTGTCCCATTGAGGCATAAAGATCTTTGAGATCGCTCTGAAACAATACTTTTTGTTGATAGTTCATTTTCTTATCAAATTTTAATTACCTTGTCAATGATTCCGTCTTTGTTTTGGTCCATGATTCCGAAAGCTTCCTTGAATTCTTGGATAGTCTTTTGGTCGAATTGGGCGGCTTCCGATCCGGAGCGCTTCTTGGAGGACTTCTTCTTGGCGGCCTTGGACTATAAACATTTTAGAATTAACTCTCAAAAATCTCATATTGATTTAATATAAACTCACCATTTTGTGTTAGTTGTGATCGACTGACTGACTGAAGAATATGTGTCGACGGGAGGCGCCTTTTACACTATTCTTGTGTTGGGGGAGGGAGGAGGGATATATATTTGAGGAGTCGAAAGAATCTCAACAACTTTACACACAACAGATAGGAGCACCGCCCCCGGGATGTGTGTGTGCAGCGAAAAAAAAAGAAGAAGAAGAAAAATGAAAAAAGCTTGAGTAAAGAAGGCAGAAATTGAGGGGATTCTTCCTAGAAAATAAAGAATATTTGAGAATGTGAGGGATAGAGAACTATTTTTTTTGTTGATTTTTTATCTTGTTTTATCGGAAATGTTTCTTAACGTGGGGGTTAGAGACCACCCGGGAAGGAAATTATTTTGTGTATTGCGTTAGGTGGTAGAAAATAGTGGCTTATGGTACTTCAATTATTTTTGGAAAAATCATTGGATAGTTTAGTAGTTTCTGCAACCTACAAACAAAGAGAAAATTCATAAGTTGTGGGAAATGTTCATTTTCATAGTAGTTAGGAATTGAACAGAAAGTCTACATTTAAAGAAAACAGAGCTGGTTTGAATGATTAAAAATGTTGAAATAGAACAAAATTCTGTAGTTTAATAGTGACTAAAAATAATAGTTTCAAAAAACTATTCAAGTTGTTTTGGTCAGGCTTGAAGTTATACATATTTTTTTCAATAATAACAAGTTCTGACTTAAATGATTTTTGAAGCATTGCTCATGTTGAATTTAAAAATCGATATCAGAATTTTCATAAATCTTTTGTTGGAGGGAACGATTTGAAAAAAAAAAGATGTACGAATTTCTTCAATATAAAAAAATATATTGTGTACATTGTGTTGGACGAAATTTATCGAAAGATATGGTTTAAAAAATCACAGATATGTAAATTTTGAAAACATTTTTTAATGTAAAGTTCGATCATTTTTCACCATATTTAATCTTTTGTTGTAGAGATGTTCAACAAATTGAGATATAATAAAAATATTATTTCAGAAAAATCATCGCGTTTTATTTTTGCAAAATATTATTTTTCAAATGTTAAGAATATCAAGCGTTTTTTGAATAATTTTATCGATGTCAGATTAGTGATTATTAATCACTAAATATGAAATTATAAAAACGAAAAAGTTTCAAGTTTCAAAAACAAATTTTATGAATTTCATTCCCTCAACTCTTCTGTAGCTTTTTGATCAATTTTTAGATCAAAAATTGTTTTCCTATCAGAATCCCCATTTATTTTCTATTTTTTGAACGAGTTTGTTCTTTTCAGACTCGACACATGACGCTCTACACTTTTTCTTGGTCGGAACACAAAAAAGAAAATGGCATGAATTTGTGTTAGATCTGAAGTCTGGTATTTTTTCTCTGAAGATTTACTATTTTGAAACAATAAATTTCTTGCAAAAGTCGGGAACAACACACAGTTTTGCTAAGCTGTTTGAGAAAACAGTTTAGTTTTGTTGACAAACTTTTTTTCAGAACCATTCTTCCCTTGTTCTATATAATTCAAGTATCAAAGTTTGAAATAGATGGTAAGAGCCGCCCGCACAACTAACTATTTCTTACGTTAGTTGATTTTAGTCTCATTTTTTCCCGCGGGCTTCGAGATGAATGTACTTGAGAAACGACGCATAACAAACAGTTGGTTAACGATCGAGAAAGCGAAAGCTTTTTTCAAATCCCTCGTTGAGTTATTCTATTTGCCATTCATCCTTTTTCTTTCCGAAACAAAAAGCGGCTGTCTGTTGTCTCTTCGGTTTATTGGCAATTCTCATCCAATGTTACACTATCTATCTATCTCATTTTCTTTTTTCTTCCTTCTCGACAATTTTTCTGATGGGAGGAGCTCTCCCATACGCCTACCATATTATTTTTTGACTTGACTTCATTCTTTCCATGTGTTGAGCTCATCCGAGTTTTTCTCATTTTTATTCATTACTATAGAAAAAAATAACATAGTGAAATATTTTTAGGTACTAAATCGTCTCAGAAAATGTCCAAGGCCGCCAAGAAGAAGTCCTCCAAGAAGCGCTCCGGATCGGAAGCCGCCCAATTCGACCAAAAGACTATCCAAGAATTCAAGGAAGCTTTCGGAATCATGGACCAAAACAAAGACGGAATCATCGACAAGGTAAATTACTTTGTACATAGTTTATTGGTACAAAATTAAAAAAATATTCAGGGCGATCTTAAAGATCTTTATGCCTCAATGGGACAAATTGCCTCAGATTCTCAAATCGATGCCATGATCAAGGAAGCCAGTGGACCAATCAACTTCACCGTTTTCTTGACCCTTTTCGGAGAAAGATTGACCGGTTAGTTCTCAAAATATAGAAATTCTGATTTTAATTCAAATTGTGTTATAGGAACTGACCCAGAAGCCACCATTGTTGGAGCTTTCGCCATGTTCGATAAGAAAGATTGTGGAAAGATCAAGGAGGACGAACTTATCAAGATTCTTCAAAACAAGAGAGGAGAACCACTCGATGAGGATGAGATCAAGGCTATGTACAAGGTAAGGAAAATAGATTTCAAGAAAATATATAAACTCGAATGTTTTCAGGGTAAACCACCAATTGAGGGAGGAGAAGTCGACTACAAGGCTTTCGCTCACCTTATCACCACTGGAGCTCAAGACGAACTCGCCAGCGCCTAATTCTAATGAACTCACTCATACATCTTTCAACTACAACAACAAAAACACAAAAAAATTTGATATCTACTATCCATCAGAAAAATCAATATTAATAATAATCTTGTCGTGGATTAGTGTGCAAATAAATGGTGGTGATAAAAAATTGTTATATTTCAACAAAAAAAAGATTCTTGGAAAATCATTGATAGTTTTTTTTTGCTATCTATTTGTTTAGAGATATCTTCTGACGTATATCTCGTGTTTACTTTTCTCCGGATTTTGTGCTCTATCAGAAAAAAAATGAGAGATAGGTGATTGATTTGATTTTCAGAGAGTACGGAGAGTTTTTTAAAGATGGCAGAAAAGAGTTCGAAGAATCAGGAGCTCAATCAATTCTCTGAAGCTTGAAAATGTATTATCAGTACTTTGAGATTATTTTCTCTGTGGTTATTGGATTTCTGTGAAAATTTGCACGAAGTAAAAAATAAATAAACTTGCTCAGAAAAATTGTAAGATGAAATAGAAAAAAGTTACTCATGTGGGAGTTTTAAAGTTGGAAATATCAATAACAACTTCTGAAGAATGTTCAAATTTTCGTTAGTATTGAAAATAAAGATGTATTAAAGATGGAGTGCTTTCATATATTCAGAAAACCTCGTGGATACAACCATTTCACATCAATTATCCGGAATCGTTTATTTGTATACATTTTTTAACAAATTAAAAACACACAGACATGAAGAACAAGAATATACAAAAATCTATATATTTGTGTGCAAGGGTAGGGTTAAATGAATCTATCACAACTAATTCGTAAGATCAAAGTAGGGTGATTCAAGATAAGGCATATTAAAAACATATAATAGACACATTTCAAAATGAATGATTGAATGAACAATATCAAAAATGATAGAAAAAATCTAAAGATGGAGACTAGGGACCAAATATACATTCAAGTAGTAAATAATAGGGTAGAACAAAAAATGCAAACCAGTTGAATCTTGTTTTCGTTGAGTAGGTTAAGTAGAATATCATGCTTCTATTCCATCAAATCATCTTCTTGTGGTTGAGGAGAATTATTATGTTGAGCAACATCGGGAAGTTCCTCAGCTTGTGATGCCACGCGCAAAATAATCCACAACGAATCTGAAAATAGAACAATATTTATAATCAGAAATCACTTGCACTTTTAGTTCATTTAACAGAAAATGAGGATGATTTAAAAATAAGCTTTGAAAAAATTGACTTACCTCCAAAAAATACATTTTGTGGAGTTACAAACTGGAAACGTGATCGATAAGTTCCTTCAACATTTGGAGTGTGAATTCTCAAATTGACAGGCCCTTCTTCATTTGGACCAAGAACCGTGTCCAAACGTATCTCATAATCAATCAAATCTCCATCAATTAAAACCAAACGAGTTCCATCGGGGAATCGGAATCTTCCGTCATTCAAAGCTTGGAAATCGACTTCGAAAATTTCTCCTGGACAAATAGCACGATCCTGAAATAAAAACGTTTTCATTACCAAGTGTTAAACATTTTCGTGATTTCTGTTCGAAGAAGGTAACATGTTTAATAAAAATAACTCAAAATTTGAAGCAGTGAGAGCCAAAACTATATTTTAATTGGTTACCTAAAACTTCAGAAATTCCTCTAGAAAATGGATATCTAGAATTTCAGAAAGTAACTGAAACTTAAAAAAAAAATACATTTTGAGCATTTTAATTTCGTGAAGAAATAAAAAGTTTTCAATTCATGTTTCGGGTTTTTCTCCTTCTCTTGAAAATGTTTTCTATTTTTGAATAAATTTCAAGAATCCTCGTGATTGTTCATTTTTAAAATATTTTTAGATTTGTTTGATTCGAGAATTAAGCAGGATTTAACTAATAAACGGCCAAAAATCATCTTCAAATTGTTGTCGAAACACAAATTAAAAAAATTACCCCATTAACTGCTGAAGAATCCGAGCATTGTAAGAATTGTGAAGTCAATGAAGACATGCGAAAAGCTTCTTCCATATTTCTCAAATCACCGTTTTGATCATAAAAAACATTGAGTGCCAGATCCAAATTCCAGTTTGCCAAATCCATATAAAATGCAGCAAGATCTTGTGGTACAATTTGTGGATATACAATTGCAATGAATTTTCGTATCAAAGATTCGTGATCATCTGTTGACATTTGGCTCATCATAGAGACTATTGAGTTTTCAAGCGATTCCATTTTGGTCTATAAAAAATTTATATTCATTAGCTGTACATTGACAGGAAGAAAACATTATAAACATGAATCAATAGTAATGAAAAATATATTATGAAAAGTGATTATAAGAATCGAAAAGGTGATAGACGCGAAGAAAAAATAATAAATTACGATAAAGAAAAAACAAACTTTGCATACAACATTATACAAACATAAACATATGATTGTTTCGCAATACTCTCTCACTCTCTTTTCTCACACTGTTTTCATTTAACAGCGAGCCACACATATTGTGTGTATACACTACGACGAACAATTACACTTTTTTGTTGAGAGACGGAGAGGAAAAAAAAGATGCAAGGAAATGAAATGAGAAAAATAAGAAGGAGATAGAAAAAAGCATTTCGGTGGAACCGGTGAATGAATTATGATAGGTCAAACGATTGATTGTTTATTACAATTCAGAAAAAATAGAAAAACAAAAGTAAAGTGATGATTTATAAAGTAAAGTTTAGAGCAATATAGAAATCAGAAAACAACATGTTTTATTGTGACCAAACAGTTGTATATTCTCTTATCGTTCATTTCTCAAGATAATTGTTTTTAGAGGTACAAAAGTAAATGTTATCAATGAATTTGAATGTCAAAGAGGATTTACTTTCAGAAGGTTTTGAAATGATGTGAAAAAGTTAATAAATAAAATAAAAAAAATTTTTTTTTTAACGTTACTCGTTTTTACAATCAAAAATGTACTCGAATCAATATCCTAACTTAAAATAGGCAACTAAAAATTCCGAAATAGTTTTTAAAATCTATTTTTCCTGAATTCTGAACCGGTTTTGAAATGTTTTTAGTTTAACAACGAATAATTTTCTATTCAAAAATAATCTCTAGTTTGTTTCAAATTTTTCTGGTAATTCAAAGTACTCTAAAAAAAGATGCATCTCAAAAGACCAAAAACAAAAAAAAACACTAAATCAATTTCTCTGAAAAATTGTAAAGTGAAAATATAGTCAATTTCAGAAAAAAAACCTCTGTAGTCATGGATACAATAATACTGAATGTATCATCATTTTACACTCTTGTTTTTTTCGAAATTGTTAGTTTGAATACAATTCTCAAAAACAAATCATTTATTATTTCACTAGCTACATTTTTGCAAAAATCAAAAAATAAATATAATTTAAAGCAGGCATTCCAACAATCTTTTTCTATCCACAAATAAATTTTTTGTTAGATATCTTTTTGGTGTATGGAGTACAACAAGAAGTTCTGGGGAATAAGCACGGTGTATTGGCACACGCTGAATTTTCAGTGAAATCTCCAGAGCATTGACAACCTGATGGGAAACAATAACGGGTGCGAGAAACGATTCCACAATTTCCGCAAGTATCATTGCAAGAGGAACCAGTTGGGATAGCCCATTCAGTCCAAGTCCCTTGGCAAGTCTCCGGTTGACTATTTTGACAATATTTGTTTCCATCGTAGCCTGTGGCAACAAATTTTCCACTACAACATTGATTGCCAGTTGTACAAATTGGATTTCCGCATGATTGTGTTTGAACAGATTCACCGCTGGAAAACATAGTCTTTGGACTTGAACTTTTGGAGCGGGGGATGACTTTGTTAAAATAGCAATAGTTGTTTGATTTGGATTTGATCTTTTGATCTTGACTTTTCAAAATTTGTTTCGTCGGTGGGCTCGGAGATGTGATGCTCACAAGAAACGTATTTCCAATTTTCAAAAAATCAATACTCACGTGCATGCACATCCATAAGCTTCAGAAGCACATGTTCGATTTCGACTTTGAGTTCCACAAAGTCCACAAGTCGCTGTGCAAGTAGTCCAAGATTTCCATTCATTCCATAAACCTTTTTTCTCCGGATCACAACATGTTGTTTGTTCTGGAGCCAATTCCGTTGTTGAAGTTAATGGGCCACAATAAAATATTCTTGCAGTTGCATTGATCATTTTCTTGAATCCTGTACAACACGATGTTCTTGGGAAGAGGCAGGGTGTTATTGCGCAAGTAATAGTGCTTGTGCTGTCTCCTCTGGAAAATGTTATAAGTATTTTAGAGCAGATAAGGAATTTTTTTTGAATTATATAAAACATTTAATTCATAATTTCTAGTAAGCAGATTATCTTCTCACTATTCCGAGGGTTTTTTCTCGAAAGAGCTACCCCATTTTGAAACTTACTCGCAGGAGCAACCATATTCCAAAGAAAGACATTTTCTTGTTCGAGTTTCTTTCCCGCAAGAACCACAAGTATCCGAACAAGGCACAGATGTTGTCCATTCTCCCCAGATTCCTTTTGATGGGCAACACGATACTCCACAAGTATTAAGTTTATCTGGATCGGTGTTATTTGTCTAAAAAATCATTATTTCAGAGCTAAATTCAAAAATATCACTTACTAAAGGTCCACAAACATGATTGGTGCCAACTACAGTAGCCGCGTAACCGGGACAACAACTAAGCCTTGGAAAATAGCAGACGCCTGTTCCACAAAGTTCAGTGATTGTTGATTCACCTCTGTAAATAACGAACATCGAACACATTATTCAACAAACATCAATGAAACATACTTGCACGGACATCCATAACTATCTGAAGTGCAAGTTCGCGTTTTTGTTTGATTTCCACAAGATCCACAGTAATCCAAACATTGTGTTGGCGAGGTTGTCCATTCCGACCAAATACCAGTCTCTGGGCAACATGAAGAACTTGTGGTTGTCGAAGTGCAAGATTCAATGTACGGTGTTGGAGTGGTATCATAATTTGGCTGGGGTCCGCAAATATGTTCAGTCCCGTTGACTGTTGCGGTATAACCAGAACAGCAAGAATCTGATGGATAATAGCAAACTCCAATTCCACAATTCACTTCACGAGTAGTTTCTCCACTGCAAGAATATTCGTTTTGAAGAATATCAAAAAAAATTAGGGTTTTTTTTTGACTTACACACAATCACAAGATGATGGAGATAGACAAACTCTTCGTTGCGTTACTGTCGAACAAGATCCACAAGATGTTGAACAACTTCCTCCACTTGACCATTCTGACCAATATCCACCAGTTGAGGGACAGCAATCATTCAAACACAAGGTTGAAGCAGGAATGTCATCATCATCCTAAAAATATGTTTTATTTTAAACTATGGATATCACAATAAAACTTACCGTAGAAGAACATAAGAATTTCTTATTCACAATGATTTTTGATCGGTTTCCACAACACGAAGTTCGAGGGAAGGCACATTGAACAGGAGCACATTCTGCATTTTTAGTGCTGCTCCCACTGAAAATTTCTTTCAATTAATTTGTTTTCTTCAGAACTACCCTTACCTGCAAGAACATGAATAATCTTCCGAAAGACAAACTCGAGTCAAAACTTGAATTCCACAGTTACCACAAGTATCATTACACGAATCTCCAGATGACCATTCAGACCAAACTCCTCCTAAAACACAACAACCAGGTGTAGTTGTGGAACAGGGGACTGGATTTTCGGTAACTGAAGCATCCTCTAATGGCCCACAAATTGAGAGACTATCGATTGTTGAAACAGTGAGATTTTGGCAACATACTGTTCCAGAAGAGCAAGGTGTTCTATTACATGTTTCGGTTTTTGTTGTTGAACCCCTAGAAACAAAAAAATATATGTTTCGGGATATGATAACGGAAATTTGAAAAGCATGACAATGAGAAACTCACATGCAATAACATCCATCAGTTTTGAGACAAGTTCTGGTGTAGGTTAAAGTTTGACAAGCTCCACAAGATGTTTGATTACATGTGTCGGTTGTCTATAAAATTCAAAAATGAATATTTGATAGAAAATTAAATTTCTAGAACTAACCGTCCATTCTGACCATTCTGCCAAAGTTCTACAAGTTTCAGTTTCTGATGAGTCACCACTGCAAGGGCAGAAAGAAGTTGATTCACAAGATCTTGTGCGAGTTCGACTTCCATCACACTAAAACTTGTTGAGTTATAGGAATCTTTAAAGTTATTATTTCTTTAACTTACAGTTCCACAAGCTGTACCACCTGAACATGAAGACCATTCACTCCAAATTCCCCAATATCCACCGACAGGGCAACATGTTTCACTATTTGAACTTGTTGATACACTTGGCTGAAATTGTTTTTTGATTTTCTCGAATTTCTAATAAATGTTACCTGTGGTCCACAAATATGATCTGTTCCATTAACTGTGGCGGTATATCCAGTGCAACAAGAATTGGCAGGATAATAGCAGACTCCGATTCCACAGTTTTGAATTTTGACATCGGAACCTGTGCATGGACAAGTATCACCAGAAAGACAAGTTCGACGATAAATTTGTTGAGAACAGGAACCGCAAGTTGTTGGGCAAGGACCATCTGCAACCCATTCACTCCAGAATCCATTTGTTGGACAACACGAAGATGTTGGAATTGTTGTAACTAAAGATGATGTAGATTCTGCGGTTGTTGATGAAATTTCAGTGGATGAAATAAATTGTGTAGTTATTTCTAGTGTTGTTGACTCTTCGGTTGTTTGAACTGTAGTGAATTCTGTTGTCAATAATTCTTCAGTGGTTGGCTCAGATGTAACTTCAGTAGTTGATTGAACTGTGGTGACTTGTGGAGTTGTCGATGGTTCCGTCGTTATCTCCGTTGTTGAAACATCTGGTGTAGTTTGTTCTTCGGTTGTCGATGGGACTGTGGTGATTTCTGGTGTTGTAGAAGCCTCTGTTGTTAATTCTGGCGTTGATGTCAACTGAACAGTGGTACTTTCAATTGTAGTTTCAGATGGCGTGGACTGTTCCGTTGTAGATGGAATAGTCGTTCCTTCAGATGTTGTTGATTCTTCTGTGGTGATTTCAATTGTTGTAAGAAGTTCAGTTGTTGATTGAACAGTAGAAACTTCTGTTGTTGTTAAATCTTCTGTCGTGGATAAAATTGTGGTTTCTTTGAATGTTGTTGTTCCAAGCGTCGTTAACTCTGAAGTTGTGAAATCCTCAGTAGTTGATTGGATGGTGCTAACTTCAGGTGTTGTGGATACAAAGGTAGTGGCTTCAGAAGTAGATGCTTCTGTGGTTATTTCAATTGTTGTCGAATCTTGAGTAGTTGATTGAACTGTGCTGTCTTGAATTGTTGTTGTATCAAGTGTTGTTAATTCTAAAGTGGTTGATTCATCGGTAGTCGAAGGTATACTCGTCAAATCTTCAGTGGTTGACACAAACGTAGTAGATTCTGGTGTAGTTGATTCTTCTGTCGTAATTTCAGTAGTTGATTTCACCGTCGTGATTTCAGAAGTCGTCAAATCTTCAGTTGTTGATTCCACAGTTGTGATTTCAGGTGTCGTCGAATCTTCAGTGGTTGATACAAACGTAGTAGCATCTGGTGTAGTTGATTCTTCTGTGGTAACTTCAGTTGTTGTATCCACAGTCGTACTTTCAGGTGTCGTTAAATCTTCGGTGGTTGATACAAACGTAGTAGCTTCTGGTGTAGTTGATGCTTCTGTGGTTGCTTCAATTGTTGATTCCACAGTCGTGACTTCAGGTGTCGACAAATCTTCAGTGGTTGATACAAACGTAGTAGCTTCTGGTGTAGTTGATGCTTCTGTGGTTGCTTCAATTGTTGATTCCACAGTCGTGACTTCAGGTGTCGACAAATCTTCAGTGGTTGATACAAACGTGGTAGCTTCGGGTGTAGTTGATTCTTCTGTGGTAACTTCAGTTGTTGATTCCACAGTCGTGATTTCAGAAGTCGTCAAATCTTCAGTTGTTGATTCCACAGTTGTGATTTCAGGTGTCGTCGAATCTTCAGTGGTTGATACAAACGTAGTAGCATCTGGTGTAGTTGATTCTTCTGTGGTAACTTCAGTTGTTGTATCCACAGTCGTACTTTCAGGTGTCGTTAAATCTTCGGTGGTTGATATAAACGTGGTCGCTTCCGGTGTCGTTGATGCTTCTGTAGTAACTTCAGTTGTTGATTCGATAGTCGTACTTTCAGGTGTCGTTAAATCTTCGGTGGTTGATACAAACGTAGTAGCTTCTGGTGTAGTTGATGCTTCTGTGGTTGCTTCAATTGTTGATTCCACAGTCGTGACTTCAGGTGTCGACAAATCTTCAGTGGTTGATACAAACGTAGTAGCTTCTGGTGTAGTTGATGCTTCTGTGGTTGCTTCAATTGTTGATTCCACAGTCGTGACTTCAGGTGTCGACAAATCTTCAGTGGTTGATACAAACGTGGTAGCTTCGGGTGTAGTTGATTCTTCTGTGGTAACTTCAGTTGTTGATTCCACAGTCGTGATTTCAGAAGTCGTCAAATCTTCAGTTGTTGATTCCACAGTTGTGATTTCAGGTGTCGTCGAATCTTCAGTGGTTGATACAAACGTAGTAGCATCTGGTGTAGTTGATTCTTCTGTGGTAACTTCAGTTGTTGTATCCACAGTCGTACTTTCAGGTGTCGTTAAATCTTCGGTGGTTGATATAAACGTGGTCGCTTCCGGTGTCGTTGATGCTTCTGTAGTAACTTCAGTTGTTAATTCCACAGTCGTGATTTCAGAAGTCGTCAAATCTTCAGTGGTTGATATGAATGTTGTTGCTTCTGTTGAAGTGACTTCTTCTGTAGTTGATAAAATTGTGGTGGCTTCCAAAGTAGTTGATTGTTCAGTAGTAACTTGAGACGTTGATTCAAGAGTGGTTATATCTGATGTTGTTTGTTCTTCTGTGGTTGAAATCACTGTGCTATCTGAGAATGTTGTTGATTCAAGAGTGGTTGCTTCTGAAGTTGTCAAATCGTCAGTTGTTGATTCAACCGTTGATACTTCAGATGTGGTCAATTCTGTTGTAGCTTCTGGTGTGGTAACATCAGATGTTGATTGTACAGTCGTGATTTCGGTTGTTGATAAATCTTCTGTTGTTGATAAAATTGTGCTATCTTGAATTGTTGTTGTTTCCAAGGTAGTTATTACTGAAGTAGTCAAAACATCTTCAGTTGTTGGTTCCATTGTAGTTGATTCTTCTGTTTTGCTTTCAGGAGTAGAGGTTAATGTCTCGGTTGTTGATTGAATCGTTGAAAAATCAGGAGTAGTCAATTCTTCTGTTGTTGATAAAATTGTTGTGGCTTCATTAGTGGTTGATTCTTCTGTTGTGATTGCTGGAGTTGAAGTTGCTTCAGTTGTGATTTCGTTTGTGGTCTCCAAGGTAGTTAACGATTCAGTTGTTAATTCAATTGTTGTTTCTGCTGGTGTTGTTGATTGTTCTGTGGTAACTTCAATTGTTGTCAAAAGTTCAGTAGTTGATTGAACAGTAGTATCTTCAACGCTGGTGGAAATATCAGTAGTAACATCAAAAGTTGTCAAGGCCTCAGTTGTTGATTCAACAGTCGTTAATGCTGGTGTCGTGGATTGTTCCGTGGTTGCTGGAACTGTTGTCAACGTTTCAGTTGTTGTTTCCAATGTAGTGATTTCTGGAGTTGTAGATTGAACAGTAGTTACTTCTGGTGTGGTTAACTCTTCGGTTGTCGTCAGAATCGTAGTAACTTCGACAGTTGTAGATTTTTCCGTTGTTAGCTCCGATGTTGATTGAATCGTAGTTTTTTCAGGAGTTGTCAATTGTTCTGTGGTTGTCAAAACTGTTGTATCTTCAGTGGTGGTCGACGGCGCTGTTGTCTGCACTGGAGTTGTAGATTCTACGGTTGTCAGAATAGTTGTATATTCAGAGGTTGTTGTGACTGATTGTTCTGTGGTAACTTCAGGAGTAGTGATTTCAGTTGTAGGAGATTCCGTGGTTGTGAATTTTTCCGTCGTTGTTCCTTCTGTAGTAACTTCAAGAGTTGTTGACTGAACTGTTGTTAATTGTGATGTCGAAACTTCAGTTGTGGTCACGGCTTCAGTGGTTGAAGAAATTGTTGTGGCTTCTTGAGTCGTTGATCGTTCTGTCGTGACTTCCACGGTAGTAATTTCAGGAGTTGTAGATTCTTTGGTAGTCGATAAATCTGTTGTCACTGACACAGTGGTAACTGCTTGTGTTGTCGTGTCTGCGAAAGTTGTCGCTTCAGATGTTGGTTGAATTGTTGTTGTCACAGACTCTGATGTTGAAGCTGGTAAAGTTGAAGTAATCGATTCTGTTGTCGATGTTACTTCAACAGAAGTTGATAATACAGTGGTTTCGAATGTTGTCGGCAGTTTTGTAGTGGTTTCCAACGATGTTTCTGACGTTACTGGTACCGTCGTTGTAATTTCTGTAGTGACTTGTGAAGTGGCCGCCTCGGTTGTTAATTCTGGAGTTGTTGTCAATTCAGTAGTTGTTTCAGGGCCAGGTGTAGTTGGAATTTGTGTGAGAACTGAAAACAACATTGAGAACGTATAATAAAACATTCTCCTTACCATCACAATAAATCTTATTATCAGTAATAACCAATGAAGCAAGATTAGCATTCCAACCATATTCATAACAAGTTAATTGAGCATCAAGAATATTTACATCATCAGTTCCCATATTTATCTGAAGAATCTAAATTTTGCACAAATGATTACCAGGCAACTCACAGTTGTTCCTTCTCCCAATATTTCATATCCCAATGTTGCCATTTCACCACCAATGCATGTTATATCAGCAACAGCACAACCATCAGAATTATTACTATAGCTGATATCGAAGTTCTCTGATGACTCTAATCCGTCTATCATAGGGGAAGAAGATTTTACCAAATCTCCACAATCCTCCCCACAGGTGGCTCTCTGAAAAATCACAAGATAAACACTTTGAGTTTGGAAAATTAAAACCTTACCTTTCTTCTGATTGGAGTTCCATAAATAGAATTATAATATTCGCCTGGATCTTTCAAAGTTTCATACAAACGTGTTCGTTCACACAACATTTCAGAGCCGAACAAAAGTAGCAAATAGAAAATGAGATTCATATTTAATTTTTTGAAAAAATAGTCAATCTCTGTTCCGTAAAATCTTTTAAACCAAAAACTTTTTACTACAACAAGCTGAACTAACAAAAAGTGGAAAACATTCTGTAGTAAAATATTTGACTTTTGCTTGTTTAATTAGTTGATCTGATCAGATGCCATTTTCATTTTCATATGGCCAAAAATTTTATTTGAATAAAAAGTGCAAAGGGAGTTGTAAGAAGAAAATAGGACATTAAAATAATGAATCAAAAATAAATTATATGTAGTTATGAAAGATCGAGTATCTTATCGAAAACTGAAACAGAAGAAAACAATAAGGCACAGAACAACTCCGATCAAAATGAGAAGAAAGGAGAATATAAAAACGTCAGTGTCTGGAAAAAGATATTTATTAATAAAATATGAAAATATAAAAACTCACAAGATGCAACAAAACCATCCAGTGTACACGGAGTTTTAGGACACTCTGGAATTTCAACCGCCGGAGGCAAATTCCAATTGACGAGATTGTCCAATCGCCTGAAAAATGATAAAATGAGAAACTTTGCGTTTATGTTTGAAGTGAATTTTTTTTTCGTCAATATTTTTTTAGACAAACCTACGTTCCCACGTACCTTTTCTCCTCTATAGTTCTCATCATATGGAGCAATTTCATAGATGAATGATTCTCTGGGAACTCTTTGCGATCTATTTGCTACTAGCTCAATATCAGTCGAATTATCCAAGAAAGGAGAAGATAGAATAACTCCTAGAGAGAAGAGGGAAATAATAAGTGCTTGTAACATTATTTTGTAGACACAGTTTAGAACGAAATGAGGGCTAATATTGTTTTGACATTACGATTCAATTCTGATTCACTTTTTAGTCAACATCAATATGTTTCGGACACTATAATAGTTTTGTATTTGCAATTTATTGTTCAAAAACAAAGAACGTGAACAATTGAAAAATTACAACCATAACAAAAAAGTTCGATGGGCGAAGACAAAAAATTTTTTCCAAAAAAAAAGAATTTCACACAAGAAAATAAAAGAAATCATAAAATAAATTAGAAAAAAATAGGGGAAAACCCAATGAAAATGGAAAAAAAAGAATTAGTTCGTTATGATACACATGAAAGATGGGGAAAATTTTAGGAATTTTTCAAGTTTTAAATGAATATGTATATAAATAGAGTTTTGTGAGAACTCCAATTCAATGACATGATATATACGGCTAAAGAAAATGGTGGACGTGGTGTTAAAAAAAACAAGGTGACGTAATTTTTTTGGGGGGAGGGAGAAAAAAACGTTAACTCGTATGGCTCCTGCCAGATGAATATGGAGATCGCTTAGCGTTGAAAACGGATAGGAAGGAGAAGAACTCGGTCTGAAATTATATTGATTGGATTATAATTGAGTGATTTGTGAAATCTTACATTTGTTTAGAATTGTTGTGCTGGGGCAGCTTGGAATTGCCCAGTTTGTGGGAAAGCTCCGACTGCTTGATATTGACCATAAGGTTGTCCGGCAGGATTTGGTTGTCCAGGTACAGCAGCACCTGCAGCTTGATATTGTTGTGGATAACCAGCAGCGGCAACTGGAACAGCGCCAGCTGGAACAGCAACACCAGCTGCGCGAGCGGCATTTTGTTTCATTTGTGATTCAACCATCGCCGCTTGATCCAATAATCCGACAGATCGATAATATTCAGCCCATTGTGCCGAATAATCAGGTTGACCGGTTGCTGGATTAATTGCTGGTTGAGTTGCAGCTGGTTGAGCTTGTGGAACTTGTGCAACAGCTTGTTGAGCAAATTGTTGACCCGGCATAACACCAGCTTGTTGTTGATATTGTGGAGCGGCATATTGTGGTTGAGCTGGAGCGCCTGCAAGACCATTTTGTGGATGATGATGAGGATTCCAAACATTTCCATTTCCACCTGGTGGTATTCCACCTGCTCCAGCTGAAAATGGAAATGTTTGTTGTTTTTTTCAGAACTGATTTTTGTATGTGAACTTCTGCCAAATCTATCACTTACCAAAATTGTTCCATTGTTGTTGAACTGGTTGTGGTGCACCATATTGACCGTTGAATTGTGCAGGTTGCGCATATCCGCCGTTGTTTGGCATAATTTGTGCGCCAGCCATCATTGGGACAGGTGTATTTGGTGGGATGTCACCGACCTATAATTAATATTATAATGAGAACGCTTACAATTTTGAATACTCACCTTAATACGAATGATATGTTGAGCATGATGGATTTGTTGTTGAGTTCCACGAATCATGAAAACCTTCTCGTTTGGATTCGGTGGTGGTTCACGTGAAAGTTCACAATGTGCACCGCTTTCAGCGTTGATTTGCTTGATAGTTTCTCCACCTTTTCCAATAACCAAACCAGTTTTGTTTGATGGAACATGCATGAAAAACACTTCTGGTTGTTGACTTCCACCATTGTTGCTCTTGTTGACAAGTTCAGTAATCAATTCAGTTGCTTTGAAGATTTGATCACGAGTTCCCATAATAACCGCACATCTTTCAGCTGAATTTGGATCTTCATCAGGTTTGAATTGAATCTTGGTTCCAGTTTCAATAGCCAATCTCTTGATTGTCTCTCCACTTTTACCAATAATCATTCCAACACTTGTTCTTGGTACAACAACTTCTCCTTTGGCAGTAGCATTTCCGTCAGTTGGAATACCATGACGAGCCATATTTGGAATACCACCTCCACCAGTTCCGGCTGTTTCTTCTTTGTTGATCAAATCAGCAACTAGACGTTTGGCAACTTCAATCTTTTCTGGATCTCCAGTGATTCTCAATGGTTTTGGCATACCAGTCACTTCTTGTGAATCTTGAATCATCAACATTTTGCATCCAGAATTCTCTTGGAGTTGTCTGATGGTGTCTCCTTGTTTTCCAATAATCAAACCACATTTAGCAGCAGGGATTTGCAAATCAATAGTGATTGCGCGTCCACTTTCTCCAGCTGTGGCGAATGTCTGACTGGCTTGTTGTGCTTGACGTTGTTGAGCACGAATCACAACATCGTTGATCATTTGTTTGGCCTTTTCGATGTTTGGCTAAAAATATCGATTACATTATTATTATAATCTGCAAATCAACAAAATTCAACTTACTCTCATTCCTTGAAGTGTAACTTGTCTATAACCTGAGTTATCCGCATCAGGACTCATCTGCACGCGGCATCCCGACTGAGTTTGAATACTTTGGATTTCCAATCCACCTCTACCAATAACTAAACCGACAGTGTTTTCCGGAACAGGATAGAGTTCGGTGATGGCTTCGTTTTGACCCATGTACGGTCCTCCCATCTGAACTAAACTTCCGTCCATTCCATGCATGACTGCCCTCTTTGCCGGGATGCCGCCTGAAAAAAATCAATTGATTGGGAGGTAAGGAAATTTTCTTCCGCAATTCCAAAAAAATAATAGTCAATGCAAAATGAATGGCAAAAATGTTGCAAACAAACGATAATGCAAAGAATGACGGAAGAAAAATACGAAGAAAAATGCAAAAAATCATCAATAAAAACCGTACTGTCGAGGCCGCTTTCTTCTGTGGTTCGCTTCAGTGTTGTAGAGTTTGACGAGTTTTGCTGAACATAAATTAAATACATTATTGGGGGTGAAATGTAATTTTGTGAAAAAATGGGCAAAAATATTTCTTTTATCGATAAAAAATGAATGCATCAAATCAATTATTATTATAATCATCATTATTAATATTATTCAATGTCATTGCAAAAATATCACCAAAAAATCAATAAATAGCATCAATAACACCTTTGCTTTTTATTCAATTAATACGAAATGAACGAGAATTAAAAATGAATACGTCAATGCAAAAAATATACGAAATGCAATACTTTTCAAAATGCAATCAATAAATTTTTTTGTAGAAAAACAAATCTTTTTGAAAATATTACCTGAATGTTTGATAGGGCGTTGCTAAATTGTTCGTTTCCTATGACTTCTACTGATGACATAACGTGGGTTTTTCCATAAAACCAACAAATCTCCAATTGATGGGATTTGCCACAAAAAAGTAGAGAATACGAGACGAAAACAAGTGGACAACGGCTAGAGATGACCAAATGAACTAATCAACCAACCAACAAAAAAAGCTGTTGTGACGCGATGGCCCCACAACCAACCAACGCGCGCAAGCCGCCTAACAAATGGTCTCAACGCGATTCAAACTACGGTCACATTTGTTTGCATTGTGTCCCTGCGAGGTGAGGAAAAGAGAGTGTGCGGAGAAGAGAGAGGCGAGAGAAATAGAGTGTTCGCTCTGCTTTTTTCTCGTCTACTCTTTTTTTGGGAGAGAAAAAAATAAAAAAGGGAAGAGAAGGTTTGATTTTTTGACACATTGAATAGTAAACAATTGTGCATATCAATGACAAAAATGCACTTCAAAATAAACATTTGAAAATCACTGGAAAAAACCAACTATTTCGCTGACAATAATAATTTAAAAAGGCGAATTCATACGAATGGGAAATATTTATATTTTAAGACAACAATGCTATAAATTGTGAAAGAAATGTTTTTCTTTTCTTATCAAAAATTTAGAACTCCAAGAAAAAAAAAGCTTTTTACGCAATAATGATCAAAAAATATCAGACATGTTTCTCATAAAACTGAAAAGAGTTAACACGCGAGAAACTATAGTGCAAATCAAAAAAAAAATTGTTCCTCTATAAATCAAAATGTACAAAAAGTGAGAAAGATGAAAAATTGTGTTCAGAGAAAAAAGAAACACTTTTCTGTTTTGTATTTCGATATGATTCATGTTTTTTCTCTGTTCAGCAGAAAGAACATATAAATTTTGTGCAAAAAGTATTAGTTCAAAAAAGAATAGGAAATTAAATACGTATTCATTGAGATGAATGAATGAAAAAAATCTAATAAATCTCAAAATTTGTGATGTGTTTCTTTCAATAATAGGCAGATGGCATATTATTAAATATATATACTTATAAGAGTGCACACAAAAATGAGTGACTGAAAATGAGAAGAAAAACTAATATATGTTAAAGGAAAAAGAAAAAGGCGAATTATATGTTATGGAATATGAAATGATATTTAATGGACAATTCCCAAGCAAAACGGCCAAATAAATATATATTTATTGATTGATTTCAATGAAAAAAACATGTACTTTAATAATAGTATAAATCACGTTTTTTTGCTGATTCGAGTAACAATCTTTCACCCAAAGCATGATCCAATTTAAAACATAGATAGAACAGGTATACTGTAGGTGTGCTTATGATAAATATAAAAATTGCGGAGAGAAGATAGTCCATACGACGAGAAACCTGAAATGAATATGAAAAGAAAACATAGTAGAGTCATGTCAATTCCAATTTATATGTAAATCAAACCTCTCCCCATTGTTCGGCGGTTGTATGAATATCAATTTTCCATTTGCCCTAAAACAAAAATCATAAATTTATCTCTGTGAGAGGAATACAAAGAAAACTGAACTGACATCAACTTCCACAAAAACAGCTTCGGCTTTTCGAATCAGCAAAACTTTTCTCATCCATTCAGGAGGCCCATATAACACATTTCGAAAACCCTAGAAATTACAAATTGAGAAGAGGCTTGGGACTTGTGAAGAAATTATACCTTTGCATGAACACGCATTACTGTAGATGTTAAAATTGTTGCAATCGTTACCATAATGATAATGAAATGAATGTAGACAACTGGAATTAGAAAAAATGTTTGTTATCCGTGGAAAAAGAGAACTTCTGTCCGGAGTATTCAAATTAAGTTACTATTTTGTAGATTAGTTTATTTTGTTTTTTACCATCAAAAAAGTTCTTCAAATAAAGATTAACGGTTTCCAAATTTTCTAAAACTTGTATTTTAGTTTCCGAAAATGACGTATTTTCTCCAGACAGGAAGTGTTTTTTACTCACTTAACAATGGAACACTTTCTGAACTATGCGGAACTTTTTCAGTGACAACCAACGATAAAACTGCCATACTCAAAATTGCAGTCACTCCGAGCGTGAATTTTTCCTGAAACAATTCTCTCCTCATTCAATACTCCTCTTTTCAAAAATCTACCTGTCTCTCATGTCTTGTTGAAAATCTAGCAAAAAGTCCGGCAATTGACAAAACACAAATGATATAACTCGGAACCACCAAACTTATCAAATAATAAAATGGTTTTCGTGAAACTTTGATATAATAAATAATTTCGGAAACAATTGTTTCTTCATGTTCATATTCTTTTCTAGCCATGTCCACGTCCTATATTTGAATATTTAGATAATTTTTAGAAGTTCTAACAAACCTTCAAAGCCCATTCCTCGTTTGGTGAATAATTTCTCAAAAGTGGCTTATGAGATGCATTCAGCATAATTTTGTCCTCGCTATAAGCCCAAGATGCAAACTGAAAGAATACTAGGATTAATTGAATTCGAAAATTCTCCACTCACCCTAATCTTGCAGACTTGATCATCAAACGGGAAGTTTGCAATTCCTGTAAGATTTTTCTATGTTCAAACTTGAAGACTCATGTAAGGTTGGGGATACTTGGCTTCTAGATCTCAAAAAGACCTTAAAGCCTGGGGAGCGAGTTATGAAGGCTTTTAGAAGCCAATTGTGTTTCAAGAACTTTTCAACAACATTTTTGAGAGAAAATATCTGTTCTTGATTCTCGGAAGCTATCAAAAACCAAAATCAATTTTCAAGTTCCAAGGTTTTTTCTTGTACATATCTCAAAACACATTTGCTCACCAATCGGACATAAAACCGTATAAATTGCTGGAAAAGCAAATGTGACTTCTCCAAGTGATGATACTTTGATCGGTGATCGAACAGCGGAAAGAAGTGCCTTGTGTTCGAGTCTGAAATGAAAAAAAGTACACGATTTTTAATGCGTTTTATTGATGTTGGTGTTAAGTTCATCTATGTGATAGTTTTTTTTTCACATGAAGAATTTAATGAAGGAATGAATCACAGAAAATGTGAGTAATCTTGATTTTGGTGAATGTGGGCAAATGATATATGTTTTTTAATAAAAATTTGGCATATCACCAAAATTGCCTCAATTTCTTTATTTGCGGGAGAAAACAGATGTGCAATTGTTCCGGTTAGAAGAAATATGGCAAGAATTTTCTGTTTAGTTTTGCTTCAAATTCATTCAGGGATTGGAAGCTTGGAGCAAATCTTATTTTGATTTTTTTGAGTTGCAATAAAATTTGAGTTGAGTTGCAATAATTCAAAAATTTCAGAATTTTATGTAATGAAACTCACGTATTGAAAACAATAATATCTGGAATCCATATCGAATTATCTGGGAGCCATGTTGTTCGAATATTTCCATATTCTTCAGGAACCCAAGTCAATGTCTTATCAATCCATTTCTGAAACAAAACCAAATTTTTTTCTCCATCTTTTTTCCTCAAAAAATGTTTTTCTACCTGTGTGATATAAACAACAACTTGCATATTTTGATTCAATTCATTCAGCGAAATAATTTGAACCAATTCAATGTTATGAGTTATATGAACAAGTCCATCAGGTGGTGAACATTTTTCATGTTTTTCCATCAAAAATTTAGTCAACATTCCAGAATAGCCATTTGTTACATTTTGATTCATTATAATTTGTGAATCCGCCAATAATAAAGTGCAATAACTCAAAAATAAAAAAAGAAAAATCATCTGAAAATAAAGCTATAAAATTAATAAATTTAAAGTCACAATGAGCAAAGAGAGAAATCTGTATGAAAAATCAAAAAGTGATGAGCTTTTTCGTTGTGTCACACAAAAACAATTAACGATGCTTCATGAGATCCCATTATCGAGTTATTGCCGTTGGTTTAAACGCACTCTTTTTCTCTTTGTCTTTTGATCATATCAGATAAATATTTGATTCTTTCTGCTCTTCATTTTGCTCACTTTGAAACATGGTTAATGGGTTTTTTTTGTGACATGAGAAATAGTTGAACAAAGAAGAAATGTGAGCAAAAATGATGATGTGGTTAATCCAATGGCTCATTTATTTATCCAATGGTCCAAGAGCAATTTTCATCTTTTTGAAAATTTTATTCTGCAGAAACGATAATTTTTGTCTTTTTTTCAATAAAAAAAATGAATCCAAACAGTTTTCAAAAAAAAAATCGGCCCGAGTTTTTTCAAAAAAAATCGGCCCGAGTTTTTTCATTAAAAAAATCGGCTCGAGTTTTTTCAAAAAAATCGGCCCGAGTTTTTTCAAAAAAAAAAACGACCCGAGTTTTTTCAAAAAAATCGGCCCGAGTTTTTTAAAAAAATCGGCCCGAGTTTTTTCAAAAAAAATCGGCCCGAGTTTTTTCATTAAAAAAATCGGCTCGAGTTTTTTCAAAAAATCGGCCCGAGTTTTTTCAAAAAAATCGGCCCGAGTTTTTTCAAAAAAATCGGCCCGAGTTTTTTCAAAAAAATCGGCCCGAGTTTTTTCAAAAAAATCGGCTCGAGTTTTTTCAAAAAAATCGGCCCGAGTTTTTTCAAAAAAATCGGCCCGAGTTTTTTCAAAAAAAACGACCCGAGTTTTTTCGTTGGATAAAAAAATCGGCCCGAGTTTTTTCGTTGGATAAAAAATCGGCCCGAGTTTTTTCAAAAAAAATCGGCCCGTGTTTTTTCAAAAAAAATCGGCCCGCGAATTCATTGAAAATTTTCAAATTTTGAAAATTTTTGATCAAAAAATGACTCGTGGCTAAATCAGCCCCCAGGCGGAACAATAGTTGATCAAAAAATAGCATTTTCTTTAGACCAATTCTTTTTTCTGAAAAAGGTAGACTTTTTTTCTCACGTCAAAATTTTTCATCGAGCATTTCTTAGCAAATTGATGGTCATTTCTTGTGTCAGAAATGGTAAAGTGGTTAGATCACGTGTTTTTTGTTCAGAAGGTCCAGGATCGGATCCTTTTGGACGTTCGCGAAGGTATGATTTCATAAAAAAAATCGGCAAAAATAGGAAAATGTCTATTTTGATGAGAACAAGGGGGACCCCATTGAAAAATCCTTCTTCCATCGAGACACCACCCAATCGGGATTTTATTAAAAAGGTAGAAAAACTATACAGTTGAGATATTGAAATGTTCGTCATAAAAAATCGATACTTTTTTTGATGAAAGTCACGTAATCTAGAATAAAAATGATAAACTTCCTTGTACTTCGATGATCTTTTAATAAATTCAACAAATACTTGCAAACCATTCCAGGGTTCTTATATCTTTTGAACTGTCTCATATTCTCGGTTCAAATAGTTTTCCTCTATCAATCTTTAGCTTTTTCTAGACACACATATTATTCTGTCACCTTTTCCATCTCGATTCACAAGTTTTTCTTCTTGCAAAAAATCGTAAAAATAGTGTTCACCCTATCTATCAATCTCGCATTGTTGTAAACTTGAACAAACTTTCGTCAAAAAAATTCACACATTTGCTTTTTTCTTTCGCTTATCACCAAAAAAGTGTTAAGCAATACATGAATGTTACGAAAGGAAACGAAGAAGAAAACAGCTACCAGTTTGTCGTAAATCAAAAATTGCCAATATAGAAAAAACAAAACATTTTCAAAGTACACTCAATTTTTTCTGTACCTATTTTTTGAGGTGAAGGTATTTGATGTTGATATGTTGTTTCAAACAACATTATGTTCCATACAACCACTCATAAATCAGTCTAGAAAAATCACCAAACATTTTCTAAAAGTCACAAGACCAGCCAGCCATCTACAGTATCTTTCCGTCGTTTTCTCATCGTTCTAAATATCTGTACTCAACGACAGAAAAAAACGAAAAAGAAGAAAAAAACTCGCATTTATCTTCATCGAAAATAAGAAAAATATCGTATGTGTGGTTTTCTCACCCATTCATTTTCTTTTTCGTCTTTGAAGATCAATCGGATACTGTAGTTGGACAAAAATAGATGTTTGATCTTTACAATAGTGAAAAATGGTGGAACCAGTTAAAATTGACTTAAAAGTGGGTGAAAAATGTTGAAGTTTTGATATTTATGATTGAAAAGTTGCAATCAATTCGAATTATGATTTAAAGATTGTGTTTTTTCTAGGAAATTCAACATTTTATTGGTTTTTTGGTTTTGCGAGTTTTGATTGAAATTGAAAATATTATTCTGAAAGTTGAAGACAAGAGACGGTAAAATTAATTGGATCAGGAAGAATTGAACTCTCGACTACCGATCTTCTCCAAACACACATTTTTGTTTGGCTGTTCGGCCAAAAATTTCGAATTCTCAAAACTTTGGAGCTTAATAATTCGGCTCATAGGTTCTAAACTTTGTAAAAAGCATCTCATTTGAGCATTTATATTTTATTAAATTCTGATAAACATTTTTAGAAAAAAGGTTTCTTTTTTTTCGAACTTGAATACTTTTTTTGCAACATTTGATGATAAATATTCAAAATGAACTATTAAAAAAATATGAATTTCAAAATACTGCCTGATGTTCCAAAAATCCAAACAAAACCAATTTCAATTATTGCATTTTCACCCCCTAATAGCTGTCAAACTCACACATTTTCCCTCAACCCACTACAAACTTTACACACACACAAAAAATGATTGAAGTCTCAAAAAACCATAAATTTCTTTGACAACATTCCTCTTTTATCAATGCATGGTTCAGAAAATAGAAGAAGACTTTAAAAAGTCACGACAATTTTTTGTTCAATCATGCCTGATTGGTTTGACGTTCAATGTCCGCCAATTAATGTTTTTTGTCAACCTTCGAAAATCGCGTATCATTTGCAATAAAGATTATCTTTGCAGTTCGTATTTATTCCAAAAAAAAATCAAAAGAAAAAAGAAAATGATTGATTATGTGGAAATTTTGTAGGGGGCTATAGATAAAAGCGAATATCACCGGATGTTTTTTCTTCCAGTAAAAAAATGAGAAGAAAAGTTTCTTTTTCTCTGTTAAAAGGTCGGAGATTTATTGGTGATAGTTAAACGATTTGAAAAATTGAAGAGGTCACAAAAATAAAATAAAACATTTTTTTATTTCTAAAAGACCAGAAAAAATGAGAATTTACGAGATTTTTTTCCATTTACTTGATTCAATTTGGTTTATTTTTTGTAAAGGGTTGGCTCTTTGGACAAAGCGAAAACCTTTTTTGTTCGCAAAAGAACACCCAGATAATTTGTTTTTTATTTAAATCTAAAAATATGTAACAACTTCAATGATTTTCTGATCTCCAGTCAGACATCGAACCGTTCAATCACTTTTTTTCTATGAAAGACACGACCAAAATGATATTTGATGAGGCGAAACAACCATCTCTGAGATAGCCATCAGTCACTTATTTTTAAAAGTGACCAGTTTATGAAACGGTCAAAAAAAAGTTGTTGAAAATTTGAATCAGATAAATGTTTTTGAGTTATTTATAGCCAATTATTTTCAAAAATGTATGATTCTGAAATATTCCAGTAAAGATGGCAGTTACGATAATAAGTTCCGGTTTTGAAAAATCATTTTTTTCCATTGATCAGAAAAAGGACAACAACTTCGAGATTATTTTTAGATGCCACGAATTTGTGCGAGAAACAGACTAGAAAGGTTGTGTCGAAAATCTTCGAACACAACGCATATCATTGTTTTTGTCTTATTTTGTAGTCTAGATATATCACACCTCGAGTACTCGTGTTCTCAAAATAGCCGAATTCAATGATGAAAATGATCTCAAAATAAACTCATCGACGTACACATGACACAATCACATTTTCCATCTCTTCTTCGAAAAAACCAAGACTTCATTATCATTTTTTCATTTCTAAACTACCGTATCTTTTTTTGATACTAGAAACATCAAACATCTCCACCGCACACTGGCTTTCAAAGCACAATTTTAGGAATTTGCAAATTTTTATGATATGATTTTCAAAAGTCGTTCTGACAAGTTTTGTAAACAGTCGCACCTTGGTACTTTGAACATTTGATGGTTGGATGTTCCTAAATTTAGAAAAGAGAACCTCGGAAATAAAACTTTTATTTCTCAAATTCAGATGGTGGTGAAAATGAATAATGACTAATTCATCACTCACTCAAAAACAACACCAAAAAACGACTCGATTTCTAGAAAACAGTAAAATTAATGATGTTCACGTCATTCCCTTGATGTTTTCCAATTTTTTCTGATCTTGCGCTACCTCAAAAATCTATGATCTTTTGTTCATTTTCTTCAAAGGTGTGACGAATTATCACCAATTCATATATTTATTATCATGTATGTATATACAAAAAACACATAGAAAGAATAAATAACAAAGGGGTTGGGGAGAAGTGGAACAAATAATTTTCGAAGAATATACAATGTGTTTTTTAAAGGTGCTGGTTTTTTTATGAAGGAACAAATAATTTTTGTGATAGTTTGTGTTGTTGTTTGATTGCGATGAAGAAGAAAAGCATGAGGGAATACTCTGAAAAATACAAGTGCTTGTTATTCCTTTAAATTTTGAATTGATTGTTATTGTTTTTGTTTTCAAAGTCAGAAGAGCAGTTGATGTTTGATATTGTGATCGCTGAAAAAAACTAAGTTTCTGATAAATATTCCCAAAAAGGATTTCCAACCAAAAAACTATGAGAAGTTTTACGGCCCACGCAAAATTTATGAAACTATTCAAATAAAACATGAAATTGTGTTATATTACGTGTTGATTTTTGATTTCAACTACGCGCAAACAATTCATCATTCTTCAAAAAAACTGTGAAAAAAACTTTGAAAACAGTTCAAGCTTTCGATTTGAATTCAACGAATTCTGAAACAATGGACATTTGATTTGCTTTGTTGTTTTTTTGTTTGTATTTTTTTCGAAACTGTTTGAAGTTCGCATGTTCTCACGAAATCTATTTGTATCACGAGTTGAAAAGAACCGAAAATGAACCACGTCGAAAAACGACAAAAATAGATTCATTGACTATCATTTAATGATATTTGTTGTTAAGAAGACATCTTCACCGAAAAAGGAAACGAAAAGAGGAAAGAAAAAGAAGAAGAAGAAGATGATGACAACAACACAATACATGATGGTGATGATAGTTCTGCCTGTGTACAGTGTCTCTAACTATAGCAGCGACCATTAGAGATCTCATCCATCTTTCTCCTTGTCATCTCCGAACAATTTTTCTATAGCTGATTCCATTTTTAGCAACAAACGACAATCTTCAAAGTTTGGCCTGAAGGGGCGGTCGTAACCAATAGAGATGGGGCGGGTCTTTGAGAAACTCTATAAAAGGGCGACGGTGTCCAAGAAATGATACGCAGTTTGCGAGATCAAGCAATTGAATCTAAACTGAATTCTAACCAAACTCAAAAACAAAATGAATACTTCTATCGTCGTCGCTCTCGTTTTATTTATCACCTTGGCTCAAGGTAAATTAACATTTTATTTTTTTTTTGAAACATATTTCTAAACTTTATTTTTTTCAGCCAACCCTGCCCGTGTTCGTAGAGATGATCGTGTCGAAAGATACTGTCAAAAACACGCCGAGCATTACACCAAATTCTGCCCAAACAAGGCATCAGTAATGGATCGTGGAACTTATGCTAAACTCGCTAAATTCTGCCCAGCTTTCGAAAAACATTGTGTTGTCGGAAAGGCTGGAACATCTGAATTGCCAGACATGGGAACTCCACTTGTTATGCCACCATCTCTTCCAAAAGGAAGTGACTTTGCTCTTCTCGATTTACCAATTGGAGAAGAAGCCAAACCACACAGAGGAGGAAACTCATTCAACCCACAATCCACCACTCGTCTTACTGCAGCCATCATCGCTTCATGCACTCCAGATTGTAACGCTGCTCATTGTACCGATGAATGCAAATGTGCTCACACTCACCCAAAAGTTCACCAAATGTGCAATCCACCATCATCTGCTCAAATGGCTGAAACTTGCCAACGTTGGTATGGAAAATGCACCATGTTCCAACCGGTGCAATATTAATTCGACAACTCAATATTTATTGGAACACTTTGTACATATGGGGCATATATATATTTTATTATATCAACTTTTTCTAATGGTTTCTCTCTCTCTTCTACCCACAAATTATGATGTTCGCAGCCAATTTCTATGCGTTCATCTGAGAAAATAATGTATTGCTCTCGATTTTGCTAAGCTAATTAAATACAGATCTCTAACATTTTGAACCTGGTTTTCCCTGATAAGCTTTGAAAATGGCTGTTTTTGCTAATTTTATACATATTTTTATGTGTGTCCCAACATTGTTTGTTTTCTTTTCTTTATTACCTGTATTCAGTGAATACGTGAATAAATGCTTATGAATCAATACTGTTTTTTTTCTGACATGAGAAGTAAAAAATAGAAAGAAAAACAATTTTCGAAGGTTGGATTACTGTAGAAAAAGTACAATAGACAAAAAATGTTGCGAAATGCTTTAATAACGTTTTTTTCTATAACGAAACATTCGTTGTTCGTCTAAAAGTTTTTCTTTATGTGAGGTTAATTTCTCAATTTTCTGATCATGATATTTTCTGAGGGGTAAAGTTTTTTGAAACTATTTGAGCCGTGGAAAAGAAAACCACCAAAATAGACATCTGGCGGCTTCTTTGATCTTTGGTATTGGAAGAAATGTATCGTTTCAAGAGGCACAACATTTTGGATTGGTAATAGTTTCATGAATATTTTGAGAGATAAACAAGTTTTGAAACTTTTTTGGGAATAGCTCAATGATGAGATTTTGTTTTTCCGTTTTCCGTGTTTTCCTTCTATTTGTGAATTCTGGTTTCATACACCTTTGAAACTCCAAAACTTCCAAGTTCAACTGCTTTTCATTCAAATCTAGAATCTTTTCATAAAACAGAAACATCAGCACCAAAACAACTGGACAGTTTCAATTTCAATTTCATTTCATTATTTCTTCCAAATACAAACTACAACAGAGAACACGCTCGCTTACATCATTTTCTCACCTTGTAAAAATTTCACTACTTCCGCACCCATTTTTTCTTCTGTTGTTCATTGGCAGAAAAAGCATACACATATGTTCAAACTTGTTTATTTATATATTTATTCAATTCATCATCTCACTATTTATTTATTTATTTATTCATTCATTTATTCCACACAAAAAAATCCGCTCAATGAAACAATCCATAAATATTTATTTTCTGGAATAAAAGTAACATTAAAAAATGATGGGAAAAGTGATTTTTTTTGGAGTGAAGAAGAGAACAGCAAAAGATATGAATGTATTTTTGGAAATAGACGAGTTTCCAAAAGACAACAATCTCTTCTTACAGTATCTTTTCTCTATCTTTTTTTTGAAGATTTTTGGAGATATCATACAACGAAAATCGGGTGATGTTATTTGTGCGTTACGGTTAGGCGAAAATAGATAATATAAAAAATGAGTGATATGGTTTTGTGGTTTATTTTTTATGACCTTACTATGATAAGTTCTATTTTGATGACGAAAAAAACAAAGATTATGAGTTTCAGAGAACTTTCAAAAATTGTATTTTGTGGACACCGAACACCACAAAACTCACAACAACAGAGCATATTTTTGCCGAAATATTCTATAGATTATGTTTTTTTTGAAGAATTCAAGTCAGAATTTGGTATAAAAAAGATACCAGTTCTATCGAAGCCTAAGCCAATTTTTGTATTCCCCGCATTTTTGAAAAAACATTGAAACTTTGACACATGAACGAAGTTCTCGAAAACTTCAATAAAACTCCAATAATTCTTCTCAATCTTTGCAAACAATCTTTCCGGTATTTTCATGATCTGTGAACATGTTATCTATCTATCATTCAAAAGTTTTTTTTTTCCGTGGAACTTCTAAAGATTCTGCAAAACTGGTTATAAATCAAATGAATTTTCAGAAAACACAACACTAAATTAATCTGACAATAACTAATAAATGAGACAAAAATTATGTATTCAATAAAAAATGGATTTGAATTAAAATGCAAATTCAAATCAAAAAACACTAATATAAACATGCATCTGGAGCAGAAAGCAAACATTGAAAAGTATAAAAATCAGGCTCACCGATCCAATTCCAGATTCAGATTCGATTTCGATTTCGATTTCTAATTAAGAACAAAAAAACAATTTGAAAATGTTCCGTTTTTTGGTTGCTCTTACTATTCTCTCCATCGTCACTGCTTCAATTTTCGAGAAAGATTCTGAAATTGAAACCAAACACGAAGTTGCCCTCGTTGGAGAAAATCAAGAAACTGGTCTCGCTGTCGGTGATTTTGACTTGGAAGGACAATCCGATGCATCAGGGGATGTTGTTATTCGAGCCAAAAGATATTATGGATGCGGTTGTGGATGTTGTGGATGTGGAGTGACTGCTATGGCTGTAACCGGAGCAGGATGTGGATGTGGATGTTGCGGTTGTGGATAATTTTTAATTTTCAACATGTATTGTATTGGTATTGGGTGAATTCGGGGTGTTCTATTTATTATATAAAATGTTAATAAATATTTATTTTATTTTAATTCTCACATCAGTATTTTTTTATTGGCAAGGAACTCAGAAAAGCTTCTAGAACTTTATCTGAAACCCATAAAGATACTTATTAGAAACAAAATAAGTTTTGAAAACCAAGGATTTATTCAAATTTCAAAGGTTTTTCAGATCTTAATAATTTTTGTTCTACCCAAAAAATTATGCGGAACCTTGTCGTTTTGACCGCTTTATTTGAAAGAGGATTAGTTTTTTCTGCAGCAGCGACTTTGTATGGAAAAATCCTCGTATTTTTTATTTTATTGAATTTACGAAGAAAACTTTTCTGGAAAAATCATGCTTGAAATTAATTTTGGTCTAAGTTATAGTTTCAATTCCTGAAAAGTATTCTATAAAAATCTAGTACAAATCAAATTTTTTGAATCAAAATATGTACACATCATTTTATAATTAGACACTAGACAAACTATTGCTCTTGACAGCCCAATCAAGCTCAAATTTCACAGTTCTTCACAGTGGGTGGTCATTCGACTTTTCATTCCCATTCCATTCCAATTAACAATTGTCTTTCTTGTAAGCAAATATTTCATTTTTGTTTTGTTTCGTAACGTTTTTTCGTCTCATCTAGGATAAGTGTAGTTAATTAATGATGAACAAGAACAAAAAAGAACTGTTGTGTGTCGGAAAAGCGCACGAACACTTTTAACTCAAAAAAGCAAAACATAGGCGCGGAGAGGAAGAAAAGGGCGCAGGTTTCTTTTTATTGGAAGACGGTCAAAAAAGAGACGAGAGTACTGTAAAGATAGCGAAAAAAAGAGAAAAAAGGGAAAAGTTGAGTGGATCGCGAAGAAGCTTGCCTTTTTGCATTCGCCCCCTACCAAACAAAGTCATATCCTTTTCTCTGTGCTCTCGTTTCTGTTAGATAGATTCTCAAGTGTTGTGTTTGATTGCACCAAACCAAGAAAACCATCCACTTTTGGAGATGACTTCTTGAGCTCAGGGGGGAACGAAGATGAAGAAGGAGGAGAGATGGTTCCAATGTTTTTCTTACCATTTGATGTATTATTTGTTTGTTTGAGATTTTTGTCGATTATTGTAGACTAAGAATATCGTTTTTCCGCAAAGTTAATCCGGAAAAAAAATGAAAAGATTTTCTGATCATTTTTTGTGAAGTGTGTTGTCATAGTTTTTGTTTGGTGGATTTTTATTGTGAATCACTTCCGATTTTTTTTTGTTTAGTTATTCATTGTTGTTTAGTCAATTGAAAGATGCATATTTAACTAACTAATATTACGTCAAATTTTTTTATGTGTTTTTGCCCAGTTTTTGAATAACAAAGTTTTTGGAAATGATATATTTTTTGATGTGAGTGAAACTCTTTGAGAATGTATTATATTTCTTACTTCTCAAGACTCTGTGAGTTAATTATTTCAATCAATAATTTCATACCGATATAATCTAGAAAAAAAAACTGATGCAAGTATTCTGAAATTAGCCAAATTATTTTAATCAGTCCAAAGTAAAAAAAACTGACCACACTGTTTAATTTGGTACTTCAAATTGTTAACGTTTTTCAGCACTGTAGTCAAAAAGTTCTGAATGTCAATTTTCAGCTAATATACTTTAATTTATTTTCATACAGCAATCTGCAGGTTTCGAAAAATTGCAAAATTATGTGAATCCTCAAAAATTCCCCTATTATTTTCACTTCTCTAGCAAACAAAAATCAGAAAAACATTGCCAATTAACTAAATCATCTTCGATCCCAATCCAAATCGCAAATTAAAACCAATCAGATTCTTAGCGCAAAAAAAGAAACACACAATCTGAAGAATTTTCTAATTATCCTAATATATTCTTTCTTTTTTTTGCATTTCCTTCCTCCTCATCCTTCACTATGAAAGTTGCTACATCTATATGTATATATAAAAAAATAATTACTCAAAAAATCATTTTTTTCTGTGAAGAGTACCGGTTACAAACAAAATTCTTTTTTTTTCTGTATATCTCTGTATATTCAAAAAACTCTGTTGTTTTGTTGTTATTCAAACATTTCTTTTGTTATTTTATTTTGTTTCCTTCCTTTCTGGATAGTTTATTCACATAAAAGGTATTTGCATTGTTTTATCAATCAGCAAAAAAATGTGCATGACCCGTATTTTTATATTGTTTACTTAATCGGCATAGTTGAAACAATATACTAGTTGCGCAGACAGTTTTTGTTTTTGGGTCGGTATATCATTTTTTTTTCTGTTTCTATTACAGATTATAGTGTATTAGCCGAGATATTTTTCTTTTTTTTTCATTCCGCTGACCAAAATATTATTCTCATGTTTATTCATAATCCTCACCACTTGTAATAAAAAACCCCTATAATTTTTACTACTCGGATAAAAAATGAGTAATATAAAATAAATCGATCAAAATCCCAGCCAAGCGGTGCCCGTTTGGCGCTAATTATCGTTCTCTTCCCAACCTTGCTTATTATATTTATTCGTGCGCGCTCTTTATTACCAGTTTATGAAAAAAATAATAATATACACCTGCCTGGACCACCCCCTTTTATTCCATTTTTGGTGATCTTTTTGTTCTTTTTTTGGGTGGTCGTTTTTTTTTTTGGCGGTTAGCCGCTTATTCTCATTAAATTAAATATTTTTTATTTCAGAGAAAAATATCCAAATTCTTTTGTGAATGTTACTGTTGTGCTCATGAAGAAGCAACGTTTTTATTTTGTATTTGCATTGCTCATATTACGAGGTTAGTTTGGTTTTGATGAAAAGAGTCGGATGACAACTTGAAAAATCACACACGATGAAAAGAAATACAAAAACAGAATTGAATTGTTTTAATTTAAAATCGTGAAGTTTTAAACAAATAAATCTTATTGTTTTGTTGAGTGATCAAAAGATCTGAATTTTTCATGATTCTCAAAGATTTGCAAAATAAGGGTTTTTGAAATATAAAAAAGTTTATTGTTAGACTACATTGTTGTTTATTTGATAAGATTTAACAAACATTTTTGGCGAACAATAGAAAAGTCAGAATTCTAAGATCAAACTGTTATTCGATCAGAAAATGATGTTTTTTTTGTGTCTCGTTGAAAATGAAACCGTTCAATCATTATTTCTCTCGCATCATCATCATTTTCATTTTCAAATAAATAGAAAAACGTCACCTATATACGACCTTGTCATCAATAATACCCCAAAAAACATAGAACAATATTTTTCAGGATTATGCGATCGTGCATGTAGCCGAAATACATGTTTAAATGGCGGAACATGTACAGTTAATGACGAAACACGCATGTTTCAATGCGAATGTCCGCTTGGATTTAGCGGTTTATTGTGTCAAGATAATTGCTCACTTCATTGTGTTTATGGAAGTTGTGTGAAGGGCACATTTGGTGACGAGCAATGTCAATGTTTTGATGGTTTGTGTTTTGACATTAGCCTTCGATAATTAGCTTGGCATCAGGAGTAGAGAGAATTTACCTCGGGTTTTTTTTCTTACAAAATAGCTCAATATTAATATTTTTTGAAACATGAAATCTTTTTTTTTCAAAAGACCTTTGAGGGAAAAAAAACTGAATTTAATCTGCGACCTCCGCCTCATCTTCCTAAAGTCTAGTGGCTATCAAAACAAAAATATTTTTCTAGGATGGATGGGATCACTTTGTGATAAATCAGTTGATGAAGAAGAGACTTGTCATCCGGTTTGTGGAATAAATGAGATTTGTGGAAAAAGAGATGGCAAATTTGTTTGTGAAAGTACAATTCCAATTTGTGATTGTCAAAATAATGGAACTTGTGTCACAGAAGGAGTGAGTTATAAAACTATTTTCATTAAAACATCTGAAAATTTTCAGTCTGATTTCAAATGTGATTGTACTTCTGGTTTCACCGGACAAGCTTGTGAGCAAGATGTGAATGAATGTGAATTTTCTGATAGTTGTAAGAACGGCGGAATTTGTGAAAATCTTTACGGAAGTTTCAAATGTCAATGTGCTGAAGGATTTTCAGGTATGTTTTTACAAACCATGAATAGAAAATTATGAAAAAAAAAACACTGTTCAGGTCGTATTTGTGATAAAGTAATTATCAAAGCGTGTCCTCTAAACTATTGTGAAAATCAAGGAGAATGCAGTTCTTCAGGAATGAAACTCATTTGTAATTGTCCACCAGGATTTGTTGGCGAAAGGTGTGAACAAGCGAATTTCCCCGACACATCAACAAAAGCAAATGAAGAGAAACCGCTTTGTAAATGCGATAATCCTCTACACGAATGTCAAATGATCAATGGTACACCAAAATGTGCCTGTCCAGCTGGATGGGTTGGTGAAAATTGTGACCAACAAAAACTTCGGCCTTGCGATAAGAAACCGTGTGAAAATGATGGGCATTGTGTTGATGATGGGCAAAATCTTTTCACCTGTTTTTGCTTACCTCAATGGACTGGAGATAGTTGCAGTGAACCAGTTGAATGTTTAGTAAACGGGAGAACCTGCGAGAATGGTGGAAAGTGCGTTTTTTCGATCACAGCTAGAACAAGTTGTGAATGTGAAGATGGTTTCGCTGGAGAAAACTGTGAAAAATCAACAAATTTGGTAACAACAACTTCGCCAACGTGTAGTGATATCAGATGTCAGAATGGAGGTTGATTCAATAATATTTTTTGAATTAGTAATATCAAGATTATTTTCAGGTTCTTGCAAAATGTTAGCATCTGGCGAAGCAACTTGTGAATGTTTGGATGGATTTGAACCACCACTTTGTGAACCAAAATCTGCATGTTCTATAAATCCTTGTAAAAATGGTGGAACTTGTCAAGACGCAGACGGACAATATTTCTGCCACTGTGAGAATGGTTTTGAAGGTGTTCATTGCGAATCTTTCGCTGAATTGACAACTTCAACCGTTTCTCCAACTTCAGCAGTCCTAGAGCTGCCAGAGGAAAACGTGAGTTGCTTATTTTCGGTTTTTTTTCCTCAAACAAACTTTTTTCAGGATCTGACTTGTGATGATTGTCAGAATGGTGCAAACTGTTTGGATGCTGAAACTGGACCACTATGTATTTGCCCAAATGGATTTTTCGGAAGCAAGTGTGATCAGAAATATAATGTGAGTTGATTTGTGAAAAGTGGTTCTCATCCCAATTATTTTTTTCAGAAATGTTCAAGCATGACTTGCCCAACTGGTCAAAACTGTGTTCATCAATTTACTGGCTCTCAAAACATATCAGCTCTTTGCAGTTGTAATACTGGACGTTTTGGGAAATCTTGTGAGCTTGAAACAAGCGCTACTTTTGCTTCCAAAAGTTTATACATCCACCAGAGCTCAAAATTCTCATTAGGAACTTCGTCATATGACAAATTATCATATGAACTTGAATTCTCTTTCCGAACCACTGTTGAAAATACACATTTAGCAAGCAGTGAGAATATTTTGGGCGAAAAGATTCTCTCAATTCATTTATCAAATGGTTTTCTGATTTTTAATATATCTGGTGAGAATTTCGATGGTATTCCAATGAAAATGAATGATGCAAAATGGTATTTAATTGAAGTGAAAAGTCAAGAAAATGTGAGTTTTTCTTCAATTTGCAAAACAATCTTCTAATGTTTTTCCTTTATAGAAACTCGAGGTTGAAGTCAAGACAGAATATGGATTTTCTTTGATGAGGAAACAAATTCCTGTAGGATTGGAAGTATTTTTGACAAGATTTGGAAAGATTTCGGCATCAAATTATTTTATCGGATGCTTAGCTGATGTTCGAGTTGATGGAGAATTGATAATCTTTTCCGATAATCAAAGAGCTGTCGAAATTCGAAAAGGTTGTACAAGAAGTGAGCAATGTTCTCGAGATTATTGTCAAAATGGTGGAGAATGTGTTGATCATTGGGAAAGTTCAAGTTGTAAATGCAAAGCGCCATTTCTCAAACCCACCTGCATTCATTCGTTACCAAAAACCACATTTGGACATTCAGACCAGCCATCAATTGTGCATTTAAGGTAAATTTACTCAAGACCCTAATACATTGTCTATAATTATCTCATCCGTTTTCTTCAGCACAAGTGAGTCGGAAAACCACCTGCTACGTAATGAGATCGATTTGAGTTTTCTAATGCGCTCGAGAAAATCGGATGCATTTTTGTTGTATTTGGGAGAGAAACAACAGCAGACACAGCAACCGAATAGTGCAGATGTTTTAACTAATTATCTCGTTGTCAAGATTGTCGGTGGACTAGTGACAGGTAACTAAAATGAGACATAAGAAAAGAAAGAGGACGGGAAAGGATTAACTGTATTATTTTTCAGCGCGTTATCGAACGGGAGGACGGAAAGAATTAGAAATATCAAGTAAAAATCGAGTTGATGACAATATTGAACATCACATCAATATTCGAATTGATAGAAATCGAAGACAGATCAAAATTGATGATTTAGTTGAAACTGATGAAATCATATTTTCAAGAATGTCTCAAGAATTTTTCGTTGATGAAATTCTTATCGGATCATCTGTTGATACTGATGCTGATTATTTCAAGGGATATCTTCAAGATTTGCAAATTAATCAGAAGTCTGTGATGATTCATCCAACAACTTTGAATGTTGATTCATTTGGAAAAATTGAACGGGTCACTAATATTATTGAAGGTGCAATTTCTGATTCAGTGTGCAATAACTCACTTTGTAAATATGGAGAGTGTCTTGAAAACTTCAATGATTTCACATGTAAATGCTCGGAAGGTTTCACTGGCCCACTATGCGATAAAATTGATTTCTGCAAAGATTCAAAGTGTCTAGAAGGCTCAACTTGTGAAAATTCCAATCTTGGATACTATTGTACGTTATTTTTTTTTCTATTTTTTTCACTATCAAGTCATATTTTTCAGGTGTCTTCCCGATTAGTTTATCAAACAATAGTCGAATCAAATATGGATTATCGTCGAGAAGTAAAATTCCACAAATGAATTTTTCAATCAGAACACATTCTATAAATGGAAACATTTTTAAATTGAACGATTTGATTGTGAAAATTGTTAAAAGAAGATTGCTCATTTCAAACATGAAAATCGATTTGATAGTTTCTGATGGAATTTGGCATCAAGTTCAAATTTCTCCTCATAAAGTTATTGTCGATGGAAAATCATTTGGTGAGTGAATGTAGATATGATTTCATTAACTTGAAGATTTTTCAGTCTCTCAAACCCAGCTTTATACTCAAGAGAAGAAACTCGAATCTATATTGCTTATTGGTGATAATGATCCAATTATTGGATGTATTGATGGATTTGTAATTGGAGATTATCCGAAACTCTCCTTCACAAAACAGAAAATCCCAACATCTGTAGAAACCTGGATGATGTTGGAAAAAACATCAGTTGGTACTGGATGTTTGTCTTCAAATCAATGTGGAATTTATTCAACTTGTTTGAATGGCGCAACTTGTGTAGATGCTTGGAACAAACGAAAATGCCAATGTTTGCCTGGATTTGGAGGAGATAATTGTGAGATTAACATCAATGAATGTCAATTTATGGATTGTGGAAAACACGGATACTGTAGCGATTCTATCAATAGAGCGAAATGTGTTTGTGATCAAGGTTTCAGTGGGGATTACTGTCAAATTTCTGATGACGAATGTGAAGGTATCAAATGCCATAATTCTGGTCGATGTGTGAAAAATGATAATAATGCAGTTTACTGTAAATGTACATCAGAATGGATGGGTCAAAATTGTAATATTTCGATGACAAATACTTGTGATAACTCACCTTGTCAAAATGGTGGACAATGTTTGCAAAAGACTACTGTAAGTTTTTCAATACCAAAAGTAGAATTAATTTTAAAAAACCAAATCATTTTTAGACGAGCTTTGAATGCAGTTGTATGCCTGGATTTATTGGGGAATTATGTGAACACAATTTGGCAAATGACTGTGATCATAAAGATTGTAACAGAGGTCATTGTGTTATGACAGTTAGCGGACCAGCTTGTCAATGTGATTTTGGATACACTGGAAGATTCTGTGAAAAACTACTGAACTCTTGTTCGAGCAACACTTGCAGCTCAAGAGGATCTTGTTTATCTGTTTGGAACTCTACAGTCTGCCAGTGTGATGAGAAATGGCGAGGAAACACTTGTCAACATCCAATAAATTCTTGCTCCGAATTCCCATGTCAAAATGATGGCGTTTGTTCAAACGAAGAAAATGATGAAAGTAATTACAAATGCAATTGTCAAAAATATTATCTTGGCAAAAATTGTGAGCAAGAAGGAAGTTGTTTGAGAGCATCTTGTGTTAATGGAGAATGCATACAATTATCAGCTGATCATCATACTTGTAGCTGTAATATTGGTTATGAAGGCGATTCTTGTGATGTAAGTTCCAAATAAATACACTCCTCTTACATAATCAATTGATTTTCAGAAACGAATTGATTACTGTAAAAATGGTCCTTGTATCAACAACGGAATCTGCGAAAATCAGTTAACTGGTTATAAATGTCAATGCCCAGCTGGATTCGAAGGCTCAGACTGTGAAATCAATATTGATGAATGTGCTCTAGGATACTGTAAAAATGGTGCGAAATGTCGTGATAAGATAAATGATTTCGAATGTATTTGTGATAACACAGGATATCAAGGTGAGTTGAAGATCAATTTAAGAAGGGCTGGTTCATTTTGAATATTCACATAATCCCCGTTTCTAGGAAGAAATTGTACAATCGATATCAATGAATGTGAAAGTGCTGACAGTTGCCTGAACGGAGAATGTTCAAATACTCTTGGAGGATATAAATGTGCATGTCGCAGCAATTTCATTGGCCCCCGATGCTCCTTAAGAAATCCTTGTTCAGCTCAAATCACATCGAATAATATTTCTAGTATTTCCTGTGTTCATGGAAAATGTGTCAATCCAGTTGTCAAAGTGAGTTCCTCTTACTAGAATTAAAATAATTTAATTAAAAACAATAAAAATATTTCAGATTGAAAATAACCGCGAAGTTGCGAGATACGAATGTGCTTGCGATCGTGGATATACTGGCCCTAATTGTTCTCAAAAAATCAAAGAAGCTGCAATGTCAAATATCAGTTATCTATTCGGCCCAATTGTTGCAGTTGTGATAGTTTTTATAATTCTTGGATGTCTTTTATTGTTTTTCGTTATTCGTGGAAACAATTCAATGCATGGTCATTATAGCCCAAGTTCACATGAATTTAGTCAAACAAGAGTTGGAATGCCGACAGTTATTAAATTACCACCTCAAGAAAGATTAATTTAGACATTATCCAATTGCTCATTTCCGCATTTTCTCTACTTACCTTGTTTTTTTCTTTCATGTTTTTCAATTTTCTTTTTGTCAAAACGGGTTATTATTGTGCTCTTATTAATTTATTGTCTTTTATGTACCTATATAAATATTTTCACCTCAAATATTTCTAACAGTAAATGTCTACAAAGAATTGTTCTTATTTTCAATCTGTGTAGTCAAATATTGTCAAAAACACCGGATGATTTGAATGATAGAAACTAGGAATATCTATACATAGCGAATGAGTTTTCAACGAGAAAAGTTCAAAATATATAAACAAAAAGGGGCGTCAAAAGTTTGCGTGGGTGATTGATTTATTGGAAGCTGGTTTAGAAACTTGGAAATGTTTTATGAACAAGCAGATGTGGTTTTGCGACAATTTATGGAGGTTTGAAATGCAACTTTGTTAGGAGAAAGAAACGAGTTGATTTATGTCCAGGAATATGGTATTGGCACGCTGTCAGCTAGTTTGAAGAGATTTAGAGAAAAACAGTTCAAAAAAATATAAGAAATTTCGAGTCTGAAAATCCCCTGAATTTGGTTGAATTATTTGCTTTCAAAAAAAAATAGACATAAGTTATGCGCTTTCAAAAATTGATGATTCAAAATATATTTTGAAAAAACATCAGACTGAAGCACGATTTCAAATATATAACATAATGTATTAGATTCTTCAAAAGTTATTGTGAAATCTGTTCTCACACAAGAACCACCGAAAACAAAGATTTGCCAATGTTTACACAAGACAAAAAATATTTGCAGTTTCACTTTCTTGTATTTCTTATTGTGAGTCGAAGACGTTTTTCCATCACTACATATTCTTCCAAATATCAAAAAAAGCTGAGCACCATCAAGAAATATTTCATTTTGAAAATATTTGTTTTTTCTGACATTGAGTGACCCCAATTGTTGAATTTTCCGCTATTCTCATTTTTCAAAAAATGTTCCTTGTTCTGTTTCTTTTTGTTACCAAAGATTTTTCCAATAAATATGTATAGTATTCATATAAAAAAAGGGTTTTCATTCAAAAATTGCGGTTGTAAGGGTTATAAAAAACTGATTAAAACAATAATGTTAATATATTCATTGGTTTTGTGATAATTTTACGATGAGAACCGCATCTACCATAATCAAAAAAAAATAGTTTTTTGGAGCACTAAAAGTTGTGTATTGTTCCTGTATTACTTGCTATATTTATATTTCTAACTTCTATATTATTCCACAACAATTTCCGGCGAAAAATATTGGCCAATCAATTCGCTTGATACTCGACTGGCCAGATTTTTTCGCTCGAAATTAGAAACCACATTTTTCTGGTCTACAAAGTAGCAATACATTTTACAAATCATAGATGTATTGCACTTTTGGAGGCTGGGAAAATGAATGAAACCGTTTTTTCAGAGAAAACTGTGACATCAGACAAATATTTGTGATAGTTTGTGAAACCACATGTCCACAAATCCAACGTCACTAATTGGAACAACAATATCAAAACCATAAAACCTGTATGAATTTGATATATTCAGCGAATTGCCTACATATCCTACAACGTGTCTCTTGACTATAAAAAAGACGCAAAGCAATGATCATTTGTTCATCTTATCAATGAATTTGCAGATTTTCATTTTTCTCGTATTCCTCACATTTTCACTGGTTGAAAGTGGAAAATTGAAATATTATCGCTGGAAAGTTTCGAGTTCTTCAATCTCTAGCGGAGAAATAAGAAAATATGTGAGTTTTCATATTTTGATTTTATTTTCGAAATGTATATTTTTCAGTACCGTAATGCGTATAGAAATGGTTTATATAATGTGATGCCTCAACAACAATATTATAATTATTATGGTTAATATTTTTGATTTTGTTAAAAAAATGATTTTTTTGAACATTTCTGTATCCTTAAACAAACAAAAAATAAAGCGGAAGGATCAAAAGAAATGTGTTGAGAAAAGTTTAGCAGAAGCGCGTGATGGCGGCAAACGTTTTTTGATTCTAATTGTGAACTGGGAAAGATAGGTTGAAGTTTAGAAAAAATTATCCAACATTTGAAATTACATATTTGAAAAATCACAATTTTCCAATCTTCTTCAGGTATTGCAAAAGATCCACTGATTAAAAAGGATTTTTATTGATACATATTCCATTTGAATGTCTTTTATCTGTATTTTTGGAATTTGTATCTGTGTTTTCTGAACTCTGAGTACTGACATGAGAACTCATTTTTCTTGCTATCCACACTTTCCAGTTGTCTGATTTTTCAAATAGTTTTTCATTGTTTTTTTTATTTTCAATAGTAAGTTTTTTCTTCCTCCCATAACAGTTCTTCATCCAAAAACATTGGTTAACAAAAATCGAGCATGCTAGTTTCTAGTCAACACTCTTCAATTCGAGTTGACGCGAAATAGCTGCCCGATTTCGGTTACCAGATTCAAATATAAGAAATTAGTTTGGTGTCGGTTGAATAAGAGAATAGTGAGAATGACTCTGTCCGAGCGCGCGCCAAAAGAAAAAAGTAGGCGTGACCTGTTGAGTCATAATGTTCTTCTTATTACTGAGAAAAAAGTTGATGTGTCAAAAATCGTATAGGATCAAACAGGAGAAGCGAAAGAATAATTAGCGCTAATTGGAACAGTTGAAGCCACAAAAAATTTTGAAATGAGCAGCAATCAATCAACACATTCAATGAAATTAAATAGTTTTGTACTTTTAAAACAATAATTGCACACATTTGAAAATCGAAAGTACATATTTTGCAACTTCCAAACAGAGAAACTCTACTGATTTTGAAATATAATATAAAATCGCAATTGGAACGATCTTCTAGTTAAGTTAATTATCATAAAAGTACCGCAATTTTAAGTAAGTTAGCTAACTTAATTCCATCAAGGTGAAAATTCAAGTTTTCATTATCCAAAACTCATTTCAAAAAATTATATTATATGTTAAAGTTTGGATTCATAGCTCTCTGCAAGATATGCGACGCCCTTATTAATTATGTTACAGCAATAATAAATCACATTTTTTCAAAAAAAAAAAGATTTCTTGCAGAACAATTATAAGTATATGCGTTTTTTATTCGAACATCAAGAATTGTTGTGAGTCTAAAGTATGAAATCTAAAATTCTGCGCTATTAATTTTTCATGTTAATACAGAGAAATGTTCAACTGAACATGTCCGATATAAAAGTCTGAAACTTTCAGACATATTATTATATTTTACAGCGCATTTCAGAAATTCCCACGGTTAATTTTCGCTAATTGAAAATATAACTTCGAAAATAAATCGGGATTTCACACGATCCAGTAATTCAATTAGAAAATTAGATCTCTCAACTAAATTATGTTTTTCCCATGAAAATTGACTGTTTTAGTGGGTATATATATGTATTTTCAAATGCATGTTCTATTCTGCAAAAATTCAATTCTGACTTTGATTTGCTCTTTTTCCTTTCTTGCTAATTTCTCATGTACAATTTTCCCACAAAACAAACATAAACGTTTTGATAAAAAATGTTCTATATAGTTCATCTCAATTAAAAGTTTCGAACCATCTCGAATGTTTTGAGAGAACGCTATCAAACACGCCCATTTCACAAAAAAAACTCATAATTGCTTTACAATCCTTCATTTCATTTGTTTCCGTTCGAAAAGACACATTAGTTGCTACTGTTGCTTTTTTATGAAAAAATGATATTCTACTTCTATGTACTGAAAACCAGTTGATGGAAATTGAAGACCGGCTTGATGATGTTTGATTCAATTCCAAACATTTTCAGCGGATCTCAATTTCCATCGAATTGATGGATTTTTCAGCATTATTTCTGGATTATTCACAACTATGTAATATTTTTCTATATTGTTATATTTATTATACCATCAGCTAACATAAAACGAGATTGAGACTGTCATTTTGATCGTTTCATAAAGTTCTAAATGCAATCTTAATCTCGCTTTTTGTTCAGGTGACACATTACAGTTCTCAAAAAGTAACATTTCCCTTTTTGAACTGGTAAAGTAATGAAAATTGTCTGTGTGTTAAACTGAGAAGAACAAATAATGTCCAGATTACTCATATTCGAAGGTACGCCCAGTTTCTGCAAACGTCTTCAACTCATTCATGCACTTTACTAGAAGTTTCTATATTTATAAACACTGCATTTCAAAACTGATGAATTGAATGAATTCCGATGCAAATTTTAAAGTATCTGAATCTTATCAATTCGTCAGTTTTGGAAGTCGGAATAGTTTTCTCAACTAACCAATTTTTGAAGTAAAATACAAATCTTTTCTAGAAGATTCCGATGACTTTTCTACTACATCATTCCCATGACCAACAAATGTACTTTTCTATGACTTTTTGCCGACTTTTGTGACTCAACTTTTTGGGAAACGCTAGCTTCTTTGTTATAAAGAAATTTTACTTTGATACTAAAGGGCATTTGTCTAGGGAACCCACTAAAATACCACTATAATCCTTTTTAAAAATTTCCATTGGTATTCTTCACACCTGCTATAAAAATGATGTGACCGTTGAAGGTTATTCTGCAAAACTTTCTTTTGTTGAAAAACCCCATTAAAAATATTACTGTAGCTCAATATCAAAATATTTTCGATAATTTCCTCAAACACCTGCAGTTCTATTCAAAAAATGATGATGCAATTGTGTTTTAAGAAACACGTGCAACAAATTTGAATCTAATAAGATGCAGGTGGTGAATATAATGGTCACGATGATAATTTTTCAAGGTTAACACCAAAATTTGCAGCCATAAAGAGCTCAAAGTCCAGACTATGCTCTAATGGGCGGTTAGATCTTCTTCATTGCAAAAAAATGTATAGTTTTATTTTCAATTTATTATTCTTACTTTGAAACCGGCCTTATCCCCGCGTTCTAAAAACACGGAAGAAGTTTAGGCTCATAAATCCATCAACGTTTCTGCGCGAAAAGAATAAATATTGTAAAAGTTCGAAAGATTTATTATTTGGAGCAGGTGCTCATCAAGCTCAAAGAGGTGTCAGTAACAACAAACCAAGTTGATTTATTATTTTTTGTTTCAAAACTTGGAACACAAAGTACGGTAGCAAAGACACATTTCATTTATAAAAAAACTATTTTTAGAAGTGATATCTTTAAATTTTGGAACGTTTTTCATCGATAATTAAATTTGGAAAACAAATACAAAAATATTCACGTGTTTTTTTAAACACGAACTTGAACTGACAATTGTTTACTAAAATTTTTCCTTCTATTTCAATTTCCCCTGAATACCTGTGAATACTGCTCTAAAAATCTTTCCAGGCGATATGATTCACGAAAGTCGTAAGCCTTTTTTTCATATTTTCCGGGTATTATAAAATTATTAGCGTGTAATTGTCACGCAATATATCTGATAAAAAGTCTTTCTCGCGTTTCCTCCATTTTTTTTGAAAATTCAAATCGCGTGTTTGGAGGCGGTAACCAATAAGATGTTTTACCGAAAAGGGCGGGGCTTATTTTTCGGTTTAAAAACCCGAGAAAATTTATCATCATCATTCAGTATCTCTTATATTCAACAAAAAAAGACCATAAATGTTTTCAAGCTAATCGGATTTGATACAAGCTAGAAAATGCTTTTATCACATCCCATTTGCTCGAAAATCTTTGTTGGCTATTTTTACTTGCTATTCCTAGATTCTGTGTATTGAGAAAGTTCGAAAATTTTTCGAATCATAAACACGCCACACTTGAATTGAGTAAAAAGTGTGAGTACGTTTTTGAATCGGAAAATTTCTCTGAACTTGATTTGGAATGATAGCAATAGATTTATTAACACAAATCTTTATTGGTTCGAGAATGAATTCAAAAAAAAGAATGGAACAGTGTGACATCAAAATCTAACAAGAAAACTACGCAAAAAAATAAGTTGGAAGGAAAAAGAAAAAAGGACAAAGAAAAAAATTGTTAGACATTTATGGTCAAGCTCGTGATCTGCTTTTCCAAAGCTGCGATTTGTTTTGGTTGTGGGATGATCAAAATTGTGCAGAAACAGATGAAGAAAACAAGGAACAAGGTGATAACGATTCTGAAAGTTGAAAATTCAAAGAAAAAATTTCAAAATTTAAACTCACAAAACAAAGACATGGACAGTGTTCCAATATTTGTTGAGTTTATCACAGCCGCAATAAATAGTAAAACTAATGTCAAATCCTTCGAACACCATGGAACCACTAATTTCGGTTGCATTTCTGCACAAATCGCCAACTCTGGTAATACTTTCGTCGAGAATCATTGACTCGTTTCGTTTTTCCATTTGCTCCCATTTTTCGGCGCTTTGAGCTGTGGTGCAAATAAAAACATTGATATCATCCGGAATTTCGAAGTCGTCTTGATGAAGAATTGTGTCAACCAACAAAACGTTGATCAACTCTTCGGTTGTCAGATCAGTGTAGTTTCTTGGAATGGCTGATAGTAGGGGAAAAACAAAGAAGAAAAGCACAAGCATGGCGCGGCAATAACTGAATGAAGGAATTCATAAGCTTTTATAGGGATATGAACCCTTTGTTTGAAATCAAAATCATATATCATCTGAAAACAAAGAAATCTGCTTAAAATTCATTGAAAAATTCTGGTTCCGGTTACGTCAATCACGTGTTGGTATGCAAATTTTTCAATTCTTTTGTTCTTTCTTGTTTTTTCTGTGATTTATTGCAAATTTTTGTTTGAATTTTTGAATTTCTACTATATCTTTAAAACATTTTCTTTTTTTCAATACATAGTTCCAATTTAAATTTTTGAATGTGTCTAGTGTTTTAAATACACAATCTTTTGATTCTTACACAAATAATTATTTCTCATTAAAACAGAAAAGTTCATTTGTGTCATTCAATAATTGCTCCATTCAAAGCAAACAAGACAAATTTCTTCCAACTGTTTGTAATTATGTATTTGAAAAATAATTTTATTGAGAAAAAAAAATAATTTTATTGAGAAATTTTCATTCAAAAATATCACCATGTGCAAATTGTTCTATAGGATTTCGTGTCAATCAATTGTTCTAATTTATTCTTGAAATTAATGATAACAATTATTTGGAATGTTGATTTAAATTAATCAAAATATTTCTGAAGTCATGTGTTTTCAATGATGCATCAAAACAATATTTGCTTCAAAAAGTGTCGTGTTTTCAAAACTCGTCATATTGATAATGAGATCGATTCTAATTCTAACTGTTGTTGTTGCTTCCGTCAGTGCTTTGCCAACCCTTTTGAAACAACCAATAGAGTTGAGAAAAATATCATATTTTCCGAAACTACCGCTAGGCTTACCTTTCGGAGGTGAAACTCTACCAGGAAAAATAGGAGGGGAAAAAATTCAAACACAGACTCAACCTGAAGATTCAAGCGATGAAGACTCAAAAGATAATAATAATAATAATAAAGTGAATCTCAATATTTTTATGAATGGAAACAGTGGAAACAGAAATGGTGACGGGTAAGTTAAACCATTAATTTTTCTTGAAACAATTTTTGAAGAGTATCCAATTCGGTTGTTGTGAACTTCAACTTCAATGAACAAAATAACAGTGAGCAAAATAACGATTCTCTTGAAACCACAGATGGAAGTGCTGCAAGTGTTATTGGAAAAGCAATTGATGCTGCAAAAGATAGCATGACTTCTATAAACTCGACTTCATTTGATGATTCGGAATTTGGAGAGGTATATCATGTAACAACAGCTTTTCCCGAACTGGAATAAATTACTTTCAAACTCATTTCATATTTAAATAAAAAATCCACATTGATTGTCAAACACTGTTTTATAACAAAAACATAAAAAACATTCTCAACAAGTCCAGCGTAATCTGAACTCAGACAACATTTTTGTGGAACAATAATTTTATCAACAAAAAATGTATTCCAAAGAAGATATTGCATACGGTGTGAAACATCTGGTATTGTTCAAACTTATAAGATAATTTCAAATGGCAAATATTTATGATTCATGAAAAAAATGAAGTTCTCCAACTTGTTGTTGAGCCGATGGTTCTTCTTGCTCGTTTTCATTGAAAATTAAAATCGATGAAGTAAAAAAAGTAACAGTTGTTATGGTAATCGCTCAACTTTGTATAGAAAAACATAGAAACTCAAATTTCGATTACATTTTTTCATCTGGTTCAAATATTTTTTTTTCTTATTATGTGTGAGTTTATTGTACCAATAGCCTAACGAAGTTTACAAGAATTTATTTATCATGAAAAAATATTATACACATTTGCATAATCATTGCAAAGGATAATGTTTATATCCTCCTAGTGCAGGTATTCCGGGTAGAGATATTCTGGGTACATTATTCACAGGTGACCCAGTGATAGTAAATTCTGGCTCTACTATTTCAGCCGATTCTTCCTTTTCTTCTTTGTTTTCATTAAAATTGAAATTGACGACGACTGAGTTAGAAGATCTAGAAAGATTTTATTAGGAGTAATTACGAATGTATCTCACTTACGCCTCTGCTGCCCTACTTCCACTTCCTCCGTTCATATAGATGTTGAGATTCACTTTGCTGTTTTTTTCTTCGCTGTCGTCGCTATCTTCTGATTCATTTTGATTATTTCCAATTGAACCTGTTGTTCCTTCCAAGACACCTCCTGGTATTTGTGGTAGTCCGAAAGGTATGTCATCTGGGTCAGCAGTTGTTTCGGAATCCCAGTCCGGGAATGTCGGAATTCTTGGGATAGAAATTGGCAGAGCGTTTATTGTCGCAAGTGCAACGATCAGAATAATAATTGATGACTTCATATTGAATTCAATATTTTTTATTCGACTCCTGCCAAAACTTTTTATATCAAAATTTGTTTTGATTTATCAAAAAAAAAAACAAATGACTAAAAAAATTGATTTGGATTATAAAATATTTATCGCGTCAAATGTATTGAGAAGAATGAGAATGTTTTTGAATCAAAATATATTTCTAATTAGCACAACCATATTTTCCTTATGGATGTTTTATAAACATAAAAATTTCTTGAAATCATGTGATGAATTAAAATAAATGTTCCTTTAGAAAGTCTTCCATCTTGGAATAATCATTGAATTCATTATGGACTTATCAATTATAAATCTTATCGCTACACTCGCCACACAATCAAAGCTGGTGGCGAGTATTCTAACGATGCTCAACAAGTGAATTCCAATCAATTTAAGACTGAAATTTTCAAATTTGGCTCGAAAAAAAGAATTTGAAAAGCTTCCTGATAAATTTTGTGCAAACTGATGAAAATAAATAAATACTTACTCGCATCATCCTTCAATTTCCATTCATATGCGAATTTCTGACTCATATCCACATGTTTCCATTACTAAATATTGTTGTTTGATGCAGTTTGTCCATATAAAACCAAAAAAAAGAAGATTCATCGTTTTTTCAACAAAAAAAAAACGAACAAAAAATAAAAATAGCAAAAAGGCGCATGTTCGCCCTGTTGACAAACGTTTTTTTCTCTCAATTATTTCGTCATTGTCGTTGCGGGAGAGTATATACATAGACGGGAAAGGAAGTGGTTAGAGAAAGAGAGCAAAGAAAAGGCCGGAGGATATTATTCTCGCACACTGTATTATTTTTTTTCGGTGAGTTAGTTTTTTCTAGTTTGTATTAGTTGGGTTGTGAATTATCTTATTATAATGATTTTACATTATTTCAGGAGTTCTTCAAATGTAAATGGAATGAAGAAATCAATCGACGAAATCAAGATTTTCCTCCTGGAAACAACAAATTATCCACTTGCAATGAAAAGAAATCATTCAAAATGAAAGCCATGATCGAAGGAACATTTGGGCGAAAAATGTATTCGAAATCTACATATAATTATGGGAATTGAGTGGAGCGAAGGTAATTTTCCGAAGATTTTATAAGAAAAACATCATGAATATTTTTAAGAGTTCTTCGCAACAACAATTCAACAAATCAACATGTTCTACCTGGAAGCAATGAAGCATTCGTTTTATGCTGCAAAAATGCTTGGAACGCCGAAAATGAAGACGTGCTAAGCAATTCAACAAATCACGATGTTCTACAAAGAAGTTTTTTGCTGCAAAAATGCTATTTTTAACGCCGAAAAAAAAAATGAAACCACGCACAACAATCGGGAAAAATCAAGTTATTCTACCTGGAAACCACGTAAGCCTTGGACGACGCGCGGAAAATTCGATGGCAAATCACATTAGGATTCCACAACTTCTGGGAAATGTCTCAAGTTCGCCAAGGTAATTTTTCAAACATTTTATCAGAAAAACATTCCAACAATTTCAGATAAACAAAATATTGCCTTATCCCAAATTCATTCGAGCTGTTTGCCTGTTATAATTGGAAACAAACAAATTTATTTGGAAAAAATATAACAACATAAGTGCGTCTCATTATTGAATACTATAATTAACCTTTACATGTTTTCATTTTTTGGTTTTTATCCCAAATTCATTCACTTTCCGATTATCTTATTATTCCCCTATTATCTTTTATCATTTTATGTTTTTTTTTTATTTTGTACATAAAATTTTTTTTGTTCATAGATTTTTGTTTATAGGTTAACTTCAGGCTTTTTATCTGAGATCCAACAAAGAGGCATCATCGATGAGACTTCCCTCTTCGTCGTCTGATGTTAATTGTAAGCTTTAAACGACTTCACTGCCTTTTCTTACATTTTTAAAATTTTGTTGGATGTTTTCATAAATATATGTTTATAAACATAAGTCATATGATGAATCAAAAAAATTTTCTTTAAAAACGTCCCCAATCGTGAACATTTGTTGAACTCACTATGAAATCATCACTTATCATTTTGCTCGTTGCACTTGCCACAATAAACGGACTACCATTTCCTGATTTGCCATCACACTTTCCGGAATTCGAAATTTCTGATTATCCAAGCCAAATTCCAGGACTACAGATTCCATCAGGTATTCCAACGGGGGAAAACCATAATGAAGCTGCCGATTCTGAAGATAGCGAAGAAAACTCACAATCAAATGGTAATAGCAAAGTGAACTTGAATATTCATATGAATGGTGGAAGTGGAAGCCGCGCTGGAGAGGGGTATTTTTGAAATGCTTGAACTAAACATGTTGTTTTATGGCTATTGTCTCAGATCATCCAACTCAGTCGTTGTCAATTTCAACTTCAATGAGAACAAACAAGAAAAGGAAGAATCAACTGAAATAGTAGAACCAGAGTTTACTGCATTAACCGGATCACCCGTTTTTTCTGCAAATATACCATCTCTACCCGGAATACCTGCACTAGGAGGATATGAACATTATCCTTTGCAATGATTATGCAAATGTGTATAATATTTTTTCATGATAAATAAACTCTTGTAAACTTCAATAGGCTATTGGTACAATAAACTCACACAAAACAAGAAAAATCATTCAAACCAGATGAAAAAATGTAATCGAAATTTGGGTTTCTAAGTTTTTCTATACAAAGTTGAGCGATTACCATAACAACTGTTACTTTTTTTTACTTCATCGATTTTTTAAAAAGAAATATGTAATTGGAAATAATGAAAAATGAGAAACATAACTGTATCATAATGAAAAATATTGCAATATACATGAAATTCGACAAAAACAATTTTTTCAATTTTCAGGTTTTTTAGACTTTCTGTATCAAATGATAATTCACATAACTCTTCAGATACGTTTTTCGTTCCAGTTAATTTTTGATGCAGATGTTATTGAGAAATCAAACACCAGTTCATGTTCTCATTTGTTTTTTAGTAATAACAAATCATCAATGTGTCATGAATAAAGTTATGATTGTTAACTTTTGAAAGTCTTCATTCAAAAAAGTTATTGATATTCAAGGGGCCTTTTTTGCGAATCTGTGTGTTTGATTGAAAAATTCCAATTCTGAATCATGCTCCTAAACAAAATGTTGTTTTGATTAATCATTAGCATATATTTTTTTACAAATTCGATCATTTTTTTCTATTTTGAACAAAAAAACATTCGAAATTTTTGGTCTATTTTTAAAACGAAAAATTGGTTTTTTTTTCAAAGTAGAAGTTGATGAAGCATGTGGACATTGATATCGCATAATGTACTCACGTCACACTTTGACGAAAATCGTTGGCGGTTATAGGAATCAAAGAAAACTGAATGATGACACATAGTGCCTGGAAAGTTGCTCGTGCAGTTAGATGCAAACAATCTTGACTTCATTTTTAAAATTTTCAGTTTCTGATTCCCTGCGTTCGAATCATAGTTTAAAATTAGATATAACAAAATCATCGTCCAGTTTAGCCATTTCTTCAAAAAATATAAAAGTCGGGTTGAAACAGATTAACAAAACCCTTGAGCTCTGTGTCTTATTCACTCTCTGATCTCTACATTTCACATGGGATGTGAATTACCAATCAGTTCAAATATGCTTTAACTCAAAAAACCATTCCAAAAGTGCGAAAAATAATTCAAAAATCTGCACTGATGAATATTGTAACTCTGATTTGAAATTTGATGGATGGTTTTAAAAAATAAAAATTTCAAAAATAAACCAGCATCCTGAAAACTAAAAGTGTATAAATATTGTCCGTATGATCACTGATTTTTTTTCTGAAAAGTTAGAAAATATTAGGATTTGAGAAACTTATATTTTTGGTATACGAATATCCTTCAAACGGTACAATTTTACCATGCCAGATTTTTTTTTAAAAAGAAGTAAGTAAGCGGTTCATAACAATTATCAGGAATTTATCCAAATGTACTTAAATCAGAACAAAACACAATACATTTCTAAAAATTTGGAATCACTCTTTTGTTGAATTTACTTGCAAACTGGAATTGATGTTGTTCGACTGGCAAAAGACATTGAATCGGCGACAAATAACAATTTCGAAGAATTGGCTGTGGTCTTTTGCCTAAGATTGGTTGTTGTTGTCGGATGCTAAAAATTATATGTTTCATTTCAGATATTCTGGTTAGTTCGGGAAGATCTATGAATAATTCTAACTCACTTTTCGTTTCCGAAACTCATATCGAATTTCGGTGAGAATCCTGACGAGTAAGAACTATCAAAGTCAACCATTTTTGCGATTGCAATGTTCACAGTGAAGAGTGTGATGAAGACCAAGATTTGATTCATTTTTGATTTTCCTGTAATATATTTTTTGGACTTTAAAAGAAAAAAATTAGAAAAAAATAAAAGAAAATTGAGTAAAATGATTAAGAATGAGTTGGTTATCTAGATATATAATAAGTAAAAAAAATATATGATACCGTATATCCCGCCTCTATTTTTTTTCATTCTAATTTATCAGTCAGTTCTACTAATTAGATGAATAATGATATGTTCATTCGGTTGAACAGTTATTTAGCTGACGTGTTTGAATTCTTTTTTTGCAAAGAAAAAATGAATTTATTTCTCAGAAAAATAATAAAATTTTTGACTTTTTAGTAGGAAAACTAAAAAATATAAAACATTATGGGCAATGCGAGGATTACTGTAGATCGGAGAACAACACGAAAGGAAAAGAGAGCCGAGACATGAACTTTTTGCGAATTGTGTGTTTTTCGAAAGAAAAATAGAAGAGTCTCAGAAAATTATTGTTATTAACTATAATTGGCTCTTTAGTTTTACTATTTTCACTAACTTCTTCTTCTTTCTTTGGAAAAAAAATCATTGAAAAAACTCACTATTTGGAACGTTTTTTGAGCATTGACTAACTGGAATGATGGACCTGGAAAAACTCAATTCTAAATCAAAAAAGTATGAAAAATCGTTAGACGTATTGGGGAAACAGCATTTTCTGTTTAAGGTTGAAGGTTTATTGTGAGAAAACAAGTCCGCAATTGTGTCAACATTTAGAGCTAATTGTAAATATAAACGAGAAACAATATGTTAGGGTTTTAAAAGACATACTGAAATTCCTTTTGAGAATTACTTTTTTTTAGAGAAACTGGAAAAGAAACCTAAAAATAGGAAGTTATACATTAGAAAACAAAAGTTATATAGTGGTGTGTATTAGTATTAGCATTACAAACTTTTCGGGCGTGGGACATTTAGTTTTTCTAATAAAAAATATTCAAATGTACATATGCTTTATATTTATATTTATACGAGATTTATGCTGGAATAGAAATGACTTCATGTTTTTAAACCTAACATAACACATTATAAAAAATTCATGTGGTGAACCCAACTGTACGAATTTTTGAATGAATCGTGAACTTTGTGGGTGTTCCAACCTTTTTTTGACTCACATCACGTCAACTACAAGATCTGACATGAGAGAGATAAGTGCACTTAAAAAAACAACACTCTAAAATTATCCAGAATCCCTTTTCGATCCCTCACTGAACAAAAGCTTTTTGTTGAACTTGTAACGTGTGATTTACATTTCAAAATTTTGATTGAGTAGATAAATCACAAAAAAAAAGATTTTGACAGCTGTAGGTAGTGTTGAATTTCGAGAAAATTTATGGGCAAACCTCGAAAATGCAAAACCAACAAAAATATTTGTTTTTATGAAATCTGTGTTTTTTTCCCTGTTGGAAATCTGAAAATGACGTTTGGCTTTTAACCAAATGCTAAAAAAGTGGATAAAAACACAACTTATGCTGAAGGAATTTGATAACTGAAAAGAACAAGTTGACTCAAATTAACAATAATAATGGCACAATTATTGAGAAAGGTTTTTTCAAAGTGATAAAATTTTAATGTTTTCAAGAAAATTATTGTGAAAAAAATAGCTGAAGAAATTTACAAACTTTATATCAGAGAACATATATTTTTTGAGTGTTGTGGGTGTTGTGATGAATTTGAAACAAATCTTAAAGAATAATGAATAGATTGAGAAAAATAACTGTTTGAGAGTTTTCCTCAAAATATATGTTTCGTTTCCAATTTTAATTGAGACAATCTTCAATTTCCAAACTTCCCGCCATTACGTGATGGAATCGTACAATTCAGGAGTTTTCTTTCTTCGAGAAAAATGGAACTATTTCTGTCACACATTATTTTTTTTAACTGTATAACTGATTCCAGCCAATTTTCAAAATAATTTGTTCCAGACCACATCATTTGCAAGACTATTCTTCTTGGACCTTTTTTTATATTGCAGTGTATTTCAAAATGAACTCGTCGTTTTCGAGCTATTTTAGATGTTGAGCTTTTTGATGGGCTAATTTTTATTTTATTTCAAATTAATTGCACATAAAAGTCTAACCCAGTTTCCAGTTATGAAACAAGTTGATAAAAAGTTCTTGAACAATTTATTTTGACAGCCTGAAAATCTTTGGAAAGCAAATCGAATTTGGTGAATTTTATCAGACATATTGCAGTTTTGAATTATATTCCAAATTTTGGAGTTGCTTTCCGTATTTGTAATTTTTAGCAATCATTTGTAGACACAAATTATTTATTCCAGAAAAAATCTTTTAATAGACAGATTAGGAAGTTTCACAAAAACATTTTAATTTTTGTCTTGTTTTTTATTTTTATTTGTTTTTTCAACAGAAATTGTTTTTGCAGCTAGCTGGGAAATGAATTTTGTACACAAACGTCATTATTTTCGTTATGAAATTTTTTCTAGAAAAAAATTGCGAAACAGAAATCATATTTTTTGTCCTTACATTAGATATCTGAAAAACTGTTTCAAAATTTTATTTTTTTTCAAGTCAAACACAACAACACAACAAAGAGGCTCAATTAGTTATTATTAATTTCTTGGACCCATTTTGTATTCGATTTCTGAATTTAATTTAAATTGTTCATACTTTTTTGTCACGTGTTGTTTTAAAATTTGAAATTAGTCAATAATCCTTCTGAACTCTATTTGAACTTTAAAATGGCTTCTTCTTGCAACAAAAAATACTTTTTCCGGTGCACTTTTCAAATACTAACAATTTTTCCTTCAACATTTCGTTCCATTTGACAGATTTTGTTTAATGTTTATTTTTGAAAACGCTAAGCTTTTCCGTTCGAAAAAGATATATATTTGAAGAAGAAAAATGTAATAATTTTGCAAATCCATCAAAGTATTTCCCCATCAATATATTTTATGATTATTCGTTTATTTTTGAACGGAAATTAATTTCCTTTCAGCCCACGAATAAATGCTAGATAATGGTTATTTTTGCAGGTAAAAAAAACAATTATTTATCCACCGCTTAGCGATTTTTTTTCTGTTTTATCTTGAGGAAGAAGAAAAAATAACAGAAAAGATAGAAAAATATGATTTTTTATTTATTTTTAAGACCAGCACGACCTGGCGAATATATATCTAATTTCAGCACGTATCAACATTTGTCATTTCCTTTTGTTATTGAAAATAAACCTTTTTCATCATCATCATTCTTCTTCTTTTTCTTCTTTTTCTTGTTCAAAATAATAATAGAAAATGATACGAAAGAATGAATGAATGAGTGAATAAAAAATACTAATGTGAGCGAGCAAATGTGCTCACTGGCTCTTTTTTTCTCTGCGTTTTCTCAATTTTCAACTATAGTTTTCAGTAGAGAGTATTAAATCAATAACTAGAAGCAAGAAGAAGAAAAAAGAAAAAAAAGAAAATAGGGAGGAAGACCTTCGTGTTCGGTTGTTCTTTTTTTTCGTATTTTTGTCATGGATAAATTATATTAGTTCATACTACAATTTTTCTTTTTTTCTATTTTAGCATCTGCTTTTTCCTCCTTCTTCAAAATTTATGAGCCTCCACAAATATGACAATTTTGTAGACAAAAAAAATAAATTATAGGTTACATTTCTTTTTTTTGGCCAATGATGAATTCTTCTTCATCAAACAAATGTGTGCTTGTTCCACTTGTTGAATGTTCGGAGACATGTGATCAAGAGCAAATTATAGATAACGGTAAGTGTAACGTGGTTTTTTATATTCCGTGTTTGATAAAATTCGTGTCGTTCTACTTGATTTATTTTTTCTCAAACTTTTCATTTTCATTTTTGAAGAAGAAATAGAGGAAGATAAAAAACGACGAAAACGGAAAAAAGGTGGTGAAGAAGTTGTTAGTCAAGTAGGAGTTGAAGTACAATCACAGCAACATCGAAAAGCTTCGGGAAATAACAATAATAATTCGGAAAGATTGGCATCTTCAAGATATCGAGCAAAACCCTCAAGATCAACTGATGGGGTTCGACCAAAAAGAAGAGGTTCAAGATTGAGTCTAGCAAGTTTATTTAATTTTGGTGGAAGTGCTGCAAATTTTGTGAGAGAAAGGTGAGCTTATTTTTTTTATTTTTAGAGAATGAGAAGTTTACAATCAACATGTCTAGATTACAAGGAAGGTTTTTTGGAATAGGCTAAAAAAATTAACAAAGTAGGAGCTAAGTATCAATTTTAAATTTATCATAATTTCGATTCTCTCATAACTATTCTGCTGCTGAAAACATTTTCATCTGCTTTCTCAAACAAAAACTCCCTTGTTAATCTGTCTCTCAATTTTTTTATTCCGAAAACTCTTTCGAATTTTTTTCCAACAAAAAAATCGTGGGAAAATCTTTGGCAGCTCTAATTTATAGCTATGTCTTTATTTTCTTTCGAAAATTTACTTTTTTTCCTGAACTCACACTAATGCTGAGGGTTTTGATTTGTTTAGAAGAAGTTAAGGATTATTCTAGATAACCCTGTTCCCAAAACAGAAATGAGAATCGACGAGTCTTCAGAATACGAGAGAGATTATCAGGAGTGCGTAGGACAGCTGAAATAATCAGAAGAGAAAAAAATATTTCAGAGAATTTCTGTTGTTAGAAATTCTGTTTCTTGTTGTTTGATCGTTTCAAAACTTGATAATTATTGACTGGCGGATTGATTTTTCCTAATTAAAACTTGACTTTTGTTCTTTTTGGTTTCTCATTGAATTGTATCATTTCAAAACAATTTCTCATTTCCCAATTATGTTCCAATTTTTTTAACCAGAAAAAAAATTTACATTTTTGATATATTATCATGATGTTCTATCCCAAGAGTCAAAAGGTCTATTCTAGTTGATCAGAAAACCTCCTTCACATAAATAATCAACACCCTCAATGATTTTTTGATTTGTTCAAACATCAAAACATGCAAAAATAATTTGTGCGTGGAAAAAAAATATAGAAACTGAAAAGCCACCTTGATTAGCCAATATTTCGAAATCGTTCAAAATGCGGGGGAGAAAATTACTATAAGTAGCAATGAATTCTATTCATATTCAGTTATTATTGAAATGAGATTAACTATTTTCTAGCTTTTCTATTATGTGTTTGGTTTTGGAACAAGATATCTCAAGTAAGTTATCTAGTTTAGTCGAATTTTATTTTCATATTTTTAATCCTTTTTTCGCGGGAAACGCTTGAGGTTTGCAATTCCATATATTTGATTCGATTTATTCAAAATAAATAAGAAGTTTGATTTGAATTACACGTCACCACACATAATCACATACAATTCTCTCTAACAATCAAAATTGTACTATTTTAGTTCGATGTAATGAAAACCCTCTAGAGCTTTATCTATTTTTAATCTCACGTCAGTTTTCTTTGATTTCAAGAATTCTTATCAATTTGATATAGTTTTCACAATTTTTTCTAATAATTTCGAAATATTCTCAATCATTTTTCTCCGAAACATCTAATTTTTTCAACATACCAATCAAAAAACTGATAAATCAGAAATAAAAATGTCTGAAAAATTGTTATAAGAAAACATAACAACAAACGTCTATATTTTTCGTATACAAGGTATTGTTATTTTTAGATTTATCATTTTTTCGGAAGTTGTAATACTCTTTTAACAAAAACTTTTCTTGGTTGAATCATGGCGGAAAGAGAAAAGCAATTCAATAAAAATCAGCAAAAAAAAGACAAATTTTTCGCTTTTCAATACATTTTTAATGTTTCTCTGTAGTAGTTCAATAAGGTTTTTATTTCCTCTTAATTTTCATTTTGTTCAAAATTTTCTATAATTCAGAAAAGTTATAATTCTTTGATCTCAGTTGTTTTTTTGCTTTCGTCAACTAACAGGGAAGAGAAATTGAAGTGTTGAAAATTTTCGAAAAAAATGAATAAATAAATAAAATGAACTGACATAACAAAAATATTTGTCATTTTATTTTGTTCAATATAAACACAGCAAAAAAAATGACAGTTGAAATAATCATGGGAAGAAATTTTGGTATGCCGAAAATAATGCAAATTTTGTTCAAAACAATAGACTAACGCCGTTATATAATAGAATTTGATTTAAGAACATCTGCGGTCCAATTCTCTCGCATTTCAATCCATTTGTTTCTTTTTCTTTTTTTTTCTCTCCCCCTATTGAAAATTCCTTCGCTGAATTCATAATTATCTTGAAAAATCCATGACTACCTCCTCTATACAACGGACCTAAACGAAACATTTTTAATTCTCTCTCGTTTTTTGTTGCTGTTTTCTTCCAAGCAGATTCAATATGTCCTTATTATTGAGATATATATGAAAAATCTTTAATATAAGTTTTTTGTTGTAAAATTGAAATACGTTTTTGAAACAGGTTGTCTTTATATATATATATATATATTTGCTGTATTTCAAAATTGATTCTCATTTTGTTCATTTTTTGAAGAATAAACAACCTATGATAAGACAGTTTTTTCTTCAAACTGTTTGAAAAATGTCAAATTCATGTTCGTTTTTGAGTGTTCCTCTATTCTATTTGTGAGAAAAAAGAGAACGAGAAACTGTGAAAAACGAGAACTACAAAAAAGACAAAAATTGCATGTTTGTTCTTTTCTGTCGGTTTATTTACGTATGACAAGTAATATTGCAATGCCGCAAAAAAATTGAAAAAAAAAGAAAAAAAGTAGCGAGGTTTGTGCTTGTAAAAAAAAGAAAAAAACGAAAAATTGAACAGTTTCAGAACTGGTTTTCTCATTTTTCTTATCTCTCATGTTTTTCAAATATATCGATAAAAATCTTTTTTCTCCTCTCTCTGATGACTGTTTCTTCCAGCCAGGTTAGCTTCTTAAACAAAAAATATTCATTTTTTACAGAAGTCGATCCGGTTGGTCTTCTTATTCTGAAGACACTGTTAGAATGACAAGTGTTTCGGTCAATGACATTCATTCAGCTGTTTCAAATTCAATAACATCAAAAAGGTAAGATAATTTCTTCAATTTCAATTGCCTTTTATTTCGCTTGCTTGCCACCCAGATGTCAAAAAAATCGATAAAAAAATGGTCGCAGGGACAGGCATAATTAACCTGCATGTTTGTGAAAGGTCGCGCAAACACGCTCTATTCCCACTCTTTTTTCTTCACACCTGTTCTATTCTTTACCACGCTCTCCCCCTTTTCACAGAAAAAAAAACAATAATATTATTATTAATAATATCATCTTTTATGCAGCACATTATCTTTTTGCACAGTTTTATTTTTTATTTAATTATTAACTGGTTATATATTTTTGTTGGTCCTTCTTTTTCTTCTTCAAAATTTTAAATTTGCGTTTATTTTTCAGGTATCGTGGTAGTGATACTGAATCAGGAATGGAAGGTGGAAGTGAAAATTGTGCTGATTTATTGCTACCAAAAGAATCTCAACCTGAAATTGGAGGCAAAAAAGAGAAAGTGAAACTGAAATTGAGAGATTGTCCGTTGTGTTTTTCGAAATTGCCATCAACCGATTTTCCACAACTTATTGGTTGTACACAACATCGAAGTTGTGATACATGTATGAAACAGGTTAGTATTTGTTAAAATTATATTTTGGTTCCAAAAATATATTATTATCTAAAAATTTGTTGTTATCAGTTGATAGGACAATTTACTGATCTAGTTTTGAAAAAATCAGGGGTTTTTTTTTTTGATGAATCATTTTTTTGATAGATGGAACAGACTTGTTCACTATTAAATTGAAGTTTGAAATCAAGCTTTTTTCAAATATGATTTGAAAAATGAAAAAAATATAGCCTATATTTAGATCAGTAAGAAAAAAACACATATTTTGTTTTCTCACACATGTTTCTCATGTGAGCCAAAAACACGTGAACGCCGAAAAAACGAAGCTATTCACAATAAATTGGCATAGTTTGAGATTTTCAGAGTTTAGAAAATAAATGAGCACTATTTTTGTCTTTTACAAAAAAAATCCCTAAACGTAAAAAAGAGAAAATCCTGCTCATCAAACAAACAAAAAAGTCAATCTTGGTTTTCTACCGGAAAATTAAACAAGAATAAGAAGAATGGCAGCATCTAATGATTTTTTGCTGTGATTAATTTCGGTTTAAAATTAAATTCATTTTGCGCCTATCCCTGAAACCACGAGATTTGTTGGTTTTTTTCTTGATGAGAAATATGTAATTGAAAATTTCGCTGACGTCTGAAAAATCGTATAATGACGAGGATGATGAAATAACAATTTTTTATTCTAAAAACAATAATTTTTCAGTATGTCGAGTTGTCTATAAATGAAAATCGTGTTGAAGTTCCGTGTCCGGAATGCAATTCATTTTTACATCCACAAGATATCACAACGATTATTGGATCAATGCCAAATCTCATTCGAAAATATGAGGAGTTTAGTGTTCGAAAATTTCTGATGACAGATTTAGATTCTCGATGGTGTCCAGCACCGGATTGTGGGTAAGTAAACTATAATAATTTTGTTGAAATTTGTATAAAATATATCAATGACATATTTTAGATACGCTGTGATCGCTGCAAATTGTGCTGCTTGCCCTCAACTTCGCTGTAAACGTGACGGATGTGGGACACTATTTTGCTATCATTGCAAACGTGAATGGCATAGCAATCAAACTTGCGATGAAGCTCGATATGCAGAATCACGGAAAAGTCGCTCGCTGACATTTGAAGAATTGGTTAGATCTGGACAATATCAATCATCTCAAGAAAACGCAAAAAGTAGGTTGATGAAAAAATTTTTAATGACATGTATTACAAGGAAGTCACGAAATCAAAAAAAATAAAACGTTTCAAAATTTTTGGCAGTTAACAGAAAACCTCAAAAAGTTATTCATTCAAAAAATCCTATCTTAAAAAAAAGTTGTGACGTCATAAAAGAAAAGTTGCGGATAGAAACCGAATTTTTGAATTCTGAGCTTACAACGTTTAGTCATGTTCAGATAACTCGAAGCATTTAACGTCGATTCAAAATGTACAATTTTTACCAACGTGAGCAAACAACCTGCCAAGTTATTGGTTTTCAATGCAAGTTGTGAATTCTTGAACTTTTAGAATCATTACCTCTTGAGGTATTCCCCAACTTCCAAGTTCACCAAAAGTGAACCTTGTTAGAAATTTCGATTTCCTTGATTTATCAGTACATGAAAAATCTAAAAATAAAATCTAAAAGCTAGATGTATATATTTTCCAGAAAAAGGGTGTTACAGAAGGGCACATATAATAAGTATAATTTTAGATACAAATGAGAACTATACGATTTTCTGACTCACCAACACACTTTCGTTTATAATATAGCTAATTTTTTTCGAAAAGAAAAAAAAGGTGAAGCGGAGTGTCGTAGTATGCGCATATTTTAGGCCCGCTCAAATAATTCAACAAAATTATACACTCGATGATTTTATGAAGCGAATTCGGAAATAATAATTCAATTTTTTTCAGTGGCCGACATCAAAGGTTGTCCGCGGTGCCAAGCTTATATTGTAAAAATGGATGATGGTTCCTGTAATCATATGATCTGTACAATGTGCAATGCTGAATTCTGTTGGCTTTGTCTTCGAGAAATTTCCGATTTGCATTATTTGAGTCCAACTGGTTGCACATTTTGGGGTAAAAAACCGTGGACAAGAAAGAAGAAGTTGTTATGGCAATTGGGTATGTTTTTCTCACTTATTTTGTGTTGTTTTTTATTATTCGAAATAATATTTGTAGGTACATTGATTGGTGCACCAGTTGGAATTGCATTGATTGCTGGATTATCAATTCCTGGTATTATCTTTGGTGTTCCTGTATTTGTTGGAAGAAAGGTTCATCAAAAATTCAAGTATAAATCAAAATCAAAACGACGATTCCTCACCGTTACTTGTGTGATCGGCTCACTTGTTGTCAGTCCAGTAATGGCTGTTATGGCTGTCGGAGTTGGAGTTCCAATTATGTTGGCATATGTTTATGGAGTTGTGCCACTTTCTTTGTGTCGAAATGGAACATGTATCAATACATCTTCGGAAAATCGTCCTAACCAAAGAATTATCGATGAAGAACAATTATATGGAACAGCTTCTGCTGAAACACAAGTCGATTTTATGCAATTTATACCAGAAGGCAGAAAAGACAATGTTTCTATCGATCCATCAGTTCATAGTGGATTATCAGCTCCAAATGATGTTCGATCATACAGACAACATCCATATACTGATTTATCTCGAAGAAGAATCAGTGTTGAATCAGGTTAGCATTTTCTTTCAGTCTCTTGTGAAAATTGCCTTGGTAACTTATTCATTTTTTTCAACTGTATAGAAAATAAATCAAACTTGTTTAGGAGAACGTATAAATTATGAAGAAGCAAGTGTCAAGGCAATGTCAGGATCACATCACTATGACGATAAGGTTAGAATCAAATTGTAATGCTTTACGTTTACCAAAAAAAACATTTTCAGAGTCTTCACACATTGTGTTCTGGTCATGAAATTGTCGATGAACAATCTAGCACAAAAGCATTGGCTGGATCTGTCACAGAAACAAAAAGTTTAAGCGGAAGATTCCATTTATCCGCAAAACATTCGGATAAATTAAATGAAAGTGACACAGGTTGGTTTTTTTGAACTTTTAGACTTTACATTGATCAAGAGATCAAAAACATCTTATTTACTTTAGCTTGATTAAATTGAAATTAAATCTTATATTAGATTGAATCTCGTGGTTTTGATTAAAATCGTAATGTTCCGTGACTTTTTAAAGTTTTTGTTTTTTTAAATGAAAATAAGGATTTTTGCAAAGAAAAAGTGATCAACCACAGTACTTTTCTTATAAATATTTGTATTTTTTAGCCAATTAATTATATCTACAAATCTCTCGTTATTTTACAGTAACCGAAGAACATGACGAAGATCTTCCATCAACATCCTACGCATCTTCTTCGACACAACAGCCACCTTGTCAGGCAAAATTCAAGCTTTCCACAACATCATCAACTGGATTCAAAGTCATCGGTGAGAATTTTGATCATTTGCAAAAAAAACCTGACTACTTTTCGTATGTGCTTATGAAGCTAGTCAAATGTATATAGTTGTCGAACGTGCCCTTTTCCTAGTACATGCATAGCACAGCCGATCACGAGTTGGGCTCCGCCCCGCGAGAAAACCAAAAAAGGGCGGCACCTTACAGGAGGCGTATACATCCAGCCATTTCATTTCATTTCAAATCTTCTTATTCATTCCTATTTTTCAGAGCAAGATGAAGAGCTCCTTCTACTCTCCGATGAAGCTGCTTCTATGATATTGACTGTGAATGCCAAAAATGGGACACCAATTGTCACTGCACATCCAGCAACATTCACTGAAGGTGTTGATTTGTCAAAGATTCGTGGATGGTTGGATAATATAAAGCAAATGACAGCGTCTGATATTCCACAAGAAAAACCATATGAGTGAGTTAGGGAAACTTGGATATACTTTAAGATTGAAGAAGCATAGGATGAACATCCTATCTCTTTTCAGTGGAACCTAGTTAAAATCCTCACCATGTCCCCACTGAATGGAAGTGCAGTTCTTAGACATGACAGTCTTGATAAAACTAGGCTTCAAAATCAAACCTAAACACCATAGACATAGATATCTTGAACATTTAGTCAACCCGTTTACTTCAGACCATCTAATCGATCAACATTCAATAAAATACGTAGATCAGGAAGTGGAAAAAGTGTAAACACAACATCAACTCTTCCAACAACATTAATTGGGAATAATCAATCCAAAAATGATATTGTTAACACTTCTTTGCCTGAAAATTTGGCCAATGACAATGTGTCAATCACTTCGACAAATAGTAAACGTAAAAAGCGTCTTGGATTTTTCTCAAACTGGTTCAACAAATCAAAATAATATGTTTAATTGTAATATTTTTTGCTCATTCTTTCAAATTTTTTCTTCTTCAATTCTTACCCTGTCTTCTGGAACTCAGGTTAACTTTAAAAGTCTATATTTTGAATATTTTATTTGCTGGTAGGAACTGAAACAGGTATTTTATGCCATATCACGTGTGTTGAGGTTGTGATTTGATTTTTAAAACAAATTTTTATTATTAATTGTAAAAACTTTTTTGTGTGTCTTTTTTTACTTCAAATGTGTTCGTTTATAAGAATAATCATTATTATTGTTGTTGTTTTTTATTATTGAATTGCTGTAACGTTTTAAAACGTTTGGAAATATCTATTGCTTTTTATGTTAGATATTTTTATTAGAAACATTATTCATTTCTTTATTTTTTTCAGGGTTTGTTAAAATGTCTGTCGATTGGAGTGGTATCCTTGGAGGACAGCCAAGAGAATTGAAAAATCACACAAGTGGAACTATTTTGACCGCTGCAGAAATGCCGTCTGGTGAATATGCTTTCACTTTTGGTTAGTATTCAAATATACAAATATCACATTAATTCACATCGAGAAATTTTTCAGATCTCATTGACCGTCCAACACCAGCTGATCTTTTCCAATCAATGCGCAATCCAACAAATCCAAAACAACTTCGTTTGTTGCTCGAAAGCATGCGAGCTGATGCTGAGGAGGATATGCGACTCTTGAAACTTGAACGGTAAAAAAATGCTCTTTCAGAAAACAAAAAATGTATTCAAATCATTTTAGCGAAGCTGAACTCGAACAACAAAGACGTGATCGGCGGCTCATCAGCATCATTGCTCGTTTCTTCAAAAAGTTGCTTCACCGATTTTAGATAACTCAACTGACTCCCCCCCTTCCTTTCTCCTTTCTTTCTCCCCCAACCTATTCTTTCTGTATTTTCTTCTCATAACTATGTCAATCTTGCGATCTCACCAAATCAAAAGACAACAAACTGTGATCTCAACTTATAATGTTTCATATTTCCGTTGTTCAAACCCCTGCTTATACATACGTCCATTTCCCTACTCTTTTCATGATGATTGTGACTATTACCGCTTTAGATATCAAGCTTCCGAATCATATTAAATTGAATGGTTTCAATAAAACATTTGTAGTTGGCAGAGAACGTGTTCTTGTTTTTTTAAAGTAATTTTACAAGTGGAAAAATAAATATGAGGGATCCAAGATGGTTTGAAATAATTGCTCTTCTCGGCTCGCTTTATACTGGAGTTTCAAAAGTTTGCTGGAGAAATTTCTGCATCTGTTTTATGAATTGTTTGGACTGGGACCAGTTATTTTTTTGGAAATACTTTTTTTTTAGAAATGTTAGACAAAACTGTTTCTAATTTTCTGCTGAATCACAATTTCATGTTTTGTGGGTTTTTTCATTAGCAACCCACAAAAATCAAATTTTCATGTTTTGTGGGTTTCTTCATCAGCTACCCACAAAAATCAAAATTTCATTATTTGTGGGTTTCTTCATCAGCCACCCACAAAAATCAAAATTTCATTATTTGTGGGTTTCTTCATCAGCCACCCACAAAAATCAAAATTTCATGTTTTGTGGGTTTTTTCATTAGCAACCCACAAAAATCAAAATTTCATGTTTTGTGGATTTTTTCATTAGCAACCCACAAAAATCAAATTTTCATGTGAAATTTTGCAAATGCATCTTTATCGAGCCAACATTCATGATTTCAGTGTTGAATTGATATTATTTCGTTTGTTGACCACATTTTGATTTCCAGAGTGTCGCATCTAGAGCCAAGAAGATGTGGTTTTCCAATAATGAAAAAATATTACATAACTTCATCATATTAATCTCAAAAAATTCACACATTGTTACAATAAAATAATTCTCAAATGACACACACAACACAAAAAATAATATGAAATACAATTATAATTCATCAATTTCATCTTCATCCTCTTGATCGAGATCCGTAACATCAGTGTGATGATTGACAATTGTCAAAGATTTTTTCTGTCGATTTTCTTGTTGTTGTTCACTGCTACTTCCACTTGGTGTTACAAGAATACTTTTGAGTCTCGTATCAGCTTGTGCATACGGACTTGAACCTTAAATTATTATTTGTTGTATTTTAAAGATACACTTTCTGGAGTTCTAGTCACATACTGGAATCAACAACCCATTCTCTTGCTTCTGCTCCAATTGATTCCATACTCAAATATTCCTTGTTTGCCATTCCAAAACCGCCTGAACTTGTTGCTAGAACACTACTGGATCTTCGATTTGAAAGAAATTTTGCGATTGATGGGAAACGAAGTAGAATTCTACGAAGACACATGCAATTCAGGAGGAATGCACGAGTATATTCACTGCTCGCCATACAAAACACATAAAAGTTCAGACAATGATTCATAACTTCCAACATGTTTGAACAATATCGATAAACCTTAAAATGATGTTTGATTGCAAGTAAAAATGTGTTTTCTACCTGGAATCCAAAAACATTTTCCATTGCTTCGTTTTGCAAAACCATAACAATCATTTGTGGTACATTTCCCAAAATAAAAATGAAACAAATTGAGATCATCAATGCTGTCAATTTTTTCTCGGTGAAACTTTTCATAAGAGTTGACTCTTCTTTCCTGAAACAATCGAAGATTTCGGATTTCAATTCGAATTTTTCCACTCACTTAACATGTTCTTGTTCTCCTTCTGAAATCTCGCCTTTTGGTGGTGTATTTCTTCGAACTAGTCTTCGTCGTCTCATTTTTGTCAATTGCAATTGTCTGGCAATAATCAAATTCAAAACTGTCATCAAGATAACAAAGAAAAAGCGAAGACACTCTCGACCAAGTTTGTACCAACTATAAATGCTCCAATTTGGTTCTCTGGAAAAATATAGTTTTTGAATTGTTCAATTGAAAAAAAACTGACTTGCAAAGTAGTTCCACATTATTCGTCATACTATATTCGCCATTTTCATCTTGCCTCATTGTTCGTTGAAAAACCATTGGAAAATGAATAACTGCTGAAACAAACAGCATCATCCCAATTCTACGTTTTGCACATCGACGAGGATTTTCAGATTGGCAAGTGTGAGGATAAGCAATAAGTATATATCTTTCAATTGTGAGTAGAAGTGCACTGTATAAACCAGCAATTAAAAATGTGTTGATCACCGGAGCATCGATATATGTAGTATATATCATAATGAATATATTTTTCTTAAAATCCATTATCGCAAAATGAAACATTATCAAGGATAGAGCAATCTAAAAATCAAATATTACAATATAAAACAACTCTTTTTTAAGTTACCAAGTCAAAAACAGCCATTGCTCGAATATACATAAATGGAACTGTTTGAAGACTTGGACTTTGAAGTGTTCGCAAATTCAAGATATTTCCAAAAACACCGATGAAACAGAATATAACTTGAGCATAGGTGAAAAAGTTTTTGATATGTTCAAGTTCATATTTCATTTCTGTTGTGAAATGCGAACTATTATCGACGTTGCAAAAGGCTTCCATGTTGAGATAATGTTGAACCTGCAAAAAACACAATATTGAACATTTTGGAAAAAAATATGCGTCTGCAGTAACAATTTTTTTTTGAAAAAAAACTATAATCCTTTTTTTTTATTTATGATTATGGGAGTTCGGTGTCCTCCTTAAGAAAAAAATAGTATTCAAAAGAATGAGTAAGAAAATGAGTAAACTTTTGAAGATACAGAAACAGCAACAAAAAAAACAATAGTTAACTAGACCGGATGTATATAAAAACTGATCAATGAATGACATGTGTATAAACGAAACCATATGTAAAACCACAGAGACAGAATAAAACTTATATGAGAATATAGGAAAACTTCTATTAAGTTCAAGTGAAATTGGAGTCCTCCCACGTTTAAAAGATGTAAAAGATCTTCATGAATAATAAAATATTAGCATTTTCTTGACTTTGAGGAAGGAAGACGTCAGCAATTGCAAAGAAAAATAAAATCAAGAATAAAAATAAATTCCTACAATTGAGGAATAAATGAGAGAAGAAATTGAAATGGAATAAAATGAAGGAGGTCGGTTGGATAAGTATTCTTGAAATGGAGAAACAAATGAGCGGCTCATATATATATATTTGAAACTGATATTATTTGGATAAAAACGTCATCTGTAAAGAGGGTACTTGGGAAACCAGAAAAAAAACGACGAAAAAACGAAAAAAGGGTTTTGTCAGAGAAAGGGCTTTTTTGCGATGTTAGGTTTGTTGACATACTGGGTGAACACACGCCCTTTTCTCCACATTTTATTGCGTTTTGTATGATGATGAAGGCAAAGGAGAAATTTATATATATTTGAATTGAAATGAAATAAAATACCAAATTGGAAATGTAAGATTATTGCATTCTAGTTGAGTAAATGAGCTTGCAATTGCAATATTTTAATAATTTTGCAGCGTTTTTCATCAAGATTTTTTTTGCAAGATCTATGAGTTTGGAAACTCCAATGTTTCATTGGTCGAGAAATTCATTGATGTGAGATCAAAGAAGGTTTTTCTAGTTTTCTTCGAGTCAAAGTTCAAATTTCCGGTGTCGCCCTCTTGGTAATTTAGCTTGTTGGTTGTGTTCAAAAATCAGTACTAACATTAGGATCGTTTTTGACGGAATAAATCGATGTAGGACCTTTCTTTGTGGAATATGAAATATTGATCCCCTCGCCATAAAGTCCCATTGTTTTGAGAGTGGCTTCTTAAAATGAAGCCTCACGAATCTGCTTCTGATTTCATTTTCTTCACTGAACAAAATTTACTATGCTATTTTGATATTGAAAATGCATGATATCGATCTTCAGAACAAAGCTTCACAGTTGAATTTTTTAACAAGATAGAGTTTTCAATAAAAAGTTTAATTAGAACTTCACAACAGTTTTTCATGAATGAATTCCGTATGATAATCAAAAATAGTATTTTTGCAACTAAATCTCAGAACCGATTGAATTCAACTTTTCAATTATATAATTTATGGCCTCTTAAAGTGTTGTATTCTAAATTTCAAACGTAGGAAATATTTTATACTCACCCATAAATCACTGTGTGTTTCAAATAAAGTTGACTCATTCATTTAGCGAATAAAAAACAAACTAGATTGCGAAACTTTTTTTCTAATTTCCTTCTCTCGCGAAGAAACAATTTCTAACTTAATTTTTGAATAACAAAATGACGAATTTCAAGCCTAAAAACATACCTGATCTCCGATTTCTCCAAAATTTATGAGATCCATTTTGAATGTTCAGTTTTAGAAAATGAATATGCGAACCAAAAAAAATCAGTGTTAAATGAGATGCATCTTTTTGCCTTTTTTCGAGGGCGTGGTACAAAGAGCATTTTTTCTAATGTTACAACATTTTTCAAGAGACATGCAAAGACTCACCCAAGGAAAATAATCTACCATAATAATAGATTGTTGAAGAGGATTCAACAAAACAACATGAGATTTGTCAGATGATGTGAGATTTTTTTTTTTGGTGTCGTTTGACACTAAAATTTAATTATTCTTGGAATGTTTCGAATCTTTTACGTCAATGGATGTTTACTTTATTTTGGTGCTAATGAAAGCATTTTCCATCAAAATTAAATTTTTATTTTTTTGTCAGATGTATACCAAAAGGTTCAATATGAGAAAGAATTGTGAGAAAATCCAAACATTTGAATAAGCCCAATAAAATTAATATATTTCTTTGAACTGCTTCATTTCAATTTAAAAACTTACACTTTTTTTCATTTTTCAATTTTTAGGAACTAGAGAGAAATTCTAAACAGAATATTTTTCGTGAAAGAAAATATAAATAGAGACCATAAGAAAATGACACCTAATAAATGTATCAATCTTTGTTCAGCACGTGAGCCGTTAAATGCTTATTTTTTTTTGATCTATTGAAAAAAGTAAAAAAATATTCAACTTCATATGTTTTGTTGTTTTTTTAAATAATTTTGAAAAAAAAAGAATATTCATACAAACTGTGAAAATAGCTCAATGGTAATAAAATGACGTTTTTGAAAAAAAATACGCTTGCAACATTATTGTTGATTAAATGTGATTTTCCAACATTTGTGTTATGAGCGTTGGGTGAAAATGTTAAAAGATACAGAGAAACTGCACGATGTGATTTTCGAATCAGAATGAACACAGTTATTTCTCTAAAAACTAAAGAAAATGCATTATCATGTCTACGCAAGAGTATGGAAAAAAATATGAATTCCACTGTGCTTTGGCACTAGATAAGATAAATTACTATATAATAAGATACAAAATAATAATTTTAAAAATAAAAAAATTTCAATGAAACATTTTTGAACAGTATCACATATCATATCAATCATCAAAAAATATCAGAGAAATTGAAGTTCTAGAATAAACAGGTTTATGAAATCTGAAATTCAAGACACTTATCAAAAACGCTCTTGTGATTTTGTTATTTTTTCTATCATACATTCCTATTTACTTATATTCAAATAAAAATGAGTTTTAACTGGTTTGGTCTACCTGCCGAGTTACGATATATGATAATTGAAATAATGACTGATGAAACACTTTTATCGTTCATTCAATGTTCTCAAGAATGATTTTCGAATGTGGTGTCAGTTACTTCTGTCATTTTCTCGATTGGAATTGTTTGGAGTGAGAATATTGAAATCATTTTCTATTTGAAGATTTCCAAACAAATTTTATATAAATTGCTGATATTTGAAGATGAGAATGGAGTTTGGGATATTTTACTCATAACGTAATGCTGTTCAAAAAAACTCTGATTTTGAGAAGGTTGACAATTCAGGTTACAGGAACAAACATTATCGTTGTAACAATAACAAGAATCAAAGATTTGAGGATGTTGCTGTACGATCAATTATGTTTTGTATCAATTCTCATAATAGGACCTTGGAGAAACTGTGGATAATTAAGGTATTTTTTTTTATTTAGTGAACAAATTCAACAAGTTATCAAATGCTTACAATTAGCATCAAACAGGTATATTAGCTTTGATTTCAAAAATTGGTTTTGAAATGGTTCAAGAAATGAAATCAAATATAATAATGATAAGCGTAATTGGTTTATCAGATGAAGATATAGTTGGAATATTGACCGAGTGGATTAAAAAAGACAATTATGAAAATTTGTCTGCGATTGCATTCATATTAGAAGAATCGGATAATCAGAAGCCAAGTAGATTTGAAAAATTGAATGATGCTCTGGGGACAACAATTTTCCAGGAATTTTTCCAAGTTATTTTTCAAATAGTATCTTCTCAAGTTTTATAATAATTTATATCTTTACAGAACATTAGAGCATGGTTCGCTAAATGTTTGTCCGAATCTTGGTTTTCAGGATATTTATTATCGCCTTTTGAGACAAAATACTTTATTTTTAAATAAATGGAGATATGGATGTGAAATTGATAGTTTTGCATTAAAACTTCTTCGGAATCGTGAACAATAACAACATTTTTAAATGAAAAAGTTTTCATTAAAAATCAAAACATTTCATTTTTCATTATTTTTTACTAACATTTTATTGAATAGAACATAAGAGTGACTTTTTATAAAAACACGATTATTTATATTGACCGTGGTACAATAAAAAATAGAATTTGCTCAAAATTGTTTTATGACAACCTTCCACCCTATAGATGAATTTCCCAGAGTGATTTGGTGAAAAAAATTATTTTGGTGGATGGTGTGAGCTTGAAAAGTGAAATTTTCGAAGGATCGAAAGTCACGTCTACGTGAATATTTTTTGACGATCAAAACGTCATTCGAACCGTCTTTCCATGCTCTATAAACTAGAAATTTCATACCAACCACCAAACTCAATTTTCACCATTGCACCAATAGCTGCACCCGAAAATCGTCAAAAACTGCACCAAGGGTTGATTTTCGCAAGCCAGATTTGCTTTTAATCGTTTCCTTATGCAATTTTACATATAAGTCGATATTTACATTGAAAATAACCGAAACGCCTCATATCACCAATTGGGCTTGAAACAAATCAATATGTCTAATATTACTATAACATTGACACCCAATTAACAAAAAATGTTCATTTTAGTGTAAAAGTTGAAGTTTCTCAATAAATTGAGATATTTCCGATGATTTTTGAATACGCGCATCAAAAACCAACTGATCACCTTTAATTTTATTCACCTTCACCACCCAAATACACCCAAAACTTCACCAACGCCAATTTTGCTGAAAATCGGTTTTTATACATAATCAGACACCCACAATCACATATTGAGATCGAAATTAGATAAAAACGTGTTTGAACTGAACCAGGACTTGAAATTGGTGATTTTTAAAGAATGTAAAAAGTTGAATACAATATGTTTGTCAACTACTCTGTTTTGGGTGGTAGATCACCAATTTCAAGTCCTGGTTCAGTTCAAACACGTTTTTATCTAATTTCGATCTCAATATGTAATTGTGGGTGTCTGATTATGTATAAAAACCGATTTTCAGCAAAATTGGCGTTGGTGAAGTTTTGGGTGTATTTGGGTGGTGAAGGTGAATAAAATTAAAGGTGATCAGTTGGTTTTTGATGCGCGTATTCAAAAATCATCGGACATATCTCAATTTATTGAGAAACTTCAACTTTTACACTAAAATGAACATTTTTTGTGAATTGGGTGTCAATGTTATAGTAATATTAGACATATTGATTTGTTTCAAGCCCAATTGGTGATATGAGGCGTTTCGGTTATTTTCAATGTAAATATCGAATTATATGTAAAATTGCAAAAGGAAGCGATTGAACGCAAATCTGGCTTGCGAAAATCAACCCTTGGTGCAGTTTTTGACGATTTTTGGGTGAAGCTATTGGTGCAATGGTGAAAATTGAGTTTGGTGGTTGGTATGAAATTTCTAGTTTATAGAGCATGGAAAGACGGTTCGAATGACGTTTTGATAGTCAAAAAATATTCACGTAGACGTGACTTTCGATCCTTCGAAAATTTCACTTTTCAAGCTCACACCATCCACCAAAATAATTTTTTCACCAAATCACTCTGGGAAATTCATCTATAGGGTGGAAGGTTGTCATAAAACAATTTTGAGCAAATTCTATTTTTTATTGTACCACAGGTTTTCAACTATTAGGAAAAGTCACTCATAAATTTTGAAAAACTCCTTCTGAATTGTAGACATTGTAGGCACACATTTATATTCAAACATTATTTTCCAATGAAATTTATAAAAAACATGAATTTAAGTTGGAGCTTTAATAATTCGGTTTCAGGTGCATTCAAAATTTACGTTGCAGCTTGTCCGGTAAACTAACTAATGAAGATTTTCTGCCCTTGACATCATTATAACAAACATTATAATCCAATCAGGAAGAACTCTTTTCCTCACTATAACATTTTCATTTTTCATTTCATTCCATTTCAGTTTTCTCCTTTCCCATCCCTCTCTAAACATCAATTTTATGCTCTTTTGAGTGTGTTGTTACATGAGTAAATATATTATTTGGCTGTTGAAATGCCATTGATCCCGCCCTCTTGAAAATTTGAAGAGTACGGTAGTGTTGCTCAATTGCGGAGAAGAAAGTATTCTATTCTTTTTCATTCTGACTTGAGTATTGTGATCTATAAAATGTTCACTTTGGAAAATATATTGAAACCAAAACCTGCTGTCGAAAATATTCGTGCAATTTTTGATGGCTCAAAAATTCCGATTCCAGCTAATTTACATCCAGTGGAAAGTTTACGTAAGTTAAGAACGTTTGAGGTTTTTGAAAGTGATAATATTTTAATTCGAATGAGATAATTGCTTTTACATTAGAGCAAACAAATTTAAAGACCCAACATTTTTTCAGCAAATCCAGAGAAAATCGTTAAATGTGCTTTAGAATCTGGAATATTTTTGAATGTTTTCCAATTTCCAACCGGCTGCTTCACATCACTAATATGTCTCAAACCTGATGGCTTCAAGTCTGGAACAATTCTGAAAGTCCCTGAAGAGCTGATAGAGTTCTCCCAGAGATCAACAAAACTTGCAAATATTTGTGAATCTACGGTTATTGGAGATATTTCCTATGGATGTGAACTTATTTTGTACAAAGATGATGATGAAGAAAAAAACAGTGGTTAGTTGTTTAACTTTTTTTAATTTGGAGGGTAAAAAAACTCTGAAAAATTCCAAACACGAACAAAATGTGAAGAATTCTAATTAGTTTTTTTTTCATGTAAACTAAATTCAATTTATATCCAAGGAGGAAAAGGAGGTATTAACTTTTGGATGCAAAAAAATGATCGCTAAACTATTTTTTTTCCAGATGGATACACATGTGGAAGATGTGGGAAAATGTTCAGTTATGAATATTATCGCGACAAACACTTGAAATATACAAAATGTGTCGATAATGGTAATCGCAAATTTCCGTGCACTATTTGCAGTCGGTGAGTACAGTAACCCGGTGCCGGAAAAGAGAAGGACTCTTTTTCTGAAAGGCGTTAAGAGGTACTTATATACACACATTATTTACATTGTGTCTTGTCTCTATGATCAAAAACACTGAAAGAATAAACGAAAAATTTTCAGATCATTTGAAAAACGAGATCGATTGAGGATACATATTCTACATGTTCATGAAAATCACAGACCCCACATTTGTACAATTTGTAAAAAATCATTCAGCCAATCGAGTAGTTTGAACAAGGTGAGACTTTTTTGAAGATTATTACAGTGACTATATGTATTCTTTGAAGAATTTGTTAAATAAACTTGCGTTTCATTAATCTGATAAGATAAATGTTCAGAGATCTATAAAGAAAAATACCATTGGTCTTTTAGAAAATGAAAAAGTTTACTGTAGATCAAATTTTATCAACCGTTGGGTCATTGTTTTTTGATAAGTAATGGAATGGGGTGGCCTTTTGATGATCTGATCTGATTCAATGTGAAACCGATAACAAGTCACTTGATTTTCATTGAAAGAAGACAACAACTTTGGATGTTTGAACTGGCGTAATCCGAGCGATGTTTTTTTCAGCATCTTCGTGTACATTCTGGAGAACGACCTTATAAGTGTGAATTCTGTCCAAAAGCATTTACAGCCTCTTCAATTCTTCGAACACATATTCGCCAACACAGCGGAGAAAAACCATTCAAAGTAAAACTAACTCTTTTTCACCATTGAAAACTGTTTTTGTTTTTTTTTCAGTGTTCAAATTGTGGAAAAGCATTTGCATCTCACGCTGCCCATGACAGTCATGTTCGACGATCTCATCGTTAACCAAAACTGAAAAATTGTTTATTTGTTTGACGACAATAACAATGAATTTTTAAAAAATCTTTGATAATATTTGACGAATAAGACTGAAACCCCTATATATTTTGCATTGTCAGATGCTTTGAGTCATATTTTTTTTTTTGTTACCGATTTGTGTTTTGCATACAGTTCGACAAACTTCTTTTTGATTCGGTGTGTAGAATGTTTTTGTAGAAAGCAAAACTAGATTGTATTTTGTTCAAGTGTTCTTGGAACGTACTCGAGAATTGAAACTTATATTTGTAATAATGTTACAAAAAAAGCTTTGTTCACCACGATATCAAACAAGTGTGATTTGAAGTGTTAAGCTTGAATTGGGTATGTGATTGTAGTTGGGTTAAAACTTCAGAATGATGGATTTGAAAAAAGTTTGAATTCTTCTCCACTGTAAACAAAAGCCCTCACTTTGGAAAACTCTTCAAATAATAGGAAGTTTATCTTCGGAAATTTTTTTGAAGATTTTTGTTTCTCTTTTAACCTAACTTGAGTTTTCCTTGTTTTCACCAAAGTTCCGAATATCATTTTACTTTGAAAGCAATCAAAAGTTTTTCACGAAATAATTTAACAATAGAAATTCCTTTCATTGTATCTTTTTCTATAGTCAGATGTTCCAAATTTCGTTTTTTATTTGAACTAGACTTTTCTTTACTGTACTGTATTGAACTTGATTCGAAAACAAATTTTTTTCTTTTTTTTCCGAGGGTCCAATTAAAATTTTCCAATGAATCATATTAGGCTAACACATAAAAATCACAAATCGAACAATTTGTGTGAAACATTTTCTCGTTAACAATGATTTTTAAAATTGTCAACTAATCGGAATACGCCAAATAGTGTCGAAAAAATGCAGCGAAAAAACCAGTTTGAAATTTGAAATAGTATTTTTCGTTGAGACGAGAAGATTGAAGAAATAATAATAAGAAGAGGAAGAAAGAACAAGACCAATAGAAAACGACGAAGAAAATGAGAGGAAGAAGATGAGACGAAATCAAAAGACTGTCAAAAACGACGTAGAACAACAAGAAGTAAGAAGAAGATGGGAAAGATGAAAAAGGAAAAAAGATCTGTGATGCCAAATCTTTTTGGGTTCTTATTCTTCTTTTTCTCATCATATTTATAACCTTGTTAGAGACAAATTATTATCATTTTTATTTTTGACTTTGTGAATATATGATTTCAAACTATTCGAACAAGTCCGCTTTTTTAGTGTTCATTTTGTTTTCTCATTTTCATGTTCATTAACAGATCGTTGGACTATTACTGAAAACAGTCAGTACAAATTTTCTCCCGAGAATTCGTTTATTCACAAAATTTATTCACACATTCAATATCATTAGTTTAAATCATAAATCTTTATAAAATTCTGTTCAATCAAGAACTTTGGGTTCGCAAAGTTCCAATCAACGTCATTATTCTTGTATCTTTGAAAATCATAGATTGTTTTCCAATTTGATAAGGAAACCAACAAAGATTGAACAAACGGCGTTTTTTGAACCATAAAACTAGTTCTAAACAAAACATGACTTCAAAGTTTATAAATTTGAAATGTGCTTTTGAAGTGTTCGGATCAAGCATATGTGGAAAAATTAAATAATTTATTTTGTTTATGTTTGATCTTCGTAATGTCTAAACTCACAAATTCATTTCTCAAAAGTGTTCATTTTTTCAGTAATGGATCGAATATATTTATTTCTTGGACTCCTTGCTCTTGTATATTTTCTGGAAGCAATCGGTGGGAGTTATATAAACTCTGCTGTGCAGAACATCGAAAGACAATTCCAAATGTCATCAAGAATGTCAGGATTTATGGTTTCCGCAAGTGATTTCGGTTATATTCCAACAGTTGTGTTAGTTGCACATTTTGGTTCAAAAGGGAATCGAGCAAGATGGATCGGAGCTGGTGCTGTTTTAGTGTCAATAACTTATTTGATGCTGGCCTCACCTAATTTCTTGTTTCCGAGTGGGAAACATGATTTGAATACAACCGAAGTTAAGGTGAGATTTTTCATATAACAAGAAGAATATTCACTGAAAGAGCTCTATCAAAAAAGCTTGAAAGATACAATTGAAAATCATAGTTTTCCAGTCTCAACTGATGCCAAATGAAGCTCAACTTTCAAAAAATGCTACTCTGAAAGATCTCCTTTCTTATTCGTTAATTAGAGATCGAATGGACCAAGAAACATACAAAATGCTATTAAAACTTGATCACGACACAACTCCTGTAGGTTTTTTTTCCAAATATTTTTTACTTGTGTTTCTCTTTTCAGATCCATGATTTTGATTCGGATAAAATTAAAACTCTGAATCCTCACAGTTTCAACAAGACATATACAATTGATGGTTGGTTGATTGATGATGCTATTCGAGCTGCAGAAAATGTGTCAAGCCAAAATGAAGTTCGTTCAATTCTGTCATATTATATTCATCGTAGAACAAATCAAAGTTTCGAAGATGTTATGTCATTGAGAAAAAGTGCTGCTGCACCTTTTACAATGTGCGGAAAAGTTACAAATGGTCTTCGAGCGATTATCAAGGTAGGAAGTTTTTTAAAGAAAAATAAGTGTCATCATATCATCAATTGTTATTTTTAGGATTCAAAATGTGAACATGAAACATCAAATGTCTATCCATTTTTAATATTTTTCTTGTCTTTGTTCTTTTTGGGAATTGGAAGAACTGTTCCATGGAGTTTGGGTGTTCCACTTCTCGATGATAATATTAAAAAGAAGAGTTTGCCAACATATTTTGGAGGTATTTCTTCTATTCGAGTTCTTGGACCAATTTGTGGATATTTGATCGGCAGCTTCTGCAATAAATTATACTATACTTTAAGTAGTGAGTTCAGCAGGGGTTTCTGGAGAATATAGACATGAACACATTTTTAGCGCCAACTGGATTGACTCCTGCTGATCCAACTTGGATTGGTGCTTGGTGGATTGGATTTATTTTAATTGGATCGATCACATTGTTCCCATCGATTTTCATGATATTTTTCCCACAAGGTGAAAAAGGATCAGCTTCACATGTTCAACTTTTTGATGTCCATAAAGAACAAGAGAAAAACAACAAAAAACAAGAGAAAACTATGAAAGAAAGAGGTTCAGAGTTTTTGAAATCATGCAAAAGTGTGCTATCAATCAAACTTTATATGGGAAGTGTTTTGGGAAGAATTTGTGATATTTTGGCGTTCAAAGGATATATTGTGTTTTTACCAAAGTATTTGGAAAATCATTTTGGTATTCCACAATTTTTAGTTCACCGTTATATGGGTAAGTGTTAATTTCAATTAAAAATTAAACTCACAATCAATTAATATAAATTTTAGCAATGTTTGGTGTTTTTGGATTTGGTTTGGGAACAGCATGTGGAGGATTTATCATTAAAAAATTCAAATTGAATGGTAGAAGGGCTGCATTCTTTGTGTTAGTTGTGTCAGCTTTGAATCTTATTTTGTATGGATCGAAAGGTTTTATCGCGTGTGAATCTGTAGTCAATCAAATTGGAATCAATAATAAGTAAGATTTTTTTCTGAAAACTCAAAAAATGCTGAAAATTTTTCATCCCTTCTGAATTCAAAAATCAGACCAAAAATCTTGATGAGGTCATTGAATGTTAATAGGAAATACTTCAAACATCAAGTGCACTTATTCACATATCTCAACAAGTACAGAAATTCTGATCTTTTTCCAGAGATACTAATTTCAACTTTACTCAAGAATGCAACTCACAATGTTTATGTTCAAATGCAAAAGTCTATCCAGTTTGTGACAAATCTGGTTTTGCATATTTCAGTCCGTGTCATGCAGGTTGCCGTGAAGCTGTTCAAATTGGTGAAAATCCACTTTTAGTAAGGAGATCTTTGAAAAATTTATTCAACAATGTTTTTTTTCTTCAGGAATTCACATCTTGCCAATGTGCAGCTGGCGGTGTTGTTAGCAGTCGTTACTGTAAAAATACCTGTCAAACATCCAAAATATTATTTTTCATAACTGTTTTACCATCAGCATTTGCAGCTGGTCTTGGAGTTGTTCCAGGAATGTTAATATTATTGAGGTTTGTTTACGATTTGAGTTTTTTTCACTCTCGAAAATAATTGTTTATAGATCTGTGCCACCTGAATCTCGATCTCTCTCATTGGGTCTTCAAGGAATGGCTGTATCCATTTTCGGAACGTTACCATCGCCCCCACTTTGGGGATTAGTTATTGATTCTGCTTGTTTGGTTTGGAGTAAAACTTGTGATGGTTCAACTGGTGCTTGTTCAATTTACGATCCTGAAAAGCTTCGATATTATATGCACGCGTTATATGTACTCATTCGATTAATATCTTTGTTGACTGATATTTATGTCTGGAAACATTGTAAAAATCTGAATATTTTGGATGAACCTGTGAAAGAGGTAAATTTAATATTTTCAAAAGTAAAAACTAAATTTAGTTATTGTTACAGGAAAAGGACGTTGCGGTGCCCATGACGAATGTCGCCCAAGCTGAAATATAAAAAAAACATTGATAAATAGAAATATATAATTTATACATTCCAGTCATAATACTTTACAGGTATTTTTTTCTATAATGTGTCTGTACTATTCTTCATGTTTAACCCCATATTGTAATAAATTAATAATTTTTCAAGTTCAACAAGAACCAGTACGTTTTCCAAAAAAAAATCGGTGACAAAAACAAACTCAGAAGCAGGAAATTTGAGTCAGTAATGATGAATCTCGGGATTCGAGATCACGAGAATTTCGAATTTTGATGACTTTATTCTGGTGTTGATGTATGCTGTTCATCGAAAGCATTTTTCTGATGATTTTATGTGACATTTATTAGCAATATTCTGAATTATAGAATGTGAATCATAGCTATGCGTGTTTGATTACAAATCTGACATCCACGAAATCAAAAAGTGCAAGTGGGCATATCATCCTGCGTGTCAGGCATTGCCAGGCTATGCAAACGTTGACTGAAATTGTATGAAACTACAAATTGTGTAAAAAAAAAACAAGATATGATAAGTAGAGTATTGTTTTGATGGCAGAAGTCACTTTGGGAATAATAATGGGCCAAATGATAAACAAATAAATCAAGAATCTTTCAAAAAATGTCATAGTCCCTACGTGCAATTTTGTTTTCCAATGATGTCGTCAAAATGCTATTGAATAGCTCAAATCTCGCAATGTTATTTTGAGAATTTGGAAAATAAACTATCTTGTTGTTATGTTAATTTGATGCTTCTTTGAAGCTACGTGAATTCTTTTTAATCTCAACCCCTCTCCTGTGTTTTCATAGATTTGCAATATTATTTGCAATATTTGTGAACGTCAGAGTCATGCAACTACAAAAAAACAGAATCCAATTTGCTTGCGTGTTGAAAGCAATATGATAACGATGGAAATTGTATTTGAAAATGTGTATGAAGAAGATCAGTAATGTGATTGAATGAATCATCGATTTGCATAACAAAAACAGAGGCGATGTATATTTTAAAGATTCCAATGACCCTTTTCCCGGCCACAAATTTCATTGAAAGGGGATTCACCCATTCTGAAATTCACCCATTCTTTGCCAAAAGACTGAAAAGTTCCCTTGTGAATTTATTGTATCTAATTTATATTTTGAATAATTTGTTGAAATGCGTCACGGATTTGAACGACAAAAAAAAACTAAAATTATCATCCCATATGTACGTGCAAAATATCCAATTCTCCAACTGACGACAAAAATACAAAACTTTTATAATTCTTCTATGAAGCCATTCCGTTTCAATGCTAAAAATAAAATAATAAATTGGATTAAGAACAATCAGTTGGAAGATTACATATATCCTTTATTAATATTTTCTGAAATTAATAAAGATTTTCTCACATTCAGAAATTGTTTTTGGCATTTTGAAGTTGTTCTCAAATCCTGGGAGATTCTTTTTTATATTTCGAAAGATCGTGAGTGATTCGATAGAAAAGCAAAACGGTTTTCAATCAAGAAAAGGGCATACAAAATCCCAAAGCGATTTGTATTTCGAAGTCTAGACGGTGTGCAAATGATTTTTAAAAATGTCAAGGTTGTTTTTCAATATGTTCTGGTTCGATTTCCCAGTTGTTTTTCTCCCCAAAACTTTTCCAGATCGCAGCCAATTCCTTCCCATTCTTATTCGTAACCATTTTCCCAACAAGAAAAAGAACAATATATTGTTAAAATATGTTTTATGCGAGAAAGGGTATTTTGCATACAAATGGTAAATATAAAGAAAAATAAAATGAAATAAAAGGAATAGTATGCATGTGTGAGAAAAATATATATATGTATGTATGGATAAAAAAATGAAAAAAAAAGGAGAAGAGAAGAAGAAAATTGGAGATCAGAATGGCGCAAAAAAAAACAAAACAAAACGTATCACAATTAATTTCAGTAAAAAACGGTTTGGGACAAAAATACAGTATGCAGTAGGAAAATGGATTTCTATATCACTGGAAAGAAGAATATATTATTATAATTATTATTATTGATAGGGATAGGGAGACCGAAAAATCACAATATTATCAGATAAAGAGAAAAGATGTACATAAGCTGAGGGAATATTTGGTACGGGGGAAGAAATTTGGAAAAAAATCATCAAAATATATGAATGTATGTATATTTGAAAAATAAAGGGAGGGAATGTGTGAAAATTGGAGTTATTAATATAAAAATAATAATGGAAAGTGATGAGAATTGGAAATGGAAAAGAAAAGAATTGGGAATGTAACTGGACGAGTCATGGACAGAAAAAAGGGGGAAAAGAATAGACAGAAATGGGACAAATAATATAATTACGTGTACATAAAGGATTCACGCAACAATAATCAAAACCAACACGTTATTCCAAGTTGTTCAAAGGGCTGCCACAAATATTCTACAGAGAGTTAAGGTTGAGGTCTAGAATTTATTTCAGAAAAATTTCAAATTTTCGTCGTGAAAACGAATGTCCTTCGAGATTTTCAGACCCGCAACTCTCAATTTTCATTCAGTTACGCTTATGCAAAATTTGGTGAGTTTGATCTCGAGCTTGAACAAAAAACAGTTTTTATCATTGGAGCGCGTTTTCAGAAAATTCTTTTTAAAAAAATTTTGAAAGAAATTCGCTCCCGTTGATACAAAATGTTTTTCTTCGAACACTCGAGCAAGCTCTCACGACCAAAAAAGTTTCTAAACGTTTTATGGCAGCTTTGGAATAACGTGTAAACTGTGGCAATCAAACAGGAGAATCTTGAGGAGTCTCCTGTGCTTGCGGTACAGTTCGTCTTGAAAATCGTCGCATGATGTTCGCGGCGACAACACGCCACACACGTCTACGTCGTCTTCTTGATGCCGTTGGTTGTTGTGCTTCGACATCTTGATCAACCGGTTGTGCTGATGGTGAAAACGTTGATGTTTGTGGTTGATCTTGTTGTGGTGGTGGTGGTTGTGATACTAATTTTTGACGTGTTGCCAGCGGCTCATCCTATAGTTCCTCTAACACGCCGTGATCTCCGACAAGACCTTTGTAAAGACGCGAAGCCAAGAACCGTGGATAGCTATCGCGTTGCATGAGAGTGAAAATTTGATTTTGGGCATCATCGAAAGTCGATGCCGATGGGCGACTCATATTTGAGTTGACGATTTCACGAACACGCGAATCAAGCGATACCTCCTTTGGTGAGAGAATCGAGATGAAATCCTCGTAAATGATACGAGCCTGAAAACAAATTCCATGTTTTTCAAACCATATTCGTTTTTATGAAAACTCTTCAATGTTTCTAAAAGTTATTAAAAAATTCCATATTTTCATTTGAGACATTAAGCTCTGAGTAAATTGAATAATTTTAAATTTTTCACGGTGATCACTAAAAGCAAATCGAATTTCTTATTCATCATCATCGTTTTTTTTCACGAAAAAGGCTCCCGATTCAATGAATAAAATATGATCCTGATGTGAATACGCACAAACCGTGAAGTAATTTTTTTGCTCGCTGTTACAAAACAATTAGAATCAAAACCAACCTTTTCCTCGATTTTTTCCGCATTCTTCTCGCGTTTCAATTCTTCGCAAGCTTGCCAGAACAAAATGTTCTCATCCGAATATTCGCCCTTGAGGAACTCGGCAAAATATTTTTGACCCACTGAAAAAAAATTAATTGAAAAATCTGGAATATGAGAGAAAAAACAATAGAAATAATCTAACTTACAGCGATTTTTCATCAAATCGTCAAACGAGAGAGCCCAACTGTAGACAGTTTCATAAGGCAACTTGTCCGGTCCATTTTCAGCAACAGACGAGACTGGCTTTTTCTCAGCCCCAACGCTTCCACTGAAAATTTGAAAAAAAAATTGGATGAAAAAAAAATAATTGCAAAAATTCTACCTTATACAAAATTTCATGTTTTTTTCTAGTGTTGAGAATAATTTTTTAATTCTTATGAGTTTTTTTTTAAATTCCATAAATTGAGAAAATGTAACTCGATATTTAAAACTCACTTTGTCGAAGAAATACGACCACCCATAATGCAAATATGAATTATGCTTTTTTTGTGGAAGACTCAAACCCACAAAAAAACAGATAATAGGTTTTTTTCACAATTATTACATATGGTAAGGCCCCGCCCACTTTCAGCTCGTTTTACTCATTTTTATGTGATATGTATATGTGAAATGAGAGAATAAGAAGGGTAGATAAGAAAGAATAAAAAATGAATAGAGATGAAGAGAAAAAGATTTTGAAGAGAATTGATATACCGAAGGAAGGAAGTTATAATTAAAATACTCACCTGTGATTTTGCCCCATGAAATTACAATCGCAGGTAAGAATTTTCATAAGCATACTACAAATACGTCGAGCTCTCACCCACGTCGTTGTTGTTTTTTTCAGAGCGGCACCCGATGCTTCTGCTCCTTCTTCTTCTTCGTTTTTTTTATCTCAGAGTCGCCTTCTGCTTCTGCCTTTGGCCTATATCGATTTTTGTTTTTTTTTCTCTTTCTTTCTTTTTTTTTGTGGAAAGTGGAAGTAGAAAAAGAGACGAAAAGAAAACGGAGAAAATGAAGAAGGGATAAAGAGCTGGAGAGACGCAGAGACAACTCTTCCTCTTCTCTTTTTTTTTGCGTTTCGTGTACAATGGTTGGAAAAGAAGAAGAAGAATAATAATAATGGAAAAATAACAACACACAGAAAAAATGGAAAACCACGCCTTTTTTCACAGTTTTGGAAAAAAGTATGATATGAATAATAAAAAACTATTGGGTTAGCTTTAAGAAATGACGAATTGTTACAGTACCCTTTATTTGAACAATAATATGACGATTGTTTTCCCCAAAGAAAATATGACGTTTTCTCTCAAACTACAGTATCTAATGTCAATTTTCAAGAAAAATAAAACAAAAACCAATTACAGTATCTCATAAAAAATGATTTTAATGCGTATCAAATTCTGAAAATCCATAAACTACAGTATAACTCCATTTCATATGAAACACATAAAACTACAGTATACCCATCCATTTTCGCGCGTTTAATGCATTTCAACCCATTAAAAATAATGTGACTAATTTTTTAAATACGTTTTCTCTTATTTTTAGAAGCCACTCAATTTTTTTGGAAATATAAGGGAGCAGCTTCTTCTCAAAAGAAAGAAAAATGAAATAAAACTAAAAGCTTTGAATTTTTCGAAAAAAAATAATGAGGGCGCCACGAAGCGTATATTTAATGTTAGTTAGAGAAAATAATAAAGAAAATTGTCATTTTTTCTGCTCATTTTTTTCTTGTGATACATTTTTTGCATCCATCCATAATTATACTTTTCCTGCCCTTGGTATACTGTACTTGATTTCTTGGTGGTTCTGACTACGAGTTAGGTTTTTCTTCTTTATGAGAGGAGTAGAAAAAAAAATAATATTGAGTCTAAGTTTCTTTGGGAAAAGAGTATATGTATGTATGCCTTGCGATCCGATTACATGTGCGCGCGCTCGCCTTTGGCAACAAGAAGAAGAAGAAAAGATCAAGTTTTCAGGAAATGAGCAGAAAAAAATGAAATCAAATAGTGGTTGGAGTGGATCATTTGTAGAAGAAAATGAAAAACGAAGTGATATACTACTCATGTCATTGTGTAGTGATAAAGTATGAAAAAAGTACAAGTGACACGCCTCTAGAAAGGGAGGGATTTGGAAATTTGATAGAAAAAAAATTGGATATTGAAAATCTCTTCATTAACTTGTTGCAAACAAGTTCAAATTTCGATACGAGAAAAGGAAAAGTGACCGAAAGTCAATGTTGCAAAACGCGATTCTTGATCAACAACTCTCACTCAAGATTTAGTTGAACACCGTTGTGAACTCTACAATTAAAAAGATCAAATCTCATTTATAATTATAAGAGGCATATGATCTACACTATAATAAATATGGGGTTTGGTTGAAAACAAAATTTTGCAAAATTTTTAATGGATTTGTTTTTTGAGAGGGATCGAACATGTTTTTTATTATGGAAGAAGAAAACCAGTGGTTTTTGGTTAAAAGTTTGAATTTCTGGAAAGTTTAGGAATATTGAAACTATCATTGTTTTCATAAGTTGTAGTGTTCCACATGGTACAGTATCAAATGTTCTGAAAATCTAATTTCTGACGAAGATTGCACTCGTGTTCAAAATATAATAGATAGCAACTAAAGGAAACTTATTTGAAACAGCTTACGTAACAAAATCGTCAGTTTCTCTCTAAATGCCCGACTTTTGCTACCTTTTTTCACATAACTATTTGCAGGTGATATTTTTCATTCTGATTTCTCAGATTTGCTGGAAAATATCGAATGTTCGCAACAATGCCGTTTTGGTGTTCTGGAGGAGCGCCAAAGTCGTACAAGCGTTGTTAACTTTATCAACAAAAAGGTGTCGCTTTCAGAGCAGCAATGCGGTAATCCTAATTAATAGGGCACCATTAAAATACTAAATTCAAAACTCCTAACATCAATTGAACTCATTCTAGGTTTTTAAAAATTTATGTAGCATCGTAATCTGAAGATAACCTAACTCTTGAGCTTAACTCATTCTCTGATTTTTTTTTCTCGAAGTTCGAGAGTACGATGTTGAAACATTCCAAAAACTAGCCGTCAGTTGTTCTTTCGTTTTTATTCTAGATCATTTCGAGCAGAGATCCAAACTTTGTCATTTACTATAACTCAAAAAAAAACCTTTGAATGATGACATTAGGAACTTCCCCATGTGAGTAATAATAAATGTACTTTTCCTGAAAATCAGGAATAATTAGCAAAGTACATTTATGATAAACGTAAATCGTATAGTTGCACTTTGAATCATCAATAATAATTTTTGACTAATTCTCATACTATACGAAAACCTATGCCCTTTCCAAAATTGTCAGCACAGTTAGTCCCGGTTGTCATGGATATTTCGAAACTTTCAAATTTTAGGAAAACGTATGATCTATCAAAAAATTGCCAATGATAAGCCTATTAGTAAACAATAAAACCGTTGAAGATCCGAGAAAAAAAACCGAATGTTCGTCGGGGAAAAATGAGCAGAAAAACGAGAGGAATACATTAATAGTTGATGAGTTTTCAACAAATTCCGAAACAAAGAAATTCGAGAAGAGGAAGAACCATAAAATTTGAACTTTGCAAATGTCGCAAATGCATCTTTGTGTGTTTTTTGGCCGTATTTAAAGTAATCTATACTTTGTTGGGCGAACAGAGAAAAAAAACTTAATAAAGCTTTATGGAAAATTGTGTTCCCAAAAAACCTCTGCTGGATATCTCGATATTGAAAATTGTCTATTGAAATATAAATATGAACTTTTTTCGGGGATAATAAATGCAACATAGATTGGTTACAGTAAGCCTATGAATTCAAAAATCCAAAATGTAACATGGATTTATTGTGAAAAATGAAAAAATGTGAATTTTCAGTTGGACTAATCGAATTCACAATTTTCTAACCCTTTCTCTCAATTGCAAAAAAAAGATATTCCAATTCGGATCTACAGTATCCCGAAACATTACCAGAAGAAGCATTTCTTGCATTTCTTTGAAGCTTTCTTGGAGCATTTCGGCTTTCTTGAGAAGATCTTGGTCAAACGAGCCTTGATTGCATCAGCCTTTGGAAGATGGATTGAGCGAGCAACCGCAAGAACCGAGATGGTTGAAAGCTTGACAACAGTAGCCACTTGACGCATTGACATTGTTTTCAGACAAGTTGTTTTTCCGAAGAAGTAGAAGAAACTAAAACAAGCTCAAACTGATTAGCAGAAAAAGAAGGGGAAAATGAGGAGAAAAACAACAGGTATGAGTAAATGAATTAGTCGGATGGATTAGGGGAGGGGCGTTTGAGCTAGTTGATAAAGCAACGAGACGGGCAGGTACGGAGTATATAGATTTTTCGAAAAAAAAAGTTGTTTTTATGAAGGTGAGCTGTTTTTGGGAAGCAGTACAATCTCCAGGGAATGCAACGCAAATGAGTTATTCGGAAAATACAAAAACAATTAAGATGATACCGTAGTTCGATATGTGATAGATATTTGATAGAGAAAAACAATAACAATGTTGGATAACAAGCTAGAGAAACAATTTTGACCAATGTTTCTCCAAAAGTCAGTTTTGAAAATCTTGAACGTAATAATTTTTTGACGTTATACACTTTGTATCTTGTAGAAAGAATCCTCCATGTTTCAGCTGCCTTGAAACTATTCCATACTTTTCCAAATTCAGACAAATTAACATTTTTCTTACAAAAAATACCAGTACAGTACTCCCCTCTTATCCAATTTACAATAACTCACCTTCTTTTCAAAATCTCCTTATTAACGCTATCACAACAACACATGAAATGTTTGACAAAATTGCAAATTTTGTAGAACATTAGTGAAGCAGACGAACAAGAATAAAAAGAAATTTGTTTTAGTTTCAGTCAAGAAATAAGCAGTCAGGCCTTTTCCCCCCAGAAGGTGCCAATTACCCTTTTACAATCCATTTCTTCTCTAGTTAGCCCCGCCTTTTGTCTTTTGAGATTGAAGAATGGTTTGGTTAAAACCACCCCAGTTATTTTTCATTCTTGTTCTTGGTTTTTATTCTCAAGAAAGAACATATAGATTTTTTTAATGAAAAAACAACTAACCTGACATATGCTTTACCATTTGATGATTGAGAAACACAGACGATCATTCGACCAAAACAGTCCCCAGCACACGCCATTTTTTTCCAGAAGTTTTCAAAAATTTTTGCAAATGTAGAATATGCTATTCAGCAAAAATGAGAATGAAGCCAACCTGGAAAACTTTATTTGTTTTTCTTCTGGAAGGAATTCAGTTTAATTAAATTTCAGAGAAAAAGTTAAAATAAAAGATATCTGAGTCATCAAATGAAATCTAAATTAAAAGAAAAGTGTTGTCATGAAATGTCAATCTGGAAGAATAAAAATCTGGCAGAATGAAAAACTTTGGTTTCTAAACACATATTTTTTCAAGACAAAATGCAAAAAATCTAGAAACATCTGGCGATATTTTAAAATAAACTTTTTCTGCATTGTTCAGAGATGAAAGATGAACGATTTTTTATGAACGGAAAACTGGAGAGAATCGGATGATTTTTCGATTTTTGAATACAAATGAGACAAATCTTTTAAACGACTTCAACAAGTTCTTTCATAATCTACCGTAGTTTTGGAGTGAGTGAAAATCTTTGATCTACATTTAAGGGATTCAAAAGCTGGGCAATAAACTTGCTCCAAAGATCAGCTTAAACCTTAAAGTGAACAATAAAAAGATTAAAAAATTAATCAAGTCTGAAAAACATGTTTAATAGGTTTCTCATGTGCCGAAAATGTTCTTTCTGAAAAAAACGAACAGACAGGTGTTTTTGAAAAGTTCAGAACATGAGACAATAAACTGGGTTTTCAGATGTCTCAATTCTGAAAACTAGTTGTTTTTTTTTAATATGATAGTGAATTTCGAAATTTCTTTCTTAATACTCGTGTTTTCGAAATCTCAAACATTAAAACTGACCTAACAGAGTATCATATTTACTCTAAAACACAATGTTTGAAACAAAAAATTCAGAAAGACTGGAAATGTGAGATTTTCGGGCGGCTACTTAATAACTGAAATTGATCGCATGTCGAATGTATGAAAATTAGGTTAAACATCGCGTCCAAAAAAAAACGTTTTTTTCTGTGTCAGCTTTGATTCATTTTGTGCTTCATTTGGTTTGTTTGAGCAATAAATTTCGAGCTCATAAGAGCAGAAAACAAACGAAGATACATATCTCGAATTGAATATGTACATATATGGGAGGAAAAAATCCAATTTGTTCACTCGTTTTTTCACTCATTCGAATTCATACGCCACCGGAAATTGCTATATTTATAGATGGAGATAAAAGAAAGAAAGCAAAAAAAAAAGATGGGACCAAGTATCGGAAAATGGAGAAAAAAATGCGGACCATTCACATGAATTATTACTCTGTGACTAGAGAAAAAAAACGAGGAAAAAAGAAAAACGAAGACTAGATATACATAAGTGAATGAGTTAGGAGCTTGAACATCTTTTAAGATGAGATGTTCATTCGAGAATGAAATATGACACAATAAAAAATACGATTTGTTTGGAAAAAACCAATATAAAAACTCTTTCTCTTTCTCTCGTTTTTGTTCAACAATAAATATATATTCTTTTTATTGATTGATTGATATGAGGGTGGATTATAAATTATAGAAGTTTCAGAATCATATAATTCATCATGTTTAACTTTGATGGAGTTCTAAAATAAATTGGTTCTCATAGGTTTAAATACATATTTGATTTTTTCACACACCTTCTTTATATTTTGATCACAAACAAATATTTTTAGAACTATGATGAATTCTTATTTAGCTCTGCTGTTTTGAATTGATCTATTGAAACTGTGTAATTATATTATGTACCGTAGTCTCGTCAAAGAAAATTCAATTTTCAGCACTCAACCTTTTGCTTTCAACCTCACATCATTACAAAACAACTATAATCCAATTTTACACACAATTTAACAAAAGAACGAGAAAATCATGCAAAAAAGTCACTTTAATACTACTTACTTAGGTTTTGATTTGAAACTGATCTAGCCTAAATCTTTTCCATTAATTGGAAAATGTGGCAAAAACAATTGTTTTTATGACTTCCTGACTGCTCTTGTCTTTTTTTGTTATTTTATTTTTATTCATTCATTCATTCATTCAATTTTGTTCGTGTTGAAAAAAAACACAAGGATGGAGGCAAAAATGAGGGATTGTCATCAAATATGTATGAAATTTGAACCAAATTCAAGTCGAGTGGAATCTTTTTTAACTTGTTAGCTTCAATGATTTTGGTCAAGGAACACATTCATCTATTTTTCATATTGTTTTTCGGAAATAACTTTTTTCCAATTTGGTTTTTTGGTTTAAAAGGGGAACAAATGAAATCATAAAAGCACTTTTTATCTGACATTTACAGATAAATACATCATAATTCTTAGGATTGTTTTTTCGCAAAAACAATACACTCGGGAGTTCAATAAATTATTGAAAAATAATTAACAAAATTGTGGTATTTGCAAATTATTGGGTTTTTGAGGGATTGAAAAACAAAGATTGGGAAAAATGCTAGAAAAATGTCTCTCTTCTATATAATTTTGCGTAACTGAAAAATATTCATTTTTCAAATAGACTCAAAGAACTTTCATTATACTAATGAAACTGTGCTAAAAATGAGTTAATATTGAAAGAACATCACTTTGCAATTCAGGCAATTTCATTAGAAGTCCCTTATAACATGAAACCTCAGATATCTTTGAAATAGCGTGGAAATAAGGTTTGAAGTGTTCATTTTCGTTATATGTTCTTACAAAATTCAATTCTAAATAATCACAAAAATATAAACAGATGTGAAACTTTTACTTATGTTAGAGATATATCGAACCATTTATGATTCGAATAAATACAAAAAAATAACAATAAGAAAAAAAATAAAATGAAAATTGAAGAAAAAAATAGATATATAAAGGCGTCGCCACAAAGTGACAGGAAAAGGTTTTTCAAATCATTCATTCAAAATAATATGCAACAGGGCGCACTTACAACCTTACCCTTTTTGTGTGGGAGGGTCGTAATAATCAATAATATTGTTTCTGTATGTTGGGAAATTTTAAGGATATTTTTTGTTGGTATTTTTCAATTTTATCTCATTTTTTCTCCAATTTTTTCATACAAATTTTTTTTTTAATTTTGACCGGAATATGCAAGTTAAACTAAAATATCATTGTAAAAAATAAAATTAGAGATAGTTAAAGATGTATATGTAGAAATCTTTGTGTAACTTTGGCGATTTTTGAAAAAAAACATTTTTTTTCAAAATTCGATTGTTTTGAGTATTTTTTTTTCATATTTCTTGTGAGCATGGCTGAATAGGTTAATGTTATGTGTATATTTTGGCGTTTGAAAGCATTTCGCTACGGTGTTTTTACAATTTTTTTTACGTCACACATCTTTTCATGAAAATGTTTCAACATCAGACGCAATTTTAACCTCATCACAGCTCCTTTTGTTCTGCATCTATTAACATTGATCAAAACATCGCCATAAAGTTCAAAACAGTATCAATTGATAACAAAACAACAATGATATTAGAAAATCAAGAAAAAAACATTCTGCAAACATTTATCGGTTGCTCGAAATGATAAGATTTTTGCTCTAAAATCAACCCCGAGAAAACATTTGTAGCCACATACCGACGTTTTATCAACATTATAAGATTTTCATTTTCTCGCACACATTTTCATAAATTCAGAATTATAATTTAAAAATTCAGTTCTATGTAAACGATTCGATTAAAAAAAACAATTTTCACAAAAATATCGCCAAACGTCTGATTGAAACTACCATATCTCAGAAAAACCAAAAAATAATAAATGGGTTCAGAAACTGAATAATTTTCTCACGATTAGAAAAATTATTATTGAGAATATTTGAAAAATATTCTTGGAAGTCTGAAAAATATCAAAGTTCAGCATCTATCCTGACAGAGAACACATTTTTGTGTTGAACTGTTGTTTCAATGATACAACGCATAAAATATATTTATTTGAAACCACTTCCATTTTAAAATTTGAATAATTTATTGTTTTTTGATTTTGAAATGAATATTATGATAAATGAAACGACCAGCAATAAAACTGAAAATAATAAAGATCAAAACATCGAAATGAAAATAAGTGAAAAGACTAAAATTATTAGATTGTAAGTCCAAATTGACAGGATACTTGAGAACAAAATCAATCCACTTCAAAACTCTTTCATTTGCCGAAAATGGTCGTGTTTTGATCAATTTTGCAATTCTTTTCGCGTTTTTTTGATATTCAGAGTTTTCCAAAATGTTTGATATTTCATTATAAAATGTTTCATCCTTGATTGTTTCTCTTGATATCATTTTTCCAGCTCCACGTCTTTCAACAGTTTTAGCATTTTTGAATTGGTCTGTGAAAACTGGCATAAGAACCATTGGAACACCATATGACATTGATTCCAAAACACTATTCATTCCACCATGTGATACAAAAAGTTTCAAGTTCGGATGCTCTATAATAAGAACTTTATGTTGTGTTTACCTTTTATGTATTCTTACTCAACACTGCATTTTGAGGAACCCAATCAACCAAATTGATGTTTTTCAGAGAATCAAACATTTTTCGTGATTCTAAATCCTCTTCCGCTAATTTCAAAACAAAATGATAGTTTTGCAATTTCTCAATCGCATAGATTATTGATCTTTTTATTCTAGAAGGAAGCAATTTGAATGGTGCAACAGTTCCAAATGATATGAAGATTGATCCATTGATTCCTTTGTTAAAATATGAATCTAGTTCCTAAAAAACAACACTTTTGTTTTAATTGCTCTTTGCATCATACAAAATTGATAAGAAAGATTGTATGACCTTTGAATTTGTTCAAAGTTTACCTCACAAAGTGTAGCATTTTCATAAGATCCTTTTAACATTCCTACATATACAATTTTTGATGATACAGGTCTTGCAATATCAAACATTTCATTAGTATTCACAAAAACAACGGAAACATTTCGAACCAATTCAGTTGTTGAAGGAAAATTGGGGTGCACATGAGTCCGGAAAATCTCCATTATCCATTTGTCGATCATATGATGAACAATTATAGATTGTGTATATTTATAAGTGTTCACTAAACGTTCAAAGAACCCCATTCGATCATGATTTGGATTCTCCTCAATTGATGGAACATACGATGCTGGAGCTGGAATTCCTAAATCCCACGCAATTTTATCCATAAGTGGCTCAGATGATAATAACGCAATGTTTTTGATTCCAAGAGACCTGTAAGCTAGATTACATATCATTACCATTTCAATAGGAAAGGATATGAGATCTAACTCACCTGACAACTGCAAAATTACAATAATCAATATCTTCCACAATTGCCATATCAAATTGATAATCAATTAGATGTTGAAGCCGATGTTTTTGTTCTGCAATAGCTTTACACATCGGAATCCACCATGCATATTCAAATCTCAATCTATCGAGAAATCCGATATGTGTATCCTCCAAAACATCAGAGAATGTTTCATGGAGTTCATCATATTTTGAACCTGAAAATATTAGAAAATAAGTATAAATAATATTTGTTATTCTATATGGGGGAAGTAAAGTATCAAATAGAAAAATCAGCCAAAAAAAGGAAACAAAGAGAAGAACAGGTTTTTTTGAAAATGAAAAAAACGAGGTAAAATAAAACCTTGGGACCCGAGGTCACTCACTAATATTTTGAAGTCGCCACACTTTGGCATGTTTTGCGCCGTTGAAATCATCAAGTTGTGAAGTGTAGGTTGGTATGAAGAGAACCTATAATAAAATATATTTGTGAGGAGCGAAGTTAGACAAAAATTCAAATTCGATTTCGGCGAAAAAAGGAGGAGAGTGCAACGAGAAAATTGAAGAAATGAAATGATTGAACGTTTTCTCAGCGTCTCCAACTTTCCGATGCTATTTCAATGTTTTGCTGACTGACTAACTGACTAGCAAAAAGAGGGACCTTCTTCGTAGTTATTTGAAATAAGATGGGAAAATGTTTTTTTTCTTCTTCCCTACTTTCTTCTTCTTTTTTTTTCTCAACTCAACTCAACTCAACAAAAAAAGTCACCCATAAAAAATGTGCCCTTCAACAACAAACCGTGTCGTGCTGAGCATTATGTAGAAGGTCGGCATATTTTGCACAAAGGAGCACATGACTTTTACTGATTGATGGACAATAGACTAATATTTTAGCACTTTCGGTGTCTTTTGGCACCCATAATAAGGTGAGAAAGAATAATAAAAGAATCATGGTCTCTAATGGTAACGCAATTGTTGTTGGAAGAAGAAACAGACAAAAATTAGTCGTTTTTGTTTGGGGTGGGTCAACCAGAAATTGATAAGAGATTGATAAAAGGGCACTTTGCCTCCCACTTTTTTCTTGGATTTGCTCCAGATAATCATTTTGGGAAGTTATACAAATATAATTTATTTAATTTAAAAATAAAACCTTGAGATCGAAATGAACATGAAAGAATTGAACCTAGAAAGACACAGGGCAGCAAGAAAGACAAATCTTTGTATCCCCAACAAAACATTACTAATTGGTTCTAAAGAAAACTTAGTTTTTAAGAAAGACGCCGAAAAAATAGAAGAAGTTGAAGAAGAACGAAAAAAGGCACCCAAAAACTGACAGAAAAAAAAGAAGAGTGAAGGGAATCTACTACTATTACTACGAAAAAAAAAGTGGGCGTGGCTTGGCTTGGGATGGGAAGGAGGGGAGGGGGGGGGGGGGGGGGCTTTTTCAAAAACGACGAAACGACAACGACAAAACTCGCGCCGCCAGATTCTTATCTTTGTCGATTTATGAGTCTTTAGAGGTTTCAAAGAAAAGAAGGATTACTGAATGTCTCAAGAGACATTCAAATATACGGTAGCTAGTCAAAAACAAGAAAGATTTGATTGGGGGGTGAGGTAGCTCAGTGGTAGTGGTTGGCTGCTGGCGATCTCAGGGTCACGGGTTCGATCCCCGGTGCCCGCTCCTCCTCGATCCACCCAGTCGTAAGTGGGTAGTAGTTCGCTACGCAAGGTAAATCGGTCCCCTGCGGCAACAGGGTGACTTAAATTCCCCAAAATGGCCTATAGACGTACACCACCCGTACTCCGTGTCCGAATCGTCTGATCCGCAGTGTCCTAATAGGCGCTCGAATACGGATCTACCTTTACTTTTTTTTTTTTTTAGTAGAGTAAAGCGGGGAGAGATTCAACAACTGGAAAAGAAAATATACAGAATTTGGGATGGTTGATTTGAGAATATGAATAAATTACAGAAAATATAAATAAATGAATAAGTTAAACATAAATATAATATAATATATTACTACTGATCGATATCGATGAAATAACCATCTGCTAGAATTGATGATGTGATGAACGATGAGCAGATATTCGCAGATGTTGGACATTCTTCAATTTCTGATGATCGACCAAAACATGGTTGACCACCATTCAAAGAAGGAGGGCTGACACATGCGCGAACTCTGGAAAACAAAATTTATTTGATTTTTATTGTGAGATCTTTTCAGAATGATTATGTTTTTGGGATATAACTTTAGTTAACGATTTATAGCCGAAGATAATTCTAGGGGCACACATTTTTAAATTTTATGGGCCTTCATTGAGTGTGTTTTTGAAAATACATTTCGCTCATATGTTTTCTCGACACGGAAAATTCTCTAACATCAATCATAATATTTGAAAATCCAAATTCGTATTCAGTTTTCTTATAAGCTTCTTTGTCAGAAATGAGGGCATTTACATTAAATATAACGTCATTCCAATCAGAAGTTCGTACTCTGAATGAGAAAAAAAGCTTCAGAAAATTAGGACAACTAATCCTTCTTTTCTTTAAGCTTCACACCTCACAAGACACACACAAAAACACATAAAGAGAAAGAAATTATCGAAATCTTCATCTAAATCAGCGTCACATGTCTTTTTATATTTGTGAAGTGTCCTTCTTTTTGCCGCTAATTCACAATTATGGCTCATTGTTTATACATTCAGCGGCTGTTAATGCAAATTTTTTGGTCGTCTTTTTAGCCGACATATGGCCACTTTAACATAATATAATAATAATTAATAGTCAAGGTTTATGTATGTGCTGATTAATGGCAAAACAAAATTGAATTTGCATCTTTTCTCCCCAACTAAAACCAAGTGTAAATGATTTATAGCTAATCGCAAATCTTTCTTCGTTTTCTTCCATTCCATTGGAAGAAAAAAAAACGGAAAAAAGAAAGAAAGAAAAGGAAACATTTTCCGAAAATTGTACTTTCTTCTCATTTTTCACAAATACTACTTCTTTCATGTGAGGAGAGCAAACAAAACAAAGAGTATTCGTTTTCACACATGGTTTTTTTGTTTCATTGTGTCAAGAAAAAAAAATGTTTTTGTGTTAGGACTAGGGAAAATTCTAGAAACGCACCTGGTTCTTGTTCCAACACCACAATTACCCATACAATTTGACCATTCATTCCATGCCGACCATTCACCATCACTTTCTATAACAATTAAGATTTGTTTTTGGGGAGAAAAATTTTTTTTTGAGAAAATCTAGATAAAAACTGAAAAAATAGTGCTACCATAATTGCATGCTGGCAAATCACAAAGTGACATTTGATGAGCTAATCCGTCACAAGATTGTCCTCCCATGGGCATTGGTGAGCTACACGTCCGATCTCTTGATTGATAGCCAAATCCGCAAGATGCCGAGCATGATGTCCAATCTGTCCAAGAAGACCAACCGCCATCTCGTGCTGAGAAAATAGAAAAAAAAACAACATGCAAAACAAAATAGTGCGAGAAATGTATGGAGAAGGGATTTTGAAATAATTTTTCTCTAGAAATTTGATTATCAAAAGGAAGTTTTGCTCTATATTTTGAGAATATCACTAAATATGCTATTAATTATGATTCCTACTTATGAATGAACATATTATTGCCTTGGTTCAAAACTATCAGCTTAAAACTACATATTTCTAAAAAAAAAAATTCTGAAAAAAACACCTGGAAATGTTTTTTTTGAAATAAAAAATTTTAGAAACTATTTTCGGATAAACTATGCCCACTAAACTTTTCAGCTAAATAAATTTTGCAACCGTTGAAAAATAGTTGAAATCTTTGGAAGTGCTTATTTCAAACTGAATCTGTAGTGTAACTTAATTGAACTAAAAAAATTCTCTAAAATTTATGAAGTGCTAAAACTATATGAAACGAATAAAACTAAAAATTTCTAACTCATGCAGAAATCAAAATAATTAAAAAAAAAATCAAACTCACAATGACACTTTGTTGGATCATAACATGGTTGAAGTTCAAAATCAGAACCAGAACAAGCAGCACCTCCTTGACTAGGTTTTGGATTTGCACAGAATCTTGTTCGACTTCTATGGCCGTTTCGACAATGATCACTACATTCACTCCAATCTGTCCATTCGGTCCAGCCACCATCCACTTTTTCTCCACATTCATGATCAATTTTGCACGGTCTTTGATCGAATGAATAGCCAGGGCAATATGCTCCTCGGTTAGAAGGTATTGGTTCTCCACACATTCGGTTACGTATCTGGTGTCCCGTTTCACCACAATCTTTAGAACATGATGACCAATTTGACCAAGACGACCAACTTCCAGCAGATGGAGTGCAACTTGCAGGAACACATGGGATTTGCTCTAGAATTGGACCAGCACAGAAACCTTGAACTGTTGGATCGGTTACTTGACAGAAACGTCTTCGTGTAGATGTTAATGAGAAACATGAACATGCACTCCAAGATGACCAATCTGACCAAGATGGTGCATCAAAATCAAATTCAGATACTGAATTACTGCTACATGACGGTAGATTACTACATCTTCGACTTTCAGCAAAGTTTGAACACTGAAAAATTTATGGATTGCTTAAAATAGAATGTCTTATAATTTTACATACCTCTGCTGAATTGAAAAGACACAGTTTCTGTCTGGTTTGAACACCTTCTTTTCCACAAGATTTCGAACATTCAGACCAATCACTCCAAACAAACATTTCAAGGCAACTAATATTGTTGCATTCTTGAGTTTCAGAGCAAATTCCTTCATCGCAAGATCTTGTTCGTTTTTGAAGTCCATTTCCACAAGTCACACTACAACTAGACCATTCCGACCAATTTGAAATCGGATCAATTGGATGAATTGGTTTGCCAAATGCTTTTCTTAAATCATTACTTGTGATAATTCTTGGTCGACGTGAAGAACTTGTGTGTTCTCGAAGGCAAACATTATCACATGATTCTTCTTCAACTTTGTCTTTACAGCCTTCAGTTGTTCCATCACATTTCGCAAATCTTTGTCGAACATCAAAAGATGAGCAAGAAATACAATTAGTCCATTCACTCCATTCAAAATATGAGCTATCGCATGGTCCATTAACACATCTTCTTGTCTGACTTGCATCATTTTCTGAACAAGATCCTCTTCGACATCCACGTTCTCTAACCTGACTTCCTTCACCACAGGATGCTGTGCAAGTCGACCACTCTCCCCATTCATTCCAAATTGCAACTGACAATAATGATGGACATTGTTGTTGATTGCATGTTCGTGCTTGTTTATTTGCAACTTGGCAGAGTTGTCCGTCACATAATCTTTCTCGAATTTGAAAACCGATTCCACATGAAACTGAGCACGGCAACCAATCTCCCCACGTTTGTTGAACACATTTCTCTTCATTACAAGTTTCTTTTTCTAAATCATCTCCATCACATTTATCGTCAAGACATTTGCGAATACGATATCGTTTTCCTCCTCCACAAGTTTGTGAACAAGAAGACCATTCATCCCAATTTGTCCAACATCCTTCATTATCACACGGTCTTTCTTCTCGCAATTGTTTTCTTGAACAGAAAGATGTGAGACAAGACCGAACTCTTGTTTGAACACCCAATGCACACTTTTGACTACAATCACTCCAATCTTGCCATTCTCCATATTCAACACATTCCGGTAGAATTTGATCACACCGCTTCGACTCTTCAGAAACTCCTCGGCATTTCTGTCCAGAAGAACATTCCCGCTTTCGAATCTGGGTTCCACCTCTTCCACAAGTCTGACTACATTCTGACCACAAACCCCATTCTTCCCATTCAGCAACAGATCTTCCTCCCAATCTTGGACAATCTTCAGTTTGCTCAACCAAAGCTTTATCATCACAAGAAAGTGGCAGACATTGTCCACCAACGCAATATGAATCTGGAGCACATGGTGTTCCATCAGGAAATTGTCCTTTGTTACGAATGAGTTCAGAATCAATCAAATGGCACCAAACACGACAAGGTTGAGTTGAATCTGAAAAGGAATTCATATTTTGGCTCAAGTTAATTCCAAAAAGATCTTACGTTCAAATCCTTCTCCAGTCAATTGATGGTCAGGTTTATGTGGATCATATTTGATAGAAGAACAAATCTTATTTCCGAATTCTTCTCTGCTAAATCCGAGGCAATTACTACTTGTTGAACCACAAACAATTCCTCTGATATTTGAACCATCGCAAGATTTTCCACCATTGTTTGGACTGAAAATAATTATTAATTTTATATGTATGGATGTATAGTTCTAAAGTTTTCAGTAAAAAAAACTCACGCAGGGTCAACACAATCACGATGTTGAGATTGAACAACAATACTTCCAGATACTTGACATTGTTGAATTGGACATCCCTTTTCAGAACCACCCCATTCACTCCAAGCTCCGTCGATTGGTGCCGGTGGGGGTTGACCAATTGGCCAGTGACTACACTGACCTTTTCGGCACCACTACAATTCAATTTTTGAAACATGTTTCAAGAATTGTTGAGAAATCAACTCACTTTGTTATCTCCACACCAACTTCCTTCTAATGCTGGATGTGCTGTTGAAATGGTAGATCCACTATTTCCACACCACAAAATACGACAAATATCATCCATAACTCGACCGTTTGGAATCTCCACTCGATAATCTCGACCCCAAAAATATGCACATTGTTGATCTGCGGTGAATCGTTGACCAGGAAGTCGAACATCTGTGAGATGATTGGTCCCAACAAGACCTGGAGAAGCATCGCGAAGGCAATTACCGCGTCCAGATTCGCTGTAAATTTTTGTTGTAAAAAATGAGGGAATTTTTTAATTTTAGAATAACTTACTCAAGCTGCAGTAAGAATGCATTGAACTCTCTGACTGAACATTCAGACCAAGTTGTTTTTCCAGCACCGTTTACAGCAGACATCAAACAACAAGATCGACTACACTGATTTTGAACTCCGTCGTGTACCATACCCATGCTGGAAAAATATTATTCACCAAAAATTATAAATTTCAAAAATAGATTTCCTGGGAAATTTCAATTCCCACTCTTCATAGAACATGAAGAATATAAAATGTGTCGAAAATTAACAAAAGAATTTTACGATTTTACTAATAAATCAAGTAATTCATTTCTTGAGATTTCTCACAATTTTTGCATAATGGGCCTATGCAAAATCATATTTGGTAATAAAAAACATTAAAAAACAATATATGTATGCAGAAAAATGTCGAAGAAAAAAAATATACAGTTTACTATTTTCGAGTGGAGACAACACGAAATGAGAGAGTGCAGAAAAACTGATTTTTTGCACAAAAAATACAAGAAACTATTTTTCTGTCTGCGCTCTCTCATTTCGTGTTGACATTTTTCTGCATAGGAAAAATATGTTTTTTTAAAATGTTTTTTATTACAAAATATTATTCTGCATAGGCCCATAACTCACTTGTGTCCCATTTCATGAGCTAACACAAAACTTCTTCCCAGATGTAACCCTTCCACCAAAGAACAAGCAAAAAGTGGATCGCACATTCTTGCAACCGGTGCAACTCCGGCGACAGAAGTAGTTGTATGATAAATGTCATATCCAGTAAGAAGTACACCGTGATCCCAATGGTTCATATCCGTCAAATCAGTTCCAGGATTCATATGTGCTTGATATCTACAGAATGAATCGAGAAGACTTTGCGCTTGACCATTTTTGTGAACAGCTGTGCTCAAAGCGCTCTAAAATTTAGAAATTGGTCCAAAACTTAAAGAAAAGTTAACTTACAGGTTGTGTTTTCCACATTTCATATCTGACAATAACAATTTCAAGATTTGGAGTTAGCGTATCTTGTTGGTATAAAACATGAACATTATTGATGAGAGCTAGAGAAAACTCTAGAAGATGTTGCTCAGCATTTTGGATATATTCTCTGAAACATTGATTTTTTGTTTTTCTATTTCGATAAATTATAATACCTTTGAAAATGTTCATAGAGTTTTGAATCCAAAAATAAACCGATTTCTAGAGTTATTGGATCCATATTCGGAAAAATGAATGGGGAATCCAGTTGAGCAGATGATGGAACAGTGTAATTGAAATGCAGATGGGCTGGAATTGCTGAATAGGAAAAGCTTTTTGAAATAAGCACAAGCAAAATATAAAAGTTATTGCAAATGTTACCCGCAAAAGCAAAAAACCCCAGAAGTTTACATGTTTTTCTATAAAATTATTTTCCCATTTCTCACTAACTCATTGAAGGATCATCCAATGATTCACTAGTATCACAAAATGATTCTTGAGATTCCTGTAGTTTTGTAATTTCTTCCCTTATTCGCCTTTCCGAATCGGTTAACAAACCAGCAGCCCGTTTATACACCAAATGCTGTTCTTTCTAAATGAAAAAAAAAACGAATTTTTAAGCGGATTAAAAAACGAAAAAATAGTGAAAAAAACCTGAAGATGTTGAACTCGTTTTGGTAAAGTTTGCAACACAAGAAAATGATCTTCCATTACAATTGATCCCATAAGGGCGCCACAGTCGGAAATTGCTGCTTTCATATTGTTATGCGATTTGACAGTTCCCTGGAACAAAATCGTTGAATGATCTTTGTTATAAGAATCATTTTTATGAAGTTTTGGGTATAGAAATTTTGAGGATGAGCCAAGCAGTCGCTCAAAAAAGTATATTTAAAAAACCAAAACTCATGAGAATTCCTAGTAATTTCATCAGAACTTTGAATGCTTGTGCTTAGTCAAGGAATTTATGCTATATCGAGTTTCTTCCAGAAGGTTTAAAATATTAACAAACTAATGTTTCGAAATTATTTAATCTTATTTCAATATTTGACTAGACCACACATATTATTTAAATTACTCATCGCATCTCACTTTCACCTCGTTTTTTTTCAAAAAAATGTGTAATAAAAAAGAAAAATGAAAACAAACCTGATAGTGGCATTGTTGATAATCTCGTAAACCATTGAAAGTGGTTACGTCATCTTCACCATGTCGAATCACAGAAATCTGCAAAAAAATGGGATGAAAACTGAAATAGAAAGTGATTAGATTACATAAGCGTTCACTTTCATCCAACTTTCATTTATTATGGCTACATATAATATGATAAGGATATCAAAAAAGGGCAAAAACTTACAATATGCGGACTGACTATTCGCGAATTTTTCTGTAGATCAAGATGATAAGTGTCGTTCCAAGCGATGAATTTCATTTCATGGTTACCATTTACTGACTTTTTTACTCGTGTGGTTTGTATCAAAGAATATTCCGGAACGTCATTTTTATTTGAAACCCCAAATACTTGTTTGAGCTCTTCTTCGTTTAAATGATGATGTATTGACTATAACAAAATATGGTTAGAAAAAAAAGAATGTGAGAAAACCTACCTGTGTAAATCCAAAAAATTGTATAAAAAATAGTGGGAATATTAAAAATGATAAAGATGGCATGTGCCCGTGTGATTTGTTTCGCTCATAAGCTTCACCGAACACGATTGTTTTATAATAGATGAATCACTGTAAACTGTAAAATATTTGTGTTTTATATACAATTGAAAGAGAAAGAAGGAAAAAGTAAACGACAAAAAAGAGAAATAGAGAAAGTGATAAAGAGGCGGGAAATCTTTAGCTTTTTTGGTAATATAGCCATCTGATCTGTAAAGGTCGTTAAGTAAAGCTGAAGCGATTAGAAGATATAACTTGATATGTTTCTTGATAGCATGAAATCGGAACATATGTATGCTTTGATCACTTTTTTAGAAAGAAAATTCTGAATTGGTTAAAAAAACAAGGTTTACGAAATATAGATTAGGAAAATTAAAATAAAATGTTTAAAGACACGTAGAAAACTAGAAATCGTTCAAAAATCATTGTTTGCATGTTTTTTATCATCCTTCAAATAGTGGAAGTACATAAACAAAAGTGAAAAATATTGAGTTTAGCGAAAGTCAAAAAAAGAAATTGCCTTTTTTGAAATCGCTCAGCCGACGCGAAATTTGGTGTTTGCACAAATGTCCGTGATTTGCCGCACATGTGTGCATTCTTAGCATACCGTACCACCACTTTTTATTTATTTTTTGTTTTTTCAAACGAACAACACACAACTTTGAAAAAAGGTGCGCGTTCAAATTTTGAAGATTACGAACACACATTTCTAGGTTTCTACGTGTCTTTAATGGTAAAAAATAGGAGATATTCAGAATAAGATTTTACACGGAACCCCATTCTCGAAACGCACAGAACCCGGTAGTTGGAAAAATACGATACATCATCTACTGAGTTTACATGTTTTCATTAAAACACTTATGAAAAACGTTTCAAACAAAATTTATTTATCTGAAATTCAGAATCTAGTGGAAATTAGAAATTCAAAACGACAAACATAGTCAAATCAAAATACAAATCTAGCTTATCCACTTGATTTTACAATTACTGACTTCACTTATTACAGTAAAAACCATTGTGTTTAGATGAGTCATTTGTAACACTGAAAACAGCAGGGTTTCTAGAAAAACATAAGCATCTGATGAAAAATTATTTCATTAGAACATGATTTTTCTGTCTCAATGATCAATGACATTTAATGATTCAAATTGTTATTGTTTCGTTCCTGAAAAGCATGAAAACGAAGCGAGACTAAACGAGGGAGAAAACAGTCGCAGCAGTAGCAGCAGCGGAAAAAAAAGAAGAAGACGCACACTCTACTACTCACGAACATCATCCTAACCGGTTCGATATTCATATATGTTGTCTATGTGTATATATTCATATATGAGTCCATTCTATTATACAATATCGTTTTGACTCTTGAAATACAACATTTTTTCTTTTGAAATGGAAGGTGAAATGATGAGAGTGTGTATGGTGAGGTGAGAAAGAGAATGGAATTTGAAGCGGTTTTTTTTCATTTTTTTCCGGTGGGTGGTCATTTTTTGTATTTTAAAGAGAACATGGAGTTGACAATAATCTCAAAGTTGGTTTTTTTCAGTTTTGATGATCGAAAAAATAACGTGAGTGAGAAAACAACAGTAAAAGAAAAATGAGTAACGTTTTTTTTTCAAATTCTCAAAAAAAAATCGAGCAAAAATTAGACAAAATGTTGTAAAAAAATAATGTTATCTCAAAGTTAGAAAGTTCTGAAAAGTTTTCTTTATAAATTAAGGATTTCTTAATTATATGTATTCATAATCTCAATTTAAATATTCTAAAAAAAACATAAATCACGGTGTAATCACAATCAAGATTATCTAATCGAAATTATATTCCAAGAACTAACAATTACACAATAGTCAAAAAATGCAGAAAATCTAAAATAAACTTTCGGTTGCAACACAACACAAAATTGACACAGCCAAAAGCCATCGAAAAAAACGAGGGAAAAAAGTGAAAATCTGGCAATGGCTACTTTTTGAGATGGCGAAAAAGCGAAACCGGCCAGGTATCATCATCATGAAAAAATTTCATATTTAATTGTGACACTTCTTTTCCTTTTTCTCTTTTTTTTGAAAAAAAATTGGAGAAATAAGGAAAAGTGATAGAAAAATAATTAAAAATAAAAGAATATCATTTTTGAAACGATGATAATAATAATTGTTGTTTTTTATTATTAATAAATTAACATATGTGTGTATGAAAAAATGAGGGATATAAAGAGAAAAATGGAGGAATAAAGAAAAAAAGAATATGTAAGCGATAGGTTGCTAATTGAAACCGTCAACCGGTTTTATTTTCAATCCCTCTATTTCTCTATATGATTCACACAGAGACATACAGTGATTCAATGGACAAGGGCAATCTACATAATCAACAAGCATGAAGCAGATAGATTTGCCTTTCTGAAACTTGAATAACTTTCGTTTTGTTATGTTATGTTTTTGTTGTAATCATAAATTGTAATCTCATTTTTTTCATGTCTATTTATCAAATTCTAAACTGCTAAAAAGGATATTCTCAATAAAAAGTAGGAGGGGATAATGATAAATCTGCTGTAAGAAAAACTTTATATTTATTTATCTATCTTAATGATGTTTGGAACTTTTGTAATACATATGTATGTAATTGTGACTTTTTTTGTTGAATGAAGATTTATAATCATTGGATATAACAGGGAAGTTTTCAATTGAAAAGAAATATAATCAAGAATTTGATAAGGAGATTTTTTGAACAAATTCTAGAAATATATAACTTCAAAAGTTTTATCTCAAAAAAAATCAAAATTTGAGAAAGGGTAATTGATTTACTGGATAATTTGAAAAATCTGGAAATGCTTTTTGAACATCATACATTTCAAGTACTTGACATTGAAGATACAAATAAGCTCCCAGCAATATTTTTTCAACCTAATTTCATTCACTTTGACGTTCGTCACGCTGTGGATATGATCAATTCCACGAAGCTGTTTTAGTTTTCCTTCATATCCCGAAAAATATAATCCCTCTCAGTTTCGCAGCTATGAAAAATGAACTATAATCTTATAAACTACATTTTGGTTTATAAATGGAATATGATCTTACATTTTGTTCGTTTGATACTGCAAAACTCAGCCAAGTAAAAAAATCAGAAAAACTAGAGAAGAATCCCAAATAGAAAACAAAAAAAATCTAGTGAGATGTCGGAACTGACCCCGTTATCAATAGGTTCCTGGAACTTTACAAGGTGCATCATAAACTAAACCAGAAGCAGAAAAAACAAGAAAGATTTGAAATGACAGGAGAAAAAGCAAAAAAGTGTCAAGAAAAGTAAAAGTTTATTTCTTCTTTACTGTTTCAAACACTACTATTATACATTTGTATATAAACTACTGTTCTCATCCATTCAGTCAGTGCAATAAAACAACACAAATTTTTCCGTGTTTTTCAATGAGAAGAAGAAAACAGAAGATTAGAAAGAACAAAAAAGAAAAGCTAAATAAACCTGTAACCAGCCTACTGTAGGATGGATCTTGGTAGTCTTGAAATAATGATGATGACGATTACGAGTCGAATAGACGGACACTTCAAATTGCCAACCAACCAACCAAAGTAATAATACATTCATATTCATATTATTAACTTACTAGTTTTTTGTTCTCGTTTTATCCACCAAAATACTGGTCATTTTTTTTGTCGACAAAATTGCATGGCTTTTTTTTACCGTGGGAGGGCTTTGAAACGTTTCAATAATTTTACTGGATGAATGAATATGACAAAAAACTAGGTTTTTTAAAAACTGATTCATGGAAAAATTATTAGAGTTATCATAATTCCGTTTTGATTTGTGTAAATCAAAGATACTACACCGACTCGAGAAATATGATCAAAATGAATTCCACTTTCAAAAAATTCAAAATAAATATTGTATTCTTTGGAATATTTAGTATTTTGAAATCTAGTTTTGTGCATAAATCATGAAAATTTTCGCACCTATTATTAAACATATGTAATTATTGTAAATATCATATCTGTAATTATTTTTTAGCTAGAAATTAAGAGTAAAAACCGATATTTTCTCTAATTTTAATTTTGAATTTCCGATTACTTTTTTTTGATAGAACCTATGAACCTCAACCTCAACCTCATTTTCATTAACATTCGGTTTCATATTCATATCTCACTTCAAAACAAAACTATGTCCAAAAATCATTGATGAAATATTTAAAAACTGCGGTCATCTCCGAGTAAAGCGTGGTGGGAAGGTTTAGAATTTGATTCCCTACTACAAAAACTTATCCTGCTGATATCGCCTTTCCAAAAACAGAGTCATAGCACAAGCTTCACATTTATTCAATACAGTATTCCAACACATACATAGTAAAAAACAGAAAAATGAAAAATGATAAAAACTTCTGGAATATATACATTTCGAAAACACAAACAAATGTGACGTTTTGTATTTGGTTTGTAGAAAACTATGTATTTTTCACTTGTAAAGAATAGCAAAAATGACAAAAGAATACCAAACACCATAAAAATGTATCGAACACTCGACTGATCTTCCAGTTCATAATCAAATACCTGCAATTTTTCCCAAGCCTCCTCGCAATTTTTGAATTTCAAACTACACACAATTTTTTTCAAATCAAAAACTCATTAAAATTTTGAGAGGATGAATAATCACTAGTTTTGTTGTTGATGTCTGATTTTCTGAGAAAACAAGAGAATATATATTGAGCTCCGCCCGAGATGTTCAAAAACCACAATTGCAAAAATAAAGTGTAGGCCAGCCCATTCTAAGAATGAAAGTATTTGCACGTTGACATGCTTAGTGTTTGATTGAAACGGATTATGATTCATTTCATTTCATCCATATTCCAACTAGTTGAGCTCTATAATGTTCTCGTTCTTTCTTCAACCAGGCAAGTTTATTTTTTCAAACTTTTTTCGGGTAGGATGAAAAATATACATGTTATTTGGCTTCAAATCAGAAGGAATAATTCTAAAATTAAGTTGTTTGTTTGTGACTTTGACCGATATATAAAACTTACATTCAAAAACAAAATTAATTTTGGAAATGACACGACTCCCTTTTTTAAAAGTAACTTATTCCTCAAATAAACAACTTTTTAGTCCCAGATAAAATCAAAACTACATTTTTAATTCGTTCAAGGTTAAAAATATTAGTTTCATCTTTGAATTCTACTTTTCAAAAGTTTAGAAGTGATACTATTTTTATGCGATTGTTTTTGAGATAAGAATGTACTTTATTTGTTCGTATTGTAACTATATTCAAACTAAAACATAGTCAATGAATTTACGCATTCAATTAAAAGATTTCACACTTTTTCATCTGAAAATGTGGTTTATTTTCACCTGTCATTTATGTAGTCTGTTTATTTCATTGTATGTAACACATTTACATTAATATTTTATTTCCAGTATTGAAATTCCAAAACACGTTGATATTTGATTATTGATAAAACAAACATGAATTGTTTTAAAAACATACACAAATTTATTCACAATGAAAACAACAAAATAATAATAATAACACTAATACTACTCACTTATTGATTGTTGTTTCTCTCTACACCCTCTCTCATCTTCATTCTCGCTTATTTTTCTTGCATCGTCTGCGTATCTAATATCTATCGCGATGTTACATGCAGAATGGACTTTTTTTTCTTTCCAAGTGATTTTTTTGTAATTTGTTTTTATTTAGAAAATACTCTTTAATAAATCGGTTTCAGTTAGGTTTTTCAAGCTATATTTATCTTCAAAATATAATAAAAAATGAATGAGTAACACAGATTGGAGGATTGAAGATTTTCACATAATTTATAATATTTTCCGTTTCAATTATTTATAACATCCGGATTTTCTATCTTTTCGCAGTTTTTTCAAATACTAAACTCGAAGTATACTGATTTTTTCCAGCATTTTTCATTCCTTTATTGTTGAATGAAATTAATCTTGTTTTCGTTCTTGAAAATGATACTATCTATTGCATTGCATTTTGGACGCATTGTTTTTCAGTTTTTAAAAATCTCCTATTTAAAAAATATTATTTACAAAAATTTCAAAAGAAATACATTTAGAAGAGTATATTTGAGAGAACATAGTCGGCTCATTTATTTTGAGTCAGAAAGACTTCATTTGTAATTCTGTTAATGACCTTTCGTATCACCAAGTGGAAAAATGTTTTTATTGAACACAAAACCAGAATATTATTTCTATATAAAATTCAAAAAAGTTCTTGGAGGTATGGGGAATTGAACCCCAGCCCTCTCCCATGCTAAGGGAGCGCTCTACCACTGAGCTATACCCCCAGGTGAGAGATAGGCAACAAATTGTCAATTTGTTATCGCATTTTCTCTCTATCTCTTCATTTCATTTTTCTCAATTTCCAATAATTCGCATTTGTTCGTAATCTTGGATTATAATAATGCTTTTTCATTTTTCTGGAAACTGAGCAAAATGTACTTTGATTTTCTGAAAAAAAAATTCAAGATGTTTGATGTCAAAAAAAAATTATTTTCTTGCAGGTATGATAACTTTTGGGGAACCATCGCCGGATACATCATCATATACCCGGCAAAAACACAAAGATTCCATCAAAAAGTTCACTCCAGGTTTGTAATTTTGTCTCAAAAATCAAACATATGTATCGGTTTTTTAAAGTTTCAGGTGAACTTTGTTGTGTTTGTGGAGATACGGCATCAGGTATACATTATTCAGTTGCTGCTTGTAATGGTTGCAAAACCTTTTTTCGTAGAGTTGTATTAGAGGTGAGTTATTTGAAATTTAACTCAAAAATTGAACAAATTTCTGAACTTCATTCACGAAAAATCTAAAAATTTCAGAACCGCACATATTCGTGTAAAAACAATGGTGATTGTATAATTGACAAATCAATGAGATGTTCTTGTCGCCATTGTCGATATAAAAAATGTATTGTTGCTGGTATGGATAGGGCAGGTAAGAATTTTTATTTTCCTATTTCAATAATTCAATAATTGTTTTTATGGTTCTTCAGACTCTTCAGAGAATTGTATCTGCTAAAAATTATTTTTATTTATAGAATGAACTTATTATCTGAAAAGTGCTAATAGGCTTGGTTTCTAGGAATTTGATAAACCCCGGTGGTAACAATCTTTGATCAACACGAAAAATGAGAATATATTTGAAGATAATAGACAACTAGTTGGGAATTTTTAATGCGAAAATGCTTCTTGAGTACTTTTTGTTGAGAAAAAGTTGCAAAAATTTAAATCTTCCGGGGAAAACGAGAGTTCTGCAAAATATATAACGAAGAATTACATACAATTCAGATTAAGAAAAATTCTTCATCAAAAATTACAATTTTTAAAATAACCTTTTTATAAAATCCCGTAGGTAACTCATTAGAAATTTTTTCGCACATTTTTTTTCTTCAGAAAATTTAAAAATCATACCTATCGGATATATTGATTGGATTTAGTGGGCATTTTTTGAGTAATATTCAAAGAAAATAATATTTTTCTTCCTCAACTTTCTTCAAAGATTTTAACAACGAGTTATATCAAAATAAAATTCAAGTCGTTAAATGCACAATTCTTAAATTAAAATTTTCACTTTCGGGTTGCGAAAACTGTGCGAAAAAAATAATGATACATCTTGAATAATGTGAAAACTTTTTCCAAAAAAAAGCAGGCAACCAATTGTATTTTATTTCAGAATTGAGTATGGAAAGACGAAGAAAACGAAAAAAGATGAATGGAATGGCCGATGAAGATATTCAGGAAATTGAAGTCAAAGATCCATTGATAGAACTGTTATTAGACAAAGAAACACGGTATGTTGAATAACACATTTTTTTCATCTTCATCAAAATGGATTAAACTTACAGATATCAAAGTCTTCTGATTTCAAGTGAGATGAAAATTCATACGACTTTACATGAAGCGTTGAATAATGGTCAGAAAGCATTCGATGAAGCTTATACAAAGGTTTGCATTTTATTTTTTTCAAAAAAAATATCCGGAAAAAATGAACATCTTTTTTTCAGTTTGCAAAACGCATGGATCCGAAGTACCCAACAAATTTTTCATTTTGGCGAGCAAAAATTTTGAGTGTTCTTGCTGAATGGGCAAAATCATTTGAAGTCTTCTCACGACTTGATCGTGATGATCAAAAACGGTTATTTATTCATACGGCTTTTTCGAATTTGGTGTTAGCTGAAGCTTTTCATACACCAGAAAAATATACGGATCGAGTAGTGTTTCCAGATGGATTGTGTGGGTGAGTAATTGAATTTTAAAATTTCAAGAATTAAAGAAGGGGAAAAGATAAATATTACTTTAAAGATGCTTTAAACAGCACAACTGCAAAAAATTTCACAGAAATTTGAAATTTAACATCATCCTATGTGTGTGTTGGGAAAATTTTTAAGTCCAAACAAATGTATTCATAATTTTTCACACACAATCCTCATATTCTTGTTCATACATGAATTCAGTTCACTGATTGAGCACTATAAAGCACATAGTCTTGTCTGAAAATCTTTAAATGCCCTTGAGAACAACACAATTACAACCGCCGCCGAGAAATCTGATTTTGCTTGAGATCTCGACTATCTCAAGGTTATTTTGACCTCATTTGAATGTTCTTTGATGTTAAAAAAGTTTTTGAAAATCATCATTGGAAGTTTGCAAAAATAGATTGCTTGTTCAGATTTCGAAATGTTGCACAAACTGTTGCTAGCGATGCAGTGGCAAATCGAACCTTTGGATTGACTCCAACAGTTGTTGCAGTTATAAATGATATTCTTGTACCGATTCGAAGAATGCGATTGACTCGAATTGAATATGTCCTTCTTCAGGCAATAATATTTTATGATCCAGGTGAGAAAGGAAATGTTTTGAAACAAATTGAATTATGTTATTTATACATTTTTCTTTCCCCATTTCCAAGTTTGATAGATGACGCAGGAGATTTTGCGCGCGCAAAATCGAATTTCTTTCAATTATAACATCTTACTTCAAAAGTTTTCTACCTACGGAAATCAAAAACTGATCTAATTCGAATTGTTGTTTCAGATTGTTTATCGCTTACGAATCATGCAACACAGTTAATTGCTGCAAAACGTCGTCGATTGCTTGATTCCCTTCAAAGATATCTTCGACAACAATTAAAAGATCCAATTGAAGCATCGACAAGATATGCGGAAATATTATTGAGAATTTGTAATGTTCAGGTGTGTAAAAGAAAAACAAACACACACAAAAACAAAATAGAAATTCAGAAATATTTGGAATCAATTCACACTTGAATTGATAATCAAATTAGAAATACGGATTTTTTTTTATTATTTCTTATTGTTTTGGAAGTGACTTTTGAAAAAAAAACAAATATCATAACAAAAAGTATATTTCTGTAGGAGTGAATTTTTGATTTGAATTCGTCTAATGAGAATTTCGAAGATGGAGAGAAAGAGAGATGTTACAATATGAAATTTGTTTGAAAATTTATAATCTAGAAAGTCACACTTGCTGGACAGAAGTATCCAACACTCTCAAAAAATTTTCAATTTTGAAATTAGTGATAAAAATGTAAAATGAATATATACATATTTCCCGTGAAGTTGAAACAAGAACACATAGAAAATTGAAAACTAAAACATATAATAATCCTATTTTTTTCAGAAAGTTGCCGCTTTCAAACGTGAAACGCTGTGTACAATCGAAACTTTTGAACTCATGCAACCTCACCCTTTCACAATGGAAATATCAAGAAGTTATCCAGATTTTTCATATTTTTAATTTTTAATTTATAGATTTTTCAAATTGTAAACCGTAGTTGTTGTTTAGAAACTTTCCATGTCAATATCCTGAGAACTGTGCTCAGCCAAGTAGGATTTTGTTTATTATTATTCTTTCTTTTTTCAACTACCATTTTTTCTGACATATCGATTCTAGTTTCATGTTTTTCATGTATTAATATTCTTCATTCCGTGGAAAGTTCTCCAAAATTTATCGGGTCATATATATTTTTAACCTAGATATTTGTCTCGATCTCCAATATATGCGTAACTAACAATAAAAACATTCACTGAACTATGTGTGGTTTTTTCTTTTCTTCGGAAAGCTATGGAAAATGTGACGAATTATTAAATCACTTACAGTAGTCAGAAGAGGCGGAGCTTGCTGGAAAAATGCTTGAAAACAAGGTTTTCGCGGCTTTGGTTTCATTTTTATTTTTATCGCACACCTGCTAGCCGGATGAACCGATTTCTTGTTTTTGGTGAGTTTTGATTTTTTGTTATGAACTATGTACATAACAGTTTTAACAAAAAAATTATTTTTAAGCGATTTTCATCTTGTGCTCATTCATGACATGTGATGCATTACGCGGTGCTCTTTTCCGATCTGGTAGATCTGCAGGTCGAAGTCGACCAATGAATCAACAATCAGCACAAACGTTGTTTGATTACATGTTTGCACCAAAAAGAAGTGTTGGAACATTGGTAAGTTGAGGGAAATGAAATGTATACTATACCAAAACAATCTAATTTATGATAACTCCATCAATGTAAATCTATTTTATTCTAATATTTCAGGAATCAGAAAGTGTTGTGCCGGAACTTCCGTCTGATGAACAACAACCACTGTTCTACACCCAGTTCCACTAAATGAATTATTTCAATCAAACAAAATTCAAAAATAATAATTTCTATAGTTTTTATGATGTTTCTTAAATATGATTGAAATAAGACAAACTTTTATGCATTATTTTGACTCAAATGCATAAACGATTATTGTGATGTTTTTCGTTTTTTCTATATTTGTGTATTTCTCAAATTTCAAGTAGTTGGAGAAGCAATAATCGAAATTACCAAAGTGTTGAAATTTGATTGGTTTTGTGGCGGCGGCGGCAGGTGACGAGAAGCCGAAGAAATTATATTAAAAATAGAGCTATAGTTGAAATTGAGTTTTATAAAGAATCGGAAAGCACACAATTGAGCTTTATTCATGGCTCAAAAGTAAATAGACTTGGATCTGGAAAAAAAAAACTTCACTGATGTGAGTAGTTGACTGCAAAAATAGTCGATTAACATGTCACGGTGTGTGAATCTCAATTTTCCGGATCTCAAAATTTTTAAAAACTATTGGAGTAAATCAAAAATATTTATATTTCTCAAAAAAATACGTTGAATTTCGACGATTTTAGTCCTAATATCAAAATCATACCAGATCTCGAACACCAAAATTTGAAGTTTTTGAGGACAGGAAATTTTTTCAATCCAAAACATTCTCCGAAAAAACATTCTCAATACCAAATTTGAGTTTTATGATGAGAAGTTGTATTTCCAGCCCAAAATTAGGGTTAGAAAAATGTCTTCAAAACATTTTTTCACGCCAAAATTTATCATCGAAAAATTGATGAATATTGTATCTAGATAGAAATCATTTTTGTATTATGCACTATTAACCAAACAACGCAAATCACATAGAGAGTATATTTAAATAATTAGAGCCAGTACTCAATTTCCTACACACTCCCCACTACATTATTTTCACACGATCTTCTTCACATCGATAAAAGCACCCGAAATGGCTTGGAGAACAGTTCTCTACATAATTCAATTTTCGTCGGCTATCATTTCAATTATTTTGAATGTTCTATTGACCATTTTGATAAAATATAAATCTCCGAAAAGTTTTGGAATCTACAAATATTTGATGATTTATGTCACAATTTTTGAAATGTCTTATTCTATTTTAGATTTTATCATATCGCCAGTAAGTTTGGTGCTCAAAATGTGTAAGAAATTCGAAAAACTGAATATTTTAGAGAATTTATTCTCACGGGTCAATTTGCATTGTTTTTGTGAACAAAAATGAAACTATATTTGATGACAGTACAATAACATTTCTATTGGTTGTCTTTTGTGGATTTTTCGGTTTTACAATGGGCATTTTTGTTGTGCAATTTTTCTATCGATATGCAGTTATGACAGAATCTAAATATTTGAAATCACTCAATGATTGGCGAGCAGTTTTCTGGTTTTTGTTTCCATCTGTTTATGGTACTTTTTATGGTTTAATGGTATACTTATTTCTCTCACAAACAGAAGAAGCGAATGAAATGGTTCGTGACTCAATTCTAAACGACTTTGATCTTAACATCGATGATGTCGTTTTCCTTGGAACATTTTTTTATCGAAAAAATGGCATTGATTTGAACTACAAATCAATCTTCGGAATTTCGATTATGTGGGGAATGGTTACAATTTCATCTCTTTTGATTGTTTATTTTGGATGGTTTTGTTATAGAGCAATCGAAAAACCTGTATCAGAATCGTCCATTTTCTGTAAATTACAAAAACAATTATTTTATGCATTGTTAGCAGAAACATTAATTCCAGTTGTATTACTACATGTTCCTGTTTCAGTTCTGTTTTTGTTCACAATTTATGAACTCAATGTTTTGACAATATCTCGTATTTTTTCTATAACAGTTGCTCTTTTTCCCGCTATTGATCCACTACCAACAATGTTTATTATTCAAAACTATCGAGATGTTATATTCAAATATTTGAGAATAAAAACCAATGTTATTGTTTCACAAAATATCCGATGCACAATATTTTAAAGAAACTTACGTTTTATTGTAAATTGGGTGTGTTTGGTATGGTTTGAATCTTTGTCAATAACCAATAACTGTTTTTTAATAAATATATATTTTTTATGTGAAACATTTGAAGAAATTTTCCCAATCGAATGATTTTTAATTTACGATTTTCTCAAAGAAGTAAAATTCAAAAACCATGACTCGTTTGCAAAAAACATCATTTGAATTCCCTTGTGAGTTTTTCTGATTGTTGAATTTTTTTGATTATATTTTTTTTTTAAATTAGTAATTTTCAGTATGAAATTTTATTTCTAACCCCCAAATTATTTGTTGAAACAACAATTTTTCCAAACGACCCCAAAAGCTTCTCATTTTTTTATCAAAAAATTTCACTCTCTCCCAAACCCATTTCTCTTTTTTTTTTGTTTCATTGCCAAAGTGAACCACTAGAAGAATGTGAGAACGAACCAAAAAAGAACATCGGAACGTGTGCTGGTCCGTGTCCGCTGTTCAGTGTTATGCGGAGTCAAGGCGCGTCTCTCTTTTTTTCTCCCCTCCTCTGTTCTTTTTTTGTGTGTGTGTATACATGTGTGTTCCCCCTCAGGCGAACGCTTTTTTATCGTTGCTTGCGTCTACTCTTACTGACCTACTGACCAGTTTCACTTTTTTTCATTGTTTGACCGTGGGTTAGCGTTCGATTTTTTTTAATTGTGGGATGGGTCATTTTTCATGCTAATAAATTTATGTTTCAAATTTCATTTGAATTTCTGAAACTCCCGCGAGGCTTTCGGCTTTTCATGATCAAAATTAGAAATTAAAAAAAAATCTAAAATCTGTTGTTACATTTTACGAAAATACTCATATTTTCTCTACATAGTTTCTCTAGTTTTCTGGATATAATTTATTTTTCAGAATTCAGAAGTCAAATGAGATTCCCGTGAGCCCAAAAATCTTTATTGTGAAATAATTTTCAAAAAATCTAAAATCTATTGTGAAATTTTTCAAAATTTAACTCAAAGTTCTGTTAGTATTCTTTATTCTATTCCAGAATTTAATTAATTTTTGAAAATTCATCATTTTTTCTGAAACTCTCGAGAGGCTTTCCATTAAAAAATTTAAGCTTATTCTAAAATCTTTTTCGAAAATTTCCGAAACATCACTCAAAATTTCTCTAGTTTTCTAAATCTAAGCATGAATCATTTTAATTGTCAATCTTTTTTATTTAGCCTCAAATCCTCAAAAAAATTCTTCTTATTCTTGTTCATAGCACTAAATGATACTGAAACTTGGAAAAGCTAGGCTCTTCTTCCTACTCCTTCAGTCCTTCAAATATGGAGGCGCCATCGTCTATCTAAAAGTGCAAATATTGAAACATAGTGTAATCGCAAGAGAACATCGAGAAAGAAAAAAAAGAGAACGCGGTGTTCATTTCTTCTTCTTTTTTTGTTGTGTGTAGTTGAAGCAAAAAAGTGCAGGCGCGGAATGGATGGCGGTGCCAGGAGGAAGGCTGGAATAGAGAAAAAATAAAAAAAAGGGAGGAAAAAATGAACGCGAACAGCACCTGCGGGCGGGTCGCCGCGGAATAAACGGAACGGGCGAACGGACAGACTGAGAGAAAAAGAAAGACATTGACAAACACTGACCAACAAAAATGGAAAGTGGTTTCTCTTTTGTGTTCACTTTTCTTTTTTTGGTGTGGTGTCCATTTCACTTTTTTGTCATTTATTATTCTGGGTTGTACGGTAGTTCGATTTTGCTTAAGGGGTTTTTGGGTAATTCCTACTGTATGGTAAATTATTTGAAATGATCAATGCTAATATTTTGTATTTCTAAATGAGCTTAATTACAGAATTAATTCTCTGGAAAAATAATTTGAATTTGGGACTATTTTTAGATTTTAAATTTTTTTAAGCTCTCATAAATGAAAAAACCTTTGCAAGATCTGAAATTATCCTTCAAAAAATCAAATTCTGAAAAGTGTGATTGAAATAATTAATTCAAAACTTCTTATTTTTCAAGAACCTGAGAACCATTTTGAATTTATTTTAATTTACGATCCACGTTCAGACAAAGGCAAAAATCAATATTCTTCCTGTTTTTCAAATTTGTTTTTCAATTTGAAACAAAAAACAAATAGTGATGAAATGTGTTTATTTTCTTCAAGAAAAAATAAAATAAAATTTTTTTCCTGACTAATTTTTTGTTGGAAAAATACTTATTATCATCTGGTTGTTTTTGGAATGTCACCTCATCAAACTTCAGTATTTGGGTTATAAGCTTCTGATTATTATTGATTTGTAGGAGTTATTTTCTATGAGTTGATATGAAAAATTAACTTTTGTTACTATTTTCAAAAGCCAAAAATATCGATTGCCAGGTTTTTTTTTGAAAAAAAAGTACTTGATTTGCACTTTCTGTCTAACATAATCGATTTTCTTTGTTCCTTCGCCTCTACTCTTATTTTCATGAGTTTTCCATAAAAAATCAATTTTCTTTCAGCTTGCTCAAACTTGGCACATTAGATCTAACATAATCACGGCTATTAACATACTGTGTGAGTTGTTTTTTTTTTGAACTATCAATTTCTAGAAATAAAAACATCCAAAATTGAATTTTTTCAGGTAGCCGGAAAAAATGTTGGAACCAAATTAGACAAGGCTAAACCAAAAAGTGTGGTGCTATTAATTCATTTATGTATATCAAACAAACAAAAAATATTCATGTTATAACAATTTTCCATTCAATATTTCACTTTGTTTCAACAGCTATACCCTTTTTCTTTCATTTAAAATCTTTATGCGGTCATTTCAAATTTCTTTCGAGAAACTAATCAACGGTGCACAACACAAACTTGTCATAAACATGGAAAATTGAATGAAATCTGTAAGTTTCTTTTGATTGTTTTCTTGAGATTTATCTAGAATACATTGTAATTTTGCAGACCCTTTGGAGTACTAACATATATTTTTCGAATATATAGCCATTCAACGAGGTGGAAACAATCAATAGATGAAGTTCAACATTTTTTATGGATTATGTTGTTTCGTGATGATCGATTGTACTGGAGGATCATTTACTATAACAATTAATCAATAAAATATTTCTTCGGAATAATTGCTTTTTTAAACAACATCTTATATGACTGATCTAGAATCAGAATATTGTAGTAAATTTCAAAGGTTTTTCTCAAACTTGGTTCAAATTGTGATTGGTGTGAGTCTTCCGAAATGTTTGATACTTTCAAATTTTTGAAAGCACTGGGGCATTGCTTGTTGATCGTTTTTTTTCAATTGGTTGGGAATAATCTGTCGTTAAACTTCAGTCAATGTTTGGTGAGTGTTGTCCAGTGTTAAAGTTCTGTTTAGGTATTTTTTTGTGTAATTCTGCTGGAGAATATAAATTATTGGTTAAAGATGGAAAACATTTGAAGGAGTTGTGTCGTTTTCACCTTGAGTTAAAATAGGGCGTGAAAAAATTAAATTTCGTTTTGACAACATGCCTATCTATAGCCAGAAGTTTTTTTGAAATTTTCAAACATAATTTCGAATTTTTTTAATGAATATATTTATTACCTAAAATGAAATTATTAAAAATTTTCAAAAATTCTACAAAATGTTTTCAAACACAATTAAACCAGTCTTTTGAAATGGATCGAGCTGAATGAGCTTTCATTGGAAGACCCGATATTCTCCAATATTTATCTTTGCTGAAAATGTAAGAGGTATTTGTATCCAATTGAAATGCCGCATCAATTTCATTCGGAAAATTTTGTTTGTAATCAAATATCGATAATATTCCACGTGGCCAGGATTTTCGCATACCATGACGAGAATATTGCCAATACATGTTTTCTGCAAAATAAATTTTTTTTGAATTTGAAAAAAAAACAGGAAAAATTACTTACTTCTAAAAAAATATGGTTTCATATCTTCATGATAATGTAGAGCAGCTGATATTCCTTCTGGCATATCTGACAAACCGATTCCAATTTTCTTGGGATAATGAGCAACCACATGTCCAAACTTTGAAACAATCCAATACAAATCTTTTCGAAAAATATAAAGATTTCCATTTTTATCAGTAGTTGCTGCATCAATCGGACCATTGAATGGAAAATAATCAAGAATTCGCATTGGTTTTGAAGGATTTTGAAACATTTCCAACTCGTAAAAATAATAGCCTCGAAACCCGATAATTGTTCCGTTTTTGAGTTTTGTTATAGCATCAAGATATGGATTTTGGCACAAATTTTGATTTGTTTTTTCATTTGGTGTGTCTGTTGTTAGTTGAGGGTGATTGTTATAAAGTCGCTTGATTGCAAGAATATCATCTGGAAATATTTGAATAGGAGAAGTCTGTAATAATGAAATGCTATTTCCAGTTCTCATTAATCAAAAATCAATAGCTGCATTTTCACAAAAACATTTTCAGAATCAATATCATAAATCTATTGGAATGTTTTTTGTTCCAGTATTTCAACTTTCAAGAAAAAACAATATTTTAAATTTTATTTTTTTTGAAAAAATGTTTAGATATAAGATTAGAAGTCTTTTAACTTTGAAATGTGTCACAGTAGCTTACAAATTCAATGAATTTCGAAACTCCTACTTCAAAAATAGAAACAAGTGACGAATATTTGCGTAAAGAATTATCAATGTTGTGCTTTCTCAGAAGGGCTATTTTGAATACAAATTTTATATTCTCTTTTTCCCACGAACCTTGATGTAAATGCAAATAATTTCCAACATATTGCTTGTAAAATGGTGCCATAATTGATAATCTATTCACACTATGTTTCAAACCTAAAGCATGACCGATTTCGTGAACTGCAACTGCGTAAAGATCTAAACCCATTGACTTGTTCCAACTCCAGTGTTCGTCTTCGTCAAAATGAACATCTCCGCCGTATCTAGGAAAAAATGCGTGAGCCAAAATGTTTCCTGAAATAATTGATTGTTGATTGAATTAGGGAAATAGAAACTTTGAGAAGAGAAGTTTAAAAATTCTTCAAGACCTCCAGTAGCGGACTATTTTCAATAACTCTCCTGTCTCAAGATCTGATAACTAACCTTTTCCATCAAATGGTTCATCATCATGATGATTCCCGGAAGCAAAAACAATATCAATATTTGCTGATTTTGAAGCATTCAACTCCCTCACAAATTTTAGATGTGTATGTTCTTGCCATGTCTGAAAATGAAATGTGTTGGAGCAAAACACAATAGAATAATTTGAATAGTATCTGATTTCAAAATTTATGTATGTATATTTCAATTTCTAACAGCTATTTTTGAAAATATCCGTAGCCAAGTTTTTTTGAAGTGTATTTCGGTGATATTGATGAAAATCTCGAGTATATCAAATTTCTCAATCAAATCAAGCTGTATGAATCATCTCTTCTGTTTACAATAATTTTATTATTTTGCTTTTTTGTTTCTCTAAATCTCCAATTCTCAACATTTCTCTGAACAAATATAAACTCAACCGCAAATGCTTTGTCGAATACCGAAAGTTGTTGGCTAAGACTCATCGTTTTACTAGGTCTCTTCAATTTGTACGTTATGACACGGCTGCCCCAAAATGAACCTACAAAATTGGTTCAATTTATTTTGATTACTATGCTCATTAAAATAAATGGACATAGGTTTATTTTTGTCCTTTTTCTATTTTTGTTATTCAAGTCGACTCACCTTCTATTGAATATCTTTTTACTCGCGTTTGACACGTTTTCTGAAACAGCAGAAAAAAGAAAGGTAACTTTATTTCAGATTGAGAAAACATTCTAAAATCACCTGGATAACTGTGAAAATAATTATAAAAATGAATAAACTAGTGTTCATTTTTTTTGTCGGAACAAAACGGAATTTCAGGGAACCAAAAGTAGTCGTAATAATATTCCGAAAATAGGGTCAACCAAAATAATTACTAGGTTCAGGTCTTTCCATACATATACAATTGTGAAAAAGTAGAAGAAGTAGAAGAAGAAAACAAATGTATATTATGTGAGAATGATGACCAATTTTTAGGGCTAGCTAGTAAGGTTTATGAGCAATTGTTTAAATAATGCATTTTTGCATTTGCAGCACCAAATTTTCATACGTCCATTTTATTGTTTTATTCAAATGTGTGAATAATATAAATAATGATGATGACTTATGACTTTAAAAATGATTTTTTGAGCTTTCAATTTTTTCAAACTTGTACAAAGTTTTCACTTTTTCAAATATTTTGAAAATATTTTCCATTTTTTCATACAATGTGATTAAATAATTTCTCTGTATAGTTCTGATTTCAAAAAGAACCAAGTATCATGAAATGTTCAATACAAAAATGTTCCAATATTATTTCTAACCTGTCAATTGTCACCCATTTCTTTTGCTTTCCCATACGACTTTGTTTTTGTTTGTACACATCAATTTTTGTTGTTTGCGCGCCATTTTTCACTCTTCTTTATCTTTGTGTTTTTGTTGGCTCGGACCGCCAGCCTTGAAATATGTAATATGGGCAAGAACAAAAAATTATATTTTGAGCTAAATGAAATTGGGAGGAGCAGCGTCCCTCCGTCCGTCAACATGTATAGCGTTTTTCCTTTCTCTCAATGCTCTTGTTGGCTTTTTTATTTCATTTTGTTTTTAGTTTTTTTTTCCTCCTCCCTCGCTCTTATTTTGGTGTTTTTGTGTCTTGGGTAGAACATTTTTGTGGATCGGTTATACATAGTCATCTTATTATTTTTCACTAGTGCTTCAACGTCAACCAATTTTTCGCTATGTTCTATGAAATACTTTTTTTTAAAAGTTCATGAGGTAGTTTTTGACCTCTCTCGCAGTCGCAGTTTGCGTAAGTCTAGTTCTAGAACAAGTAATATGAGACATGCCAATTTTTAAATGCTTCAATGTGTATTTTAAAAATAGTGAAGCACTTGATGAAGCTACAAGTAGAATATAAATTTAGTTTTGATAGAAGTTGGGTCATATTACAATTTTTCAAATAAATTAAACTGTTTTTCAATTAGGAAATAGATAAATTTTTAATTTGTTAATACTCCCATAGTTCCTAATTACGTGATTCAATTTTATCATCTCCATAAACAATGACGTCACCTGTTGAACATCTAAATCCAGAAAAAAATCAAGATGAATGTTCTATATTCTAGATTCAATTTTCATCTCCTGCAAAAATCGCCAATCTCAATTTTGTTTGTCACATCTCATTTCCCTCGTTTTATCTTTCTTTTCTCATTCTTTCAAATCTGCCTTGATTTTTGTAAATATTTTTCCTCCGTTTCATCTTCACTAAACAAATACCTAGAATTTCGGACTCTATGTATTTTGAAATTCCAAAAATACAAGTTGAAAAACACTATGAGTCACACTTCTAAAAAAAACTTTTGAAAAAAAAGAGCGGCAGGCAGGGCAAATGGAAAACGTCAGATAGCCCCATAAATCTAATTTGTGTGTATATATGTTCTTTTGCCTTGTTTGTCACGGTGGTTTTTGTTTTATTTTATCTCTCGGGTGGCCAAAACTTTCTAGAAAAGAATAGAAAATACTGAAGTTTTCCAAATTACTGTCCAGTTTCAACTAGTTTCGAAATTTTTTTTTCGAATTCTCCTTTTTGAGTGATTCTACTTCTACCTTCATGTCTTCACAAAATAAGAAGAAAGTTCCCGTAAAATATAGCAACTCTAGACATTCCACCAAAAAGAAGAAATTGAAACATGTGTTTTTTCAAAGAAACTTGTCAAATAGAGAAAACAAAAAAATCCTTGTTTCTCTAGAATCTCTAAATTTCACGCAATATTTTGAAAATGTTTTTTCTCTCTTTTGTACTAGTCAAGTCAACCCTCTTTTCTTCCTCTCAAAGTTGTTGTTGAGGGTCGATCGACCTTTCACTTTTTATTCCAAATACTCAAATCGATTTTGAAATAACAACAAAAACAACAACCTCTTCTTCTTGATTCAACTTAAATCTTCATCTTCAATTCTTTTTTTCGATTCACGCTTCCTTTTTTTATGATTGTGTGGGATTCGGCCTTTTTATGGTTTTTTGCCTGTTGTCTGTTGTAAATTTTTTATATCACAATGTTTTGTTACGTTTTTTCTCTTCTCAATTTGATATTTTTGCTAATTAGAGTTTTTTCTTCAAGAATCTTCTTGGTTTCATGTCAGAAAAATTGATCGATATGGTTCCACAGATCTGATAATAATTGAACATTTTCAGAAAAATAAAGTGTAACAAACGCTTTGGTCAAAAATAAGATTCATTTAGGATTACTGTAGGCGCTGATAAGATTTCTCTGATGTGCGAAAATTCTAGAAAATCGGAATTTCCGGTAACTAGTGAAGGTGGAGTCATGTGACTAGATTATTCAAAAGATTATTTTTGAATTTGTTAGGAAAATAGTTCCTCATATTATGTTTTGATTTATTTTAGTTAGCAGATTTATCATGTTTCCAGAAATGAAATGAGAAAGTATTCTGTAACTTTCAAATGTTGGTAATTTCAGCGTTTTCTGATTTTGTTTTCATTTCGAGACAAAAAAGTTTGTGTGCCCTTTTTCTCCATAAAATGTCTGACATCATTAAAATTCCAATTGATTATTCATTCACTTCTCAAATATCTACATCTAAAAAGCAGCTTTATTTCCGAGAATTCTTGTTTATATATTCTTGTGTAAGATCATTTTCTCTCAAACCAGCACAGGTGAATTTGAAAACAAGATCTTCGACTTATTCATATTTTTTGCACAATCCCACGCTGTTAGGCGTTCCGAAATTATTTATTCATGAAAATTATAATATTCTTTGATTTTTTCACATTTTTCTCATCTCATCTTATTTTTGTCGTCCTTCGGACCTCCAACTGTGCCTAACAATTTAGGGATTAGGATTTCATTTACTACTAACCACCTGTAGAGATTAACGATTCCGCAATTTATTATTATTTCCTATTTCGTATAGTTTCTTCATTTTCAAAAAAAAAATACTCATTTTGATAATTAATTGAAAAAAGTCAGACAGAAGCCAAAAAATAATAATTCTAATGAGTTTTGTTATTATTATTCTATCACTTTCTCACTTTTCTAACGAAATAATTTCATTTTCTATCGAAATGAGAACTTTTTCTTCTGTTTTTCAAATATATTTTCATTAATTAGTGTTGCGGCGGCATTTCATGCTTGACTTGATTTTGACACGAAAAATTTGATGAGAAAAATTAAGCCTGCCTATTTTATTTATTCGTTCTACAGTATTCTTGACATTTGTTGTTTGTTCATATTTTGATTGATTGTTTTTTTTTCAGGATGATTGTCTTTTTTGGAATTGATGATTGGCTAACAACAAATGGAAAATATTGCAATGTGAATATGAAAAAATCAATGCTCTGCGCGGTTACATTTTTCCTACTTTTCGCATCTGGAATAATGCAATTTTTCTTCATTGATCATTTCAAATTAGTTGTACCATCTGTTGGTAAGAAAATATTCCTCAAATATTCTAGCTTAACCACAAAAACTAAAAATTTCAGGCCACGCTGTATTATTCCTATTTGAAATGATATGTTTCCTGGTATTCATCAATGCTCTTTTCAATGAAAAATCTCTCTTGTTCCTACCGTTTTTCATTGCAGAAGTGAGTTTGACATGAACTCTGATAAAATGATTTCAAAAAAAATTTCAAAATTGTTTAGTGCGTTCGATGCGTTTGCCTGGCTCTTGTTATTATTTATTATATTGTCAAAATGTTCACTGATGGAGATAAAGAATACGAACGACCGATTATAAATGTGCCAGCTTTACATTATGATAACGAACACAAAACTTGTAAGTTACTTATTGTTAGTCTGTGGATCATCAGAAAAATCGATAGATTTGAGAAGAATCTGATTAGTTCATTGAGAAATGTGAAATTTCAAAACTAGGTCTTTAGCTTTTTAATGACAGTTGATTTTTTTGAACCAACAATTTTCAAAAAACTTTTCTGAACCTACGTAAGACTGATTTTTCTGAAAATTTCCAATTCAGAGAGGTTCAGATGGCGAATGAAAAATAATGAAAAATTAAATTTTAAAAATTCATGAGTTCATCGTTGATCCAAACTAACTATCCATGTTTTTTCCAGTACGAACGATGATCAAATTGGTGGTTCATTTGATATTCACATATTTCGCCCACTTCCTTCTTGCCTCCATCGCTTTCAGGTGTTACAAGGTGAGTTTTTTAAAACCCCTACCCTTTTAAATTTAAATTTTTCTCCATGAAAAAAAAGTTGAAAAAATGTTTCAAATCATCAGACTATATGGTGACATTAAACTGATAAAATTGTAGTTTTTCCTTGAAAAAATATATTTATCAAAATGACCATCGAGTATTATGCACTTTGAAATTTTAGATCTATTCTTGGAGTTCGCCACGAAATCGTATGAGCACAGAAGATTATCAAAACAATCATCAACCAATGCATTCTGTAATCGTTCTTGAACAACCAATCGAACAAGCCATGTATGGCAAAAAAGTCTGAAACTGCAAAAATTCTATTTTTTATTGTTAAACGGGTTTTCTTCAAAATTTTAATCTCTATTCATACAAATTCAAAAAATTCATTGTTATTTCTGTCTCTTTCCTGTTTTCTGTCTGTCCCAAAGTTGTTTTTTTTTCTGTATTTTCCCCTTATCTAATAATAATAATAATTGTATATACAAATAAAGCGGTTTCAAAAAGTAACATATAATTTTCGAACCTTTGAAAAATGATTTCAATCGTTTTATATTTGTTGTTAAGGTAAAACAGCCGGACGGACAGGTGAGACGATCTTTTTTCGCAATCAGTTTTTATGCGTTTTGTACACTGTTTGAGGTGAGATCAATGAGGTATGATATGCATCAAAGAAGAAGAAAAAATGAAGAGAAATAATAATAATTTTTTATCAGAGAAATTATGAAAGCAACAGAAACATTTTTATTTGCAAATAAAACTTTGACGTAGATATGGAAAATGTGTGCTTCACGTGAAAAAATAATAGTTTGTGCTATGAATTCAAAGATTCTCGTAAAGTGATGTACTTTGATAAAATATAAAACATATAAAAAACTTGAGAATCTGAAATGGAATTTTGATAAATCATGAAAGCTTGTGCTGGCTGAAATGCAAACTGCAATACTTAAGAGAGACTTTTTGTAAGAACGTAAATAAAACTGGGGTGGTCTGTACAAGAAAAGTGATATTCTCTGATTTGGCCAAATTTTTTTTTGTTTGAAAGGTATGATACTTGCGGGTTTTTTGCGCACAGTAGGACCTTATATAAAAAATTGGTTCACGGTGTATAGGTCGATGTTCGAATTTTGGTCTTGTTTTTGAAAAAATCGTAACTAGGCTCAAAGTCAATATTTTTCGACGATCAAAAAATGATTTTTCTCCATTTTTCATTCCGAAGAAGCTGGAATTAACGAAAATTGGGTGAGATTTCGTCCTGACTTTTTCCGAAAAAAATTTTCAAAAAAAAATTTTTTTTTAATTTGGGAGTAAAGAGCCCAGAAAATAAGTGTTTTTAAAAGATTCTCCATGCAATTTTACGTATTTTCGAACAATAAAATCAAAAATTCTCAGTACCCCCCGTTTTCAAAAAAATCACTTTGAGATGCCCATACTTTTCTGTATTTTTGGAGAAAAAGCACAGTTAACATTTTTCAAACGTTCTTTTTTTAGGTCCATTTTTTCATTTGTTAACTTTTCTGATCGATTACCGTCACTTAGAAACGTCCCAAATAGATTTAAACTTCAAAAAAGCCCAAAAACCACATAAAATTATACTAAAAATATGCCAAAAAAGATTTTTTTTGAAATAGATGGTACAAACGGCTAGAAATTGCTCAATTCTGAATTTAAATCATTTTTAAAGACGATTTACATGATTTCTACCATTCAAACAATCACAACATCAATTTTTGAGTGTCAACATGAACATTTCAACTTTTTCATTATTTCACACTTTTTTGTAATCAATTCCGTACGATTTTCTAAACTGTATTTCAAGTTTATGAGTGTTCAAAATATTGTTAATAACTATTAAAAAACGTTATTTCAATGTTTCAGACAGTTTGTAGTCGTTTCAGAATTTTTACTAGTCAAAAAAGTATGTTCATTTTTTGAAAAATGCATATTTTAAGTTTTTGAGGCATTCAGGGACATAGAATCTAGATAAACGATCAGAACTGTTTTGAAACAAATATGAACGATTAGAAAAAGTTAAAACTCAACATTTTATCACGAATCAATGCGCTGAAATCAATTATTAAACCTTTCAAGAGGAGAAAATAAGTGAACATTTTAAAGTGATTTTTTTGAAAACGAGGGGTACTGAGAATTTCTGATTTTATTGTTCGAAAATACGTAAAATTGCATGGAGAATCTTTTAAAAACACTTATTTTCTGGGCTCTTGACTCCCGAATAAAAAAAAATGTTTTTTTTGAAAATTTTTTTCGGAAAAAGTTAGGACGAAATCTCACCCAATTTTCGTTAATTCCAGCTTCTTCGGAATGAAAAATGGAGAAAAATCATTTTTTGATCGTCGAAAAATATTGACTTTGAGCCTAGTTACGATTTTTTCAAAAATAAGACCAAAATTCAAACATCGACCTATACACCGTGAACCAATTTTTTATATAAGGTCCTACTGTGCGCACAAAACACCCAAACATCATACCTTTCAAATAAAAAAAAATTTGGCTCATTCTAAATTTTCGATCCACTTTGTTGTACAGCTCGATTTACGTTCTTACAAAAAGTCTCTCTTAAAAACGAATTTGGGTTCAGATTCTCTAATTTCTAACCGGATTATGTTTCAATCCAGAAGCAAGGAGAACCAACAGATTAGTTCAGAAACTATGCAAAATTCACGGCAAGGGTTTTAGCGAAGCTCAATCTAGAACTCAACACAAAAACTATGACTAATAGTTACTACATAACCAAAACCTGAACCTCTTATTGTCTCCCACATGATATCAATTTCAACCCCGCCCCTCCTACTCATAAGCTATGTTTACGATACCTGAAAAAAACTGTACAAAAATGCGCGACTTTTTTTGTCCCGCCCCTATTTCGTCGCTTCAAATAAAAGCTGACGAAATTTCCCCTCTAAACCCAAGCTATAACAAAAATGTCACAACCAAAAGGCGCGTTTGCCGCTTATGGTGCAATCACTATTTGCACCATCTCGATTGCTGCCACACTTTTCTATGTTCCACTTTTCATTGCGAGAATTGAGAATATTCGAACAAGTTTGGCGTTCAATATGGAGGAGTTCAATAATATGCAGGTTTGAGATTTTGAATTTTGAGAAAAAAATTGAAAAAAAATGTTTTAGGCCGAAGTTTGGGGCGATATGGTGCATTTGAGAAAGGGATTACCAATTTTGAAACGAGTGCAAAAAAGACAAGCCGGAAACGAACAATGCGGTAGGTTCTTCAAAACACTTCCAAAGTTTTTTTTTTAATTTGAATCAGAAATTTTTTATTCCGAAAGATTCCAAACAAAACAAAAATGTTTTTGCAGACTGTGACACACAAAATTTGTGCCCACCAGGACCAAAGGGAAGAAATGGAGCAGATGGACTCGACGGACTTCCAGGAACTCCAGGAGAAGCTGGAGAACAAGGACTTTCTGGAATCAATCCACACGTTGAAACAGCTAAAGAAGGATGTAGAGTCTGCCCACCAGGTCCACAAGGACCAGCAGGATATCCAGGACAACCTGGGCCACAAGGACTTCCAGGATTACAAGGACCAAGTGGTGATATTGGAAGACCAGGAGCACCTGGACCAATTGGACCAATTGGAGATATGGGAATGATGGGAGATCTTGGAAAAGAAGGAGAGCAAGGTACACCAGGCCGTGAAGGAGTTCGTGGTGAAAAAGGACCAACTGGACCACAAGGTTTGCCGGGATTGGCTGGACCAAAAGGATTCAGCGGAAATTCTGGGCCACCAGGAAATGTTGGAGAGCCTGGACCTGAAGGAGAACAAGGGCCAGCTGGAAAGAATGGAGCACCAGGTTATGATGGAGGAATTGGAAATTATGGAGAAGCTGGAGTTCCTGGAGAAGATGCTGGTTATTGTAAATGTCCAGCGAGAAAACGAAAGCATTGATAAAATTCTTTTGTTTTTTGCTAAAAATAAACATTTATCCCACGCATCTGTGTTTTTTGCTTCTTTTTTGTCGAAAGCACAAAAAACAATTAAAAATTGAGAGGATTTTGTTGTTATTTTTCGTCGGCAATTTTTCTGTTACAGGTCGTCAATCAATTTGGAAAAAAACATTTGAAATGATAAGAGTGTTACAGTTGATAAATCAAATCGCATCAAAAATGTGTTTTTTATTTGCTATTTCCGTGGCAACGAAAAAGAATGAATGAAACATTTCCTCAAAGAATTTTGCGCTGGAAATTTATTTTCACAAATGAAAAGCATTCCAATTAATTTTTTTCATAATTTTGCAGGAAAAATGAAAAATACCACGCAATTTGATAGAATCCAAAGAACAACTTATCTATTGAAAAACACGTTTCTTCACCCACGACTTGAATGTTTTGGGAAAATAATTGTATCTTGTGCAAACTGTGAGAATCTCAAGTTTGCAGGAAAAAATATGTGCCTGATATTGAGAATTGAACATTTTATCATTAAACACCTGTTTCCCAAGAATTGATGTTTTTCAGTATTTCTTTTTTTTTGTGACTACAAAGTGAAGTATTCTGAAAACTCTCAAAGTGGTTTTTTGCTCACATTCACAGCTTTGAATTTTTCTGATAGATCAAAAATATTTTTTCTAAATATCGCGTTTAATGTCGTGAGGAAAATTTTAAAGGGTTATAAACTTTGAAACTCAGAATTTTACTGAATTCCCATATCTTTAAAAAATTGTTTTTTTGAGAGCTTCCAAAAATAAAAAATCTGTACACGAGCCGAATATAAAGGTCAAACATCTTATGTGACATTCGCATCTCGTCAACATTTTGTTCTCTGTCTCATCATCATCATTTTCATTTTCATTTCTTCTCCTCATCAAATTTTGCTCATTTTTTCGCCGCGTTGACCAGTATATTTACACACGTGCTCTCTTTCTGCCCAGCTTCATTCCAAACGTGACAAACGCAACAAACGTTTCATCTTGGCTCGCTGAGTTTTCATATCTCTCTTGCATTGTTTTTTGTCACACTGAACTCTTTTTATTATTAGTTTTTCATTTTTCATTCTTCTCTGCTTTTTTTACTCTGTTCTTTTCTATCAGAGTTAGTTCTCAACATGTGATTGATGTTGAAAAATCAGGCAGCCTCCACATATTTTCTACCAAGCTTGTTAAAAGATATATAATGTTGGTTTTTTCAAGAAAGACGAACTGATATCTTCTTTTGTTTCGTTTTGTCCATTATCAATGTCCATATGATATTCATAGGGGTTTTTATCAAATTTGAACTTTTTTCCTTTTCCCTCTTTTTTTTTGTCCACGCCCACAATACTTTTTAGTTTTTTTCTGATTCTTCTGAGGTTGGAAAAAACCAGCATCCATTTTATTATTTTTTTTATAAGTCGACGATTGAATCCTAGAACAGGCAGGGTTTTTACCTGATTTTAAGGTGGACCTTATTTTCTTACTTTCGTAGGATCTCATATTGAATTTCGGAAAAAAGTCCCCACCAACAAAATTTCTGAAAAGATCTATTCTATCCTTGATTTGTGGGGGCTTAAAATGACATCAGTTGGGGCCTATTCTACAAATCGCTCTGTTTTTCCCAAATGAAAAATTGTATCTTTTTTCATTTTGATTAGAAAAAAAACTAACTAATATACATAGAAGTAGAATTAAATCCAAATCTAAATCCGATTTCAACCCTCGCAAAAAAGGAAATCAAAATCCTTCTAATCTCTGCCCTGTGAAAACCGTCAATTAGTCATGAGATTTTGTTATTTCTTATTATATGCTATGTTTTTTTTTTCTTACATTATAAATCAAAACACGAAATCAAAAACCAAAATGAGTTAATTCTAAACATCATTAATAGTCAATGTTGTTAAGAAAGTTTGATCTTATGACGTTGCTAACATGAATTATATCAAAAAGAGTGTCCTCTTCATTTTGCAAAACCTTTTCTCTCTTCATTTTCTCTCCTTCTTCTTATTTTCTCATATTATTTTTTTTGCCTCTTCCTTCTCATTATAATAATGAAAATGAAAATCTTTTATCTACACATTTTCAATGACCATGACTATCTTTTGTCTGACTATTTTTTGTAGCAAAACGTTGTTGCACTTTTTCAACTTTGTTGTACTTCTTATTCTTCAATCGTTTCAAAAACATTTGAGAAGAAAAGTACAGTTGAATTGCTAGTTTGTACTTTTATCACAAAACAGAAGGGGAGGGGGATTCCCCAAGTTCAGAAGTATTTTGATGCTTTAGACAAATATTTTCTTTATTTCTTTTGAATCACAAAATTGTCTAATTCCAGTTTGGTTTAAAATAACCACAGTTTCTAGTTTTCCTCTTCGCTTCGTTTTCCATGAGGAGGACTTCCGCTTGATTTTTGATCATGTATGACTTTGGTGTCGTATTTTCTTTAAATATGAACATAATATTCTCAAAGGAAGATTACTGTAGTTCACTCAACTTTGTTCCTCAAATATCATATGTTTTAACTTTTGATTTATTTACCATTCTTATCCAGATGGTTTTTTTTGTTGATCATAAATCGGCACGTGCTTTTGCTTTTTTCTATTGTTCGGGAAAATACAGTAGACATAAATATTTGCGCGCGATTTTCTCAAATAAACAAAAATAGCCAGCGATAAAAACAAAAACATTGTGAGAAAAAGTGCAATCATTGTTGCATGCAGTAGGAGTATTTTATTTTTTTTTCCTTGAGAAAAAACACATGAGCCAAAAAAAACACTCACAAACACACACAAACATACATAGAAGGTTGGAAAAAAACACTCTTCACCGCTCACCCCCCACCCTCTCCACTCTTCTTTTTCGCTTATTTTTTTCCGGGCCCACCCCCTTTTCTCTGTCTTCTCCGAAGACCACAAAGCTATTTTTTATATTTCATGTACATCTAGTGTGTGTATGTGTGTGTATTTTTTTGCCAATTTCTAAACTCACTATGTTGCTTGCTTGCATTTTTCTTTGACCAATGATTTTTTTTCTGTGTGTGTGTGTGTTTTTTTTTCTAACTGCAGCTTTCATTACATTTCTTTCTCATTATTCTTCCTGGTTTAATCATTTCATTTCATTCAAGCTTGTTTGTTTTTTCAGCCTCGGCTCCTTCTTTGGTGCACAAACCTTGCTTATTATTCAATCTCCAAACTTTTTGTGTCGAATCAAAATGCCGCTTGATGTCAATTGCGATCTTCTTGAGGAGCAGCGAAAGGTTTCGGTTCAAGTGATCGAAAAACAAACTACCAAGGTGAGAAAAACGAAGAGTGTGTGTGTGGTTTGAAATGGATTTATCTAGGAAAAAAATGTTGGGAGAGGTGAAAAGGTCTCTCGGGATTTGAAAATGAAATGAGATGTTTATTTAATGGTAAACATACTTGGGAATTTTTTTGGGGGGCTCTTTGGGGTCCGATCATAGGGTATTTTGGAAAAATGTTCTCCTCCACTATCACTTTTCCCCCACGTCAGCCTGATTTCAGGTTTTTGCGGATTTCTGGTTATAAAAAGGTGGGAAGGGTATCTATGACGTGCTTATTCAAAGATTCAACGATTTTTTTCAAAAACCACACTAATTTTCAATTTTAAGGGCGATGTCTTGACACTGATTCCAAAACGAACTCGATCCGCTGTTTCAATGCGTGCTGATGACACTGATCGTTGGGGTCAAGAAGCGTTGGATGAAAAAGAGCCGTATACTTTGATGCTTAGAGATCCAAGCGTGAAGGTGAATGATTTTACATACACTTGATTTATTTTTTCACGCTGTTCATTTTTTCTACTTCAATGCCATATATTTAGTTAGCTTTATAAGCCGAGAAAAACACATAAATAAGTTGCAGAACGAGTTGCTCGATCGGCTCAACACATTCAGAAGAAATCGCGAGCTTTGTGATGTTGTGCTTTTTGTCAGGTATTTTTTTTAGATTCTGAGAAAAACTTTGAAAAACAAAAAAATTGAATTGGTTTCTAGGGAACGCGAGATTTTTGCACATAAAGTTGTGTTGGCGGCAGTTTCACCGGCTCTTTTTGATATGTTCAATGATGAATCAGAGAAAGAGAAAGGTAATAAAACTTGTGCTAATTATTATGAATATAATTATCAATTTTATTTTCTTTTAGAAAATGTAAATGGAGTTATTCAAACTAATGGAACTACAAACGGTCATACAAACGGGAATAATAATACAAAATCGGTGTCATTCTTCGAATTTGCTCAAACGGATTACGAATGTTTTTGAAGCTCTAGTCAACTTTGCCTACACAGCCTAGTAAGTGGAGACATTTTTCTTATCATTCGAGAAAAATATCAAGGTTCATCTGGTTTTGAGCGACACATTTGAACCATTTTTTTTCATTTCATTCTATTCCATTATCATTCACGTGATTGGAACGATCATAGAACGCAAGAAAACATGTGTAGTTTGAGATAATTTTGAGAAATAAAATGAAATAAAATGGAACAAGACATAAAAAATATATAATAATGGGTTTTGCAGCTTGGAGATCAATTCAATCAAAGTTGCTGAACTGTATAAAACTGCCTTCGCTTTGCAAATGACACCGGTTATCAAAGCGTGCGGACATTTTTTGGGAGAAAATTTGCAGATCAATAATTGTATCGGTATTCGGCGCCAAGCGAATTTCCAAAACGATTCATCCTTGATGAACAATGTTGATAAATTCATTAAAGACAATTTCTCGAAAATCGTGAATGATAGCAAAGAATTCACTACTCTCCCTTGCATTCAAACAAGAATTATCATTCCTGTCAACGATGGAAATGTCAAAACACACGCTGAAAATAACGGTGGATTGGCTGAAATGGCTTTGAAATATTTCCAAAGTGTTCCACACGACCGTGCAGAACATGCGATTGATATATTGACTTGCAAGACACATATTTTGTATATGGATGAAGATCATCTTGCTGATTGCCTTGAAATGGATGAAAGATCATCAGTTGGAAGTTGTGATATCATTCAAGATTACAAAAAATCTGGAAAGGATCGGAAAGATGTTGCAAAAGCTGTTCAAGAACCAGTTTCAAATCATGCAATTAATCATCGTGTAAATGGAGCAGTTCCAGTTCGTCTTAATGCTTCAAGAATTCAAAATATGAGAGCATCAAATGAAAGTTTGGATTCTGTTGGAACAAATGATTCGGATCCACAAGAAACTATCGAAACTTTGTTGATTGCAACTGATCGAGCTGCTCGTGAGTTTTTATTTTCATTTTGAAATCAAGACAATCAAGAAATTGAACTTTTTAGCTCAATACTTCAGTTCACTTGTTGTTCTTTATCGTAGATTGTGTGTTATCAGTATGCAAATCACAGACAATGAGGAATTATTGAAATCTAAACGTGATGCCAATCCAGTTGACGCACAAAAGGCAGCACTTCTGTCTCGACTTATCTCATGTACCGGAAGACAACGAACACCTTTAGCAGCAATGAGTGCACCACGTTGTTCAATTGGAGCATCATTCTTGAATGGAAAAATCTACGTTTGTGGCGGATATGATCGTGGAGAGTGTTTGAAAAGTGTTGAAGAATACGATGTTCTTACTGGTCAATGGAGAAATGTTGCAAGTATGAAAACTGAAAGAGGTCGTTTTGATTGTGCAGTAAATGGTGGAAAAGTTTATGCGATTGCTGGCTCAAATGGTAACAACGATTTGAAATCGGCTGAAACTTATGATCCAAAAACAAATACTTGGACACCAATTCCAAGTTTGAAAAACGCCAAATGTCACAATGGATGTGCATCTTATGACAATTTTGTTTATTGTATCGGTGGTTCAACTGATCAAGTTGTTTTGAAAGACTGTGAACGTTACAATGTTCAAACTGAATGTTGGGAAAATATTGCTCCTATGGAGTTTGCAAGATATCAAGCTGGTGTTTGCTCGTGGAAAGGATTTATTATTGCTGCTGGTGGTTGTGACAGATGGAATTGTATGGATACCGTTGAAATGTATGATCCAAAAACCAATACTTGGCGTCAACTCGCAAAACTTCGTCAAGCCAGAAGAGGTTGTGCTGTTGCAGTTGTTCGCGATTCACTTTATGTTATTGGTGGACACGATGGAACACAATCACTTGATTCGGTTGAAATTCTGGACAGTTTTACCGCAACTTGGCGAGCTGGACCAGCTTTGACTCTTCCAAGAGCAAATACTCACGCTGTTGTCACTGCTGGTAATTCAATTTTTGCTCTCGGTGGTTTCAACGGAAATCAATTCTTGGATTCTATCGAAATTCTCGAAAATGGTTAGTTATTATATTTTAGATCGTTTTTCTTATAATGATAATATTGTAGATCATGCTGGATGGAGAAATTGGCAACAAATGAGCCTCGCTGTTGAGGAAGAAGATGAAGAAAATTTGACATTGATTGAAGATCATCTTGATTCAGATGTTTCGGAGACAATTTCATCAAGCCCATAATTATTGATATCATTGTGCATATTGCACATTTTTACGTGTTCTTAATCTCAATTTCTTAAAAAATTCATATCTTTTCTAATTTGTAAACCTCTTTCTTTTTTGTTCCTACCTTTCTTCTCGTCAAAAAATTATCAATTAAATTCTCTGAAAAATGAGTAACGCGTAAACATTGTGTTGTGATACGATATCAGCTATCCCGTTTTCTCTTTTAAAAAATCTAAAAATTATTTGTATGTTTTGACATCTTTTTTCTAAAATCCTAAATTTTTGTGTTTTTTTTTGTTGTGTTTTACTGTTTGATTGTACACCACCCCAAATAAGAATAGTTATTTTCTGCTAGGTCAGAAATGGTTTAAATTTTTTTTTGAATTTTTTTCATTTTGAAAAACATTAAAGATAAAATGAACGTTTTGTAAATACAAAGATCGCGGATTTACAGTAGACAAAATTTTAGTGGAGTTTTTATTGAAACTCTAGAACCGGATGGAAACGCAATTAAAAATTTACAGCAGCAAACTGTGTATAAAGGGGACAATACTGGATTTGATCTATGACCCGAATTTTAGGCTTTGAAGTGCACAAGTTTCTTTCCGGTCAGATAAAAATTAAAAACGTACACGTACCTGCCAAATTAGAATGTTATAGAAGACGCAGAAATGTCGAAGAAGTGAAATGACATAGAAATATAGAAAGGAATACGAAATATATTTGATAAAATGAAAAATAATTCTTGGGAATATTTTTTCACATTATGCCTATTGCAATAAAACAAATTCAAATGCGAATCGATTTTTTTGGGCGGAACTGTCGATTTGTTTTTTTTTTTCAAAATAAAATTTAGCTCACGAACATCTGTTCAAAAATTTTGAAAGTTTTCGAAGAATGCGAAAAAAAATAAAATGCTAGGCAATGAGTAGACCGTGGAACTTCATAGTTTTTATAAGGAATTCAAAAATCTTCATGAATCTTCAACTGCAACTACGTCGTGTTAGTCAAAACATAATTCCGGCATTTGGGAACTTGAAAATAACTCTGGAATAGTGCTACTATCTGTGACGTTGTGTGTTCCAATTTCACCAATACTAGATATTTTTTCAACTGAAATAAACTCTTTTTAATTCTCATAGTATTTTTTGATGACTCCATTAGAACATCAGCGAAAATCAAAAAATGAAATTATTCGTAAAAATTGCCTAGTCATAATAAATCGTCCGTACACTGTCCACCAAATAAACCAACCCCCAATTTATCTCAGGCTCCTCAATATCAATTCTCACTCAATTTTTCCATTTCTATACCAAAAGCCAGTTTTTGAAATCTCTTCATCATCAGAATATTCAAAATAAAATAAATGATATTTACAATTGTACATTCAAAAAAAAAACATAAAATCATTGCTGCTCTGCTTTTTTGTCCGAATCAGATACTATCGCTTTTTCAGGGCTTCCAGTCTTCTCAGCTTTTGCTTTATCTTTTTCTTCCTTCGGTTTTTTCTGTGTTGTGTTGATAGTAATTGGTGTGCTGACCATAACTCGTTCACAAGATCGATCAATGGCTACTTTGATTGAGATGCCATTCAGAATATAACCATTCATCTGAAAAAAAATAGAAAGTTTATGGGAATTTGATAAAAAACAGTACCTTTGAAACAGCTTTTTCAGCATCGAATGAAGTCCAGAAATAAATTGTGGCGGTTCTGAAAATTTGAATTTGACCTTTTTTGGAAAATGAAAAAGATATATTAGAATTATTGGTCGAAAGGTTCCCAAACTCTCTGTGTGTTCTACTAATTGTGAATAGGAAAATTATTTTAGAAATTCCTAATAGTTCTTGTTTCCACAAACTCGAAAAAAACTCACTTTTGCTTGTTATCTACAGTGATACTTTCACAATTCAATTCGCCATTTTCTTTGAAAGCTTTTCTCAATTTCTCTTCGCTCAAATCAATTCCTCTCACAATAACAGAACTACTTCCAGTCGAAATATTCACAGATTCTTCTCCCATATCATCATCCCCGATTTCACCATCTTCCATTTCGCCATCATATGAATTTCCTTCGCCTATTGATTTTCTTTCAGACATTAAACGGCTTCTCTTTTTTGGTGTCCAATCATTTTCAACATCTGGAATAACAACGAATTCTATTTGAAATTCAATAAAAAATAAGAGCTGACCTGTGCTTTTCGAGCTTCTTTTTTGACCACTGACTGCAGTTGGAGTGGTAGGTTCATCAAGTGCCAACAGATTTTTCTGAAAACCGATAAAAAATACGAATAAATATAAATAAACTCACAATTTCACTACATTTTTTGATAGTTTCTTGATAAGCTAATTCTTCTGCTGTCAATTCGGTTGGAAAAGTGAACGCATACATCACAGAGTTTTAGATTTAGAGAAATAAAATGTAAATAAAAGAAAAAAAAAATGAGAATAAAATAATGGCGTTGTGCGGATGTGGCCGAGGTTTTGTTTGGTTTTTTAGGCCAAATAATATTTTTTGTTTCGCAACATATTTTATGCATGTTTGTGCTTCTATGAAACATGTTTGGAAAAGTAAACGATGGGCTCGTCCATGAATAAAAAACAGTTCAACAATAAATATTCGTCCAAATTATTTTGATTAAAATTTCGAATTGAATCCAATCAAATTTAAGAGTACATAGTTTGTTCCGAACGCAGTGGCCACTCAAGAAGTTTTGTCGAGTATTCCAGTTTTGCCCAGCAGAATCGAATTTTCATTATTTCCGCTAACCCAATCCAAATCTATTGCTTCCTAAACTTTTTTCACCAGTTGTTATCCAATACATAAATTATTCCTATGAAATACATGCAAAACTGTAATTTGCACTTATTTTATCACTTAAAAAAGTTCATATCATGGTGTGGTCTCACTTTGTTTATCGATGATAACAGGCGTCAGTTTTTTTGATGAAACAATGCAACCGAACACTGTCTTGATTATCGCAACGAAAAAAATCATCGGAGGTATCTTTCGTGATTTTTGGTTAAACTGGAAAATGTACGATTGTACTTTGTAATGAACGAATTATGCGGTTTTGTTTTTATAATAAAAATTAATAATCCTTATCGGGTAACTTGTGTATGATTCTGCAAAGTATGAATTTTATCGGAAACTCCAATAATAAAAAATAGTTCATTGTAAGATTTACATACAAAATACGGCGAAACTTTTACGTTTCCAGAGTCGAAATGATACTTTCAAAGTGGTTCAGCATTATTTGTTATTTTTTCTCTTGTAAGAGATATCTCTGTTGAATCACAACCGCCAGAATATGTATAAACATCGTCCTCTGCATAAGCAAACATATCGTGAAAGTAGCTCTCCGCGTCAGGTCTGAAAATCGAAATTGCTATGTTTTGAAATGAGGAAAACTCAAGACCAGAACACAATTATTCAGGAAGAGCTTGAATTGTATAATTTTGTTATTTTCTACTAACCTTTTTTCCATAATCACGAATGGTAATCCGAAAAAACAACGTCTATCCAAACGTTTTCCATTGGAGTCAGGTTTCAATGTGAGATCTCTGAGGTTTTGATTGCTTGTCCGTTTCAACCATCCTCTGAGTATCTGATTCACACCTTTATTAGTAACATTCATCAAGTTCACTTCAATGTTGTTTGCTTTCATTTCCATTATCATTTCAGCTGTGAAAGGAGTTTTCGGTATTTTGACAGTTCCTTTCATCTCGCGAACCTGAAAAAAAACAGATTGTTATTTGCGTCAAATCATAAGAACAAACCTGTTCGAACTCAAGAGATTTGTTTTCAAAAAAATCAAAATTTCCAGTTGTCTCACATTTGTAAACAAAACTATATAAATTTTTGAAAGATCTGAAGTCTATTTGTTTCATTATTGTTGTGAACCGATCAATCTGAAAATAAGAATTCAAAAAACATATATTTGAAATTAAAATTACATTTCTCATAATTCTAAAATCGTATTTCAAATATGGATTGAATCCGATACTTGTTTGACAAAAAGCATCATTGAAAGCTTCCATTCTTGGTTTTCGAACTGGGAATAGTTCATCTTGATTCTACAAAAAAGTAGCAAATTTTTGGAAAAAATATCGGAACAAACTTGATCTATGAATATTCTCCGTATAGTTGTGTTATAAATATTCAATGTGCTCTGAATATACTTTACTGCAACATCCTCCAATGTCCCAATTTCGAATTCGACAAGTTCACAATCTGTATGCCTAAAATGCTATCTTATCTATGCTTGTTTTAAAAGATGAAATAAACTAACGGAAAACTTGTTACTACTTTAATCAAACCAGGTTTAACTTCACTGATCGTTCTTTTTTGAAAAACTACCATATATTTGAAAATTGTGAGAATCTCAATACAAGATCCCCAGAAAATCTTGATCTCATCAGTGGGAGATTTTGCCTTGGAGACTTCTTCAATACAAGATCGAGAACATTTCAGAAACTTTCGTTTAGTTTCCATACACATCAACTCAATAATCATAATTCTCAATTCAATCGGTAATTTCTTCCAAACAAATCCCATTTTGAAACTGAAAGAATACAGTTAAAATACGGAATGGTGAAGAAATGATGAAACTGAGAAAATAAAATATGATTGATTTTTGTGATAAGATGGCATTTTTTGTCAAAGTTTTTTTTTGGTTTTCACTTGGTCGCCTATCAGATAAGTTCCTTTTATACGTAACGAAATGAGAAAAAAACTGGGTGTTTCTTTGTGAATAAACTGATAAAACCTATCATGGAATTAGTTTGACAATGAAAGGCAAGGGAGCTGAAAAATGTTCAAAAAGGCAATGTGCTCCTATAGAATATATAAAACAATGTACTTATAGGGGCGAAAAATTATATTTAATTTTGTTATAACTGAAAAAAAAGAGACTACAGAAAATTGATGGCAATTTTTATTCCAAGAAGATCAAACACCATTTTATACGCAAAACAAGGGGGAATTTTCGAAAAGTTAACCCCCCTAACCCATTTTTTTCTGATTTTTTATCACAAACATCATAAAAAACCCTAAAATGTTCGAAAGTTAAGCCCCCTACCTCTAAAAATCCACCAGAAGTTAAACCCCCCTCCATCCGAATTCGGAGTCCCAGTTCATGTGTGTCCTAGAAATCTCATTGTTATTCAAAGTTTTTTTTTTGAAATTCGGTGAACTTCACAGAACAGTAATTATATAAATCTTCAAATGTATCTTCAAGCATCTAAACAATGTTCTAAATTCTCTCCATCTGTATTCTCCGAGGATGATATAAAAATAGGATTTTTAATGTTCCTACGAATGAACTTTTTGTTTACAAATCGTTCACTGATTTCACTTAATTTTCTTGACACGTTAATTAATTTTTTGAGTTCCGAAATCCCTATTGATTTTTATGTTCGGCCAAAGTATTAATTCAAAACGACATACACCTCAATCAGAAAAATGACAATAATAACTCTTTCCGATGCTCATTTGATAATTCAGAAAGTTTCTTCGTTTTTTGCCGTATCAAACAACCTCTTCATGGTTTATATGATTCATAAAAAATCACCAAAATCTCTAGGACCATATAAACATTTGTTGATGTGCACATCAATTTTTGAAATCGTCTATGCTCTTTTAGAAGTCATTATTTCACCAGTATGTTTTTTTTTTCATAAATCTAGAGATTTTCTATTTTGAAAAATTATTTTCAGGAATTTTATTCATATGGTAGTATAATTGTGTGTTTTATTGAGTTGAAAACATCTATGCTTGGGCCTTTTGAACTCAATATTTTAAATTCAATGTATTGCGGGTTTTTCGGAGTTTCATTGTATTTTTTTGCATTGCAATTTATTTTCCGGTTTTTGGTTTCAAAGAAGTAATTTTAAAGAAGTAATTTTAATAGGTTAAGAATGAACCTTTTGTAGGTCAAAACTTTTGAAATCATTTGACGGTTACAAAATTCTTATATGGCTTTGTTATCCATTGACAGCTGGAATTATGTGGGGTGTTTCTGCATATTTTTTGGGTAGACCAACTGATGTGAAATCTCAATTTCTCGCTGAACCGCTTTTCTCAGATTTGGGATTGAATGTGAATAATACAGTTTACCTTGGAGCTCATTTCTACCCAAAAAACAGTGATGGTCAAAGTTATATCGATTGGGAATCGTTTATTGTTATTAGCATTATGATTTCACTTATGGTAGGTTGAACTTATGAAGTGATTTCATGAAAGTTCAAAAATTTACTCGAAATCTCCCAGAGAATTATAATGATTTTCCAGACTGTTGCTCTTCTAATCATCACCATTTTTGGAATTTTGTGTTACATAAATCTTCAAAGAAGTACAAAAATCTCCAAGATTTCCAAAACTCATCAAGGTATTCAAAAACAATTATTTTATGCTTTAGTAGCTCAAACAGCAATTCCTCTAGTTTTTCTGATTTTACCAGTCTCAACAATATATTTGTGTACTATTTTTAACAGTGGTTTGGGAATATATAGTGCTATTTGTACAATTATGGTTGCGTTTTATTTGGCTGTTGATCCATTACCAAATCTGTTTATAATCAAAAATTATCGTCGTGCATTTTTCAGTGAGTTTTCTCAACAAATATTTATTTGAAATCCATTTGAACTGAAATATACATACGCTAGAGTTCACATAATTGAAAACACAATTTTTCAGATATGACACAAGAACTATGTCGATGTTCAAAAGCAAAACAAAGACCTCAGATAACACGGAAATTTTGAAGTTTCTATATACTGCTCAACTTCATGATTGGTCTCTTCAAATCTGTTCCTTCACTTTGATATCGTTTCAAAATATTGAACATTTCAATATCTTCTGTTGTTTTTTTCATTGTATCAATAAAACTCTCATTTTCTTTGTTTGGCACAGCTTTTCTAATAACAATCAAAAATCCCTTGAAATTTGGATCTCTACTGGCTCTGAAAAACTTGTATACATTTGTTTCTGATTGAGACATCAATAACAAACCTAAATAAAAAATCGCCGACTCTAGTCAAAAGTCGTTCGCATTCATGTTGTTCTATATAGCCGTGAAAATATGGACTCATTTGTTTCGTTAAATTGAAATGCTGTGCGGGTTTCTGGAAAAAAAAACAAATTTGTGAAAGAAAAGTAATGAAAACTAACTAATCTAGCTTCTGAATTTATTGATGGTTTTTTGAATCCATCGGCAGTTTTCAAAATTTGAATCATATTATTTTTCTGTAATTAATTTTTTGAAAAAGCTTCATTCCAATAAATTTACCGCGGCGGCTGAAGTAAGTTTCAACACAATACATTCTCTTTTGTCTTTACTTTTCACAATGAATCCAAAATATTGATGAGAATCCTGGAAATATTTGCTCATTTTAATTTAAAAACAATTTGAAAAAACTCACAATGACGTCATGTGTGGCAAATGAAAAATCATCTGTTAAATATCTGGCAATCAATCTAGTGTTTTTTCCTTCAATATAGAATAAACTGATAGTGTTAGCAGTTATAAGCATATTTGCATTCAAACAATCCAATCTTACAAAACTTGAGACTTTCTGAACAAAATAATAATTTCAAAAAAAAAACATTTTGAGGAACATACTTCAGCATTGAAAATTGTTTTGAAATCTTCGGTTTGTTCGGATCGAACAACTGTTTGAATACAAGCTCTGGAAACATTTGAAATTTTGTTGATCTTATTTGGTGAGGAGTTTGAAGGTAAGAAAGAGAAATTCAAAAATTAACTGACTTCGTTATGCGATCTTTTTTTGACTTTTCTTGCTTTGAAATTGAGATGTTGATTGGCACATAACCGTAGAACTGAAAAAAAAAATTCCAAATTTAAATTCTGTTATTGTTCTCATCAAAGGTTCAAGATTATATCATTTGGATTATAAACCACAGTATGGCCCCATTGGAAACCATAACATATGTACATATATGTTTTACTTTGGTTATATTTTTGATCAAAGTTCATTGGCCATACATTAATGTTTCTCTAGACAGATGCCATGACTCATAATTTTTATGATAGATCTTCTTGGAAAAAATACAGACAGAAAAAGGGAGGAGACACAAACAGGCACCGCGGTTTTTTTATTAATGTGATTTTCCACAAGAAATGTGTGGAAACACATATGTATCATCAAAATTTGGTTTGTAGACCGTTTTCTCTATTTATTTTTCCCAGAAATTATTCTATTTTGTAACGGTTCTATCAAATGACTGGCTTTCTTTAATTCTATTAATATTTTATGTTAGCAATGTGAAGCTGAGCTTTATGATGTCTTCTATAAAATAACCATTTTTGAGCAAATATAATTTGAAAAACGGGCGGTCTTTCTATTAACATTAACTAGAAGTAGACAGTGATGACACATAATTTCTCATAAAAAAAGAAAGTCACAGTTTTCTATGGGAATAACCTTTTGTTTTGTACGAATAATTATTTGATTGCTTTTCCCCTATTTTTAGATACAATCATTTTTTGACAACATTTATTTTCTCTTAAATATGATTACTTTGATTTGTTGTTCTGATGTTAAATTTATCGTGCTGCTCATTTTTCAATATGATTCATTCGAAATGTGTTTCTCACGCTTCAAGTAAAGAGAACGGTTCTTATTCGATATTGTAAATTTATTCAATTCTTTCCTTATTTTTATATCAACCAAACGTTTCACAATTCTAATTGTTGTTTGATTTCAGATTATTGAAATGCTTCCACGTTGCACAGTTGTCTGTAAATGGGAAGGATGTTTCTTCACATTTCCAAACGAAACACATATGAATCAACATGTTATTTATCATCATTTTCCTCGCACTTTCAAACAATTATTGAATTGGGAGGAGAGAAAAGTTGTTGAAGAAAAGGAAACTCCGAAAACGACCCCAAACGCCAGATTCAATTGGTTCGGTCTCAGAGTGAGTAATTTTCTGATTGAATTGGGAGAGTTTTTAATTTAGGGTTATTAAAGAACGTCCATCCTAGTGTGATTGACTCATCATGGCACAAAAATCTGCCTTCTTGGTAGTGAGAACCAAAAGAGAAATTTAAGCTTACATAAGAAACGTTTTATGGTTTTTCAAAATCAAGTATCTTCTCAAATATTTTAATATTATTATCCAAAAAAAAGAGAACCAACCTTAACATGAAATGTTACACCACTTCGAATAATTTCACAAGTTGCATCATTTTCAGCGTTCGAATTAGACCACGACGACTCCGGATCAATACTCATTGCATATTGTGTATTTTGTTATAATCAAAACCTTGCGTGCAACTGATAACAGTAAACTTCGATATTTATACCCTTTGTTTATTTTTTATTCTATGCGACCTTTTATTAGCGGAACTCTGTTAATAAATTTTTTTTGTGCGAAATTTTGATTGAAACCATTCAATTATTAGGAAGTAATTTGACATTAATAATGAGAATGTAATTTTAAAAAAAACGTATGTTTTACGACCCATCAATGATTGAACTAGATAAAAAATGATATTTTGATTCAAAAGGTGAATTAGAATTTATTGATTTTCAGAGAAAGTATGGCTCAAGCAGAGTTTTTGTTGAAATAAAATATTTGGCTGGTCCAGGAACTTTTGCGGAATATCCGCGAATTTTTTTGGCGGAAAGCGGAATGTCCACACGATACAAATGTATTCTACCTGAGAAATCCATCGGCGGCAGGCCTGATCGGAATGGACCTTGTCGGAAGGTTCGGAATGAGCACGCTCGTTCCGAGTGGTCAGATCGTAATTCCGAATTCCGAACCTCCATTCCGACATTTTTACCTCGGAATTTCGGAATTTTTCGGAATGTTTCGGAATGATATAAAACTTATAAAATTTGTCTTCAAAAGTTACATTTTTTGAGAATCACAAGAGAAAAAGAGATTTTTTGAAAATGACAGGTTAAATTCATCAACTTTTCCATTTTTTTGTTGGATTTTTCACTAATTTCAGCGCAAACATTCCGAAAAATTCCGAAATTTGGTAGAAAAATTCCGGAATTCGGAAGAGAAACACATTCCGAAATTCCAAAAAGTTTCGGAAGTAACATCGGAATGATTCCGATTCCGAGAAAATAGATTCCGATTCCGAGACATGTTTGTCTCATTCCGAAAAACCTGTTGGTTTCGGAATTTCGGAATTCCGATATTCCGATTCCGATCAGGCCTGATCGGCGGATCCCAAAAAATTGACTGAAAATTCAATCTTTTCGTCGAAAATTTCACAAAATTCACAAAATTAGACCCCACCTTCGACTTTTTTCGAGACTTGTGTAGTCGGGATCAGGCTTGTGAGGAAACGGAGAATCTGTTTTCCGATTTTCCTACTTTTTAGAAAAATTTCGGAGAAAGTACGAATCGGAAAAATTTCCGAACGGAAATTTTTGAAAATTTTTGGTCGGAACATTTTGTCGACGGATTCTTTCGGGAAATATTTGTTTCCTTTTTCGACACCGATAATTTTCCGAAAATTTGAAATAACTTGAAGAAAATATTCAATAATTAGCATATCTATTTTTGATAGAAATTAAGTGTTTTGGCTTGAAAAAGAAGGATTCGTAAAACTGGAAGATCTTCCAGATTTACAAATTTTTGACCGAAAAAAGTTGATAAAATAGTATAATTTGAAGAGAGCAAGCAAAAAAAGCTCAACAAATGAAATAATATCAATTTTTGACAGAAATCGAGTGTTTTGGATTGAAAAATAAGAATTTATAAAACTGGAAGATCTTCGTCAATTTTTTTCAAGAAATTCTAAATTCTAAAAATCATACCTAGCGGAAAATGGTTTGGCTGGAAACTTTAGAACATGTTTTCATGATTTTTGAAGAATATGAAATTCATGTAAAAAATATTTTCCAACTGAAACGATCACGGAGGAAAAAGGAAACAAAAAAAATCAACATAAATTCAAGATGAACGGCAAATCTGTAAATTTCCTGAAATATCCCCCCCCCTTCTTTAACACATTTTGATTCAACTAAAAATTTATTAACAATTCCTTCAAAATCAAATTTTGTTCATCACAATCTCCAAATGATACATTTCTCTGTAACTTCAAAATTACTACTTTTCAAACGGTGTTGACATTCAGCGAAAAGTTTGAATATTGTATGTCAACACCGATTTCTCACCTGAACAATCACAACACAAAACATTTAGATTCAGAAAAAGACTGCGATGGAATATGAGAAATAGACAGTGGGAATAAGAAATCTCAACCGACAGTTTCAAAAAATTTTGAATTTTAGTTTTTGAAATATATTTTCTTTCAAAATCAAAATCAAGATGGTCCAAGAATAATGCCGTTGAAAAAGCCGGCAAGGCAGAGGGCTGCATAGTTCACCAAAGGTACAATTCTAGTAACTATACAACCTACTACCTCAATGGCTCGAATCAGCGGTTTTTGTCTCAAATTAGATCAATCAATCACAAAATGTTTTCATCTACCAAAAAATGAAAAACCTTCGTCGACCTGTAAATCGAAATGTGTAAGATCTCCAATATTTTCAAAACACATTTTCGAATCTACGGGTTGACGACGGATTTTCGAGTTGGTGTGGTCCAAAAAATATTGTGTTGATGTGATGTTTGAGACAAAAAAAACTGTCGGTTGAGAGCCTCATGCAGGCGAAGGGATTAGATAAATCATTTGCGTTTAGGGTGTGCGCGGGAGAACTTAAATTAAAAAGATAACCAAAATGTAATTGAAATTTATCAAAAGCACTGCAACTAAAAATGTTTAGTAGCACCGCATTGTCTGGATTAGTTCTCACAAAAAAAACTTGAAAGTTTTTGACTTTGACTTCAAAAATTTTCCGGTGCGAGTGCAAAATTTTGCGCAGTTTGAAAAGCTCATGGTTATTATTCACAAGGTTACAGTAAAAATTTCAAATTTACGAGGGGAAAATACGACTCCGATACAGTTCTAGAACTCCGATACTTTTCTAAATCTCCGATACAATTCGAGAAGAAGTTACAAAAAACTCCGATACATTTCAAAACCATGAGTGAATAAAGATCTTAAATTAAAAAAATGAAGTTTCAAAAACCTAACCTAAAGTGATCCCGACCACCACTAATGTTAACTACAGTATCTAAAAGACTAAGGAACCAAGTAATATCCTAATGCAGATGGTCACTACTAGACTAGGTCGGGGTCGGGATGGGTGTTCGCTGTTCATCTTTTTTTTTGCGAAAAAAAAAGCGAGAGAGTACGAGACGAAAAGAAAAGTGGGCGGAGTCGCGGAGTCCGCGCGGCTAGGCACGGGGCGCCCGTTCACTCCGGTATCAGGCGCATGGAACACCACGTTCACAAAAAAATTGTGCACTTTCAAAAAGGGGAAGAGAAGAAACGAACACCACACACACACACACAAAAAATGTTGCACTTTTTTCTCGTTTCCTCTCACACTTTCACACTCTCTCTTTTCTTCTCGCCTTTGTGTTTGAGGGAAGGAGAAGAATGGCTCTGGCGCGGTGCTTGGTACGCTGGTACGTGTGTTGCAATCTTGTACTTTTTTTTTGTTTTATTTTTGTTGTGCGAGTGATGAGTCTATTGGTGATAGTTGTGTTTTTGATGCAAAAAAATGAGGGTTCGGGGGAAACACACAGCACTGCATACACAATATATATGTTTAAATTAGAAATAAAATGAAATGAAAAGACACGAAGTGAGATGTTGATTAATTGGTTTGTGTTGGAAATTATATTTGAAAAGATTACGGTCGTTTGTTATAGGGATAAATGGCGGAATCTAGCGGTTCGATGACTATTTTTCTAAATATGAGAAATACATTTTAGTGGAACCTCGGTATTTCGAAATTAAACGTACATAGCTCGAAATGATTTTCGGCTTGAGATGAAGGTTCTGATGATCAGAATGGAGTGAAACTGTGAATCTAGTGAAAATCTGGAAACCCACTAACTTCCTATTTTAATTTTGAACTTTTTTCATTTTGGACTAACATGATGTTACAAAACAGCCCAAGATTTATCTCTAAACCTGGTGAATTTTCTAGTTCTGTTTTGAACTTTGGTGGTTCCATCAGAAGTAAATTTAGCGGAACTTTTCTACTGACTGTTTGTCTGTGAATTTGAAATTGAAGTTTTCTGTGGGATTCAGGATTTGGAATATCCAGGGTCAAATTTGCAATTTCTCAGTTTCTGATTTCAAATTTGGAATGTAAAAATTTTCACAAAAAATTGCAATTCACAGGATATCTACGACTTTGGATTATTCCAATTTCTATCTGAGCTTAGCCTAGTTGATTACTGTAACCATGATGATAAGTAGCACCTCCGCACACCCAAAGCAAAGCGCCTAAACTGACCATATTCTTGTTGAAGGAAGAAGAAGAAGAATGCAGGAAGAGGGAAGAGGGAAGACGATGGTTGGAAGAATAAGCGGAAGTCTGGACAATATCGAATGAATGAGGGAACTCGAAATACTGTGATGTGTACAAAAGCGAAGCCACGCCCAATATCGTCTGCGTCTCCACACTCTCCGCAAAGACGGAACGTATATTCGGCAAAAAACCGCTGCTCCCTGACACGGCGTGTCCCGGTGACAAGGGGGCCAGCCATTTTTTGTGTGTTCTCAAGGAAATATGTGTATGTGTGAGTGACCCTTCTCTTCTTTTTTCTATCTATATACACACACACACAAAAGCGAAAGTACACAATAATAAATATAAATATATAAATTGAAAAGGAGGGACAACAGCGCGCAAAAAACTACTGTGAGATGTACCTGAGTGACCCATTTTTAAGATGAACATGACCTCCATTTTTTGCATTCCGCAGACTTTTTTTGTTGGGTCAATGTGAAATGGAAAATGAATCGTTATCCGGATTGCTTGGCGGCATTTTGTGAATTAGAAAGTGAAGAATTGACATGATCTTTTGAACTTCAATCTATGGGGAATTGGAGAAAATTCGAAAGTTGTAACGTGGAAAGATGTACCTTGCTGGGAAAAGCTTGAAAAAAGAACAGATTCGGATTACCCCACCTGGATATTATACTTTGAAACAGTTACAGATCTTGGAATGAAATGGGCTTATGTTAAAGATTTGTTGTTCGAATAACTCACTAGTATAAATTAGTAGCAGGGAATAGCAATAAAATAAATCTTGAAATCTAAAAATATAAATGTTTAGTTTGTGTTGATCAATAAAACGTTCACAATTTGTCATATGGTTTCGTGATTGATCTGAGAATTTTGATTTGATATAATTTATTTACGACATTGTGAGAAAACTGGAAGATATTTTTGGAAATGAATCACAATATAGGATTCTTGAAAATGTTCATTATTAGTTTGATTTCATCAATAAAAATCCGTGTAATGCAGATTTTATGAAATTTCATTGATTGATGAGTCTCAAAATCAATCAGCATTGATATTAATGCAAAATTTAGGGGAAAAATTAGGATTTGGAAAAATTCACTCGAATTTTTCTTGCGAATTATTTCATAAACTCCGTGAACGTCAATGAAAAATGTATTCAAAATTACGAATTTTCGAGAAGTGTTGATTGGGTTCATTTTTCACCTCTTTGGAGAGTAGTTCTGAAACCAATTATATATTTTTTACTTTGAAGTTTGAAACCGATTAAAGAATTGACACTTATTATACATAATTCATTAACATTTTTTTGAAAAGTTCAACGATGAAGGCTAATTTAGCCTCATCATTCTAGCTAGTTGGTACCAGGTCGTATCAAAAGCTCATTTTTCCACTTTACAGAATTTGTTTATTTTTGTTTCCCATAAAATCATAATTTCAATCAATTCCAATTAGATTTACAAAAAAAATTATGGTCAATTCTCAACGTTGTTTTTTCTCATGAATTAATATATGTTCTCAAACCGAATTATATACGATTACACATTTGCTTCTTTTGATCTTTTTTATATTAATTTTTTTTACAAAAAGGATGACTCACCAAACGATTTGCCGCTATCCAAATGTCACCATCTTTCCCTTCTTTTTTATATTAAAAAAAGCACAAAACGTTTTTGCAAATGGTTCATGAGAGTGTTAATAAATAAAAAAATTAATAGTTGATTCAAAACAAAAACATGAAAAAAATTGGTAATCAGAGAAAAAAGTGAAAAAGTACCCAAACGTTGATGGAAATTATAATATTATGTTATAAAATTAGTCGCTTTGTCCATCGCCTCCTCTCATTGCATCAGGGATTGGTGGTGGCACGGAGAGTTCTTCCATTTGCAAGATTTGATCTCCAAGGATTTGGAGACCAATCACTGCTGGAGATTGAGCCTGGAAAATAATCAATGATTGGTTTGACTAGAGATTTTCTTGGGAGTTTTTTGCGAATAGTTTGACAGTATGATTGCAACTTAAGCGGTAGCATTTTATTTTCTCTAAATACGATAGATGTTTTTCAGAAAATCATAAACCGCTTCTAATTGTCAATGTTATTTTCAGAATTTTGAGTGGGAATAAAAAAACATTTTATTCGAAAACGGAGAAACCAGGTCTTATAACATCAGTTAAAAAAACAACTCTAACTTATAAGAAGTCACTTTTTATAGAATTTATTTTTGATATTGGTCTTGATTTCGTAGAATTCATAGAATTTAATTTTATTTGAAAACAAAAACTCACTCTGGCATTGGTGTTGTCGAATCCAGCTGTCGACAAAATTGTTGAATCCTCCAACAACACTTGTGTTCCATTATCATTGATCTTGTACAAAGTTTGAGCCTCGACAGGATACTGAAAAGTGATATTTGCTCTAGAGCTTTCAATAACTTTATTTTTAACACAAACCTTGATAATTCCTTCGATGATTCTTTTCAGATCTTTGACTTGAGCTGAATCTCTCGCATCGATGAAAATGTGAGTTTTATGACGGCGGATTTCAAAAAACAAGTCGGTCATCTTTCTGGAAAAAGCAAATCAATATTAAAAACAAGATAGATAAAAACAAGGTATAATGAATGGAAAACATATGGATTTGGCTTGGGGAAGAGATAAAGAGAGCACAGAGAAATATAGATTCAGGTGTTATCTAACTACACCTGCAAAATTACTAATCTTCCCCCTTTTTTAGCCGATCCTATCGGCATGTTTTTGGGAAACTACAACACTGTTGGGGGAATTTTTGGATCAATAACATGTGGTCTCGAAAAAATAGAAAGAGTCATCAAAAGGAAAACTGAAATCACATGTTACAAAAAACTTTGATTTTTTTTTCAAATTGAAAAGTTAGCGAGGGAAAAAACACTACAAATACCCAAAATTATGATAACCTTTTTTCAAAACAAAATTTCAAGCGTTCAAAAACGTTTATCTCATCATATAAAACATTAATAAGTAAATAAAAATAATAGAAGAAATGAGAGAAAATAGGAAAAAGTAAGACGCAGAGACACATGAAAGGGACGCCTAACGAGACCCATTTCTATTTGCATTTTATTTAGCAGCGGAGTGTTGTTGTTTTTATTTTTTATTTTCCACCTTTTATGTTGAAATTTTCAATTTTTGTTTAATTTCAGAAAATGTCGGGTAGTCTACTGGATGATGAAAATATCAACAAAGCACTCGACTCAACTGTCAAAAATATATTAGGAGAAATGAATGTGATGTTGGAGCGGGTGAAACAAATATCAGCACAATGTTTGGATACAACTCTGCGAATCGACACAATTTCAATTGATGTTGGAAATCTGAAAAATGAGAAAGCAGTTGTTCATAAAATCGTGCGAACTATAGAACCAGCAGAGGAATCTCCAAGCAAAAATAAAAGAGATATTCTTGATATGTATGCAGAAAAGGTGAGATTTTAATTTTAATTTTAAAAAAGTTTTCACGATGACCTGCGACGAAAATGAGTTGAATTTTTCTAGATAAAAGCAATCAATACGTCTTCACGGCATCGATATGTTCATCAAATTGCTTTAGCTTCAAACTACACACCAAGAACAGAAATGCTTATCGATCCAGATATTGAACCATGTAGTTCACAGATCTCGACAAAAACCGATAAAATTATTGAGAAAATTGATCCAATTGTGAAAAAAGAAGAGAAAGAAGATTTCAACACATCGATTAACGGTCATCATGAATCTGAAAGCAGCAAAGTTCCAGGTAATTTAATTTTTTGAGTTTTGAAAACAATATCAAATCCAGAATTGAAAACACCACAACAACTTGCTCCACCCAAAAAGCCAATCTTTGACAGCGAATCTGAGGAAGAAGAAAACGGTTTCATCGATAAAACAGTCACAAAACCTGCAGTTTTAGAAGTGGCTGCTGAATCAAAACCAGAAATTAAGCAGAATGGAATGTTAGGTGAGATTTTTAAAATTATTTGGAATTTATAAACAAATAAGATAATGATCGGAGAACGTTTTCAAATAGAAAAATACTTTTTCATTGCAAAGTATTACAGATATTCAAAAAGAACTTGCCGCCAAGTTTGCTTCAAAAACTCCACAAGTCACTCAAAGCTTGATCTCAGAAAATGAATCAAAAGCAGAACCACCAATCGATCAAAAATTGCCGATTCCATCATCTGTTCCTGCTCCACCTCCAATGACATCTCCGTTACTAAAACCACAATCGGAGCCAGAATCTGTGAATGAACCTGAAAAAATTGCCGTATCAGTTCCGGAAGTGAAGACAAATGGAATAGCTGGTTAGTTATTTGATTTTAAATGATTTTAAATGAACCTTCTTGTTCAGATTTCAAAAAAGAGCTTGCTGCTAAACTTGCAACTCCAAAAATACCACAGCCAACAACAGCAAAATCATTGTTTTCGGATAGTGAATCTGAAGAAACACCGCCACAAAAACCCACCCAAGTTGCTGCAAAACCGGTACAGAAATCTGAAGTCAAAACAAATGGAGCTGCTAAACCAGAAAACGTCAAGAATTCTATCGAAAAAGAAGTTCAAATCCCTGTAAATAATACAAAACCAACATCATTATCGAACAACAAAAAAGTCGTGACAAAACCGGTTCAGAAGAAGTTCAGCTTGTTGGATGATTCAGATTCTGATGAAGATTTGTTTAATAAATCTGCAATTGTTAAAAAGCCTACAAATCTGCAATCATCAAAAAAGCAGCCACCCGTCGAAGTCAAGAAACGTGAGTTCTGTGAAAAGCTACTTTAAATTATTAAGTTCATAAATTTTCTCATTCCAGCACCAACTGTTGCACCATCTTCTGCTTCTACTTACAACAAACCCATGAAATCTCTCCTCGATTCTGATTCTGATGAAGATTCCGATTCACTTTTCAAGGCCAAAAAGATTGTCAATACTCCTGCAAAATCAATTCTCGAATCTGATGACGACTCAATTTTTGAGAAGAAATCACTTTCATCAAAGGCTGTCGATAAGAAAACTTCAGATGTAGCAAAAGATCTGAAGAAAACTGAAATTGAAAAACCATCAGAGATTAAGAAGATCGATAACCAGAAAGCAGTAGAGCCTAAAAAGGTTGGTGACATTAATATGAACAATATTTCTGAAGATGTTCAAATGTTACAGGGTGCTTCAAAATCGATATTTTTCGAATCAGATGATTCCGATGATGAATTATTCAAAGTCAAGACAAAGAAAGTGATTACAGAGAAGCCGGCAACTTCTTCAATTCAAAAAACATCTGTTGCTTCGCCGAATTTGTCAAATTCCAAAAACCAACAAGAAATTCCTATAACTTCCGGAAAATTGCAGAATGGTGGTGAACCAAAAGAAATTTCAAGTTCTTTGAAAGATTCGGAATCATCGACAGTCGAAATTCCACCAAGTTTGGAAAAATCTGCAACTCCTGAAAGTTTGGGGAAAATCGAAAAATCAGATTTCACGTCCAATTTGAATGCATTACTTGCCAAAAAACCAGGAAGCATCCCAAAAACTGAATCGTCTCCAACAACTTCAGAGACTTCTCAAGATAGTTTTAGTTCTATTTTGAAGGTAAGGTGTTTGCGATTTCATCTGTTTTATATAATTATTTATATTTCGTAAAAGTTCCATTTGAATAATCGAAACTTGGTTTACAGTCAAAACCGAAAGGACCAAATCGACGACCAAGAACAACTTCCACACACAACAAAACTCAGGATCAATCCCAAATTCAAAATCTTGCCACATCTTCCGAAATCCCTGCAGAAGAACCATTTTTCGACCCATTATCATAGTTTTTGTATAGTATTTATTATTATTATAGTCTTCAATTATTTCTCAAATCGAATCCACTTGTAAATTATATATTGTGATATTTTGATAACTTTGCCACTTAATTTTCAGTCATGATTGATTAACGTGTATTCGCTTTTACATTTTATTGAACGGTTAATTTTATGAATGAAATTACTTATTTATTTTTTCACAATGTTTGTTAACTTGGATTTAAAAAAATCATTTTCCAAGATGCTGGTAAGGTTTTGACATTTTTTCTCAACATTTTTGCCAAGATTATGTTTTTTTGTTTTTTTTTTCTTACGAAATGCCCGCGAAATGTTTGCCATTGGCCACGCCCCTTGATTTCGAGCGCGTGTCTCATTTTCTGTGCTACGACGGTTTTGTCATTCTTTTTTGTGTTTTTATTTTTCGTGGCTTGATGAATTCATAAATATCCGAATTTTTCATAGCAGAAAATATATTGATTTCACCAAAACTTTTCACCCAAACCAACATTTAATGAATTGTTTCGTTTTTTATTTTTTGCTATGACTCATATTAAACTTTTATCTTATTTTTCAAAATCGATTTAACTTTTCTAAACCCGCGTGTTACACACGGTACGCTAGAAGCCTACCATCAATTTCCGTAAACTACCAAAATAACTTTTTGAGTGCGTTTTTGAGCTAGTATATTGCTCATATTTCACAGTTTCCCCCTTTCCTTTTGTCACATTTCATCTTATACTCTTCATAAATCAATCAATCTGGCACAGTTTTGGTAGAGTAGTAAAAAAAGTGGAGCTTTTCCTTTTGATCACCGATTTCTTCCCAAACTGTGGGCAAGAGAAATGTAGAGAGTCCAGAGATAAATGTTTTTGTATGCAAAAATAAGAGACATAGACATTGAAAAAATGAGTTTTTGCCGAAAACAGATGTTGGTTTATAAACACATATGTATGATAGAAAGGCGGTGCTTATAAGTTACAGTGAATGCACTTTTTTCGGAACAACAGAAAACAGATACATTCATTTTCTCAGTTTCTTTTGTTATTCTTTTGAAAAGACAAACGAGTAGTAGAATAAACGAAACGACATTTGTTTTTGTTATTTTTAAATTTTGTTCACGCGCGGGAATGTTTTCATTCTTTTTCGCAGTTCTCACTTTTTGTTAATTTTATTCAAATCTATTATTCTTACAGATGTCGACAACCAATTTCAGATGTTTTGATTCTAAGATACTTAGAAAAACAACCAATTATATAGATGCAGTTCGATATATGCTATATCACGCCGATGATAAAAAAGAACTCGCAGAAGTTTTTCGTCAATTTGAGAATGTTCTGAAAAGATTCAACAAAGCTATGGAGAAACCAATAAAAACTGCATTGAAAACATTTTTCATGCCAGAATTTGAAACAGGTTTAACGGATCTTGAAGAAGCTTTGGAGGCACATGAACAGGATATTGAAAAAATAAAAAAATCCGAAATTCAACACGAAGAGGTCTCATTGAAAAATGCCTATTTATTTTCGATTGAAGAAGCGGAAACATATATTGAGGTACATTCAGAAATTATTTCGAATATTGGGGAAAATCCATTGAAGATGCCAAAATATGAAGAAAAAGTGGCAACATTGAATTCACACATTAAAAAAGCTTACGGAAGATATAAAGATCCCAAATATATAGTTCACTATTTGAAGACTTGTCGTCAATATGACACCAGAAAGAAGGAAATCGAAGATTTGAAAGACAGTTTATGGGATGCGTTCGAAGTGGAAAATTTAGAATCGGCTAAAGCATTGTTTGCTCGTAATAAGGATATGATGTGAGATTTTTTTGGGTTTATTGCTTTCAAGAAAACACTTTCAGCAAAAACAGGGCCCTTGATCAAAAAACGCAACTTTTTTGACAAATAAGAAAATCCTTTTTTACGAAAATAATTAAATTCAAAATGTTATATTGAAAAAAACATGATCTAATAATTTTTTACATAAATATCAACAACATGAGTGGAATTTTAGATCAAAATTTGCAATATTAGAATATTTATAACAAAACTTATTCTCTTATAAAAAAAAATTTTTAGCAATGATTTAATCAAAATCGAAACGACACACAAAGCTTGGTTTAAAGATATTCAATCAGTGAACAATCCAGAATTTGCTGAAAACGAATTGAACCAAATGAACAGAAATGTAAGTCATTTGACTATTTTTTAGAAGTGATAATTAATACACATTTTACTTATTCAGATTTCAAATGCATTGGAAGAAATAGGATTTATCAGAATTTACGCTCACAAATTTTTATGGATATTATGCGATTTCCACAAATCGACCAATCGGGAAGAACTCTTCGAAATTCGAGACAGATTCATTGAATTATACGCGGAGTGTATGGAAAGTCTGGATGGAGAAAGATTCAGAAAATCGCTCTGGCTTTTTTTGAAGCAAACTTCTCTAAACTGCCATACCTTTATTATCGAAATGGTGGGTTCATTTTTTCTTAATTTTGACATGAACAGATCGATAAATAGAATATCAAATGTATTTTCCAGATGCTTGATCCCGATGAACCTTCAACATCAGGGAATCAAACTGCATAATGAAGTGAGAAATCTTATACTACACATTAATGTATCAAACATTCTCAAACTCTGCCAGTACTTGAATACAGTTTTATTTTTTCAACTATTTTTTTCGAACCTTTTCTACATATTATTATTGCTCTTTTTCTTCATAATTTGTATCGGTGTAATTAATGAAATAATCTACCTTCTATGTATATTCAAATTAAAAAACCATGTTCTCTTATGAGAAACTATACCTTTTCAAAGAATCATGCTTGTTTCTATTTCAGAAGACGAAGTTCAGTCGTCTTTGATTGTATTATATCCCGTTGGAAATTTAAAAAAAAATTTATTGTCATATAATTTTTTTCCTCTTTTCGACATGAATTTATAGAGCGAAAACGGTGCAGACAGTGCATAGAGGTGGTCCACTTATTTCTGTTTAAATTATTTCGTTCGTTCTTTCGTTTCCTCTCTTTTCGCGCATAGTTCAGCTTTTGTTAAGGTCATAACGGATTCACCGCGTTTCCTAATTTATTATTTTTTCTGTCATCTTCATAAATCAATCAATCTCTTGGCAAGTAGTGAAAAAGTGCAGCTTTTCGTTTGTTCACCGATTTTTTCTCAAACTGTGGACAATACAAATGTAGAGAGTCCAGAGTTTTTTTAATTTAAAAATGTTTTTGTATGCAAAAATAAGTTACGTAGACATTGAAAAAATGAGATTTTGCCGAAAACAGATCTTAGTTTATAAACACGTATGATGAAAGGCGGCGCCTATAAGTTACAGTAAATGCACTTTTTTCGGAACAACAGAAAACAGATACGTTTTCTCTGTTTCTTTTGTTATTCTTTTGAAAGGGCAAACGAGTAGCAGAATAAATGAAACGACTACTTTTTATTTTTACATTTTTTTCGCACGCGGGAATGTTTTTTTTCTTTTTCTTCTCGCAATTGTGATTTTTTGTCAATTTTATTTTGATTCGAATGCTACCATTTTTACAGATGTCGGAATCCGATCCAAAAACTTTCGATCGTGAAACAATTCACAAAGCATTCACTAACACAGACACAATTGCATATTTTATGGACAATTTTGGTGAAAATGACGAATTTGTTGAAACTTTTGGCCAAGTTGAAAATGGTATGAAAACATTCAACGAAGTGATGGACCAACCATTAAACATGTTGATGGAACAATTTTTACTGCCAAAATTTGAAAAACGTTTAACGGATCTTGAAAATGTTTTGAAATTACACGAAGATGAAGCTCAACTCATGAGAGTATTTCATATCGAACATGTAGAACTCTCATTGACTCATCAACATTTAGTTTCGATGAAAGAACTTCAAGCAAAGCTTGAGAAACAAAGCGATATTATTTCGAACATTAACTTGGCAGTATCGAATAGATATCAAGAAAAATTGTCAACATTGAATGCACAAATCGAGAAAGCAATCCGCAGGTATAAATGTCCACAGGATTTATTTGATTATGCGTCGCATCGTGATGATTATGAGCACACAATACATTCTATCAAGATGATGAAAATGAATTTATTGGATGTGTTCGAAGAAATAGATTCGAAAACGGCTAGAAAATTGTTTGATCGAACTAGTGATATGCGGTGAGAGTTTTCTGGGTTCAATTTTTTGAAAAATATAACAAGTAAAAGTCACTGCTCTAATAACACAATTTCGTGTTTTTGGCATTGATTACAATACATTTTTGTATTGGAAAAAATATATGAAATTATGTAACCAACTCTCTTTATGCAATTAGATTTTCATAAACACGATTTTTGAAACTAGCTAAGCGAGTTCAAATAACATGTTTTTTTATTTCAACCAAGTTCTAGAATTTACTGTTTCTGAAAATCTTTTAGAACAAAAATGAAAAATTGAAACCATACAGAGACTCACATTTTTCATTGGAAATGAAACATTTTGAAACATTTCATTATCCTATATTTTGTTCAGCGTTGATGTTATTAGACGCACAGCAGAAAATGCTTATTGGTTCCATTCAACCAGATTGAAGAATAATCCAGAGTTTGCTGAATTCGAACTTGACCAATGGAGCGAAACGGTAAGGCATTTGAATTATATTGATATAACATACGTTTTACTTTATCAGATTTCGAAAAAATTGGAGGAACTGGAAATAATGAGAGAAATGTGCTGCAATTTTCTACAATATGTTTGTGATTATTTCGAATCTACAGATGAACAAGTGCTTTGTGAAATACCGAAACAATGTACTGATTTGAGAAACAAGTGTCAAAATATGATAAACGGATTGACGGATGGATCATTGAAGCGGTTTTTGACATCAATGTCACACAATTGTAACAAATTCAATGAAGAAATGGTTAGTTTAACCATTCCAAGTTCTGCTGTTATAGATTTATCAAAATTACGGTTATGAAATGAATAAAATCTATTTTTAGTTGTTCAATCCTGATGAACCTTCAACTTCGGATCATTGAATCAACACATCGTCTCAACTCATCGAATCAACACATCGACAAGTCTCAAACTCTGCGGTTACAGTTTTTTCTCAATTTTTGCTATCAATTTTTTTCTACAAACATACTCTATATTTTGAAATGCTCTTTTTTCTCTCAATTTGTATCGGCGTAATTAATGAAATAATCTAGATTTTATGTATATTCCGATTGAAAATATAGTTTTTTATGAGAAACTATATCTTTTTCATAAATTATACTTGCTTCTATTTTGAAATGCTCAAGCAATTCATCTTTGATCCTTATTTTGCCTAAAAAGTTTGTTTCTGTAAATTTTTTCTTGAATTTTGTTTCTGTAAATTTTTTCTTGAAATTTTTTATTTATGAGTCATTTTTGGGATGGAGTTTTGATCGATATAAAAAAAGATCCCATTAAAAAACAAAACAAATTTTCATTCATTTTATTTTTTCGCGTGTTTGTTGGTGATAGCCGATTTGTTGAGAATCATTTTTTTCTTCTTGGGAAAACTGTTTTTGATTCATTCAGTCTCGAAGCCTCTTTTTTTTCAAATTCATCTGTCAGTTTTATCTCAAACCTAGGTTTCTGAAAGGAAGCTCCACCAATTTATTTTTTCTATTAAAACATGTCAATCTTTTTATTCATTTTTTTCATTTTTAGAACGAAATAAACCAATCCGAACTAAATCTGATGGGTGACAGACCGTTTTCTTTCATTGAAACACAAGAAACAAGTTCTGGTGCACATCAAGAGATGTCTAATCAACCGCCACCATTGGTAAGTAAATTTTGAGAAGTTCTCTGGAAAAACAACAATGTTTGATAGAACAAAGTGAAATTTCACAATGTTATTTGAACTGTAAACAGACATGCTTTTAGATTTTGCCTTTAACAACAGAATCTCTTGATGTTCTGGACAGTCCCCATACACGCAGAAATGGTTTTATTGGATCAATGCATAGTTCAATTGATGCTATGATGCAATTCGAAACTAGCTACGATAACATGATTCATAATCTGTTTATCAACATTACTCACCAACAAAAGATGGATTCAATTAACTTTTTGTTTGGTTATTACATTCCACAAAGATGTGAATACAACATCAGAAAACTCAACGATATGATGTCATATCCTAATTATTCTTACGATAAAGACAATCACATTTTGACATCTTTGATAACTGGACTTCCTGTCGAATTATGTTATGGATTTGTCAAAGAACTTGAAGATGCTATGCATATGATTGAAGCAGATGCCAGAATTGTTTTGATTCAATATCCAAACAAATATGATCAATTATTCTCGATTGTCAGAGAATTGCAATGTCGTTTAGGATATTTTCAAAAATTGTACAATCAAAGAGAATGCAAATCCGTGTACGAAGCGATGAGTGATGGATACTTTGTTCGCAAACATTCTTTAAGAAGGACTGCTGAGAATCTCAGAGCAAATCTTCATCTTCCGGATGTTTTGACCACTATCAGAGTGGAGGGCCGCTTTGATAAGTTTTGGTGAGTCATTTGTTGGAAAAACATTGAAAAATAATTCTACAATTTTTGTTTTGAACTATAAATCAGACATTTCCAAACAATAATCCACTATATTGGAAACATTTATTATGATAATTGAAAAAAAAGTTGAGAAACGAAAAAAAAAAACAATCTCGCCGATTTTTTCGATGGCCTAAAAACTGTTAGAACTCGTCCAGATCGACAAAAACGCTCCATTGAAAAACATCATTGTTTATTTTTTTCTGTTGAAAACTCCAAATGCAATATTTTTTCAGGCGTGAACTCCCGGAAATTTCTAATGATCTTCTTCATTTTTTTGAAACTTTCCAAGATGTTGTAGAATTGGATAACGCTCAAGCTATCTCACTTTCAAACGATGTGAGTTTGAAATATCCAAGAATTTAAAAAAAAGGTTTTTTTTCAGCTGAAAAATCATTTCAATGAAGTTTGGAATTCTTGGCATATTACTAAAAACTATTTGATGAGAACTCGGAAATTTTTTGATTTGAAAGCTGCTAACGAACAACGCTTCCAACAAAGAAGACCAAGTTTGAGAACTGAATTGGCTTATGAAAAAGAATCAGATAGATTTTCTTCTGCAATTATCGGTGTTCTGGAACAAGGAGAAGCTCCAGCAGAACCGGTAATTATGTTTTTTTCACACCTAAAAAATGTTGCGTTTACAAAAGTAGACCACATCCAATTGAAGTCTACAACGTTCAGAATCAAAAAACTAGATTTTACCTTACTTCAAGCACCTTACTTCAAGCAAAATTTTTTTAACACAGGATTATTTTCCGTTCTGTTATATTGAAAAATCACAAATCAGTAACAACCCAATCGATATAATTTTGAATATTTCAGATGCTTCTCCCAAACACCAATGAATTCTACCCATTCCATTCTGGTTGAACAGCAGAGCAAAATCTTCTAATAATATTTGTGCATAATGATATTTTCTTCCAACTGTTCAATACATCTATGTGGTTTCCGAATCTTGTCACTTTTCATTTTTTTTTCTTGTACATTTTTCAAATATATACGTATTCCAATAAATAAATATTCACAAACCTGTATCCAATTCAATATAATTTATAATGTTTCTCTGCATCTCTTCATGAAAAAATCATCTCTCACAATTTTTCCAAGGATGATCAGCTGTTGTGTAAAATATCGAATTTCATTCGCAATTTTTGTCAAACTTTTAATTATTGCTTTTTTGTTGTTCAAAGTTAGAAGTAAGTACATTTATAGTACTTGAAAATTCCAGAAAAATTGTTTGAATGTTCATTTAAGAAACTGTAATTTCAAAATCAATAAAAAATATTACACAAGTTTCCCTCCACCTGTTGCATTATATAATATAAAACACCACAATCGTTCTTATGTTTTATTGTCTGTTTTCACACGATATTTTTGTAATTCCTAGTTATTTGGTATGTAAAATTAGCATAAATATGTATATACATAAATAAAACCATAAAAATATTCATGTAAAACTTGGACATTTGTCAGGATGAAAGGAGGAGAAGAAAGAAAATTGGATCTTTGTATGCCTTTTATAGTTTTTGTTTTATTTTTATTTTTCTGGTTGTGAATGTGAGTTTCCTGTTTTTAATGATCACTGTAAAACACATGGGCACATGAAATTGTGAAGCGTTTAACATTCGAAAATCCTGATTTTTTTTCATATTTGACCTAAAAATTGAAGAAGTTCTGATTTTTTTATGAGTTCGAATACACTTTTGGGATACACAGAGGCTCTTTACCAAAAATAATTTTTGGGGTTGCAAATCACACATCTTGGCTGAATTTTTTGAGGATCATTTCTTGCTTCCTTGCGTTGCATACAATACAAAAGTTGTATACGAAAAAATTGGCGAACTCATTCATTTTCCTCCCATTTTTCTATTTTTCAATATCCGTTCATTTTTCTCTTCTCTTTTACTTCTTATTCTCCTTCTTCTCCATCCTCATCTTCATCTTATTTTTCTTTTTCTCATCATTATTGATTGATTTTTAAACTAAACTAAACTTTTTCAAAATAAACACATGGTTCACATTCTTTATACACACAAATTTATTCTGTTTGACTGACTGAATCGTTTTTTTTCTCGCCTATTTTTGTTTTTTTTTGCAAAAAGGGTATGATTGCCAATACATTTCAAAATATTTATAATTGTTTAGATGACAACTCGAACCCCTGGAAAATTGAATGTTGGGAGTATTGGTGGCAAATTGAACAATTTGCTGTTAGCAGGACCACCGGGAAAATCACCAAATGCAACTTTGCCAAGAGTTCCGGGAAAATTAAATTCTAGTCCAATTGGTGACAAATTGAATGGATTGTTATTAGCTGGACCATCAACACCAGTCCCGAAAGAGAAACCAATTGAGAAAAAACCAGAAAATTCTAATAAAACCTTGATTAATGTTCTAAAGGTGAGAAAACTTATTAAAGTGCAGTTTAAAACATTATCCCCAAATAATTTTGCTATTTCAGTCTCGCCCACGCCCACCAACAAATCGCCGTCCACCTTCTCGTTCAATGCCAGTTATTCCAAAACCAAGTGATGAAGAAGATGAAAAAGTAAAAGAACTTATCGAATCTTTGCGGCTCTGATTTTTTTTAAATTTAGAATATTGAAAGTAGAATCTTTATTTTGATTTTGATGTTACGAGTGATATGAACGGGTACTTTTAAAGAAGGAATAAATGTGTTCAGAAAACTTTTGCTCAAAAATTCATGAAATTTTCAGGTGGTTCTAGAGGCGAAAAGTTCATCGAAACAGAAAAATTGAAATTCCATGCTTGTTAGACATAGTTTCAGATGGTGGTTTTTGATATTCCACGTATGTATAACAAGTTTTTTGGAAAATACATATTCATAGTTTTGGAGATAGAAATTCATAGAAAATGTAAAAATACATTTAATATCACTAATCTTTTTCGCAAGATGTTAATAAATCTTTTTATGAGCAAAAAAAATACTTTCTCATTTTGTACGGATTAGAATTATTATAATAATTTATTGTGATTCCTTGTTATCAATAAAACAAAAATTCAGCCTCCGAGCTAAGACCGCCAACAATTTGGAATAGAGTTTGGATTTGAAAAAAATTGGAACCCACATTGAAAGTTTCTGGGGAAGTAAAAAACGAACACATTATTTCAAAAATCTTGGTTGGAAGTTGAAAAAACCATATTATTGCCCCATTAAGTCAAAAACTATGTTTTTGTGCAAACTTTATAGCATTCCAGTATTCTTCGAATTTCTAATTCCCAGCCCATTATATACTTTTATTCTGAAAATTCACATTTAATCTCTTGATAGTTTTTTTCCTACTCTACTAATACACACTTTCAACCATCATTATTTTATTTTCGCATTTTATTCTTTTTCGAAAAAAATGTCGAACACTCGTGTTTTATTCCATTATTCGGCGCTAATCGGAATATTTGATTTTTTGAGTTAAAAGATTATTATTGTTCATTAATTTTTCACCTGTTAAAGGGAACATTGTGAGAAAATCGGATTAGAACTCGCCGATTATTTTTTAGCTGTGTGATCGTGAACACTGGTTTCAGTGGTGTTGTTGAAACTTTGATTGTCTGGGAAAAAACGTATCAGAATGGAAAAGAATTCTCTGCAGTATCTCAAAGATCTGGAATTTCGGGATGATGATTTTTGAATTTACGAAAAATATCTGCAATTGTAAGCTTTTTCAAAAGTTAGAGAGATGGAACACAAATCTCCAAAAGAAGTACAAAACATCAAATGTTTTGTATGCTTTTACCAAAAACGTCTCCCCTTTGAGTTAATATAACAATCGCCGCTCAAATTTTTCAAGATATTGTTTCTATATATGAGACCACCCGAAAACTTTCAAAAACCACCAAAAATGTTTTCTTCCCTTCTATGTATTTCTTTCACACTCTCTTTCTATTCATCATTATCTTCTTTTTTTTGTTGGTTTCTCGATTCTTTTCCAGATTTGTTCAGTTTCCATGTTTTTCTTTTTTTTTTCAAATATCTTCTCTCTCTCTCTCTCTGAAAAAAATGATTGCTCAAGTATTTATTCATTGTTTTTCTTTAAAGGACATTGAAAGAAGACGGAATAAAAGACAATGAAACAGAAAATTGAAATGCTAATTTGTGTGAGAAAAATAATAGCGTTTGGAAGGGTTTAGTATGGGAAATTTGTTTTGTGTTGCACTTTTTGTCTCGAGCCCACAATTTTCGATGAAATTTTTTTGTTGCTTTTTTGATTTTCTGTTTTTCAAGCTATTTCGCTCTGAACAGGACGAGAGAGCAATAAAATAGCCCATTTTACCAAATTTAAACAATTTTTAACTAAATTTTCAAGTTATGTTTTCCCAGTCTTTTCAAAAAATTTGGTTGTCAAGAAAAAAACGAGCGCATTGTTTCGGATTTCTCAACATAGCTATTATTATTCTATTTTTCTGGAGCTCAAAAAAAGACAAAAATATTTTTATTCACACGTGACTGATTTGGTGTTCTCACTCACTCAACAAGAAATTTCCCTGTTCTCTTTCAAAAATTGTTTGGTTCTAGAGACTAATAATTTGTATTTAACAAAAGTATAAGCTAAAGAGTAGCACAAAAAAATCCATTTTTCTTTACTTTTTTCGCGCCGCCCTCTATGAACAAAAAGGTTCTGAATAGAGATTTTCTCATGAAAAGAAACAACACAAAACATTATTATTTTCTTTATTATTATTACTTCTCATTCCTGTGCGGATAAAAAAAATAATTTTTATCATAGGATAACAATTATTAGTCAGAATTGTTAGTATAAATTTTTTTCTCGAATTTCATAACAAAAAAATATATAATCCATTGAACTCTTAATGATTAATAGTTTGGGCGGAATGAGACGAGAAAAATATCGAATTTCGCCAAATTCCATAGATTCAAGTTACTTTTTTGCAAGCAGCTAATTCTTTTCTGTTTTTCTCGGCTTTTTTCAAGGAGAAAAATTAGTTTTAGAAGCCTGAATTCATTTAATTTTAGGGGCTCACGTCATTAATCAGATGATCTTCAGAAATCCTTGAATTCTCTAAAAATCGAAAAACCACTAATCTCAAATACTATTGCGTACATAAATGCAATTTTTCGGAATTTTTCGTCATTTTGAGAAATAATGTTATACATTTTTTTATAGAATGTGTGATATTTCACTCCAAATCACTAGGCCTCCAATTTTTCATAACTTTTTCTAGGATCTCAAAAATAATTTTTTTCTAAATTTTTCAGTCTTGCGTTGATTTCTTTGATTTTGAGCTTACCCATCCCTAAGATCATGTGAGGTCTCAAAAAAATCGGGTAGTAAGTTCTGTGGCGGAAAATTTTCCCGCATTTTTGACACACCTTATGAGGATACTTGAGGGTGAGCGATTTCTGGAAAACTGATTGTTTTTTTTTGCTACATATTTCTAGTTCCATGAAAATTAGTTCCATTATCATTGTTTTTCAGCATTTCATTAATTTTTTTTCTGAAAAATCTTTTTCAAACTAATTTTTGATCCTACCCGACCCGACCACGAAAAATCTCTCAACCTAACGAAAAAAAACCTGGAAAAGAGTGCAAAGTGCAATTTAATTTGTAAATACACACACATACATACGCCCTATCGCATTTCATCTCATTACATTATACATTTTCACAAAATGGGATTTTACTTGATTTTTTATTCTGTCAAAATGGGCGGAGCTTTCGAGGCTCAAATAGAAGCTGCTTGCACTTCTACTAATTGTAGTTAGACATGAAAAATATGTATATAAGTAGATGTCAAAACTGAAATTCTTTCAGTTTTTTTGTGGAGGTGTGGTAATTTTTTAAATTTTATCTTTTTAGTTTTGAAGTATTTAGATTTTTTCGTTCTTATGAATTTTTTTACAAGGTGTTTTTTGTAAGACAATAGAATTTATAGAAAAATAAATCAAAATTTCAATGCATAAATTAATTTTTTTGAACCTTCGTTTTTCTGAATTTCATTTTCATTTTATTTTTCTATCAAAAAATCTCACATTCAGTTCTAAAAAAAATGGAATGTTTTCGAATGTAAGTTTTCTTGACAAAATTCTTCCAAACCAATATTTCTGACTCCTCACAAATTGCATAATTTCAAGTTCTTGATGATAATTTAGTCAGAACCATGATTTCTGACCTTTTTTGGCTTCCTTGTTTTTATTATCAACATCATCGAGATGATTATGAATTGCGCATATATCAAATCATTTTTTTCCAGCTTTTTTCGCAAAATGTCAACCACTGCAACTGAAACCCCAAAACCTACCATAGTTGAAGAACAACAAAAAGAACAACAAGAAAAAAAGGTTGTTGAAGGATCGGAAAAAGAACAAGGTGGTGAAGGAGAGGAAACTGAATGTGAAGTTGATGTTCGTCAAGAATTCAAGTAAGTTGTAAACACCTCCTAGGGTTTTGTGATCGTTTTTTCTATCAGAAATTGATTTATAGAAATTTCAGTTCATTTTTTAATTTTCAAATTCATTTCTCCTTCAATTTTCAGAAGCTGCATTGATGAAACTCTCCAAACTGTTTGCCGTGTCGCTTCAATGAAACGGAAAGTTCAAGCTGAAAATAAATAACTAAATTAATATTTACTTTTTCCCCAAAAATATTTTCCTTTCCTATATACCAAATTCCAAATTAACCAATTAATTATATAACCCAAACCCACTTGAGCTTCCAAAGTACCGTATACATTCTGTCACTTCAACTTCAAATTTCCCATATTTCATTGTCTAACAAAAATGATGTTAAATAAACTATTCTTATTCTAAATATAAAAATTTCAGATTCTAATTTAGTCGAGGAAAAATATTTGATTTACTTGATTTTGTTTTTGTTGAAGAAGGTAAGTAATTTTTGGTTCAAATGAATTTTCAATCAGTTTTGAAAACTACGAAAATAATTTCTGAAACATGTTAGTTCTAGTGATTTGTTTTCCAGAAAACTCAATTTTTCAAAAAATTTCATGATTTGTTCACCTTGTTTTGAACATTCAAACATAAATTACGATTTTTTGAAAAATCAAAAAATTTTTCCTGACTGAAATTGCACAATAGTTCTAAAAAAACAAGTTCGAGGTTATCCAGCAGTATCTTCTGTAATTTTCCATTCTAAATTTCTGTTCATTGCAACACAAAATAACAAATACATATCCACTATACATGTTTATTATTTTCAACTACAAAATTTGTCAATTTTTCTTGAAATAATTAAAAAATAGTACATATCAGGAGAATACGAAACACACAACCAAAAATATATTTTTGTTAAAAATAAGGGATGAAGGATGAAAGTGAAAATTCTTCAAGAAAATTTCAAAATTTTTCAGTCAAGAAAAATATTTGGAATATTGGTTGAAGGAGCAAAAATGAAAGAATTGTCATACAAAATAGTTAAAGATGAGCTTTGATAATTTTTAAATTGAAAAAATAATTGTATTTTATTAATATCAGAAAAGGAAAACCGGCTAATATGAATCATGTTTCAAGAAAAACATGACACATTGGAATTATCATTTTTTTTTTGTTTTATAAAAAAAAGAATTTTAAAATTTTAGTGAGTGCCTAAAGATTTGGCAGTTTTAGAGATGTTTGTTTTGTTCGAAAACGGGATAAACGACTAGAGAAAATGATGTTTTTGAAATGAGATACCCTGGATGGTTATGGGTTTGAAAATAATTAAATTTATCGGATAAGTTGGTAGATAACTCCGACGGCAAACGCTGTCAAAATTGTGAGTGGCGAAGCAGAATCAGCTGGACTAAGAGCATCTTGTTCGGCTTGTTGTTGCTCAACATTTTCACCATCTTGTGAATCAGACTGGAGTGGCTGGAAATACTTTTTGATATTATTTGATACAAACTGTTTAAATTGAATTCGTAAAAAAATGTTGCTCACCACAGCATTTTCTTCAGTGGTGGCTTCTGGAATTTTACAATCCAATTGACAAGCTCCCAATTTGTCTTGATGAAGTCCGTGGAACATGTCGGTCAATGATTTGCACATAAGTTTTGCAGCTTCGTGTTGACTGCACAATCCTTTCATAGCACGAATGTATTCTTGTAGTTTTTCGTTGACTTTATCGCAAACTTCGTCGTCGCTGTGTTGGAGGAATTTCTCGCTCAAATAGGTACCGGCTGATAGAGTCATTTCTCCGATTTTTTCCTGGAAATAGTTGGTTTGAGTTATGATGAAAGGTGACTCATTTTGCTTTGATTTCCCAACATTGAAGATCGGGATTGTGTGTTTCATTTTACTGTGGGAACCTTTATAAATTATATCTACGTAAAAATTGGGTAGAAATTTTTGAAAAAATAGAGTCACTAAACTTTTCTTTTCAACCCCTAAATTCATAAGTATCTCAATCTTCTCCTAAAACTTGAGGATTCCAATTGCCCTCATCAAATTCTCATAAAAACATATGTTATCATCAACAGCTCACATATAATAATAACGCAATAAAAATGTCATTGGCGGCCCCCTGCAAAGGTGTACACCCCAATTATTACACAAAACTTTTACCTGTTGCAAACATTGTCGATGATTTGAGAGAATCTCTTGTCCTTCTGGTGAGCAAGCGTATTTCAACAAGTAATAACTTCGGAGGAATGTTCCAGAATCTTTTCGATGAGTGAGAAGATCGGAGACAGTGTTGGACACTTCAACAATTTCACTATGAGAGCACGAATGTTTTTCGCCTTCGTCCTGAAAAAATAATTTAATTGGGAAAATAAACATAATTTTTTTTATTTGAACCCCTGACCGGTTGCCGACTTCTTATATGCTTCACGCTTCAAGTACCTCCTAGATCAAATCCAATAATTACTAGTTCCTTAAACAAACCGTGTTCACGTAATACCATATGGCAGTTTCCCCTTTCTTGCCCGAATGCACTAAAAATACCGCCTTGGTTTGGATTGTTTATTATTCAAATTGAGATTGATGGCAGACTTTAGTTAATTAGTTATTCATTGAGCGATTAAAGGTTAATTGGATGAATGTTCTAAATTTGGAGCTTTTTGAATTCGTATGTTTGTATCAGAGATCAATCCAAGTGTTTCTAAATTCAAGAATTAATTTGGAAAATGTTTGTAGTTTGAATCGGCAATTCGGTGGTTCTGGATGCTGAATGCTTTTATTTTCAATTAACAAGAAGATTATCGATATGATTTTCAAATTTATGAAGAAAACAATCGACAACATGTACCATAAATAATCAAAAAATTCCCTTTCATTCTACACGCATAATTTTCATTCTCATCTACATTTTTGCCATATCCATATCCATTACCATTAACTTCCGGTATCATTCTTCTCTTTTCCCCCTATCCATTTTTGCCCGCTCCCCCCATCCATCTTTGTTAATCGCTTGTTGTTATGTATTTGGCAATTTTGCGGCCACCCAGTTGTCACCCTTTTCCATATGTTATCCTCCTATTCAGATAAATATATCCCCCTCTTTTCAACTCATCCGCGTTTGTTGAACGAACCGGAAATTTTTTTGGCGTGTTTCGGGTGTGGCAAAATAGAGAAAAAAAACTTTTTGAATGGGTGGCTAATGGTGTCATATATGGGGTGGGGGAAACATGACAAATTGGAGTTGGAACTTTTCCGGCAAACGAACACTCGGTTTTTGAAGCTTGATAATGATTTTTTTTGGAGTTGGAGTTAGGCTGAACATTGGAAGTTTGGAAGATATAAGAAATCTGGATGGAAACTGACAAGTATGATTTTTCAAATTAGTTCATCAACAATGAAAATTTTTTGATCTTTGGTTTTACTCTAAACTAAATGACGTAGATCATGAGAAAATCTCTAAATTGAAATAGGATCTTCTAAAAAATCTATCAAATGAGCACACCACATCAAAAATCAACTACACTACTCATTTTATAAAAACTATTCACTGTTCCAAACATTTTCTACTCAAATTACAAATCCCTTTTCCCAAGTTATGCCTCTGTGTGAAATAGATATGGCAAGCCAAGCCAAGCTGTCACAAAATTCTTTCTATTGTTTTGTTTTTGTTCTTGTCTTCGCTAAAATAATCCAATTTATTTATTAGAACCCCATCTCCTCCACATTTTCCCGCTCACCCGGCGATACTTCAAAAACTCTGTGTTTCTTGGATAATTAGAGGGTGGTTGTGGTGGTGGTGGACAAAATTTGATTGCTCTTTTTTCATTCCAAAACTTTCATGTTGCTATTATTTATTATTATTATTTCTTTTTTCTCTAGACCACCCACAACGTTTATTAGTTTCTCAAGCGAACCGTTTAATACTTCGCGCAGATTAGAGATTGGGAAATAAACAGTAGACCACCCATATTGTTTTGTTTTTCTTTGTTTTGATGGAACGTGAAGAAGAAAAAGAACATATTTAATGAGACCACCCATACCGCAAAAAGAATTATATATGTTGGAAAATGAGGAAAATGAGATAATTGGAGGTTCGATGACCAGATGCTCCACTGTGGAAATGAAAACAAAATAAAACAATACAAACCTTGATGCATTTGTCGAGTTCAGTGAGATGATTACATTGATCTTGAGTGATTGTGACAACATTATCTTTGAGTTCATAAAGAGTCCAAGCCCATTCGTCGAGAATATTGATGAAACATTTGACAAGAACCACGTAGTTGCACTGGAAAAAAACATATTGAAAATATGGAATACATTTTTGAATTTTAAAGGAGGAATATCTTCGTTTCAAGTCTAAATTTGAGAAGAAGACCTAAAATTTGACGTCTAGAAGGCTGAGAACTCTGAAACCTCTTTTGAGCTTGTCAATAGTGTGTATCCTAAAACACATTTTATAGAAAATCAAAAATATTTTTCTTCAGATCTCTCACTTTTGCCTTACATCAAATTTCGTAATTTATTGTCTATATCCCCTGAATTTTCTGAAAAACATCAAGTTTTTTGTCGATTCTCTCTAAAAGTTCAATGTTCAAGTCCCCGTTCTCACAATTTATAAATCACATTGCCTTTTCTGTGCGCATTTCACCAACCAACCAAGCACCCAGAAAAGTGCATCCACGTTTCTCTCTATTCGAAAAAAAAACTGCGTGCTTTTGCGCGCGGCAAAATGATTGAGAGAGTTGGCCAAAAAAAGAGCGTGGCATGCATTAGCCAGTCTTCTTTTTTCCATTTTTTGTGACTTTTTTGGCGGCAGAAAAAAGAAGGCTGTCAACTTGAATAAATCCAAATGGACATTATAAATCCTAGCAGACGAAAGAAAAAAATTCACGCTACGATTTTTCTCGGAGACTGCGCGCGAGAAAAAGCGAAATTTTTGGGATGAGAGGAAGCAAAAAAGAGATGAGTAGATCATCATAATTTGTGACATATATAGAATGCACTTTTCTTTTGAAAGGATGACGAATCTGATGTTCAGAAAAAAATGTATCGTGAAATGTAAAGGTTTTTGATCATATACATATAGTTTTTCACCGCACTGTTAAACTCTGGTTAAATTTTGCTGGTCCGATTCCGTTTCAGAAATGACACGGTAACATGATTCATATAAATTTTTTCTAAAAAACCGGTTTCCATATATCACATCTGACGCAATTGTCAGTTCTTACGATACACCTCAAAAATTTAACAAATTTTAAAAAAATTTTTGATCTACAATTTTTTTTCTCTAGACATATTTCTTTTAAATTATTTCTACCCCCGTCATTTTTGAAATTTGCTCATCTCTAATTTAAAACAAAGGGTTTCATGTCCTTCCCCCCATTTACAAAAATAAAATAAGGTTTCTTCTACCCCTCTAATCCCTTGTCCTATTTTAAAATAAAACCCTTCAAAGGTACATGCACCTGTCCCTTCCCAGCCAAAACCCAAACCCTAAGCCTTTCTTGTCTTCTAATATGATGACCACTCAATCTTCATAAACGCTTCTGTCATCTAGTTGTCAAATCATAATTTTTTTTTGAATTTTTTTCTCATATAAACAGAGAGCTACAGTTACTCATTATTTTTGAAGATTGAAAAAACTCACGTTTGAAACTTCTCCAGCTGCTTGAGCACCGTATAACACTGATAGCAAAACTACGAGAATCCTCATTGTGTTCTGTAAAAAAAATGAGAATGGAATTTTTTTGGTGAATGCTGAATAATAGAGATATGTGAGAAAAATTATGAAAAAAACGGAGAATATGAAAAAAAAGAGCCAGAAGCAAGAACGAACAAAAACAAATAAAATTTGGAACATAAGTGGGGAGAGTTATAATATTATTATTTAGCAAAGGTGTGTAAAAGATACATTATAAATAAATGTACACATGAATATGTAATGAAATAAAAATACATACATATAAAAATGAAATAATAATAAAAACGTTATGTAGCAAAATCTCGTCTCAATCTTCTCTCTCGTTTTTCCGTGTGTGCACATATAAAAAGTCGAAGAGCACGAGAGGAAGTGGGTGGGACCTTTTGGGTGTCAGAGAAGGGGAGAAGGCGAAAAAAGACGGGGTGGCCACCTAATGAGTTGACTGACTACTAGTTGTAGTACTACACAGAAGACCTCAAGTGTTTCTTTCCAACGTGGGTAATTCGATGGAAAAAAATGTGGGAAGGAAATTAGGGGGCGGAGCTTTGAAACTGTAATATATTATATTATATGTCTTGATGGAAGAAGCCCCGCCCATTAATTCATATTTGGGAAATTTGTGAAAAAAATCGAATAGGAGTTCTTGTTGGGGAAAAAATCGAGAACTCTTGTTCTGAAGGTAACAGAGTAGCCATCAAAATTTACGATCTTCAACTTCTATAGAACTAGGATGAATTCATGTAACCTAAATTCTCAAGAGCCTACATTGAGATTCTGAACTTGGAAACTATGATCCTCAAGAATAAATATTTTTTTTTTTCAAATGACAAATTTAAGTTTCAGACTTGCTTCCAACCTGATCAAAATTTAAAAAATCAGAAAAAAAGTCTCATACGCAGGTTCAAGTTTGGAATAGCATGTTACTTCATTCTGAATTCAATTTCCTGAAACATCAGTGAAAATTCCAGATTCCAGATGTTCAGAAAACAGAAAAAAAGAGGAAAATAAACAGAAACCGCGTGATTTTCAGTCTGCAGAAACTCTCTGGAGAATAAAATATTATATCCGAGCCCCGGCTCTTAAAACACCTGTAAAGTTTTGTTTGAGCTCTAAAAAAATTCTGGAGCACGGATAGAGCACATAAAATATATAAAATAATAATGAAAAAATTCATCTATGCGGAACACTAAAAGAAAATTGAAGAGGATGACATTTTTATGTATGTTCCGCGGAATATTTTTTATCTATCTGAAAATGATGTTGTTTGCATTTTGCGTGTTGTTTTTTCTCTTGTTTTTCCATTTTTTGGCAGTTTACCAAAAAAAAAAGAAAAACATCAAAAAATGCAAGAAAAAAGAAAAAACAGCTTGATTTTAAAACTAAACTAAACTATGTAAAATGCTTCTTTCTAGTTTCTTCGTATTTTTCTGCGGCTTTTCGGCATGCTAAAAAACTTGACGATGAAAAATGTTTGATTTTTTGTGAAAAGAATGGGAAAAATGATGTTTCTATGGATGTGTGGGAGGAGCCAATTTCTGCATTTTTCAAAAATATTTGTAAATAAGTACTGATTTTTTTTGGAAACCCTGGGTTCTGCAAAATTGTAGCTAGACTAGAAAATCTCTTGATGTGAGAAAATCTAAAAACATATACAAGTACTTTTTTCAAAGTTTCAGTGAGAATAAATTAATTGGGGAAACTTAGAGAAATCTATTTATAAGTTCAAATATTTTTTTACCTATTAAAATATAGAAATAATAATTAGTTCTCTTTGAAACTGCTGAGTTTCGAAGAGATGAAAAGCTCTAGTTTTTTCTAAACAAAAAAGAATATAGATTTCATTTCTTCTCAACTTCTTATTCTTTTTCTAGCAAAAAAACGCAACAGAGAAAAAAAAAAGAAACCACAAACACTTATTTTTGACAACTTATTGTGGTGTCATATAGCCGTTCCTTGAGACTTAGAGAAGTCGGCAAAAAATGAGGAAAAAATTGCTGCTTTTCTGCATTGACTTGAAACAAAACCAGAATATACTTTTTTCTTTTAAACTTTGTGGTTTCAGAGAAAATAGTTCAAAGGGGAGGGAATAGTTTATTTGTAATATGAAATGATAAAAAATGAAGTACTGCTTTGATCAAGTTGAAAACTTTTTCAAGATTGGAAGGGCTAACTCGAGAATCAAAACGTGTGGTGAATTTTTTGAAAATTCAAGAATCAGGAGATCGAACACTTCTAATAAAGATACAATAAAGAAAAGAAATTTTTTGAATTCAAAATTGTCTACCTGAAGTTCAAGGTTCCATGTCAATTTAATTCTTCAAAGAAGTCATTTTAATAATATCTAACTCTGATCATACCTCTTGTAAAAAAAATTTTCAGACTTAAAAAACCAAAGTCCACAACTCTAACAAGCATATCAAAATATTCCAAACACTTCTTTGAGCTTCATTCATTTCCCTTATAATAAGAATAAAGTTCATTTTTTCTGTAAAAACTCATAATAATATTTTTCATATATGAGATGAATACTTTCAGAGACCTACTCGCAGTAGTTTTTTTCTGAATGGAGCAGAAAAAAAACGGAAAAGAGCCACAAAAAAGGAGAAATGGAATAGATTTGTAGATAGATTAATGAATAATATAATATAGTAAAAGAGACAGGGAGAGATGGAAAAAAATAGAGAAAAAGCTATTTGAAAAAATTGGGCGACACAATCTAATTTTCAGATTTTTCAGGTTCTCTTTTCTTTATATCTTTCTCAAATTGGTATAAATGAGAAAAAGTAAAATTTTAAAACCTGCTATTTCTAAAACAATTACATTTTCATTGGGTGGTGGCTAGCAAAAAATAATTATATACAATTATATTTACAGAATATTGAAAAAAAAACACTTAATTTGAACATAAAGTGCGTGCAGGGTTTACTGAAGAAAATGGGTTTGCTATTCAGAAGCTCAGAAAAAAACTGAATTTTTGTTGACTTCTCCCCTTTCACATCAAAAACATCACCCCCTCAAAAAAGGGAAAAATCAAACGAAAATCTCATCAGTTTCAATCTTGCCGCGCCTCAACAAATTCAATGTTCATAGAAAAAAGAACGAGACGAGAAAAAACATGTTTCGCGCGGGAAAAAAAACAAAAAAAAATTGAAGAAAATTGAAGTATGCACACATTTTAGTTAGGAGTGAGCAGAAAAAGAAAGAGCTCGAGAAGAGCACAAAAAACTAGAAGACGACGATGAAAAAAAAACTTTTCTTCTACTTCTCCTATTTTCTACAAGCGCGCAAAAAACTTTTTTTTCCACGCATAAAGGGAAAAGGTCCGGTGAGTGCTTATTGAAACATTTTGGAGAAATAAAATGTATAAATGAATCAAAATCAAATAATTGAAAGCCGGAATTAATACAAATAAGTATATATACAACAGATTCAGAGGGTATTTGTGTAAACTAATTTGTTTATTTTTTAGAAGCGCTTGTAGAGCAAATTACATTTTCTGGGTGTTTTCCAGATAAATTGGTAATATAATTGTTTTGTGTTCAAAATGTTGAATCTGGTTGGAAATTGTGATACTGAAAACTGGAAACCTGACATTTTCCCGAAAAAACACGATTTCTGATAAAATAAAATTTTTGTTTTTTGATCTCAGAACTTGACTTTTAGATTTTCGGGAGCAATTTTTCAATCGGTTACAAAAAAAAAGTTTTTTTTTATGGTGAACACCACATTTTTTCTGGAAAATTGATAGATCAAAAAATTCCCAAGGTGCTCAAAACACAACGAACCAAACTTCACGAAAAACTGAACTCTATATTGGATGTTCGCTTTTCATATATTCTATCCTATCCTATCCTATCCAATCTATTCATCATCATATAGATATATAACAGAAATAAAAATGAAATAAAATAAAACTAATGTAAGTGCACATATATCCACGAATATCCAAAAGTAGTAGTAGTAAGTGAACGGAAATTTGAGTGAGAGGGCATTATATTCTCATATAAGCAATAAGCCAATAATAAAATGAAATAGAAATAAAATAAAATATAAGCGGACCACCCAAGAAGAAAACGAAAAAGTCACTGAACCACCCCGCAATTCACAGAGGGTGTGAAAATAATGGGTGAGAGCGGATTAGTGGTGCGTGCACACGAAAATTCCTCTTCTCTTCCTTTTCTAAACTCTTCAAAAAAAGTTTCACTTCTTCCGGGAAAAAAATGGACCACCTTGGTTTTCTCTTTTAACAAAATGAAAAAGAAAATAATAATAGAGACATTTAAAAAATTATGAATAAAATGAGAAAATTTAGTCATGTGGTGCTTGGTTAGATATATAATTGCTTGAAATAATTATACGTTTTGAACTGGAAAAAATGAGGAAATTTGAGATTTTCTTATTTTATACACAGTTATACACATATATTTGGTTCGATTTTTTTTTGAAAAAAATATAGAGATCACCTGGGAAACACCACACACAACAGGTGACATAATAACAAAATATTCATGAATTGAATATTCGATTTCAAAAGTAAGAGAAGGGTCCAACAAGAGAGAATGAAGGCAAAAGGCAATGAAATTTGATAGTTTTTGAAGGAGCAAATTTGTAATTCATGTATTAGATTGAAAACGAACTGAATTATTTAGTGTTTTGGGATTATATCAAGAAAGAGCCGAATAGAGAGAGAGAAGAAAGTCAGATCTGTAATTAGATCCTTTTTTTGAAAAATTGCAGGAACTGTTTAAGAAGTTGCACCACAAGAAAATATCAATATGTACTTCGTATATATCCAGTTCAGAACATTTTTAAATTTTGAAAATACATTAGTCAATTAAAAATTTTCAGAAATCTAGCAATTGTTATCAGATAGCAAAAAACTCCTCGAATACAGGTTCTTCAACAGTAAAATAATATGTCTACCTCAAGATTTTGAAAAAAAAAAGTTGAACTTGACTACCTAGCTCTTATGCACAGCTGAAAAAACATTCAGAATATAAATTTCAGGAAGACATTCAATTATTATAAAATTGCTTTTCAGACGCTTATGAGCTCAAACACGCTATTATTGCTAAAAAAAACCTTTGCTGAATTTCAGATTCAGCAAATTTTTAAAAAATCCCAATAAACACTCTTCAAAAAATCCTCTAAGATTTCCGCCTAAAAATTATAAAATGTCAACGTACACAAAAAAAATAGTTGGAGAGTCAGTAAAAAAGGATTATCTATAGAGCCAGTCGACTGGATTATAAGGAGCAGGAAAAAAAACGTTTTCCTTCGATTTCTGTCCTCTTTTGGAACATTTTTTCCGACCGACCTGCTTGATGATCACAAAACTGACTGACTAGTATAGCAAAATGTTTGTTTTGTTATGAATTCTCAATTTGACATTTTCTCTTCGCGGAAAAAAATGAAAAAGGCGGAGTTGAAGAAGCAGAAAGAACAAGTAATATAATAGCAACAGTTGTTGAGAAATTCTTGAGCCGAGAAATCTGAAAATTTATTTTCATTATACATGTGTTGGCCTCTGAAACAATACGAGAAATAAATTTCTTTAAAGAAAAAAGTAAAGGTCAAATGATACACTTTTTGACAAATTGTTTGATTTTTCTGGAAAACATAACATTGACTAAAAATGTCAAATGAATTGATAAAATTTTTTTTTTAGAAAATTGAAGATTGATAACTTCCGGAAATTTTAGATTTGAAAAAAAGAAACATGATTTCAAATGTTTATAGTTTTTCTGAGAAATCAATCGAGATGCAGGAAATGTATACTACAGTATTCTCTTGAAAAACTGAAAATAAAAAAAACTAACAAGAACATGAATAAAAAAGAAGAAAAAGCAGAAGCTGAAGCCAAAGAAGAGACACAAAATGAGTTTACCAAAAGAAAAAAGAAATCTAAAAAAAGAGGAGAAGAACACTATACGATTTACATTAGTCGACAAATTGCACTGATTTTTTTGTTGGGTTGAATAATGTATCAATCTACATAGGTGGTCAAAAAAAATCAAGGTGGTCCTGGTTCACGAAAAAATAACAAAAACAATGGCGCTCCAAGTCATCTGCCGTTTTGATTGAATCCGAAATTTGATACGGTCGGCTGACTGGGTGGTCTTGGCGGGGGAGAAGAACACGGGTAAAGACAAGACAAGGATTAGTATTAGCAAAAGCAGGCAGGCAGGCAAGCAAAAAGGATATGTACATGTGTACATACATTAGCAGTACACAGTAGGCAAAAAATAAGTACGTAGTAATCGGTTAATAAACAAATGACTCTTTTTTTGGGGGGGGAAATAAAAATAGGCGGAGCCGGGTGGCAGATATGGTAAAGAAGAAACAAGTTAAGGGACATCTGGAGCTGGATACTAGGTACCTCAAAAAATATGGGAACTGATTTATGAAATTTTTTTGAGAATATGCTAGATTCCTATAGAAAATTTTCTGGAGAAACATGTTTCGAATTTTTTCATATATTCGTAAAAGGAAATTATTGATTGAGTAACTTCAGGTTTCTTCTCCCAACATTCTTTCAAAAAAAGCAATTCAAAAATTCAAATCTGAAACCAAACACCAACGCCAAAAAAAGTGCATCAAATTTTTTTGTGCCATACTTTTTTGAATAATTCAAAACCTTCAATTTCGGATCAAATTACATGCAATAAAATGCACAAACAAACACCACAAAAAATGCACCCAATTAGGCTTCATTTTCACATGAAAAATTTATGCCTTACATTTACATTTAATCTGAAAGTGTTGCCCCCAGAAAAAATAGGAAATCAGAATAAGAAAGATCTCGAATTTCTTGGAAATTCGAAGCTATAAGAAAAAAAACGATGAAATTTGAATCATCATAGCCGCCGGCACTTTTTTTGGAGAAATAAAAAGTGAGAAGAGGAGAAAAAACTACTGGAGGATTTTTCGTGTTAGTAGAAAAGAGGTGTAAACAACACTGCGCATGAAAAAAAAGAAAAAAATTTGAATACTAATCGGCTGATGAAGCTGTTGATGGGAGAAAAAACAAAAAACGAAGAGGGGGAGAAAAAATAAAATAATTTCTAGTTTTTTTTCAGCCAGCTAGCGATGCTTTTCTTCAGTCATTACTACTATTTTAGTAGTTGAGAAGATGAGCAAAGTGAATAACATTTTGTCGTTTTTTGTAGGGTTTCACGAAATTAAAGACGTGTTATTGTTGTTTTGAAATAAGCTTTGCGATTTGGAACATTGGTTCAGGGGATTCTTTCCTATTTTCAACACCGATATATAGAAATAGGATGATACTTTCTACAATTTTAAACTTGAAATTTCAGCAAAAATAGTACTCACTTTTATGAAAAAGTTAAATTCCTAAAAATGGCATATTGTCCCAGAAAAATCCCAGAACATTAGAGTTTTGCTAACTTATCTCAATTCGTGTTTTGGATATAACTTTTTAAAACAAACTTTTAAAGAAGTTATTCATGTTAGCCGTCTGCTGAAAAATGCTTTTCTAGAAATTTGGTTCTTTTTGTCTAATATTTTTCTAGAAATTATCAAAATTCTTCAAAAAAAATCACAAAAGTCAATAAAAAATCCATAACTTCAAAAAGAAAGTTAGCCGATCATCGCTCATCTCAACAGGAGTCAACACACAAAAAAAACAAATATTTGATGCCGCCATCATCACCAAAAAAAAAAGGAGAAAAGGAAGGAGTAAATCATTTTTGATAGATGAGAATGATATGGTTAGATTGATAGAGATTTAGAGAAAAATGACTCTGTTTACACGCACTTGAAGCGTAAAGATAGAATCCCAGTTGAAAAAAAACAGTTAGATTTTTCTGTTTTAGAAAATTCGGAGCCATTGGAATTCTTTGACCTAACTAAAACTTTGTTGTGCTTTTTTAGAAAACAAAATCCGAAAGGATGTGAATGTTTGCGATTTTCCCAAAATTATCCAACAGGTGAACAAATAGGCACATGTTCATTTATTAATTGACATTTAGCCGGCAAAAATTCATAATGTAAACAAGCAAGATTACTGTAGTTTCTTTCCATTTTATTTAATCCGAAAATCTTGATTCAGAAATCAAATCAAATCAAAAATGCAAAACCAAAACTTGAAAAGTAATGTAAGTGCAGAAAAAAAGATGAAGCTCGAAAAATGTCCTCTTTTCACAAATTGAGTCATAACTTGGCTTGACCAAAACGAAAGTAGAATAAAAAAGAGAAAAAAAAAGAAAAAGCTGAGAAAAACGGAAATTGTCAGGACTCTCAAGAAAATAAATAAAATGTACATACCTTGTTATGAAAAAGCCCGAAACATTTTTCGAAAATTCAGTACAATTCAACGTAAAAATGAGGGACTCGTATAAAGAAATATTGTAGGATGAAAAAAATAAAAAATAAATTAGCACTTGTTTTGTGTCTAGAAAATTAGCATAGTTATAGAAATACTTTTGCAGTATATTTTTTATATGTGTATGATACTAGTACGTTTCTAGACTCATGTTTTTTGAAATTAATTGAGCGAATTGAGAAGTCTGAGAGTTTTAAAAATTTTTTAAATATTGAAAAACGTCGAGTCACATTAGAGAAATAGACAACTTTCAAGCTACGGTTCAAAACAGCCCAAAATTACTTTTTTTCATACTATAAAAAAAAACATCTGCGAAGATAGAACTTTCAAAACTCTCTCCAAACCTTTTTTGGAGCAAAAGAAAAAAAATTAAAAAACCCTCGTTTGAAAATAACAAACGTTGCCGCGATTGTGTGAGCGCAGAGTCACGCGGAGTCTCGTTGTTTTACTTTTATTTGTTTTTGGTTTGTCGAAAGCAAAAAACCTAAAGAAACCGAATGAAAAATTGGAAAGATCTAGCAAATTTATTGAAATAACTCTTAGTTTTAAAAGTTGTCTATTTCTTCAAGCTTACCCTAGCTACGGTATTAATAACCTGTCTTTGTGTATTGACAAATGTTAACAATAACATAAACATTAACCATAACAAATAATAACCTTGCCTTTAGATTCAAGTATCAAATAATCCACTTGAAAGTGTCAATAAATAATTGATCTGTTTCCTACTGTTCTTCTAACCACCAGCTTGCTCTTTTCTTACTCCTAATAATAGATCAACAAGCACTTCTGCACCCAAAAACTATACAAGAAAAGGTGGTGGAGAAAATACCACTCGAGAATAAAATGCGCCAACAATTGAGCTCCAGATGTACTAATTGTATGGTAAGAGACTCCTGAAATAAGAAAGGCAGAAAATATAAAAAATGGATGGGCAAAGAAAATGGAACACGCCAATTATTGTACTTAATAGTGTGAGAAGAAAAAACACATGGCGGATAATAAAGTTAGAATAATTCTTTAATGAGGGAAATTTAGATTAAAAACATGGTATAACAATGAGAAGAGCCTTAAGTTTTTTAATAAGTTTTGATGAAATTTTACGAAAATCACGAAGTTTTTTCAGGTCTCAAAAATTCACAAAAAATTCAGACATCGCAATTATTCTACTCTCATCTTGTATTTCCGTTTTAAGATAAGCTATAAATCAAAAACCTCATCATCACGGCATCCTGAAAATAAAACATAAACATTCATACATACATGCACATACGTAAGTAATAAATATAAATAAATTGGCAGAAAAAAATGCGAGAGAAAAAAATTGTTTTCCTATTCATCAAAAATAATTTAGCAAACTCTACAAGCGAGTCGACAATGTGGTAGCATATAATTCGGATTTTTCGAGCATTCTCCTTCATACGCCCAGAAGTTACAGAATTTATGACCATTATCACATCCTGGTCTTGGTGTTGGTGCGTAAACTGTGTCGACACGCTCTTCACAAGAATGACAAGATCTTTGGCAATTTGGTCGCATAAAGAATGGGTTTCTAGAAAAACAACTTGGATTAGATTAGGTTAGATTGAACTAACTTTTTACACTCTCCTAGAGTTGCCCAAAATGGGCATTGTTTATAATGATCTTTACAGGGATCTTCTGTGGTTGTGGTTGTTTTCACTGTTGTTGTTCGTGTCGTTGTCGTCGTAGGTTGAGTTGTAACTCTCTGAAATTAGGTTAAATGTAGGATACAGAAGATTTTCAGAAAGTTTGCGAGGCATTTCCAGAGACGATCCTATTTTTGATAAGACTTCAAAAATAAATGTTCTTATAGTCAAACTTTTTCAAGTGAATTCACCAATCATGTTCTCTAGTCTTACCATAGTTGTGGTTGTAATTGCTTTTGTCGATTTTGTTGCTTGTGTTCTCATGAATCCTTCTTTCGGTGGTGTAAACGGTCGAGTATATGTCTTTTTTGTAGTTGTAGTTGTTGGTAACGTTGTGGTAGTTGGTGGCGGAGTTGTCGTCGTTGTAGTCGTTGTTGTGGTTGTGGTGGTCGTAGGAATTGTGCATTTGATTCCAGTTGAAACACATTTGTCCGCATCACTCACTGAAAACAGTTTTTATGAACTTACTTGAAATACTAGAAAAACTCACATGGACAAGCGCAAGTTCCACAGGTTTTTGCACAATTTACTCGCATCCAAAACGGGTTTCTAGTACATTCTCCTGTTGTGGCCCAGAAACAGCACAGCTGAAAATTCATATATTTTCTTCTGCTCACCCAATCAAAGTTTTCTCTATGAATTTCTAAAAAAGTACCTTATGTTTATCCTCGCAAATATAAGGTGTTGTGGATTTAATAGTCGTTGTTGGAAGGGTTGTTGTTCCAATAAATAGTTTTCTTCGTTTTTGTTGGGGTTCATCGAAAACTTCATTTGGAATTTCTGGTTGGCCACTTGAGATTTCTTCAGAGCTCATTTCGATTTCCGCGTTTTCATCTTCTTCAAGATCATTTTCATTTTCAGGTAACTCTGGAAGATTTTGTTCTGTTGTGGATGTTGTTGCAAACGTTGAAGTTGTAGGTGGAAGTGTTGATGTTGTTAATACTTCTGTAGTTGTTTCAAGAAATCCAGTCGTCGACGGGATTTCTGTTGTGGTTACTACAGCTGTGAGATTTTCAATTTCTCGCAACTTCAGATTCTTCACAATCGGCAGATCAGAGAACTTGACTGCAGTAATATCTTTGATCTCTTCCGAACCCCCAAGCATTTCTTCATCCTCTTCATCTCGATGCTTAATATTTTGAAAATTTTCATGTTCCGCATATCGTAATGTGTATTCTTCAACACACAATGGAGGAACTGCAAAATAAACAAATAAATAAACGCATAAATAAACTGGTAAAAATTTTAAGGAGAAAAAAAGAATCTCGGAAAAAAATAACAACAGACGTTCAAAACAAGTGACTGGATCGGTTCGATTTCCATTTATACGAACACCGCAGGCATTTTCAACATTATCGAATGATGGCTGAAAATATTGTGATTAGAAAATCAATAATGTTCACAGCAACACATAAAAGATTGCTTTCATTCAAAAAACACGAAAATCAACATTTATTTTTAAACTTGATGTGAATATTGCTTGAATTAATACGTTTCATACCGAATAATTGTTGTTCCCTATTTTTATTCAAAAATTCCTTTTCGATTTGAACTTACCGCATCACACTCATTACATTTTACTCCTTGTTCTTCAGTCAAAAACGTCACCAAACTTCCATCGGGTAATTGAACAGGACTGCCTGTAAAAATTAAAATATGTCAGAAGAAAAGCAATATTGAGTTTATGGTTATGGAAAAGTCTTGGTTGGGTGCATTTTACAACTTGTTGCATTATTCAATTGAGACTGGTTTCGAAATGAAGATTATTTCGAAATTTCTAATATATTTTTATCAGACATTTTTTTCTAAAATCCACGATAAAAAATTCATGTCTAACGTCCCGCTGTTTTATGTCTCCAACATTTTTATTATGGTGAATTTCTATTAGCTGTCAATCTTGCGCAATCTTATATGGGTCAGACAAGTTAGCGCCAAAAAATGTGGAATTTTTGGAATGAGTTTCTTAAAACTCACAAATATATGCGTTATTTGATATAAATTTATAAATATTTGGAGGTCCACCTTCGATTGAAATTGAATCTCGTTTTCTGACACTCTCACAAATTTGAAATGAGGAGAATAATATTAAAATAGAAATTGTGAACTTCATCTGAAAAATAAGAGATTAAAATAATCACTGAAAATTCAATTCTATTCTTTAATTAGTTGAAACTGTTTCAAAAAATAAATGAAAAACTTTCTAGAAAAGAAAAAAAATCCGAAGTCGTTAAAGGTGATTGGCGGGAAATGTGAGAATCGGAAAAGCGGGATTTTTAAAGGGAGGAGGAGTAGAAAAAGAAATCAAATAACAAACATGGACAATTGTTACATTTTAATGAGTTTCCATGGAAAATGAATAAATCAATTAATCAAGCCGGTCAAAGAATTGAGAATTGCAAACAAAAAAAAAACTATGAATGTGAACAACGGTAGTCTTTTGAATTAGTCTAGCAATAAATGGAATCCGGTAAATTTTTGACTCGCATTCATAGATGAAAATTTTTTGAGAGGGCTATGGGAATTTTGTTGATTATCTGAATTATGTCGGAGGTGAGTGAGAGGAAGACGGGGAAACAATTTGAAATCAGTTCAGATTTCTTTTAACGTCAAAAATTAGAACAAAAAATTAACCTTGAGAAAATTTCCAATATTTTCAATTTTTCAGGCCTGTCTTGATCTAGATGGGCGTTTTGAAGTTCTGGAAGTCAAGGTGACTTTCTTTGTAATTTGAAAACTTTTTTTCAAAAGTTGAAATAACAGAATGAGTTAAAAACAATTATAAACTTATTCCCGCCTACTTTCAAAAAGAACAAGCCCATTTTTTCATTTTTTTTAGTTTCTGAATTATATGTTAGAAGGTATGAAGTAGAAATGCAAGCTATGTATTCCATTATGCGAAACCGAATGATTCATCTGTCAAAAAAATAATTGACTTGAGAAACAAACTGTTGATTTGCATATTCTGGGAAATTGAAATTCCAAGAGATATGTACATCTAACAAAAAAAGTCCAAACAAAAAAATGAAATATAAAATTTAGATTTTCTAACAATAATAAAATAACCATGACAGCAGAAAAAAACATAAATAAATAAAAATACAACAATTTAATTCATCTTATTCAACTTGACTAACATTGCTTTTGTTCGGATTTTGTTGAGGTGTGAATAGCGGAGAAGCTTTTGAAATTCTTCAGCCAAAAAAAAGTGAGAAAAAATGTTAAGTGATTTTTTTCGGTCACTTTCGATTTGTTAGTACTGTTTGAAAAAAAAAACTGTAAATCTGAAGGCATGGCAAATTTCAAGTGGGATTTCAATATCTGCAGAATATGTATAGAAAGAGATCAAAAATTGAAGTTTGTGGTTTGACAAAATTTGTCTTGTCTTTGTTATAAATTTGAACTTGAAACTTTTCCGAAATAAAAAGAATAAACTTTGTGAAAAATAACAATGAATTGTTCTTGTTCTTCAAAAAGTACCGCCTCTTTTTTCGGAAACAAAAAATCCTGAGAATTCCGAACAATACATAGAAACTGTAATAAACTAAAAATGAAACATACACAAGATTTTAGTCATGGAAATTTTGAAGTTAATTATAAGTGTTTGTAAACTGGAAATTTTCAAGGATAATGACAGGGTTTCAGGATGCAAAAAATGGCTTTAGTTTTGAAGAAGACAATGATGAGAAAGCAAAAAGCTGCTGGAACAAAAATGACGAGAAAAATTGTCATGTCTCGGGGCGAGGGTCGATTTTGGTGGGACATAGAAGATTTGCAGTGCCCTTGGGGACAGTTTTGGACGAATGTTTTCAAAAAAAAGTTGTTGGCTTACAAACATTTTTCTCCTTTTTTGAAACATCAATGAAAATGTGTGTTTTGAATAATTTTTTGAAAATTGTGTAAAGTTATTGAAAGTTTATGTTCAGTTTTGAAATTGATAATTTTGTAATCTAGGTTAAATAATGATAATTTATTTTTTTTATTTCTATTTTTTGTTCAGAATTTACTCTTTTCACTCTGTATTCAAAAACCTTTACTCATATAGCTCAAAAAAATCATTACACCAAATATATTTTTGTATCCAGTGTCCGTTCATTTTTAATCTCTCCTGCCTTCTGTGTCAATAATTACCTCTTTTTTGCCTTTATGAACCACGGCTGTCAGCTAATCTTCAGGTAGCTTTATTTTTTATGTTTACAGTAAATATATGCTCGATTGCATGTGTGTAAACATTTCCCTCCCCAAAAAACATAGCCTAACTTCATTTTTTTTTGGTTTGTTTTGTTTCAATTTGAAATGAAATGAAATGTAATATTTTGTTTTATTAAAAACCTTTTATTGAGCTTCAGCTTCCTCGATATAATAGCAGGTAGTTTCAAAAATATAAATAAAAAAGTTTGAGTTTGTTCAGTTCAGTCAACCAGAAAAAAATACACTCTTTTTACATATGAGCTTGTGAAAAATCCGAGTAGTTTCATATTTCAATTTTTCCAGTCTAGAATTTTATAGACAAGTCGAAATTTGGATTTTCTGACATTTAGTTTTAATATGTTAGATTCTACTTCAAAAATTATTAATTTTGAAATAAAAATAGAACATTCCAATATTGTTGGTTCATCCAAATTTCATTTAATAATAAATCCTAAACCAATCAAAATTGAAGTATATTCAAGTATTTTATTCGAAAACCAATCGTCTCGTTTGAAACAATTCATTAACCTTAAATGTCGTTTGCCAAAATCGCGTCCTTTTTCCAATTTCGAGCTTATTATGCAAACTCATTTTATGCTCTTGACTATGTATTCTTCTTTTTCTATTTTAATCGTCTACTCATCCGAAAATAAAAGTGCTAACATAAACAACGAGAAAAAGGACCACCTTGTTTTTAGTGAATGGGTGGCATTTTGTTCTATTTTTTGTCTAGATCTGTTCTGTTTATGTTTGATCTGTCATTTCTTTTTAAAAAGCTTTGAAATGATTTTTTCTTGCTTTGTTTTTTTATATCAAACATATATTTCATTAAGCAAAAAAGCAAAAGAGAGCCCTGGGTGCTAGTCCTCCTTGGGGAAGCAAAGCCCAAGGCCGGGATTGAACTCTTGACCTCGTGGGCGGGGGATCAACCAGCAAATTTAAGCCACTAGACCACAGGACTCCCTGACACCCCTAGCCTTATTTTCATATTTATCCTATCATTTTTTTTTGCGTGCGCATTCGACGTGCAACAGTTTCAGAAAAAAATTCAATTTTTGGTTAATGAATTTTAACGTTTTCAAAAGTGAAACATATATTTTTTTTATTTATGTCACTGCGATTTGACAATTGTTAAATTAAAATGTTGTATAAAAATATTTTCTTACATAATTTTCAGATTTTAAGACTAAAATTAAGACAAAAAACATTGAAAAATTTGTAAACTCAATAGGCGAAAAAGCAAAAGAGAGCCCTGGGTACTAGTCCTCCCTGGGGAATAAAGGCCCAAGGCCGGGATTGAACTCTTGACCTCTTGGGCGGGGGATCAACCAGCAAATTTAAGCCACTAGACCACAGGACTCCCTGACACCCCTCGCCTTATTTTCATATTTATGATGGGCTATCATTTTTTTTTGCGTGCGCATTTGACTTGCAACAGTTTCTGTGTTTTGTTTTTAGAAATGTTCTGAAAAATAAAAAAAGTGAATTGTTCCTGTACCGTTTTTTTCTTAAACCTTCTTGAAATAGACTATTCTTCAAATATAATGTTTTGTGAAAACACGGAAAAAATTCAAAAACTACGATTTGTTCTTTTTTTAATGTATGAATAGAATTCGAATAGCTTCCTTTTTGGTGTGCCCATCGAAAAACAAGAAAATCTTCAATTTTTTCTCGCCGTGCTGAGTTCCAAAATATTTTTTCTTCTTCTCTTCAAGAAACACAGAAAAACAACAAAAATCATTCATTGACTGCAATTTTTTCTCACAAAAATTAACACACAAATCTTAGCAGCAGAAGCATCTTCAAAAAAAAAACAGCACGCATCCAAAAATTTTCCGCTTTTTTCCACGACTTTTTCCATCAAGTAATTAGGAAGAAGAAATGCTAAAAAAGACAACTTTTTGGCGTAATAAGTTTGCTTTTTTGGGTGTAGTGTTTTTTGGGTGTTAGTATGTTTTTGCGTAAGTATACTTTGTTAAAACTAAAACAATTTATATAAAAGGCTAGTATTTTTAGTAGAAATAGGAAGCAGTTTATTCAATTATTCAACACAGAAACAACGATTGAATTTGATTTCTGCTGTTTCGAGCCACATTTTTTGTTGTGTTGTTTTTTTTTTACTATTTTCGTATATATTTTTGGCTCTGCAGGTGGCCATAATTGATTGTACTTTTTTCGGATATAATATTTAACTCAATTTTTTTCTCAATCAGTACAATCAACTTTTTTGCTTGGTGGTCGAGTGAGGAAATTCCTTAAAAGGTTTACTGTATTTTGGCTACCGCTTTTTGTAGTGAGGTAATTTTGTGATTTAGGTTCTTGTTGTTTTAATGTTAGATTTGACCTAACTCGTTGAAAACAGCAAAATTAGTTCTATAACTGTTTTATGAGTTTGAAAACTAGGAAAGTTTTATTAGATTATTTTCCAGATACTTTTTTAAAAAATTCGAAAGTTTAGAAAACCCAAAATCAAGACTCTAAACATGTGTTGGTAGATCAAAAGTTTTTTTTTTTAATTTTTCATTTTTGCGTTGAATATCTTGTGTCAAATCTCGAAAATGCGTGAAAATGTTGGGAAATGAATTACTCGCGAAGTTTCCCGCAGTTTTCTTATTTTCATGAAATGTATGTACTTTGTTTTTACAGTATTCCGCTGTCATATTTTTACCAAAAAAAAACAAGATCTCAAATTTCTGATGTTTTTGAAGGAAACGAGCGATTAAAAATTTCTGAAATTCCCTTTTGCTCCATTTTTCGAACCTTATATTTAATGTTAGTTAGAGTTGTATATTTTCTGCATCAGATGTTGTCTTCTCACATTCAGATCAAAACTAAAACAAAGAAGAATAACTCGATAAATGTGTCGTCCACTAAAAGTCACTTTTTATATTGCTTCTTCTTCTTTTCTTTTCTCTATCTCTT